AGATATGCGAAAATCTGTCCAGCGTATCTATCACAACAATTTCATCGACCCTTCCCGACAGATTACAATTGATATGCTGCTGGGTCTTCTAGTTGGACAAGCTCCTGTGCACTTGTTCGACCCCATCAGTGACTATGTTTCAATAGAGCTGAACAGGCGAAGCGAAGAGTTTACGTCGTTCAAGAATATTAGTATATGGGTTGGCACATTCAATTTGAACGGGCGCACTGAAGGTATCGACTATGACTTATCACCATGGCTATTCCCGCCCTCGCTCGGATCATCACAACCAGAGATATACGTTGTCGCTTTTCAAGAGATAGTTGAGCTAAGCCCACAGCAAATCATGAATAGCGATCCCACCAGAAAAGGTCTGTGGGAGAATGCGGTAAAAGAGACACTGAATCGGCGACAAGCTAGCCTAGGAGGAGAGAAGTACGTGCTATTACGTAGTGGGCAGCTCGTAGGGGCAGCTTTGTGCATTTTTGTAAGGTCGTCATCTCTCAATCACATTAAGAATGTTGAGGGAAGTGTCAAGAAAACAGGATTGTCTGGGATGGCTGGAAACAAAGGAGCGGTTGCGATTCGTTTTGATTACGCAAATACTCATATATGCTTTGTTACAGCACATTTGGCAGCAGGATTTGCTAATTATGATGAGCGGAATCGAGATTACGCAACGATTCACGATGGTCTGCGATTTCAGAGGAATCGAGGGATCGAAGATCACGGTATGTTTGGCTCCTCCGTTGTCTTTTTCAGTACACGCACATGGGCAAAAGTTGGCTAATACGGATATAAACAGATGCGATCATTTGGCTGGGCGATTTCAACTATCGAATCGGTCTCGGCTCGGAAGCCGTACGCGGCTTGGTGAAGAAGCGAGATTTTGAAACCATGTACAGCAACGACCAGCTAAACTTGCAGATGGTAGCTGGGCTGGCGTTTCAGTTTTATTCCGAAGCCCGCATCAACTTCATGCCTACATACCGATTTGACATTGGAACAGACGTATACGATACTTCGTGAGTAGTATCTTGAGCTACGTAGCATTACAGACATGCTAACATGTGACAGCGAAAAAGCAAGAATACCGGCTTGGACGGATAGAGTACTGAGGAAGGGCGCCATTCTCCGCCAAACGGCGTACGACTCGGCACCAACGTTGATGTTTTCAGACCACAGGCCGGTTTATGCCACATTTGATTGCCGGGTCAGCCTCATCGATGAGCTGCACCGAAACGCGATCAGCCAAGAATTATACGACCGGCGAAAGGCAGAAGTGGGAGACTCGGCCGCACATGCCGATGGCGAAGACACTGAAGATGAAGATTTAATTGGATACGACGCAATCGAGCCTGGCCTACCCCCTGCGAGTTCAGACCGGCAAAAGTGGTGGCTCGACAACCGACAGCCGGCTCGTGCTCAAATTCCCATACCCAATGGACGAGACGGCCAACCAATGGCTTTGAATCCGCACCGGCCTTCAAATCCCTTTGGCCATGGCGAAGAACTGGACTGGATATCAGTTTCGAGGTCCTCGCCCGGAGCGTCTCTTTCAAGCATATCGAGCTCGCCATACGAGAAGCTTACACCCCCCAGGGGCATGAGTTCAGCTGGGTCTAGGAAGCTGCCTCCACAATACGATCCGACCACGCTCCCTGCTCAGGTGGGACGGATGAAGATTGGGGACGGTGATGGCGCACGGAGTGTTCACGGAGACAGATCTAGCGCGGCGCCGCCTCCACCGCCACCCCGTCGTTCAGCAACGACGTTGGATATGGGCTCGAGCGCAGGGCTAGGCAGGTCTGCAAGCACAGCGGGCACTATTGGAGGAGGGGCTGATGCTCCTGGCAAGATAGGAGGAGCAACGCAACCGCTATGGACATCATCATCTCGGCCCACATCAGTGGCCTCTCAGACATCACAGCTATCGCAGCAGCTCAAGGCTGGGAAGCCGGCACCCCCTGTCGCAAAGAAACCAGCACACCTGTTGTCGACTTCGCCGGCCTCGACATCGTCGCTACCCTCGACACTGACTTCAGGGAGCGAATTCAATAAAGCTAAATATAGCGACGGAGATTTTCAGCCGCCGCCGCCGGCTCGTGCTTCAACGATGGGCTTGAAACAAGACAATGCGCAGTGGCAAACACCATCCGTTGGTGGTTCAGGCGCTGGAAGGAAGCCCGTTGCCCCTCCTAAACCGTTTATAAATATGAAGACGAACGCAAGGGAAAATACAAACTCAAATACTGGCACAACGGCAACTGGAGGGCCCCCCATGTTGCCAAAGCGATCAAGACAGGTGAACCAGGGCCCTGTAGATCTATTGGAGGGTGGAGAGGAAGAGATGGGAGGCTGGGAGACATTGCAGCCGAGCGCAGCCTAGGGGAAGGGGGCGAAAGGCACGGGATGTAGGTAAAAGTGGCATGCCTGGTTATCACGATGGCTACCGTTTTTATAAGAAGAAGAAAATGTGATATATGAGTATGACTCTGGGGCGTGAGGCTTGCCCTGGCCTCATCAAGCTTGATTTTTGACTGTGAAAGTATGCGCGCTTACTGAGGAATACCCATCACCCATCACCATCACATGGCACGAGTCTCCTGTAAGCCAGCGAGCCATTGCGAAGTAGCACCGCCAGGCACATGTAAGAGTGTCATCCCTGCTTTGGAAACAGACGAGGGCCAGTTAGCGCTTTGGGGTCATTTCCATCCCTGGCGAACCAGAGCCGGACTACTTGTATGTACTCGAATTAGTGCTTGCTTTTATTCACCTCACTTTTGTGATGGTAGTACTCGGCTCGCCAAAGGCGGCCTGCATCTCTGTGTCACGTATTTTTTGGTGTACAAGAGAAGACCAGTTGCCGCGTTATGCAGCACAAGGAAAACGGCTACTCGTCACACCACCGGATTGGCTGATTACTTACCAACGGTCTTTTGCCCACACACACCTCGACGCATGGAAGCAATTTTTTTGGTTCTCTGGATTGGACGCTAATGCGGGGAAAATCCAATCGAATCAAACTGGTGCAGTTAGAGGACGATCCATACATACGCGTTGCTGATTTCACTACCGAAAGAAAATTAAATGAATCGCTCTTGACCAATCCGAAAAAAGCCCGTTGCATGTAAGAAACGGAGCAAACCTTTTTCTAGCGCAAATCGCGGCCGATCGAAGAAGAATTTGGGGGGGAGTTCTTTTACCCCGTACAGTATGGGTGGATGTTGTTTGCCTTTTTCGGTGCCTTTTTCTTTTTTTTTTTCGTTTCTCTCTCAGTTTGTTTATTTGTTTGTTTGTAGCATCTGTGTGCAGCATCGAAACAGGGAGGGCCTTTTTTATTCCAAAAGCAAGGGGTGGGCAGTGACCATGTGCTAAAAAATGGGCTCTCAATGTTTCTTGGCTTGTGATCAAAATGAGACGTTTATCAACAGTAGTAGCAAAGGAAATTATTGAAAGGGGAAGAGGAGCGGCTGCCGAGACTGTGTCTCTTTTTGGTCACAAGTGGCCAGGTGATGGGTGGTATCTGGGGATTTTAATGTATCTCGTGTCTAGGCTGAAAGGGAAGATGATGACGATGTCCCGACATTGCCCGTCATTTCAGCCCTGTGTATAGTACAGTACTGTCGACAAGTATCTATCTGTAAAAACTCGCCTCAAAAGGCTCCGAATTACAATCAAAATAAGAACATCGTCATCGTCTCTAATACCGAACACTGTCCGTAAATTGCTCAATGTCGCCGTGGTGGCCCCCCTCGGCGTTAAAAGCGCTTTCGCGATTCAGTGCAAGATTCCGTTCCAATTGATTTCAAGTTTGCAGCAAGCCTCGCCTGCTAGCAATCAGGCTAGAATGCCTCGGGCTTCTCCATTCGGCATCAAGTAGCCGACTATCTCTGCTTCCATGCTAAACAGACATGCGAACTATCGTGTAAGTGGCAACGCCACCGCGTAGTCTCACTGCTAGCTGGTACGTGTATCGCGTGTATCGAGCCGTTTGATACGAATTTCTCCGCTGAGACATTGAATGGCTGGAACTGCCACGATGCCGGCCACGATGCCTGCATTAAGCCACGCAAGAAGAGAAACGCAAAGGGCATTGAATCCCACGCTCACTTGACCGGAGGTACCTGGGCATGTACTTGTAGCATTGAGAGCAGCAGCAGATCCGAGATGCCGCTCCCAGTGCGACTCGACTCGACTCGACCTGTTTGGGCCGCTGCAAATTTCCGTCTCCAGGTCCCAAAGCCCGCGGAGCTACTAGCATCCAATCCAGCCCAGCGCTGCCGTCTGGTGACATCTGCACGCTACGGTATAGGCGACTTTTGCCACGGCCAGTTGCATGTCACGGCTGCCCTCCTCCAGCGCCGCAGCCCGCTGTTTTTCCCAGCCCTCAGCGCCTGACTGGCCGCTCACATGCCCCAAGCCGCTGTTGCGTGCAAGCGATCAATTGATCTGCTCCCCCCGAGCGAAGCCCGCCAACCGCTAAAATGGAGCCCCTCCCCTGCGGCTCTCCACTCGCCGCTTCGGCGTCTTCCCTGACTTGGCCTCTCCCCAGCGCACTGACGCTTAAGTTGCCTGTCGCCTCTTTGGGTCTCTCCCTCTGGAGTCTGGGCTCATATCATTGGCGACGGGTCTGGTCTTTTTTTGTGCTCATCTACGGATACTTGATCCTAATTTTCCCTCGTCCACCTCGTATTTCCTGCTTCTTCTTCTCCTCCACCCCTTGTTCCGTGCAAGCCACCAGACAACAACATACGCGTTTATCGCACTCACACGCCCTCAGCCTCAGCTTGTCCTTCTCTCGTCAATTCTCTTCCTCCGCTCGCCTATGCTGCCCAGTGGAGCCTAGGAGAATCCCAGAACCGCTACTGCGAACCTCCACTACTACCTCGACTCGTATTAGCTGTGGCTGCTAACAAGAGCTGGGCTTTTCCAATTCGCGCTGCCGACCCGGTGCCGTGCATACTCCAAGTGGCGCTACGAGATTTGCTCTGCAGCTCGACCGGTCCAGCACTTAGACGCCCTGCCCGCAGAAGCGAGATTCAACCCGTGTCTCTGCGGCACATTGCCACTACTTGCTATTAATATTGGCATCAGGGGGGGAAGCAAAAAGGGCTGAGCGAAAAGAAGAAAAAGAACGCAAATCGAATCTAAAAAAAGAAGAGCAAATCCGAGATTCGGAGCGTTCCGAGAACAACGTCGACTCGAGCCCTTTCCCTTTCTTTTCGGGCTTGATTCCCGCCCCAACTAATTAAACTCTCTACTTGGCCCCGTCCAAAACCTCGAAACCCTCATTTCATTTCCTCTGCGCCTTGGCGACGTCACCTGGAATTGGAACGCAAATCGAGAGATTACCTGGTGGGGGAGACAAAAGTCGTCCGGGATCCTCTTTTGCATGGGTCGCATGAACAACTTCCTTAAAGGGAAACGATAACGACCTCTCTGGTTATATTACGTGCGCCGTTTGTGTCAAACCTTCGAAAAGAGGCTTGAATTCTCTCAGCTTGTCAAATCGACTCGAATAACTAAAGCACGATCTATCTATTGGTGTTTCGGTCGCGAAAAACTCTCGACGATACTACAAAGAAAGCTGTTTAATGTCAGCTTCGGGTCAATCACATCGGTCAATTCGCAGCGTACCATTTTGTCGCTTATAACATCGCCGACGGTTTCTTCAAAAGCCTCACCAATATAATTGGGATAATAATAATAATAATAAACCTACAACCGCAGCAACAAAGTCGCTGGATCGACACCCACTCTCGAAAATGGCAACAATGGACAACCTATTCGCGATAATGGACGAGTTATCGCCCTCTCCGTGCCAACTCATGACTACCGCCAAGCAGAATCGCATCATGGTCTGGCGCGACGAGGTCGCATCCGCATCGGCCTCAGATCCCCCCGCCAGCAACTATTCCGCCCCTTCACTCGTCACAACAACCACTGCGTCGACGACATCCCTAACGCCCTCCGAACTGGCCACAATGTCCAAGAGCTCACGGCTCTGGCACAAGGTCAAGGCGCAATTCACTGGCAAAGCCCGCCGCCGCAGCAGCGTCGCCAATGCTGACGTTCCCGACTTCATGATGCCTCCGCGGAAAGGCGATGTAACACGAACGGCCATGTATCAGAATTTACGGTCGGGAGATGCCAAAAATGCCGAAGAGGAGGTTACGCCTGGCCAAGACAGCAGCAATGGCCGTGGACGGGGTCTTTTCTCAAAACAAAGAAGGATGATACGGGCATCGAAGCTATTGGTGAATACCATTAGCTGATTGCGAACATAATCTTGAAGAAAGATTATGTACACCGTTGTATCAAAAGACAAAAGCACAATAGCAGCACCAGCGCAGCATCCAATTGACGAAGACGACGACTACGAGACGATTCTCATTTACCGTTCCTATCCGAATCCTATCGAGATGGCGGAGAGAAAACATAGGGGGGTGGGACGGGGGAACACATAATATAACGTTTTGGCGCATGTTTACTAGGTAACTTACATTGGGAAGGGAGGACACGGGAAAGCGATTTACAACTTATACCACTACCACGGGGCTATTTTACTGCCCTCTTTTCTTTTGTATCTGGTGTTTTTTTTTTATTATTATTATACGGGGGGTGGTCACAGACTTTTGTCTCTATACTGTACCTCGCGAAAGCAGTTAGTTTTTTCTTCTAAGCTAGATTACTAGTCGAGTTCCGAGAATTAAATCTACAAGATGAATAATTCAAGCAAGACATGAAAGAGACGGCCAAAATTGCATTTCGTATGGGATCTTCGAATTGTAAGGCTGATCTTTTGCTGGATTAAAAATTGTATATCTGGAAATGGATTGTCTAATACCTTGAGTTTAGTACTCGATTTATACAAGGCCCAGACTCAGGAACTAGCCATGAACCCAATCACAGAAGCCTTGGGTCTTTCTGAAACAAGATATGGTGGCATGGCATGAAACTTTTATTTCGTTTCCTATGAGCCGCTGTCGTCCAACTAATGCTCAATAACTCCCACAGCAAGTTTTCACCGAAGCTCATCAAGGGCAATATAAATAACAAGATGACCCTCAGAATGGACAACCACCGCCGACAATAATGGTGTAAATATAGATGGTGTAGTAGAGGAGGGGGGGGGGCTCAAGTAGACAAGATGAAATTAATTATGGGTGATGCTAGTGTAGAATACGGGCACCATGGAATTTGACGAGGAGGGAGAAGGGCAAAGGAGGATGGGATAAGGGAATATATAATGAATTCAAGGGGAAAAGGTAACCCGACATTCTACTTCTGTTATCCGCACTCTAGCTACATGCATCACTTACTGCTACTGATGTTATTGATGCTATTTCTAAATGCGTTTGGCGGTTGTATGGATATTTTGGCATATGAACCAGCTGCCTTGTTGAGCTACAGCTGGGGGTGCGGGATGACTTTTTTCCCTTCTATCAACACGTTTGTTTTCTTACAGGGTATTTACATAGTCTATTGTCTATAGGGATTGCTCTAGTAGACAGACAGGCACCTTATTTTCTCCTCTCATTTATTTTCTCCTCTCAGAGGAGAAAATAAAAACAGCCGATAAGAACATAGAAATGCCCCAATTAGTGGTAACGAAAGCCAGTACACTAAATAAGTCTTATCTCGAGCAAGCCACTCAAGTAGAAACTCTATATCAGCTCAAGGTGGGGTGATGTTTTTTTTTGTGCGCGTGTAGCTTTGCGCCTCAGTTGCGGGCTTTTCGATCCAATCTTCGTTGCGAGTTCTTCGTATGGAGCACATGATTTATATTACGACTGTTGTGTTGTAACGATACAATTCTTCAAGTTGCGTTTATCTCTATAACCGATATTTCGCAAGGACAGTAGCCCACGCATTTCCAGACGTGTATCCATCTATATAAAAAAAAAAAAAAGCTCGACTGCCGAGGTATTGAGCTGAGCAAAGATAGCTAGGAGCACGGCTAGATGCTCAAGCAACAGGCCTTCTTATTAAATTAAACAACACACAAGGCTTCACAAGTAGAAAATTACAGTAGACACACTCCAGTACGTTGGATTGGAATTTCTTTTTTTGCCATTTTTTCAAGGGGTTGCTGCTGTAAAAACTGTTGGGTGGAAAGGGAAATACACAGGTTTTCCCTTTCTTTTCTCCTCTCCTCTGCGGGGCACACAACGATATTTAACCACTGTGACGCGAGGAGGGGGGAGAGGGGAAAAAAAAAGACAACAAGCAGATCGCAAGAAAACAACGACATAATTTTTGGGGGACAACATTTTCCATAACGATCCGCCAAAAAATCGGGACCAGATGTAAACTAGGTAGGTGGTAACGTCAAAAAAAGCAGAACTGGGGAACAAATACCAGGCACTTGGGGGTAGAGAGGGAGGTTGGGAGAAGAGGCAACAAAAGCGTTCCATCATTCAGCAGCGAACAACAAAAAGAGTCCGTCGCCAGTTCAAGCAGGCGAAAAACAACGGACAAGCACCCTTGCGCCACTCATCTCTCCTATCCCTAAACCGAAAAAAAAATCCGAAGTTCCATGACCCATCTCCCCATTAACCAGACAAGCAGCGCACTGGGTACCAGCGCGGGCAGCGGCTAAAGCCAGCCTCCAACACGATTTCCCATCTATCGCCATGTTCAGAGGTGGGCGAGAGTGTTCAGATAACTAAAACAAGATAAAGAAAAGACCCCTCGGTTCTTTGCCGAGTTTGCATGCAGCGGAGGTAACAAGGATTTAGGAAGCAGCCTCGGGCGCAGGCTCCTCAGCGGGCTTGGGTTCTTCCTCGGCAGGCTTGGCAGCCTCTCCCTCCTCCTTCTTGGCCTCGCCAGCTTCGGCATCACCGCTGTCGGACGAGGTCCACAGGGTCAGGTTGTCACGCAGGAGCTGCATGATCAGAGTGCTATCGCGGTAGGACTCCTCGGAGAGGGAGTCGAGCTCGGCGATGGCATCATCGAAGGCCTGCTTGGCAAGGTGGCAAGCACGGTCGGGAGAGTTGAGGATCTCGTAGTAGAACACGGAGAAGTTGAGGGCAAGACCCAGGCGGATGGGGTGAGTGGGTGTCAACTCGGTCTGAGCAACGTCGGTAGCGTTCTGTACGATGTGGTCAGTTGTTGCCCGCGCGAAATTTTGTCTCTGCACACGGCGTCGACGAGTTGCGTGTTATGAGCATACCTTGTAGGCCTCGTGGGCAGCAGTGGCAGCGGTCTTGCGCTTCTCGCCAGAGGCGAACTCGGCGAGGTAACGGTGGTAGTCACCCTTCCTAGAAGAGCGATTTGCATTAGCTCCTGAAAATTTCGAACATGTGCGAGCTGAAACGTGATTGGGTGAAAAGTTTTCGAAACCCAGAGATCAGAGAGCGGCAAGGGGGAAGCAACGTACATCTTGTGGTAGAAAACCTTGGACTCGCCGGTGGCGGCGTTAGGGATGAGGCTCTTGTCGAGGACATCGAGAACATCCTCGCAAACCTTCTCGAGCTCGAGCTCGATCTTGCTGCGGTACTCCTTGATGGTGGAGACGTGCTTGTCAGAGCCCTTGGACTCCTCCTTCTGCTCGATGGAGGAGATGATGCGCCACGAGGCACGGCGAGTGCCGACAACGTTCTTGTAGGCAACGCTGAGGAGGTTGCGCTCGTCAACGGTGAGCTCACCGCCCAGCTGAGCGACCTCCTTCATGTAGGTGACCATCTCATCGTAGCGCTCGGCCTGCTCGCAGAGACGGGCCAAGAAGGTCTTGCTGTTGGGTTGAAAATCTCGGTCAGACCATCTCGTTCGATCACAAAAAAAAGGGGAGGGGGAAGATGTTTGGATTCTCGTTGTGAGAAGTTTAGTGGGGTCACGGGGCCATGCTGTTGGACAAACCTTTCACGCTATAGACAAGACGTTAGCATTGCGAACAAAGGAGAATGTGAAGCAAAATGAGCGATGCAGGAATGCAGAGAAGGATATTGTGCCCGTCATGGCGTTTCCGGGCGCCCTCGCGCGAGTCCGAAGCCGCGCAGATCGTGGCGAAGAACTCGGCGGGCTGAGGGGTTGCGAGAACGAGGGGGTTCGAGAGGAGAAGGCGGAAAGCGGCGGTCGCAGCAGTGACAGCAGCAGCTCCGGGGAGGGGAAGTTGAGCTCACGTACCTCGGTGGCCATTTTGACTGTGTGTCGGTGACTGGAAGACGACGAAGAGACGAAGCGGGCGGAATGTGCGGAGTCGTTGCAGAAAAAGGATGATGCGGGTGTCTGAGGTGGGATGCGGTTGAGGATGGGGCGAGAAGAGTGTTTATATTTTGATTGTGGATTGAGATTGAATTGGCTTTGGGGTTTGGGGGTTCTCGGGGCGGAGGCCAGTGCCCGCCGCTGCCAGCACAGGTGATGCCAGCGCCGGCTTGCAGTGGAGTTGCTGGCTCTTGGGGGCCTGCTAAGCCTAGCCAGCCGCCTGGCGCACCCCGCCCCTAGGCTCTGGTGGCCGAGCACAGCGCACTAGAGGTGCCTGTAATCTCTGGCCGCAGCGCCTATCTGCCAGTCGAGACCTGACTTATACTCATCCATCGGGCGACTGGACGCGTAGCCGCAATGTACATACCGAGTACCCCCGACGAACAGCATTACTGCGCTTGGCCCTCGAACTGATCTGGAGCCGGAAGGGGGGCCGCTCTTCACTTGAAGCTCACTTCCACTTTAGCATTGCCGTACCTACTACACGTCCGCAAGGTCGAGCACGGAGCGCTGTACATGGAGACTTGCGCATTGATGGTGAGGCGCCCTTCTAATTTACCTGTGGCTTCTAGTCCCGGCATGAGGCTGGAAGGGTACTGCGTACTTGTCCGTCTCTCGACTGAAATCCTGACTGTCTCCGATACACAGCATTGTAAAGGGGGGGCTTCAGCCGTTTCTTTTTTTCTCTCATCCTTTCACTCTGGTCTTACTTCTGCCTCCTCAGCCGCACTCTTTTCTTATGCACTTCATCTCGCCACCACTGGTGGGCATACAGTAGCACGTAAGGTGTCTCAGGCCCCAATACCAAGTGGCATCCAGGCATTAAGCGCCAAAGCTGCTTGTGAGCATCGTCGTGGATACCGTTGGTATTAATCAAGCAGAGAAATTTGGCCCCATACATCAGAGGCACCCTTTGAGCTATCACAGCCCTATTTTACTCTCTTGGACAGTATCCCTTGCTCGCTGCCAGGTGGGCGGGGCTTCTTCTCTTGGATGGGAAGAGAAGGGAAAAAAGGGTTACCGAGTGATCAGAGTCCCGCTTTTGCCATGAGACACTCATCAAAGGGTGCTCTCGCGCATCGCCTCTGGTACCGGCAGCCCTATCAACGCTGATTTGCTGCGAGTTGTGCTCGGCGCTAAGCTGGCCGCGTCTTTTATCGCTGCCTCTGCTGCGCTGTTCACAGCACAAGCATCTGAGCGCTGTCACCCGCCGTCGTCCAACCAGCGTCTGTCTCCCAGCCTGCGCGGAAAGGCGTCATAACGCGGCCAGGGGGGGGCTGCAAATTGGCTTATTAGAATTCTGCCAGCCCGTCTGTCGGTCAGCGATCGTTCCATCTGCGCTCCACTCCGATAACAGGCACTGGCGCTCTCTCGAGGGGAAGAAGAAGGCATATCGTGTGCTTGTGCAAGGCCACAGTGCCCTGGGTAAGGCAGAGACATCCAGCATTCTGCCAGCACTCGTATTGGTTCGTGCCGGTGTACCTTGGATTACGAGCATCTCTCGTTTCTCCCTTGAGAATGGAGATGATGACCCAGGAAACCCGACTGGGGCTCCAAAGTGGCCCGTCCCAGCAGATCCCGTTGTTGGCTAGCTAGCTGTCTAAGCAGCCGGCGACTACGACTTAGTGCATATTGTCTGCTCCATTCCCAGAACCATACGGAGGCATCGACCATCTTCCCCGTCGATGGCAGCGCAAGCAGGCGATGAAGACTCCAACAACTTGCTCTGGAAGTGCTGCTAGAAGCCTCTCTCGGCACACCCTGGCCGAGGCATGTGCTCCCTGCTGTTCTTGTCCCAACCAGTCCCCCGCCGGCCACGTCGGTCCAACAGTGTCTCTGCTTGCCTCCACCTCATGCGGTACCACGGGAGGATCGTGATGTTGCCTTTGAGTGCTTGGGACAGAGGTACACTAGACAAATCTCGGATCCTGCTGCTACTACCTACTACCTACGGAGTACCTCTAATCTGTGTTAATTACTACCTCTGCTGTTGCTCCATCCTGCTCATGATGGGGTCGCATCGATGAGGCTCCAAGAATAAGGAGAATATTGTACTCGAGGCCTGGCTAGTCCATCAAAACTAGTGGCCCCTTTCCCAGCGCACGGGAATGCATGCATGGCCTACTCCGTATCTCGCTTGTCGCCGTGCCCTTCCACTGGCACTCCCCCGATTTCCAGATGTTCAGCGCAGGCGTTCAGGGATGAGACCCGAGACCATCGTGGTGTTTTGCTGTTCACATGATGCTGCAGCCCGCACCCCTCCCCTGGCGATGCCTCTTTATGCTTTCCGTTCATGCCAGTTGCCATGGGCATGGGAGAGGCTGGCAAATCGACGCGAGCTGTGACTGTGGCTGTGGTCAGCTCCCATCCGTGACTCACTCCCCCCCCTTATTCCCCCTCCTCTCTCTTATCGCCATCGCGTGGCACAGAGAACAGGCTCAGACGTATCATGGATGCTCTATATAGAACCAATAGCATTGTGGCTCAACTCCAGCTAGGCAGTAATATCCCGCTGGGCTTGATCCAATGAAAAGACAAAGCAAGCCCAAGCTTGGCCTTCTCTTCCTCACATGAAAAGAAAAAAACCTATTCCGTCACCGGGCCTCTTCTTGAGTCGTTCGTCTCGTTTTGGGTGGCAGCAATCAATCACCAGTAGAACGCGCCACAAAATACCCCTCCCGTCTCACACTTCTGTTTTCGCTCACCCCCACTAATGTTGCGACTTCATCCAATGTTGGCGTTGCGCGGTCCGAGTAGAGTGCTCTGCGAAGGATCCCGGTTTCGAGAAGAGCCCAGCGCCTCGAGAGGGTTTGACAAGTTGCGGCCACTACAAGTGGTGCTACTAGTATAGTGGTAGGTACTAATGGTATTTCCGTAGTACATGTACCTAATAACGACGTCGTGCCACTACGCGTGCTGGCTGATTGCAGCATCCAGTCCTGCCTCCCATGTCACATGGCAACAGCGTCATTTCACTGGCATCCCCCACTAAATGACGATCAACGTGGAGGACCCGGACGATGGATGGCATCTGTGGTAATTGCCGGCATTGCCATGTTAGTGAGAGACGGAGATGGCAGCACGTGTAGTCGATGCTATGCGTTTACAGCAGAGCGTATCCCCTATCAAGAAACCGCTCTTAGCATAGGGCTGGCCCACGACAATTTGGTAGCGTCTGGCTACTAGAATATTTAATCCCAACGTAATAGATAACGAAATAATGGTATTCTTAAGACTGATATTAAACTATGCGGCCGTTGACAATGATTACTTATGTTGTTTCACAATGTTCATGCTCGCTCTCCCAATATTCATACACCGTTAACCAATATGATACGCATCCGGTATATCCAACCTGCCTTCTCAGTACAAGTCTACTCCTCGGATAAATTAGCTCGCTGTATTCGTCAAACGCACCATGCATTGCTGCATTGCAATATTTTCTGCTCTGTCTTTTTTTTTTTCTTTCCCTCCCACAGCTGGTTATAGGTATTCATCGTGAGGCTCATACGGATGTCGGCCCCAGTTTGTAGGGTCGCCACCAGGAACGCATAGCCCGAGCCTCCAGAAATAATCCCGATGAGCAAAAAACAGCTGCCATAGCTTTAATCGCGCTGGGAAGCTCATCCTCTCCGTGTAAGCCTGTAAGGAGCTAGTCGTCCAGCGGAAATGGAGAAGGCGATGCAGCAGACTCTGCATCGTGCTGTCATCTTTGGCACTGCAGTTGGGGTCCTCGTCACCAACGCAGAGGTGCACGTCCGTTTCGGATGGCGATAGAGAAGACTTTGAAATGAATATTTCGCCGCTGTGCGACTTGTAGCCGAATTCGCTCGGTGGCAGCAAAGGCACAGGGTCGTCAACGTGGGTGACTCGTCGATAGGTCCTCTTCTCAAGGTCAGTTGTTCCATTGAGATCAAATACGTCATCCACGAAACGGGCAAATTGGGCATTGCCAGCGCGAGGCTCTCCAAAGGTGGTGACCGTTACGTCGTCCCAGCCCAGGGATACCTTCAGCTCCAGGGCCGCAAGGCAGGCCACAGCTCCCCCAAGGCTATGGCCTACGACCTGAATAGGACGAGACGGGTATTGGGCTCGGAGAGCCTTCAGTTCTGGCAGAACAGCATCCCGGGCGCTTCTCCAAGACTCAAGGAACCCCATGTGTACGGTGCAATTTGTGCATTCGTGGCTGGGCTTTTTTGGCGTCTCTCCTCCATCATCCGGGGATGGATATGGCACGTATTTTTGCGGGATGGTGCCGAGATCAACAATGGTATTGGTGATGCTGTAAGTCCCGCGGAACGCAACGACTATAGCGCCATGCTTCTCATTCGCTACATCGTTTCGATTTGCTTCGAGAAGCTGTTGTTCTGAGCCATCGTCAATGGCGATGAATCCACAATTGTCACTGAACAGAATGCCTGTGCTCCAAGTGGTAGCCAACGTCAACTCAGGGAACTCGTTGCATCGGGAGAGACACTGGAACGGTTTGCGAATGCCAGAAGTGCCAAGGCAATACGACACGTCAACAAGCCTAGCCAGTCGTTCGAGAGACGCGAATAACGGTACGGAGATGGTCGAAGGAGATGCTGACTGCTTGTTGCCCAACGGCTTCTGCTGGTCGATATATACAGCCCCCGTGAGGTAAGCAACGGCGAGCTGTAAGAGCAGCAATAGCCTGAAGCGGCCCGGTAATGCCCCCTCCATTGTCGAATATCAGTCGGTCGATGACCAGAGCATGGAGAAGTAAGAGTAAATGGTTGGTACGATTGCGAGGTGCTGTCCCAACCGGTGCTTGATCTCAGCTTGCAAAACCGCAATGACGCTTCGATGTAAGCCCGACGCAAGGGAGGAGCGCAACTGGCGGCGAAGAGCGCAAGCGCGTCACTTTTAGCGAGAAAGCGATGCACAGGCTGCGCAATTGGGATATAGCATGATGGTTGAGATCAAATGATTTGCTGTTCCTGTGAGAGGAGCGAAGAAAAAATCAGCGCCTCTGTAGGCGAGGCATGACCGCACTTTGTCTCATGAGCGTAGTGGCAAGCTGCCATTGCCAAGACCAGCCAGAGATCACGAGGTTATGTACAACTCGGGTGGGGCCCGCGCCAGGGCTTCAAGTGCTGGGGAAAATCTGGGGCGCCTGAACGAGCTCAGGGCTGCATTCGGCATCGCTGCAGCGGCTGGAGCGCTGGAAAGCCTCCGCAGGTGCCTGCTAAATACCGGTGCCCCTGGTGCCTTTCAGCAATAGCTCGTGCCGCTGACTCGGGCCGTCGGACTATTTGAAGCCATAGTCCAGTGCTGGGTGGAAGAGTTTTTACAATTGCTGCTCGTGTTGTGAATGATACGATGACATTGAAGTTGCAAGATTATTAATATTCTGATACGTAATACTAGAGTAAGGAAGATTCATGCAGTCTCGCACTGTAGCCCTTGTTACTCCTTTGTTTTCCATTGGTGCCTCCAAAGCTGGCAGAAAATCCTTTGCTGTCCCTTGTCCATTATTTGCTGTATCCTCTTTTTTTTTTCTTCCAGATCTATTAAGAATGAAGCCAAACGCCAGAGCATACCAGATCAGGCATGGTCGTCTACCAAGAATCGATAATGCCGTCTTCTGGGCCCTTTAGCTCACCCAATACTTGACCCGCCGAGTGGGATCTGAGACGGGGTCCAGTGCAGTGTATTTCACGTCGAAATCGGTCGAGTTGGTGCTACAGGCTCCCGATCCGGTGCAAGTCAAAGGGATGACTGTTGAGCCAGTAACTTCGTATTGATCAGTGCTGTAAAAAATGAGAGTTAGTGCTCGGCATCCATATACAAATACTTTGGTATTCAAGATAGCCTCGGATATACTACGTACCCCTTGGAGGTTGGGCAGATCCTCTCAACCATGGTCAATTGCTTGCGCGCATCTTCCCAGATAAATTTGACGTCTCCATGAGCACAGGCGTATCGTGGCGCCAGGCCTGGCGGAGTAGTGGAAACGGAGCTCGAGTTGAAAGAGCAGCTGGTGGTGATGCTCGTTACTTGGTCCACAAAGGTGAAGTTGTATGCACTTAGAGTGGCTGTTGGGCCAGTCCCATTCGACTTGGCCACGAAGTTCTGGATGTGGAAATTGGGAGGGAAATTGCAAGCGCTATCGGTCTGGGACAGAGCGACGAGCTCGGCAGGAGGATGGTAGGCGAGGGTAGACATGGAGGCCATGGCGGATGGCAGGGCCGCCAGGAAAGAGAGGGCTTCGTATCGCATGTTGGATGTTCTTGATCTCGTTCCCGCTTTATCTTCGAGTCCTGCAAATGGAAGAGAGAGATGGAGGTGAAGAAGAAAAGCAAAATGCACGGCTACGGTCTTTATGTAGACAGAATTAAAAGGGATGGCAAGCAGGAGAAGCTACGGCAGCGGGAAGCGTCAATGCAACGTTGGTGTTTGCTTGCATGTACTGTACCGGAACGAGTCTTTGAGGCATGACGTGGAAGGCGGTGCGGTGCTCCATTTTGCCCCTGGGTTAACGGGGCCAAGAGACAAAGACGACAAAGCGCAAAATAGCAAAGATGAGTGTCGATCCAGCTGCCGTAGGTGGCAGTTGCGAGTACAAGGGGCGCGGCAGGGCAGAAACACGAGCATTGAGTTCCAGACGAATGATTAATACAGGAGGGGAGCGCGCTGTGGCTCGAGCTCTGGGCCATTGCCATAAACACTGTGACGCAACCGTAGGGGCTGAGCGTCTATGCGAGCGATGATGCTCCCTACTCGCTTTGTTTGCCGTCTTTTGCTTCAATTCTTTGTTTCTCTTGGTTAACATGCCGGATGCGACGTGAGATGCGATGGGCTAGATAGCGCCATGCAAGACGGAGAGGCGACCTGATTGGGCAACAAGACATGTCCCTGGCGTTTCACGTCACTTGGCGCCCTCGGGGCTATTGGAGAGGACTTGTTTGCATTGACCTCGTAATACGTTGAAACGAGAAATGGATAAACCACATCTCTGTCCTACCTAGCACGGTTAGTGTATAGCTGTGCCGTACGGAGTGTGTACGCTGCTCTATATGAGCTGAAGCTGGACGTTTTCGCCTGCGAGGCTGCGCGTCTAGGCGTACGAGCTGATGTTCTCAAGGCGGTTAAGCTTAGTTGCACCGAGCAATTTCTACCGGGGATGCCACTTGTATAAGAACTGGAACCACAGACGGAACGGAGCCGTAATCTGCACTCCGAGTTTGGTCGCGTTATCGCTCAGCTACACCGTTTGAAAGCCTTCCTGTCCGTGGCTATAGATGCATCAAGTCCGATGTATGGAGTGTGATATGGCCATTGCATAATCAAAAAGCGCAATGCAAAGAGCACTCCATTTCGGAGCCCGGAGCAGCACTGAGGCCATCAAGAGTCCTGCAGACATGGGAGCCTTCTTTTACTACCGAACCGTAGCACATGTTTGTACGCCCGTAGGACTGCTGCGATGTTTGTTACAAAAAAAAAGATGATGATTTATTCTTTGATTTAATATGGCCTCAAGAATAAGAGATCATGTCCTAATTTCCAGCAAAGATAATGACTGCTCAGCCGCGCCTGCAGTCAATTACCTCATTCGGCCAAGTCGTGGCAGGCCGACCAAGAGAAAGGGCGAATGGCTGCGCATCCCTCCGGGTGAGGTAATTATCCGCCCCCGACTTATGTAATGCCCAAGCGGCCAGCCTGTAGCAAAACCTTACCAGCCAGGCGTCGGCGTCGGAACTGGCACCCTCACCCATCTCAACAACCCAGCTATTAAGCGCCTGCAGACTATCCCATCGACTCCGTCGTCCCTCGCGCCTCTGCCCGCCTTCGGAAGCTTCTCACGAGCACCAGCTGCGACTTTTCTTTTCGAACCTTTTAAACAACCGCTTCTTAGCTCATCCCCCATCGTCACAATGGCCACCGAACTTTGGTACGTTGCGTCAGCGCGTTCGATTCCTCCCCCTAGCACCGCCGTGGAGCTTCGGATTGCATCGTTGGAAGCTCTCGGCATCATCGCAACTATCTGCACTCGCCCTACCCCTTGCCTCATTGCGCAGCCTTGAAGGTTTAAAGCTAACATGATGCCTATATAGCCCCGTCTACGCGGTCAGTAACCATATACCCGGTCCTGCTATACCCAACGACGTCACCGAGAACCTCCCGGAGAGACATCGAAAACATTAGCATGACCTCTTCATATACTTGATAGAATGCTAACCCCCAACACAGCCCTTCTTTGGTGCCATGGGTTGCACCTGTGCCATCGTCTTTACCTGCCTGGGCGCCTCTTACGGCACCGCCAAGTCTGGTGTTGGTATCGCCGCTATGGGTGTTCTCCGCCCTGATCTGATTGTCAAGAGTCAGTAGCACTTTTCCCGTTGACGCGCAGCGCCCCGTTACTGACCTCCCTCACTAGACATTGTACCCGTCATTATGGCTGGTATCATTGGTATCTACGGTCTGGTCGTCTCTGTTCTCATCTCCGATGGTCTGCGACAAGACCTTCCTCTCTACACTGGTTTCATCCAATTCGGTGCCGGTCTCTCTGTCGGTCTCGCTGGTCTTGCTGCTGGTTTTGCCATTGGTATTGTTGGTGATGCCGGTGTCCGAGGAACTGCTCAACAACCTCGTCTTTTCGTCGGAATGATTCTGATTCTTATTTTCGCCGAAGTCTTGGGTATGTATATTTCCAGTTTGATTGCACCGAGATAGCATTACTAACGCACCATCAAGGTCTGTACGGTCTTATCGTCGCTCTTCTGATGAACTCAAAGGCCAGCCAAGATGCTGTCTGCGCATAAGCAACTGGCGCGCCCGTGGCCTCTTGAAAAAGCTTGTCAACTTTGTCTTTTTAAAAGTCGCCACTTCTGATACGAAATATGGATATCTGGGCAGCATTGCAATATCATAGCCCGGACGGTGCTGAATGGAGCTCGTGTGTTGGAATTGGCGAATCTCGGCATGACTCTCAGTGCGAGTCGCGTAATGGATCAAATCAGTAGGAAGAGGTTTATATATGTACACTAGTGACAGGGTGTGTTTGCTCTTGATGCGAGTTTCTCTTCATAGACGGTGAAGGTGAAGGATCTAGTGTAAGCGGATGGTCAATTTTATCTGTCATTGTTTTTTCTTTACTCCTTCACAGTTAACAGCTGAGCCGGCAGTTTCTAGCCGAAAGCAACTTTGTATTTTTACAACCACATGTGGAAAATGACCCTTCACTTTGACGAGTTTCTTGATTATATGCGGAATGTGCTGAAGAGTAGTTGTATCTTGAAGACCTCACAAGTAATACGAGGCCATGTATATTGATATGATATGCCATTTATTAAAACTGCTAGACAATTATTGGATATGCTCATCCATCTCAAAACTATATAATACAAACATTAAAGCCGTTGACATATCCTAATTATCATATTCTTGGCCATTCTTAGATCATTTTATGAAATCCCATCTTAATCATTTTCCCAATTTTCTCTCATTTTCTTCCCCTTCATTATAAGTTTACTTTACCCTTTTAATGCCTGCCGTGTAGTAGTTTGGTCGCATGCATGCTGAAATTAAAATTCAGAAAGCTCCTCTCTAGAGCGAGAAGAGAGTGATAATATGTGCGAGAGAGAATAGAAACTCGGTGCATGAACAGCGAAATGCCTCTTAGATGACGTACTATAAAATGTTAGAGAACACACTTGAAAATGTCTTTGTCTTTATGGAACAATAGATTCGAAGGAAACTTACGGGAATGAAGAGATAAGGGACCTGGCGCTCGTACTCGAGCCAGGCTTCGCCGTACTTGGCGCGGCAACGAGTAATGTCTCTATGCGCGCGGTGGGCAATCATGCAGGCGAAGAAGACGGGATAGAACCAGGGGAAGGGGCTCCTGTTAAAAAGAAATAAGGGTTAATAAAGATACTGCTTCTATTATTTGATGTTTTGTCGATGGTCACTTACTCAAAGCCTGTGATCAGACCCCACGAGACAGAGAACCAAAGGTCAGAGGTGTAGTGAATCTTGCGAGCAAGACCATACCAACCATCGATGAGGATGGTGCCCTGAGGAGTCTCAATCGTCTTGGGGTTCTTGAGTGTCTGCCATGGGACCTGAGGGAAAGTCTTCCGGGGGATGAGGTTTCCCTTCTCCATGGCGCGGAATCGGTTCTTCTGGCTGTTGCAGCTGTCCCACACCCAGTACCAGAAGAGGTACGCGCCGTACATGGCAACCAGAGCGAAGCGGTTCCAGCGGTAGGTGGCGGGATCGTGGTTAGCCAGGTAAAGGGTGCAGTGGCAGTACGACAGAGGGACACCAGCAAGGTTCCAGAAGATGAGCATGAAACCCCACTTCTCATAGTACATGTCCCTATTCTTCTGTCAGCTTAACGGTCCTATTTAGATTAATAAAATAAAGTAACTATATTCTTACCAGGTAGTGATGATAAGCTCCTCGCCCTTGGCGCAAGCGTTGGCATAAAGGTAGTGCGCCATAACAAGGAACATGACCTCGCCAGAGACATAGCCATATTGCTCGTACTGACGTGCAGCCGCTCCGAGACTGAGAATCAGCAGGAAGTACCAGGGCATGCGAACCTCGAAAAACATCTTGAAATCAAGGATGCCAAACATGCGGGGGTTAAGCTCAGCACCCATGAAGAAGTCATAAATGGGGTAGCCGGTCATGCGGTGCTGCTTGCCTCTCCACAGAGCAGAGAAGTAAGCGATGAAGCTGACAATGAAGCCGCTGCAGATGGCAACCGACAGGAGAGGGCCGAACTCATCGAGAGCCGTGTAGATGGGCCAGATGCCAGAGAAGTGCAGGGCGGCAAAGACGGCGAGGGTCGTGTACAAGCTGACAAAGGCGTTGCAGAAATAGTCGAGCTGCTTGCCGCCTTCGTGAGCAAGAGGCTTGCCCTTGCCCCAGACACCAGGAAGAAGGCAGTAGCATGCACCCTCAAAGATCAGGTAGCTCCAGTACCATACCCATGCCTTGGTGTGAGGAAACGCGCGCGTGTAGACGATGTTGGCCAAATGAAGGCCGAAATCAGCCCAGCTTTCACCAGGAGCGCGGGATGGGAACTTGCCACCATAAAACGTAGTGCCAATCCACATGTACCACATGAGCATTGGGAAGAAGGTCATCATGCACAGCGTGCCTACTGAACCGCCGAATTCGAACTCGCCCGAGTAGTCGACCTTGGGGTCCTGGCCGGCTCTCCAGCCGTCTATCGCCTTCTCTTCGGCGGATGTTCCGTTGGCGTGTCCGTTGGCATGTCCGTTGGTATGGCCATTGGCATGTCCGTTGGTGTGTCCATTCGCCTGTCCATTTGTATATCCGTTGGCCTTGCCATTAGCGTGGCCATTGGTGTAGCCATTGGCATGGCCGTTGGCGTTGCCGTTGGAGTGTCCGTTGGCGTGGCCATTGCTGTAGCCGTTGGCAGTGCCATTGGCAACAGGCTTGAGATCCTCCTCCTCGTCTAGGTTCTCGATGAACTTGGCCGTGCGGCGGCGTGTAATCTTGCGAGGGCTGGCAGTCTCAGCGATAGATGCAGAATCCTCAGCGTCTGAGGCACCGGGAGCCTGTGAGGCTTGGCGGGTGCGCGAAGATCGCTTTGGGGTCTCGACCAAGCCGTCGAAGAGCTCCTTTTTCCTAGGTGGGGATTAGCACATTGGTCTTAAGGAGCAGCAACGCGGGCATATTGAGATATTCAAGGCTGGGTACCCAGAAACCAGTGATTGAACATTGATCACCGGATACCTAACAACTCGCTCGGTATATCCTGTTCGTTTTACACTTACCTAGGAGTCTGCCGCAGTGAATATCGGGTCGCCATGGCGATAATGGATATATCGAGCTACCAAGTAGCCCTTCTGTCAAGAACTGGTCGCACGTTTCAAAGGGAAGAATTGCGCTGGCGAGCCTGCGGATCGAGAGAGGCTCGCTTAATATTCGAAGCCGCGGATGCTTCGCGCTTCGGCAACGGTAGCTCTTCCGGATCCGAAGGGCGATAGGAGGAGAGTTGGGAGCAGAAAAGGCAGAAAAATTACGAGCAGGTCGCGCCGCGCTGAAGAAGCCAGAGCTGGGGCACTTTTTGGGAATCTGGGATGTAACGCCATTGGCTGTTGGCCGACCAGGGTGCCCTTAAGCGGCGGCCTGCGATTTCAGGGGTAGGCGATGCGCAAAGTACCCAGGCAGCCAAATCATGTGAATGGGTACCTATTTCATTTAGACCCAGAACCACAATACGCGGGAATTCGTTAGCGTCGACATGAGTGCGTATTCGTATAAGATTGCGGCTCGCAACGGGCTCGTACTCTTATTAACTTTGCTAGCTTCCGTATTAACTTCCACCGCTGCTATTAATATCACTGCGGCGCGATCCCGATGCGATCCGATTGCCTAGATTTGATACCTGGGGTTGCCATACTTGTATTCAAGTACTACCTCCAGGAATCAACGACAGAGAGCTTCGAGCGCCATTCGATTGAGGTCGATCCTAGCATCATCCGGCCGGCCAATGAATGGCGATCTTGCCAGCAATGATGCGCAACCTGCAGCTCGTCGCGTGGACTACTGCAGAATGGTAGCACTACATGTCATTGGCTGGGTGGGATGAGAAATTGAATGTCTTTCATTCGTTACAGCGTTGCGTCCTACCCTGCACCTGGCGATACGAGGCGTTTCCCCTTTATTCAGACCAGAAGATACTCTCGTCTAAAAGTAATGAGTACTTATCTAGATACATGTAGTTTTAACCAGATTATTGAATTGATGCCGAGCGAGGTACCGTTGACAAAATCAGAGTGGTAAAGTCATAATGCCCATACAGCGCCTCACGAGACGGACAAGTACCTATTACATGGTCTACTTACTACTACTAGGTAATTCAATGAGGCGGCTGACATAAAGCCTCTTGCGAGGCACAAGGCGTCTTCTTCTTTGTCATAATTGAAAGTTGGATGTATTCGTTAGAGGCTTTATGTTGATGATCTCGTCACTGCATGTACTCAAGTGTTAAAGGCGTAAATGGTAAAGTTTTATCCCATGACTGCCGCCACACAAAGTCTCAATATATGCACATGTGATCAAACTCCGGCCTGTAGGCGAGGCATGTAACTTAGGAAAACTAAATCGTGAAAAAAGCACCTTGCGACCCGTCCCAATGTACCCATCACACTTCACCCCACGGGAGAGTTTCAATAGGGCTAACGTACCTCGGTATATAATAGATTCGCCGACGTTAGCACCTTATATCTGCTTTTATCTTAATGCTCGTCTTGAAACTGAAATTCTCAGGACGAATGGAAACTCACGTAAAAAGTACGAAAGTGATGACGAGTTATGAATGTAAAGAGAAGATAGATTCCGCTAAGAATTTTTCATATGCCGCGCAAAGAAAGGAAGCGCTTTAGACCGTAATCCAGGAAATATTCAGAAGGAAACCCCGCAATTCTGTCTGACACCCTTTTGCTTCCAAGACTACAGTTATCATTTTCGAGACCTTTTTTCGCCTGTCTTATTGCAAGCCATTCAAGATGTCGGAGAGACATAGTACAATTACCCCCAGTACTCGAGAGCCTGACATGGATTGCTCGGGACATAGTTCGTCTAATGATACTAAGAGAAATCGTACGTCCAAGGTTCTGTGGCTGAGCTTCTTGTACGGCTGTTTGCAAGGAATGGCAGGCTGTTATCGAACCAAAGAACTTCCACCGATTAACGTTACGGAAATTCCGTATACCAACATTCGAGCATATAATGATTCGTCCAAGAGGATTTATTCAGCACATACGCCTTGACATAGAGCTCTATCAATATACATGCAACCGTTGTGAAAAGCACATGCCATAGTTTGACATTACGAGACATAGTCTCGCGTTTGGGAGGCTTTTGCTGAACTTGTTTTCTGTCCTCCACTGTTGGCAGTCTATCAGCCCTCTGACACTGGAACTGAATGCCTATTCTCCTAGTGACTCGGAGTATTGGTTCAAAATTGATCGGTTTGGGCTTGGAAATGAAGATAATGAAGATAATGAAGATTTAATCCTGCAGAAAGATGGTCCCGCCAGATGGCACGACCCTAGGCATGGCTGGGTCGATGGCCGACAAGTCGAGGTTCCTGGCAAGTCAGCTATATTGCGACTGTTTGCTCCATTAAATGTTCTTCAATCCAAAAATTGTTCAACAAGTCCATTCAGTTACAGGGCTTGTGCTACGTCGACAACTGCGACGCCAAATATCTCCGCAATGTCTAGGGCACTTATTGAAGCACCTCCCTCATTTAGCAACCTTAATCTACGAGCCATGGCGAGTTTGGCAGCGCGAGGGGAGGGCCTAGTGGTATCAAGGTATGTTGCCGTCTTTCCATTCTAGTCAATGATGTTGTACTAACTACCTTGACATATTTGGCCTACACAATTCAGCACACTATATCGCCTCAACTTAAAAGAGAATCAGTCTTTGAAGATTCCAATGACTAGCTTGCGTTGGCTTTGGACAACAATACAGAGGATCTAATCCAGGTAGAAACTGGCCCTGCTGCATGCCCCTTGTTGGCTACAGCCTTCGCCTCGAAAAGCCATGAGCTAGAACATCTTTCTCTTTCATATATACCTAGTCGATGGCCAGCAATTTTTCAACGCTTTCCAACCATTGAATACCTGGCATCACCTGCAATCAGTCGCGTTAACATTATCCGTTCTAAAGGAGACAGCTCCTTTGGAACCAATCTCTACATTATTACGAGATGCTAGCCTAGCTGCGTCAAGGATGCCGCAGTTGGAAAACTTAGTTATTTGGAACTATCAACATGGGGAAGTAGGGGCAGTCATATATCACAGGGACAAGGCTGCGCGGCAAGCTACACTAACATGGCGAGGCACATGGGATCTTGATTTCGGCCGTGAAGTGGTTGAATCTTGGAAGAAGGTTGATCCCGATTGTTGGCTGCGAGTCGAGAAGGAAATAGTGGTGGGCGCGTTCAATTCTCATGGCGATGCCGTTTGCCGTTTGCATCTGCCAGTCAGAGTCATTGATCCCGTATCACTGCGGCAGATATGCCAGGAGGGGATGGTGCAAGGAATCGTCTGAGATTCTGCGTCTTGCTCAATTGCCTACATGTACCTATGTAGGGAGGCGTGGCGAAGTTGGATATAACTGTAGTAAATGTAACAGGTAAAGATATGTATACATTGGTTAAAGTGAATTCTTATAGAGTTCAAAGGAGGTATATATGCCTCAACTCCTATACGCATGGACGCTCGTCAACTCTATTACAATCTGCAGTCCCACTTACACTCACCTCTAGGTTGGTATAGGAGAGTAAGGGGCGCCCGTAGCGGGCACACGTGCCCACTAGCAGACGAGTGGCGCACCGCTGTATGGAGGCGGCGTAGCGCTGAGGAAGGCCAACGTATCTGCAAATTGCCTTAATCGATAACACCCTTTTGGCTCCCCTGCCCCCAACCTCGACTAACAGGGAGCTTGGTCATTCGGTCATTGTCACCACCTTCTCTGAAGGTTGCGCGAAAGCTAAACCATTCTCTTTCCCACGTGAAGGAATCGCGGGTGCTTGAGGGTTTGCCAATTGTCCCTTGCTCGACAGCAATCAATCCTGCACATCACATGCCTTGAAAATATTTGTTTTGTCGGTCTGTTTAATTTTAATGTGAAGAACGGTGCCTTTGGTTGTCCCTCCCTTTTCGCCTCGGTCACTGCGGCAGCTGCCAAGTCGCGTGCAAAAACTCCAACCACTCTTGATATTCATCCTTTTCTCTCCGACGTCGAACCGTAAACTGTTGGCAAATTCATCATGACGCACGAACGGTTAGACGAGTCCGTCTCGCCAATGACGAGAACCCCCAACCATCCCTCCCCGGCCAACGTCGAAGCGCAGTCTCAGTTCCAGCCACCAAAGTCGAATGGCCTGCTTGCTCCGACCCCCAATATATCACAACAACAAGTGGGCGCAGAAGAAGGCCCCAAAAAAGCCTCAAAGGAAACACCAGAGGAAGCCCCGACAGAGGCCAAAGATTATTGGAATGATGGATTGAGCCATCCTGATCCCTCGCCATTAACTTCGGGGGATCTGAAGCCGGAATCCGAGGCTCAAGAAGCAACGCCACATGAACAGCAGCCTGCACCCGCCAAAAGTATTCCGGAACCTTTGCAATTGGATGCAGGGCGTAGCATTCAGTTTGCCCAGCCTGATTTCCACGAACCTCCCCTTCATCCCCCGGTGGCGATTCCATTGGAGGAGCCAGATACACCACGCTCTCGAACGAGATTCATGTCCAAGATCAAGGCTTTCGCAGCCAATACAGGCTCACAGACCCCGAAATCACTAAACGGGCCAACTTTTCCATCTGAATTCGGCACACGATCGTTTCCCAACTCTCCTACTGTGTCTAGAGTTACCACTCGAGTTCCGGAAGCCGTCCACGAAGAACAATCTGATGCCGATGCCGATGTCGAAACTGCAGATGAAGCTGCCATACCCGACGCTGTCAAGAAGAACAAGAAAAAAAGCCGGCGCTTTAAGAAAGGCTCCATATCTAATTTTCCAAATCCGAGCCGATTCCCAGCCGATCTGGATGCACTAAGCACATATGATCGCCTGCTCAGACGCCGAGCAAGCATGCCTGATACGACGCAACATGACCATGCTGCATCCGATGGCGATATTCGTGATATTCCCAGACGTAAGCCATTTCGCAGAGGATATTCCATGATGAACACCACCATGAGTCCTCCAGATGAAGAAGACATGGAAGACCTGGAAAACTCCACTGCTGTTGGACGACGTACGGGCCATTTGCGCCGCATTACTGTCTTTGGCGGAGGCGGCTTGTCTGATGGAGATGCATTGACCCCTAGGAAGCACTTCTTCAACTCGGAAAGAGCAGAAAGGGCCTCGAGCTACGGTGTCAATAAATGGAAGCGAGTCAAAAGCACGCTGAAGCTCCTTCGACAAAAGAAGGATGACCGCTTCGATTATTACAAATCTGCAGAACTCATGGCTGAGCTGAGAGCCGGTGCGCCTGCAGTGCTGATGCTCGCTAGTATGATTCAGCGAGACGAACACGGGAACAAAAGAATACCAGTTCTACTGGAGCAACTGAAGCTGAAAATTAAGGATAGCTCGCCCATGCCGGATGATGACAAAGAGCGCCACTGGATATTTACAATTGAATTGGAATATGGCAGTGGACCGAGTCGGATGCAATGGCTAGTTGTCCGAACCATCAGGGACATCTATAACCTGCACTTTCGGTACAAGTTTGCTCTGAATAACGATAAATACATGCTTGGACGTTTGGATCTTGGTGCTCGCCTAAAACAGCCCAAGTTTCCCTACTCGGCATTCCCGTATCTTCGTGGTGCTCGCGACAAAGGAGATGAAAGCGACGAAGATGACCAGGCCAGTGGCCGCGGCGAGGAGACGGCTGCTGAGATGACGGCTGCTGAGGACCATGGCGACGGACCGCATCAACACTCGAGAAAGAAATCTCGCGGCAATTTCCTCGCAGGTATGAGACGAAGATCTACTGGCTTCACTGACGCTGGTGAGCTGTCTACGGCGGAAGGCGCTGGCATTGATAAGGAGATTCGTAGACAGAAGTATGTGGAAAAACAGAGGCGCATTCTCGAAAAGTACCTCTCCGAGATGATTCGATGGCTCATGTTCAGAGCTGATAGCAATCGCCTGTGTCGATTTCTCGAGCTGTCAGCTTTGGGAGTTCGTCTAGCTGCTGAAGGAAGCTATCACGGCAAAGAAGGCTTTCTTCATCTTCAAATGTCCAAAGGCCTCGACTTCCGTCGCGTGCTACAACCAGCCAAAGTCATTGCTCGACACAGCCGGAAATGGTTCCTTGTCAGGCAGAGCTACATTGTGTGCGTCGAGTCACCGGAGAATATGAACATCTTTGATGTCTATCTTGTCGATACCAAATTCAGTATCGCTTCTAAGAGGAAGGCACTGAAGAAAATTGGCTCCAAGAAGAAGCAGGCTGAGATCGATTTGACCATGGAGCATGAACATTCCGCGGAGAAGCACCACACGCTTACGGTGCGCACTTCGGACCGCAAAATACGGCTGTTCTCACGTTACCAGTCGGTGATGCGACAATTCGAAGATTCCATCAACGAAATGCTGAAACAGACGCCCTGGTTTGAGAAGAAGAGGTTTGATAGTTTCGCCCCCGTTCGGTCTGGCGTATTTGCGCAATGGCTGGTCGATGGTCGCGACTACATGTGGAATGTATCGAGAGCAATCAACATGGCGAAAGACGTCATCTATATTCACGATTGGTGGCTGAGCCCTGAGCTCTATATGCGGCGCCCTGCTTGCATTAGCCAGAAATGGCGGCTGGATCGGCTGCTCCAGAAGAAGGCGAAAGAGGGCGTGAAAGTATTTGTGATTATCTATCGAAATGTGGAAGCTGCCATTCCCATCGATTCCGAGTACACCAAATTCTCGCTTCTTAACCTCCATCCAAATATCTTTGTCCAGCGGTCTCCGAACCAGTTCAAGAAGAATCAATTTTTCTTCGCGCACCACGAAAAAATCTGCATTGTTGATCACGATGTGGCATTTCTCGGTGGTATAGACCTCTGCTTTGGTCGCTGGGATAGCCCGCAGCATCCGATCGTTGACGACAAGCCAACCGGATTTGAGCCGTCCGAGATGCCCAAAGACTCTGAGCATGTACAACTGTTCCCGGGAAAGGACTACTCGAACCCGAGAGTTCAAGACTTTTTCAATCTCAACGAACCGTATGAAGAAATGTACGACCGGGGCAAGGTTCCTAGAATGCCTTGGCATGATGTTTCCATGCAAGTCGTTGGACAACCCGCTCGAGACTTGACTCGCCATTTCGTTCAGCGTTGGAATTATCTCCGCCGAGGCCGAAAACCAACTAGGCCCCTGCCGTTCCTGTTACCGCCCCCTGATGCGAAATTCGAGGATCTCGAGGCCCTTGGATTGACTGGTACTTGCGAAGTTCAAATGCTCCGGTCTGCATCCAACTGGTCGTTGGGCATAGACGAAACCGAGCATAGCATCCAGAATGCCTACATCCATTTGATCGAGGAGTCTGATCATTTTGTCTACATTGAGAACCAGTTCTTCATTACAAGCACCGAGGCCTACGGAACCAAGATTGTCAACCGTATTGGAGATGCTCTGGTTGAACGCATCATTCGTGCTCACCAAAATGATGAAGACTGGCGAGCTGTCATCATTATACCTCTCATGCCGGGATTTCAAAACACCGTTGATGAGCAGGAAGGCACTAGCGTTCGACTGATTGTCATGTGCCAATATCGGAGTATCTGCCGTGGAGAACACTCGATTTTTGGGCGTCTTCGTGCCGCGGGGATTGAACCCGAGGATTATATCAGCTTTTTCTCTCTTCGACAGTGGGGAATGATGGGTAATGATGTCCTTGTTACCGAGCAGCTTTATATCCATGCCAAGACCATTGTTGTAGACGATCGAGTTGCGCTGATTGGTTCTGCAAACATCAACGAACGTTCGCTGGTTGGCTCCAGAGACTCTGAGGTGGCCGCCATCGTTCGTGATACTGATATGATATCGTCTACCATGGCGGGCAAGCCATATCAAGTTGGCCGATTTGCTCACACTCTTCGTATGAGACTCATGCGAGAGCATCTTGGCCTTGATGTTGATGAAATCTTGGAACAAGAGCGAGAAGAAGAGGTAAACGAAGCTCTCTTTGAACAAGATATGGATGCTATATACGAAGAAGATGCGACACCTGACGCTGATGCGTCCAGCACTAGTTCTAGCGTGGCCAAGAGTCCACGAGCGCCTGTGAACCCCATTCGTTTGCCCAGTTTCAACCATGACCTTGACCTCGCGGCAGCAGAGGCCTGCCTAGATCTTGACGATTCTTCGTCGAAAGGAAAAGAGACTGAGACCGACCCTCGTGTTGAAGACAAGGAACATCAGCTAGATTTATCAGGATACGGTCCGGATCACTGGAAGTCGGCAGAACAGCAAGGCGTCGATGAAGGCCGAGATTCAGTTGTCGTCGAAGGCCGAGAGGTTCTCTTGCACGATGGGAAGCGAATTGCGGAAATGGCCCAGCCTCCCTTGTCCCCTCCCTCTTCGCGTCGTCAGCAGAATGCGCACCAAGAGCCTGGCGATAAGCCTGGCACCCCTCCTGCACCCCCATCCCCTATTAGCAGGCACGAGGCGATGAAGAGTGATCTCTCAGGTCTGGGTACGGGTGCGCCAGCCGTTCCATTGCCAGTGCTTGATGATGCTAGCATTGGTGGTCCTGCCGTTCACGCTGATTCTAAAGCAGGCCGTCAATCCAACGGAGCTTTTCATCCGATGGCAGCAGATATCCAAGCTGCTTCCATCGATAAAGACTGCATGCGAGATCCATTGGATTCTCGCTTTGTGGATGAAATTTGGAATCGGGCTGCGCGCAATAACACAGTGCTCTACCGGAGAGTATTCCGCTGCATGCCTGATTCCAAAGTTGGTACCTGGGCCGAATACCGCGAATATATGGATTACGGTGTGAAATTCCGCGCCAGCATGGAGCCAAAATCTACCGGCGACGAGACTGAACCTCGTCGTGACGAAGCAGCTGTAAAGACGGAAGATCAGCCCAAGATTCAACTGCCCGAGCCTGAAGGCGATGACGCAAACGGCAAGCCGGTTTCTCGTGGCAGCAGCGGAGAGGACTCAGCTCTTCGCTCCCCGCCTGTTGATGGAACGACGACAGAAAACCAAAGCTCGTTGGAGCCGCCTTCACCTGTTTATGCTCAAGGGGACGTGCCATTCCCCACCATGGACACTTCATCTTCTTCGAAGCCAGTTTCGCGAAGCAAAAGCCGAGACCGTAGGCCAAATTTCTCAACGCTGGACAAGCCGTCTTCCAAGGACACTAATGCTGCTCCTCCCCTGGCGCCGGCAACAGCGACGGCCACTGGCGGAACAGTCAAGCGCCGACGCCGAGCCACTACCAAGGGCAGCCGGCGCGGACTCTTGATTGAGGAGATGCCTACGCGTGGCGAGGCCGAGCAGCTTTTGGGCTTGGTCCAAGGAAACGTGGTCGAGTTCCCATATGACTGGCTACTTACAGAAGAGCACAACGGGAACTGGGGCTACCAGGTGGATGGAGTGGCACCTATTGCCATTTAGTAAGTGCCATGTCTCAATGATGATTATAGTTGAACAACTCAAGGCTAACCATAATCACAGCAATTAACCAATCTTTCTTTGGTGTATCATTTTTTTTTTTTTTAACTTTTTGGGCCGGCGCAAGGAGTCATGCAAGGAGTAGGTGTTTTCCGATGCATTTACAATGGGATAGAGACGTTATTGCATACAACATTAAGGCGGTCATCGCACAAATCGAGGTCCGGAAATCATTCTGCCATAGCATCGCCTTTTCTATTTTTCTTTAGATACTCAAAAAAGCATGGCGACTTGCTTCAATTGGTTTCGTATAAGCTACTGTAATGAACTCACACATATTTAATAATACATGGTCATGTATATATATATACGTTTTACATGTGTCCCACACCATGTTACGCTAAGTGTATATCCAGATTATTTTTCAAAAGGCCTCAAGTTTCATTTAAACCTTTTCGCTCACCCATATCGCCCCACGGCAGCCAGCTCTGATGACGTTGGTTAGTAGCCAGTGGGGCTCTGCTTTTCTGGCATCATTATCCACAGCGTGGTCCAGGTGTTCGAGCTCTTCGTCTCGTATCGTTCGCAGAGTGTCCACCAACTGCTTAATCTCACCACCAACATCGTATCCTTGCGCCTCCCAGCTAGAGATCATCTCCAGGATGGAACGGATTTGTTCGTTGTAATGGTTTCCTATTTCGGTCTCGACGGCCTCGGTACAGGCCATGGCCGCCTCTCGGCCCAAAATTGCGGTTGACCAGCCAAGGCCGCTGGCCAGGACGGACCATAGCGGGTAGAGGGCCGTGGGGCGGACGCGGTGTTTGTGGATGAGGCTGTTGAAGGTTGAGAAATGGACGGCTTCTTGGTCGTACATGTGAGCCATGAGAGGGCGGAGGTGAGGGTGTTTGCGGACGACGATGGGGGTTTGGGCGGAGTAGATGAGTGTTGCGGCGAGTTCGCCGGCTTGGTTGACTCGAAGCTGATCAGATGTTGGTTAGCCGGGTTGCCCATGATTGTGTAGGTGGCGAGGCCGCTTACAGCAGAGGAGAGAAAGTCGCGCTGCTCTTGAGTGAGAGGCTTGAGCTTCTTGGGAGAGCTTGAGCTTGAAGGCTCGGAGGTTGATGATGCCGTGGTGGGAGCTCGGAGGAGGACGCTGGTAGACAGAGGGCGAGTTGCAGGTAGAAAGTGTCTACCAATGACACCAGCCTGTCTGGCGAGGCATCGTGTTGGGGCCATGTTCATCTGAGAGCAGCTAGAAGGACAGAATATATGAAGATTGCCAGTCCAGGCTCATCAACCTCATCGCCCACGCCGGTTTCCGTATCACGGCATAGCGACTTTTAGAACTCGGCCCATGCAGGCATGACGCAGAATATCCTACGGGGACCTGCATGCGGCAGCGCTGCCGATTGGCCAGAGACGTCGTTGTTACGGACAAACGCTTTTCCGCCACCAGCGCCGGAGACTTGGCTACGGGGCGTCGCGTTAATTGCCGGGCAGAAGTGCAATAGCGAGCAGCTTTAGTGCTGCGGCTCAGGCGCTCGAGGCTTTCTTCCCTCCTTTGCTCTTCAATTCGCTGTGCTTAATCCCTCTTCTTCGCTGGTCCCTCAGTTGACAGACACGACAATTGAATCGACCAACGGATTTTCTGCTCTGAGGTCTTTCTTGCCCCTCCTGACACCGCCGTATCACATCTTACTACCGGCTCGAGACGAGAATCGCTGTCGCGTTTGCTCCTTTGGACTCCCCTCCCAACATTTGCGACATCGTTGGGCCTTTTCTCGCCACCGCTCTGCAAAACAACCCCCTGAACAGCATATTTCGGCCATCGAGGACTGCATCTACACCAGATTTCCATCATGGCTGACATCGACGACGAACTCCTGGCCCTTGCGGGCGGTGATTCGGACGACGAGGGATCCGTGGTCGCCAGCAGAGAGGCATCGGCGTCGCCGCCACCAGCCTCAGAAGACGAGACGCCTCAATCACCAGAAACGAAACCAAAGCGGCGGTCAAAACAGGATGAGTCGGAAGATGAAGGCGAGGCGTAAGTCAATAGAATCATCTCTTATTGTGCTGCCGAGCTGCAGGAGGGCCAAATGCGGAACAATAGCTTCATGGCACTTCAGCTCTTGCTCACAATGGCAGCACGCCCCTTTCTCTCATCAGCCACCGGACGGTTATTAACGTACAATTTCTTGTGTTTTCCTCCCATCTAGATCTGATGCGCCATCACACAACTCTCTTGAATCAGCTTCGATGGATGAATCCGACTCCGATGCAGAGCCCAGTCGCGGCGCGGGCCGCTCTGCTGGTATCGCGGGTGCTGGCGGCGACGACAAGTACCCCGTTGACGGCATGTTTATCAGCGAGGCCGAAAAGGCTGAGATCATGGCCATGCGAGAAGTAGAGCGAGAGCAGATCATCGCGGATCGAGTCTCTGAGATAGAACGTCAGCGACAAAACCGCCTTTTGCGACAAATGGTCAACAACGTCGAGATTGAGGAGCGCAAACAAGTCAAGAAGAAGCGCAGCGCTGATCCGGCCGAACTCGAGGACGGCACACGCAAGGCTGCAAGGACGAGGACAGGCAAGGGCAGCGAATCAGCGATTGATTCCTTCCGCAGGGCGCGCGCTGAGAAGCAGAGACGGCAGGAGGATCGGGAGAGGCGGAGGGACGGCCTATCGCCGCGTGGTCGCGAGTCAAGAGAGCCAGAGGAGAGTGACGATGATGATTTTGGACAGACCCATCGTTCGCCTGAGAAGGCTGCTTCCCGAGAGCTGCCGCTACCAGAGCTTCGTGATTTCGAGAGAGTTCGTCTCGGCAGAAACGAGTTTGCGCAGGTTTGCTCTACTCCTGGCTTTGAAGCGGCCATTACGGGATGCTATATCCGTATCGCTCTTGGTGCCCATCCTGAAACGGGCGTCGAGCAGTATCGACTGGCTCTGATCAAGGGTATGCATTGCCTAATTACTAAATATGGTAGCTTATCTCATGTGCTAACGATGGAACAGGATTTACAACCAGCAGACCTTACGCTCTGAATGGTCCCCAGGGCTCATTTGTAACGGACCAATATGTCAAGGCCGCTCATGGCAAGGCTATCAAGGAGTTTCCTTTCATTGCAGCGTCTGGCGGGTCAATTACAGAGGTAATATTATCATTCTTCCTTTCGGCAATCTGCCCCACGGTCAACAGATGGATATACTGACTGATTTGATTCAACAGAGCGAACTGAATCGATACAAGGTCACTTGCCACAATGACGGCGTTACACTGCCTACCAAAGCTTTCCTCATGGACAAAATTGATGATATTAATGGACTGATTAACCACAAGTGGACAAATGAGGAGATCAAGGCTAGAGTTGCGAAGCGCAATGAATTCCGAAAGCGGTTTGACCCATCGGAACGCCAGCGGGTTGCTAATCTTCTCGAGGAGGCGATCCAAGAAGGCGACGACCAAAAAGTGGAAGAGCTACAAGAGGAATTGGATAAGCTAGGCAGAGAGCGCCTCGCCTTCAAAACAAGCCTGGGGGCATCAAAGAATCCAGAGGCCACCAAGGCTTCATCAGAACAAGACAGGCTAGCGGAGCGTAACAGAGAGAACCGTCGACTCAACCAAGAAGCAGTCAGGAAGGCCCAATTGAAAGAAAAGGCCAAGGCTCGAGAAATCGAAATGGCTCTCAAGCGAGGAGAGGTGATTCAGGAAGACTACTCCCGACGACTTCGAACGAAAGCCAAGTTCGTCCACGACATCAACGAGAAGGTTGGCGAGAAGCCGGAGGCTCCCAAGGACGGCGCTGGTGCAGGCATCAACGGAACTCAGAGCCCTTCAGCATCGCAGGCCTTGCCACACCTGACAAAGCTGCAAGAGAAGCACTACTCGGAAACAAAGGGTCTGCCGACGATTCATAAGCCTATCATGGATGATGACGTGATTGGGGCATTGGATTTGGAGATTGATGTTGAGATCTGAGGCGCCCTTTACGTAAAGATATCTAATGTGTTTCTTTGCTCTTGCTCTTATTATCTCTTTTAAGTCTGCTTTTTCTACATTACTCTCTCTTTTCTTTTTCTCAATTAGACGTTGGCCAGAAATAGGAGAGAAGAGGGCGGCGGAAAAAAAAAAGAAAGACGGCATATTTGGAGTTGGACGGAATGGAATGATAACTTTTCTTGCAATACTTTGGATTAAGCAAGCAATGTGCTATGCACATGCATACATAAAAAAGAATGATTGGCTTTCAGTGATGGAATGAGAGGGGGCGCAAGGTATATAGACGAAAGTAATGCAGATGATATCCCAATGATTTAAAGGGAAAAGCTACCCAATACCCCAGTTATGTTACGGTCTTCCAGCTATAGCTCAACAAAGCAGTTGGTCTATATATCAAAGCGTACAACTAGCAAAAACCTTTAAAGTAGCAGCATCAGTGATATCAATACCGCCGAGGGCATCAACAGCATCAGTAGCCCACGCTATAGCTGGAGTACTGGTAACAGAATTGGGATGCTGGATAGCTTTTGCAATGTCAAGTGTATGATATTTCGTTATTCTGTGCGCTATCTATGTATCTGAGCCTTGATAGTCTGTCTAGCTGGTCATTAAAGATATAGAACAAAAAAAATATGAAAACGATGAAACAATTCATTTACGCCCGGACCCAAACCCAAACCAGTCCAATCCGCTTAAACAAGAGAAGAGATGATGGTAAACAAAGAGAAACAAAACAAAGACAATTCGCAGTCATTTATCCCTGGAAATTTCTAAAAAAGCTCACGTCAAACTTGTCCATCCTCCCCTGAAGCCGCCTGTACCAGAAGAAACTCGTGACGACGACATTGATAAAAAGCACGCCACAGGTGGTGCCGAGTTGGGACTTGAGGGAGCTGAGCATGGAGACGCTGCGATTCTGGCTATTGCGCTTTCTGGAGACGGCAGACGCAGAAGTGGATGGTGAGGGGATGCCGTCGAGGTCGTCTTCGACGCGGGAGCAGACTTGGAGGAAGAGTTGGGGGTTGTCGGTGATGACGCCGTCGATGAAGACGGTCGGTGCTGGCGCTGCTGATTTGTCGTCTGCCATGGAGGACAGGGAAGACGTAGAAGGAGAGGCAGGGAGAGCAGCCCGGTTCGAAGCAATGTTCTTGCGGATGCACCACTCCATCCACTTGTCGCTGTTGACGGTCCAGGCAAAGACGGGGCGGCCGGCCTTCTTGGCGTCGCGGAGGAACCAGCGGCCAAAGGGCCCGACGAGGAGGCCCTGGAACATGTTGAAGGCGAGGTTGGGGATGGGGAAGAAGTGGCGGGAGTAGAAGAGCGAGTTGGAGATGTGGGCGAGGGGGTAGCCGGGGAGGAATTCGAGGGCGGCTTTCATGAATGTGGCCTGGAGAATGTGTTTTTAGCTAATTGTATACCTTATAATTAAGATGGAGTGAGTGAATAACTTACGTTCCAGCAGCCGAGAATGATGCGTTCGTCCCATGGAGTGGCGGATGAGACTTCTGTGAGAGCGCAGGCTATGGCATGTAGCAGTTGTCCAGGCTTGTCGTCAATCTGAGCAGACGTTATGCTGTATTAGCGAATATTCTCTCATGTTTCTTGTGACGGTGCTCTCTTCTCTTACCTTGATATCTAGCAAAACCCAAATCTTTTCCGTCTCTGGTCCGGAGGTTAGATACTGGAGCAGGTCTACCAGCCTGGGCAGCGGCTCATATGGCTGCTTGGTCGTTCGCAGGCTGGAGAGATATGACCAAGTGCAGTCTTTGATGAGGAGGTCAACGCCGAAGCATCTCTTTAACGAGGGGTCCTAAAACAGTGTCAGTTTTTTGGTTGCCCATTTCATCCGGTTCCAACTCAAATACTCAATTCATGCATGAGGCTTGAGTTGTGTTTGGATGGACAACTTACATGTGACAGCACAACGACGCCGTCCTTGGAAAGATGCACATCCGTCTCCAACGCATGAGCTCCAATTTTAACAGCCGCCTCAAAAGCCGCCATGCTGTTCTCTGGAAAGTGGGATTTGAATCCGCGATGGGCAATGGTTTGCGGCATACGCCGTGAGGCATCCCGCGAGGATGCTATGGCCGAGGCCCATGTTGCCGCTGTTTTTATTTCAATGTTAGCTGAGATGAGCCCAAAAATGGGAAGTCATAAGGGATGAAGATGAGAATTGATGGCTCTCAGATTTGTCAAAGACCAGGTACATACCCTTTGGAACGGTGATGCCGCGGTGAAAAGGACTCATCAAGGGCTGCTTTTCCGCTGTACTCATGTTTCTTTCAGAAAGCAGATCCAAAATCTTCTATTCCGTCTAATCGTATCTCTTTTTTTCTGAATTCTTCTATCTCTACCGATGAGTTGGAGGGATGGAAAAACGAAAAACTCTCGGAGAATAGGCAAAAAAACAAAAAAGAGGCGGTGTTAGTAATAAAAGCCGTGCTTGCTTGTGATTTCGTCACGTTGGCTGCTCTATTTGGGCAATGGCGGATATAAGTGCAGACTGAAACTCCGCAGTCCGACACGTGCCTCGGTGTGTCGGTATGGACTTAATCACTGTATGATCTGCAATAACGAAGAGGAGTAAAAGAAGAGAAGAAGAAGAAATAGAAAGAAATGATTCTTCTCTTGCCTTTTGTATCTCATTTTTTTCTCTCAGCTAACATACAACTCACCACATGCATCTTGGCACGTATCTTATCGCAAAACAAGAACTGCTCCATACTGTTTTAACCTCGACAAGCATAAAGAGCCACAACATGAAGCCACCAGCCCTGCTCGTTTCCTTCGCATGACCCCTGAGCATGGCCCGGTGGTGCCTTGCGTGTCGCCACTTGACGAGATTTTTTTTTTCTTCTCTTCTCGTCATATCAGGGTCTTTGCTTTACGAGACTATCTACGGCTAGCTTATTAGTGGTGATAAGCACCTTGTTCCGGGCGGGAAGTGTAAAAATCGACAAGGCAACCAATCCACGTTTGCCATTCGCTGCTGCTATCAATAGAAAAAGGCGGCATTAAACCTTTTATGATTCCATACTAGCAACATTCGAACTGATAGCATACCTGGAAACTAAATGGCTCCATCCATGTTATCAATGACTCCCTGACAGCATCGCCTCGCCTCACCTCAAATAGTATCAGCTACCTACTAGTAGTACCTACTGCTACGTTACAGGGTCCAAACCATGGAACTAAAATCGCCCTTCGGCAGCACATGAACCCTGTATCTTTGCCCCTCTACAGCGGATAGAGCCCACTACGAGTCACCGAGTCTTTCCGCGCAAGCCCCGTGCCGCCGCCAAAAACCCGCAAAGGGTCCTCTCAACAATCGCCCTTGGGCAACGTGCTCGGCCCAGCACCAGAGATTTCTGATCGTGGCGGGCTGATGCGAGGCTCCGTCGTCTTAATCCCCATCCAGGCTAGAATGCGCGTATTCCCTTGTCTAGACAGCTGGAGCCATATAAATTACAAGGCTACAGGCAATGCCGTATCGCTGGTGGGTAGCCCGTTTGATATGCCGCAGCCTAGTGCTGCAAATGGTGCGGCGAGGCGATTCAGCCCAAGATAAGATGCAGTAACTCGATGCATTTACAAGGATGCCGGAGCGAAGAAAATTTTCATAAGTGTCATATTTTGCTGACCGTGATATCCAAAAAAAACTACAAGCTATGGAACATTTCATGTAATAAAAATAAATAAAGTAAACCATCCACATCACCATCCGTCCAATAAGCATGTAATCCCTCATACAACCCTCATACTATCCCCTGACAGCCCCTTGAAGCCGCTTTTGTGTCTTCCCAGTCATAGCCGAAAAGTTCAAAGAAAAAAAAAAGCCCTTACAAATCGCTCCAGCATGTGCGCCGTCCCAAAAATAAATCGAAACCGTTACATCGATAGGCCGCAAATTCACATCAAACAGGCATCTCATATCGCCACCACACCACAACGCCTTGAAGTCACGTCATAATTCACAAAGACAACCCGTGAAGCCCATTTGCTGCATATCCATCGCCGTGGTAGTTCCCCTGCAGCTGTTTCCCGTAGTCAATGCTGCCGAGACCCAGTCCCAGCTCCGAAGGTGACACTTCCTCTCCCGAACTGAGGCTCTCGTCGCTCATGCTAAGCACGCTCTGCGGCGGCGCAGGGTTGTTTCCGAACTCATCAATGTTAAAGTTGCTGAGGTCCCATGCATCCGGTGACCATTCACTGCTAGTCGAGTTCCCTGTCATCGCAGCTTCGATGGTGACGCCTCCGTAGATAACGTCATACACATTGTTCATCCCGCTGTCCATGGATCCAACCAATGCCTCCCAGTCAGCGCCTGATAAATTGTTGGTTTTGGCCACAGACTGTGCGTTGTTCATGTAGCCTTGGCCGCCGTTCTGCATTCCCATGGGCTGTCCCTGCATGTTGGTAGGAGGGGAGCCAGCGTGCTTGGCCGTGAACGAAGCGTCGTTGAGCGAGAGATAATCCAGATTCTGTCTTGCCTGAGCATTCGGAGAAAGCCTAGAGGCTCGCGATAATGAGGGCTGGCGATCCTGTCGTTGCTCGTCAAATGATTGACGGGAAGAGGGCTGCGGCCGGCCATCTACGCTGGAGCCCTGAACACTTGATATGCTACCCATCCAGCGCTTGTCTTGAGGGCGCGTCAAATCGGCCTCGCTTGCCGAAGCCTGGTAATGGGAGCCTAGGAGTGGTGAACTCTGCTTGGGGTAGCTTGTCGGGGGGGATGCGCGGCGGGAGCTGGCTGCCGTTGATGGCTTGCGGGCATGCTTGCTCATCGGTATCGGCCCCGAAGGATCGGTAACGGTGACAAGCACATTGGCGGCTCGTTCCAAATCCACGAACCCGGGTGACTGGTTCTTGCGCAGTGTCTTGAGGACGTCATTCACCAGCCGCTCATTTTCGCGCAACACCTTGCTGTCGCGTTTCAGATCAATGGTCTGATAAAGAAGAGTGAGAGCACACAAGGCCAAAAGATCGCATTTATTCATGCAGAAGGAGAATGACAAGTTACGCTCTTCGAGGAGCTCTGCAATTTGGATAATGTGCTTGCTGGATTCGCTGATGGTCATGAGTGCCGGTGCAGCCTTGGGCCCGAGGCTTGAGCCAACGGCTGGCCGATAAATCAGGGTACGGATATAGTAGTATGTGAGTGCCTATAGTAGAGCTTGTGAGTCATTTTGTACCAACAGTAACCATCATTGCATTCACACTTACCAACAAAGGTGATCGGCTGCTGGTGACATCTGTTGACGGCTTACCCTGAGCGAAATTGAGTCTCAGGTGAGCCGGCAACTCGTCATACCAGGCATCTAATTCGGCCTCAAAGGCGCCCATTTGCTGGAGGGAGAGATCGTAGTTGGTCGCCGCAGGATAGTTTCTATCTAGGACACGAGCGAGAATTCGCGTCGCCCGGAAAAGAGCAAGAGCGCTAGAAATGCGAGTATATTCTCCGGGCAGTGTGGGTTGGAAGCCCTTCTCTGTGACGTATTCGTCATCAGTGTCAGACGGATATTCTGCCTGAACATCCTCTTCCTTCAGCATCTTGGGAAGACCAGTAATGGCCGCTGTCATGGTATCCAGGGCGTACAGCGTCCAGAAGACCTTCTTTCTGGTCTCAAGAGTCAAGGCACCAAAGGAAAATCGCTTTTGGCTTTGATGAAGACCCAGTCGATGAGACAAGCCCACAGCGACACACTTGTAGTGCTGAAGGCGACGATAGTCGGCGCGGACGGTGCAGTACAGAAGAGCCAACACGAGGCACTGTAATGTGCTCATGGTGTTTTCCAGGATGAGAGAATCAAGGGCCTTTGTCCATTGGTATTCGCAAGCAGCAACTTGCTGGAGGTCTGGAGCCTCGGACGAGAGGCCTGCAAGAGAAAAGACGAGGTAGAGCTGTGCAAGCTTGTAGTTGCCCTTGACTCTTTCCGGGTCATTGACAAACTCCTCGTAGATGCGAAGAAAGGTAGGCTTGTGGAGAACAGGGAAGAGAGGGGCCCATTCTTGGAAGAAGACATTGACGCATCTATCCGAGAAGAGGCGAGGGGGGATTTTTGATGACTGATCTGACATCTTGGCAACCAGAGGAGTGCTGCCTTGAATGTGTAAGAAGGCATCAGGAGTGAAGTCACTGCATGGTTTGCCACTGTCTTGCATCTTTCGTTTGAGGGAGGCTATGTGGAAAGACGTTAGCTCAGAACTGAAATTTGAAACGATAAAATGGCATTGAAGATGCGTTGCTTGCGCATGTGCTTAGATACACATGAAGGTAACACAAATATGACATACCGATAAAGGCGCGTCCACTTGAGGAGCCCATAAAGTACGAATCAGAGTTCTCGACACCCAAAAGGAGTTGTGTAGCTTGTACCCTGAAGGTATCTTCCTTCATAGTGGGTGACTCTTTCGGGCCATCCGGTGACACCGGCGTGGCCATGGATGTGACTGAAGGCTTCCGTCGTGGGCCGCCGCTGATGTTTCCGTGCATCGTAGAGAGCATATCGATTTTCTCGTCCTTCTCATCCAGCAGATCCTTGAGCTCGCGGACCTCGCCCTCTAGCACACGGACCCGCTCCTCCAGAGACTCTGTATATCCGCGCGGGAATGCACGTCGGCTCAGCTTGTCGCTGGTGCGGCACTCGAAGCCGACGGAAGAGCACTGTGAACATGTGGGACGAACGCCATCGCAGCGAATCTTTTTGCTCCTGCAGCGGTCGCAGGCCTGGGCGATTCGGCTCTGGGCGCTGCTGCCCACCTTGATGACTTTCATAGGCAGGATGCCCGGCATTGTGGCGGTTTGCGATCCGAGCGCTCGATTATAGAATGGGAAGAGAAGAAATGGAGATGTTGGTCGAGGCGTTTAAGTGAGAGCGAACGTGCTGACTGGGGCTTTCTTCGCCCACCAGCCGTGGTCGGCGCAACGTGCGTCTGGGATCGTCGAAGCAGCTTTGGATAAATTCCGGTTGGTCGCGGACACCTTCTTTCTTTCGGGAAACACGGCGAGTCAAAGTCGAAGTCACGATGAGGCTCTTGGTCCGGTCTTGCTCGATTCCTCGTCGTCAGCGTGAGACACGGAGAGAAGAATATTGTGGGGGGCGGAGAGGTGAAAGGAAAAGAAATGGAAGAGCGAAGACAGGAGCAGGCAGGTGGAGCCTAAAAGGGCAGAGCAGGGCGTGGCAGGCAATTAAATCCCGGGGAAGGGGATTGGACAGCGCCGCTAAGCAGAAAGCAGCGCGTTGAGGCTTCTGGGCCACAGGTGCTTGGCTCCCCGTAGCGCTCGTGGCCAGCACGCCGCAGGGTTGTTAGCGCTACAGGCACTAGAGCGGCAGCGGCCAGGACAGCGCTTTGGCAGCACGCTCCATCCAATCTGGAAATCTCCGTTCATCCACCTCGTCTACGTCCGCCTCCTATTACCCCCTCTGGTTCTCTTTGCTCGTTTGCATGAAAAAAAAAAAAAAAGAAATGCATCCAAAACTACTATGCAAGCTAATAGTAGACGCACCGCCGCGACTGGCCATCCCGGCCTCGCGGCTCCACCCCTCAGCGTTCTTTTCGTTGGGTCTGCTTGACGTAGTTTCTGCTTCTTCAATCCCTCGCTCGCTAGTGCGCCCCCTGTAGGCCACGAGATGTGAGCACCACTCACCAACCACCACCGGCTCTCTTCTCTTTAGCCACCGTGACGCCGCTGCTTGCACGGAGTACTTTGACTGTGAAGCATTTGCCATCGACCCATGGTGCTGGCAAGTGATTTGTTCCCTTTCGTTCTATTCCGGCAGATGTTTCGGTGACAATTGCTAACCTGCTTAGTCGTCCGCTTTACACTCCTGTGATGGAAAACGCCATGTTCCGCTACAGAGTAAGCAGGCCATCTGTCTTACTGCCGCTTGAAGGAAGAAGAGAACCCTAACCCATTATCGCGACATTTTAGCCCGGCCGCCGAATTGCAGAATACCCACCTCTGCCGCGAAAATGTTTTCTCGAGAGCGGGTTCGGTGTTTGATGCATGGGATCGGACCTGGCCTGGATACGATGTCAGAAATGCAACCCATTGCCCCAACAACAGCAACCAGCGCCAGCTGGGCCATCAACCGATATACTAGCACACACACGTCGTCTCTTTCGATGGCTTACCGCAGCGGCTTACTTGCACACGCAGGGCCCTCGGGCTCTAGACCAGCGTCCACATCCTGCCACAGAGCTAGCGCACAATTAAATCTCGACTTATGGCCTGATTTACCCCAGATTTCCCGCTGTTTGCCCCCCTAAGGTGCACATGGTGCGGGGTGGGAAAAGCCGGGGAGCAGCTCTTCCAAAACGCCTCTTGCAGACTCGTACTGTATGACACGGTTTGTCTGGCAGGGGAATGCTGCGGGCTTTGGCCGGTGACGCTCGTCCTCATCAGCCAATGCTTGGCTATCCTGTGCACTGTGGTCGGTACCGAGAAGTTTCAGTTCTTCTATTTTCTTGCGAAAGCGAAATTTCTTGCGAGAAAAAAGAATGGCTTCAGAGGCGTCTCAAGCGCCTCCTACTTCTTCGCCCCTTGGCAGCTGGCATGGAACCCATGACTATCTGTCTACGCAACGCCCAAACGGCAGTACCGGAATCGACAATGATCGGTTTACTATATCCCCGTCATACCGCGGACTTGCAGCAGACGTGGTCACTGACTGGCGAGTATTCAGCATGACAGCGGAAGGACGCCGGCATAGCCGGACCCTTGCCGAGATGCTGTCAGGTTTCTGCGATTCCGTGACTCGGGCATTGTAGGACATGGCCATGGTACGGAGTACACTGCTGCTGAAACAATGCCTCATGGATTGCATTTAGGCGGCGATGAGCCGTGTTTGGGAGGTACCAATTCGTCTCTACGTCCCTGCAGCCATCATCCAGCCTCTCCAGGGTCCGCCCTGGCTGAACCAACTCTCACCACCCATTCCTGAACTGCGCTACAACTCTGCAATTGCATTGATCCACAACTCACTGTGGCTCATTTAGCATCCATCGTGGTGCCTGTCGGCACATCTATTAGCCCTCCTGCCCATAATTAGTCCTCACATTCCCCAGCCTGTGCCGTATTCTGCGCCATAAATGAAGGCTAGTGGCATTCGTTTCATCGTCTTCCCCTTATCTTAAAGTTGGAAGCATAAGCCACACCCAAAGAACGTGTGTCTGGAAGAAAAAAGCTCAAAGTTTAAAGTTCGTCACTCCATGTCATACAGGTGGAACGAATGAGATGATCACGAGATCTGCTCCTGATTTGAGTACTGGCGAATAATACACGGAACGAATCAAAGCACCGGGTCAACTCTCATGTAAGAAGAGATTCTGCACGATCGAGTCTCGTCAATCTTTCAAGTGATGTCCAACTCGAACATATCACATGGATATCCTGCATATGAACCAACCATTGGACGTTTAACCCGCGTTTTAGTGCCATTTCTGTCAATAGTCTGAGCCCTAGCTCTTTCGTTATTCGAGTGGACTCGCGATACAGCGTCGACTCTGAACTGGCCCAAGCCATGGACAGCAACTGGCTTGGTCCGTCGTCTTGTCTAACACGACTCCAATATCGGGTCAAGCCGGCGCAAATGCACCTCCAGTCGTCGATCCCTACGCTAAGCCCAAGAAGAATCTGATCCTTGAGCGCTGCCCCGGCTTGTTCATCCCACGCCGCTTAGCCATTTCGGCTACTTAGCTAAAGTCGTCGTCCTCATTGGACGCCTGGTCAGACGCTTGCTCGTTTTGGGTATCTTCCATAGACCCGAGATATGTCACCACGCGAGCGTCCAGAAGCAGCCTCGCCTTCTGTGAATTGCGGTGGTTGCATTAGCATTTATCCAGACATGAGTTTTAGATTGCAGCGGCCCCGTCTGTGTCTTGTGTCTTGTTCAAGCATAGCTGTCTGCCGGACATCTAGCTTGACCCCGGACCGTCGGAATGTGGCGGACAATGGAAGCCATGCCGCAGTTGAAGACAATAAAAGGATAAAAGTCACTATGCTTACCTCGTTTTCTAGCGCTGCTGCCGCACCTTGCAAGATTTGAGCTTCAAGATCTCTCAGCTTCTCCGCCGCTAGCATGCACTCCACGCGGGGTTGATTTGCTGCCTGCGATTGCTCCGTTGCCCCGTACGAGATCTCGGCGGTGATTTTTTCTAGTTGCGCAGTAACCCGTTCCTCTAGCACAGACACAGCTCGGAGCTTAAATATTTGGCAAAGAGGGTGATCTTGGATGAGAGATTCGAATTCGTCGGTTTGCCCAGTGACATCTTCATCTTGCCAAAAAACCCTTAGTTCGCGAGCTCCCGACGTGTTTTCTTGCAGCACTCGGAACAAAAGGCCGTCTTCTTCATTTAGAATTAGTAGATACAGCAGCGGGCTGTGCCACCGGAAGTTTCCTTCCGTCAGAGATAGCCGCGCAATTGGTGGGCCTTTGTAGATGTGAAACTTGGCTTTCCCTAGGGGATCGTCGGGCAGGGCATCGAGATGCAGTACCAGCTCCTTTACACCGGACTCTTGGTCGATGAAGCCATAGCTGAACAGCATCTCGGCCGCTGACTTGGCTTCCCCATAAGAGATGGTGATCTCCTCCCCTGATGACACCCCAGATCCTGAGCTCGGGAGTAATACCACATCGCCCTCAGGGGTTTCGTCATAGCGTGCCAAGTATTTTGGCGAATGATTTGCCATATCCAGCCCCGGGACCATGGCGAGTCCGGCGTGGGGGAGCTCCAAGCATCTTGATCGGTACAAGGCATCTGCCAAGATCCAATCTTCCAGCATCCCTGATTCGCTCAAGAGATCATTCCAAAAGGGTAGCGTTGATGCCTTTTCGGAAAGCTCGTCGTATTCACGGGAAAGAACGGAGAGCTTTGCGTTTACCGAGGACTATGTTGATGACATGGGGGTTAGTAAAGGATTATGTAGCAGCTCCGTTTCACATGACAAAAGACACATCAGGTAGTTCCCAATGGAGAGAGAAGCCACTAGCTTCAGTGCTGTGGTAAACGAGCGGACATGATTACCTCAAGAGATGTGCCTTGTAAAAACTCTCTCTCCTCACTTGTCCACATGGTGGGAACGCTGATTGACCTGGGCAAGAACTTGATATACTCGGTCCATGGTGTTGAAGCACATCCCTTGCTACCTGAAGAGTTTCTTTTAGATAGAATGAGATGTGTTAGTAGATACAGCAGGATATCGCCCCTAGTGCTCTCTCTGGATATTAGCATCATTATCTATTTCGGAGCCCCGTCACCCGGAGGGCAGGTACATGTACTCACTTGGTGTCCAGCAACTTCAAGTAGCTGTCTGAAATGTTGATCAACTTTGGCATATGCCTCCACAGCCTCGGCAGATAGAACAAGATCTCGGGGTATTCGGATGATTGCTTCCGTGCTGGAGGAGTCGTCGCTCACGCCTGGAATATCCTTCTTGGCGACGAGGCCGAAGCCTTTGCCCTCAATGCTTCGTACCTCTGCGCTTTTGAATTCCACATCATTCAAGAGAGCCCAGGCCGGAAAAGCCTCAATTGGCAATTGAGGCGCTGACATGCTACAGTATTGAAATCAAATGATGTGAGAATGCAACCAGATATCAAAAGAATCAAGTATCGCCTTGTCGAATCATACGTTGTTGGAGGTGCATGCGAGCTCTTAGCATGTGCTAAGCAGCGGAAGTCCAAAGTCTATTAGAGTAAGCGGCCAAGGCGGGGCAGTACTGTTGGGAAAAAAGGACCTGCATTTTGGCATGGCTTACTGACATTCTCAAGTACTCTTTCTTAATCAGTACGAGGCACTAGCAGCTGCGTTTAATTCGGTACCTCAAACGACGTCGTCGCAGTGCGGCTCTCACAAGCGTCACCCACTCGGCCCAATTTTATTTTTATTTTCCAAGGTTCTGTTTTGCGACATCATTCCTCTTAGGCACACTCTAAGCATTCATAGAAGCATCTGTATCAACCTGTTTGCTACAACTTATTTTCTTGTATAATCATTTTTGCTTCTGCCTCTCTTCTCGCTCCCTCGATCGACTCGATAGTTCCACCCCGCCATGCCTCGCGATCCCCTCATTGGGCTTGTGGGCAAGCCTTCTGCCGGGAAGAGCAGCACGCTCAACAGCTTAACAGATGCTTCCTCCAAAGTTGGTCGGTAAAGTCCTGCTCTCTATATTGCTTTGGCCAAGAAAGACGGCGCACAGCTACATGATATGTCTGTCAGAGTTGCTGGCCATTGTACTAACATGGATTTCTGTAGGCAACTTCCCGTGAATAATCGCCCGATCACCCTATACCCGCCCACACAAGAGCTCGCGAAGCTGACTTGGACTTTTTTTGTTCTTGTGCGACAGATTTACCACCATTGATCCTCAGCGAGCGATAGGATACCTCCAGATCGACTGCGCATGCGCGCGCTTCAAGCTATCAGACAGATGCAAGCCCAACTACGGATCGTGCGATGAGGGTCGACGGTCAGTGCCCATCGAGCTTCTCGATGTAGCTGGACTGGTACCAGGCGCACACCAAGGCCGCGGCTTGGGCAATAAATTCTTGGACGACTTGCGACATGCCGATGCGCTGATTCACGTTGTCGATGCGTCCGGGACGGTCGACGCCGAGGGCAAAGAGACGAGAGGGTACGACCCCTCGGTAGATATCGCCTGGTTGCGAAGTGAGGTTGTTGCGTGGATTTTGGGCAATCTCATGTCAAAATGGGGAGGTATTAAGCGACGGCATATCGCAATCAAGGCTACTGCCGTCGAGACATTACAGAATCAGTTCTCCGGATATGGATCTACAACCGTAACGGTTCAGCGGACGATAGATCGCTCGGGCGTAAAAGAGCCTCTGGAGGAGTGGTCTGACGAGACGATTGAGCATATTGTCAACTGCTTCATAGATGAGAAATTCCCGACGGTGATAGCGCTTAACAAGATCGACCACCCGGACGCGGATAAGAATATTGCAAAGATTGCCAAGATGCAGGACCCTAATACCGTCGTGCTCTGTTCGGCCATTTCAGAAATCTTCCTGAGAAAGATGACAAAGCAAGGATACATCAAGTACGTGGAGGGAAGCGAGTTTGTCGACACGAGAGAGGATCTCATCGAGCAAGGCGACCCTACCGGCGGCGGCCTAAAAGAACTCGATGAGAAGAACCGAAACCGGATAGAAAACTTGAAGGATATGGTGCTGTACCGCTTTGGTTCTACAGGAGTTGTGCAGGTGCTGTCGAAAGCTGCCGAGCTGCTAGGTTTGGTACCCATCTTCCCGGTACGGAATACATCGACATTCAGCTCTGGAGCGTCAGATTCCAAGTTTGTCTTTCGGGATTGCGTATTGGTCAAGAAGGGGTCTACGGTGGGCGATGTTGCTCGCAAGGTGATGGGCGATGCTCCGATTGCCTTTGTGGAAGGAATTGGGAACATGAGAGTATCTGAAGATGATTTTGTTGCGGTAGGGAAGAATGATGTGAGTTTTTTTTTTTCAGAATACATGGCAATGGGAAATGGGTTTGCTAACTAGTTCATTCCAGATTCTATCATTCAAAGTTGGACGAGCATGAGAGATTTGATGAAGATGATTTATTTATCTTTCTATAGACTAGGTTCTGATATGCGTACACATATATGTGAAAATATTGGTATTCCCGATTATGTGCATATGAGAGAAACAGTGAAGAGTGCTCATGACCAGAACTTACGGTTGCCATCGTGAAGGGGTCGAAAACAACTTGAATGATTGATTCCCTACTAAAACAGCAACTGACTGATTGTGCTCCGCGACAACAAATCGGCCTACGGGGAAAAAAAATCTAAATGTAGCCGCAAATAGGTAATGCACATCTACCAAGAGAGACTGTATAATAACACCAATGAAACAGCAACAGTTGTCGAGGAATAAGAGGGTGGAGATGAAGTTACAGGGAGGAGTCTTAGAAAGGGGAGTGCTGCAGAGGACAACAATAGGTAAGGTAGTGATAAAGGCACTGGTTAAAAAGGGAGGTGCTGTTGGGAGAGTTGGGTATGCCTACACGTCGTAAAGAAGGTAGGTAGATATACTGCCCCAGGATGACGTGGAAATTGATACGCAGAACTCAATCAACGAATTCTTAAAGCAATAATATTTGTAGACGTATTTATCACCTGTTTTATATTATATACGGCTAGACTGGGAGGAAAAGTTGAGACGGATAAGCAAGTTTTCATATATACCTGTTTTATGAGTACCTACCCACCAAATGAATGTCATTACCGCACAAATGTCCTTGCTTAAACCACTTTGTAAAGAGTGCTGCTATAGCCGTTGGCAGCTTCATTCAATCTGGTCAAGTCTCGCAGCAAACATCAGTCACATATAGAACTATTAATGATAATCACACAGGCCAACACAGTTTAAAGAGCGACTGTTTTATTATCAACTAATTATAAATGATCGACTATAGTTGGCTTCCAAAACACCTTACATCCCCTCAAGGTCCAGGTTACCCGCTGGAGAACTTGTCCAAGCACTCATCTCGGCAGCATCCTCTTGGTAGGAAGCGCGTTGCCAATATGCCCGTACCCCAGCTACCCGCCTCCACTGTCTCGTCACTATCCCACAACGAAGAAAAATAAGAATTTCGACTGTTCCACCATGGGCTACTGCCTTTCCCACTGCCTGCCATCATGATCTTGAAAGAAGCAGCTTCCATACTACCCATCGCCAACTCAGATGACTAGCGTTAGACAAGTTGTCTCGCTAGCTCTGACCATAAACTCCGCTCATCTCGACGGTGATTAGCTGTGCCGCTACAATACGTATCCGCAGCAATAAGCCGAATCGCCAGGCTCGAAGTGATGGCGATAATCATAGTCTGTTGGACTTTTCGCCTTCTCCACGATCGTTTCGACGGAGCGGCTGTTGTAGGCATCATGTTTTGGTGAGTTTGATGGTTACTGTGGAGCGTTTAGGGTGTATCCTAAATGTCATTATTTGCTGTTACAGCCTTGTGCGTGTCACTCAGTCGTAGCCTCCGCCGATTTGGCTGTGGAAAGCAGTGCTGATACTCTTCTCGTCGTCGTCATAACGTCGCCCGTAACCACTGCCCAGAGTCATACGACCGTTGCTTTCCACGTACTGCTTCAGTCGATCGCTCTGGCTGTAGGAAACTGCTCGCATTCCCGTCACAACGTCGTGTAATCCAGCTCCCAGGCTTACGCCTCCTTGGCCGATTCCCTTGGCACCAATGACGCTAGTCGAGGCATCAGTTAGCTCAGAATTTGCCACGCTCTCCCCAGCAATGCTCTCAGGCGCTCGGTTGCGACCCTTATGTCCTCGTCCCGGCGCCGATACTCCAGGTAGCCCCGGCCACTGCTCGGGAGCAAAGCTGGAAAACATGGGTGGGAAAGCCGTATTGAGCGCTGCGCCTCCAAAGGCTGAGCCCTGGATTGAAGAAACGTCGTCCGGAATGTAGGAAACCATGGAGCCAGCGTCAAAGTCACGGCCAGGAGGGCCGCCATTGAATCTGCCATTTGACTGCCTGGCGCTGGGGTACTGAGACGGTTGGCTGCTCCTCTGGCGATAGCTTACTCTGGGGCGGCTAAACTGCAGCAGACAGGCCTGCAGGTTGGTAAGAGGGCCTTCGACAAAGCACTTGCGATCCTTGAAATGAGCAAGGAGGTTATGCCAGAGCTCATGCTTGGAGAGCACTTTGGGGTTTCCGAGAATAACAAGACCATACTTGGCTCGGGTAAGGGCAACGTTGAGACGACGAGGGTCCGACAAGAATCCAATACCTTGGTTGTCATTGGAACGAACACAGGACAGAACAATGAAGTCCTTCTCACGACCCTGGAATGCGTCAACAGAGGCCACTTCCACATCTTTGTACATTTCCTTCTTGTATGTGCCAGAGTTTTGCATAGTGGAAACAATATAGCTTCGCTGGCCCTCATATGGTGTAATGACACCAATCTCAGATGGCCTCACGCCGGCCTTGAAGAACCGCGTGACAGTCTTCTCCACATTCGAAGCCTCTGTTCGGTTGAGGTACGAAGTGCCAGAGGTTGAAATTTCTTCGTGGCCAATGTTGGACCAGAACATCATGGGCATCTCTGTTACAGGCCAAGGGAAATCAACGTCTTTTCGAACTCGCTGCTCGTGGGTGATGCCGTTCTGAAGAGTTCCATCGTAGAACATGTTGGAAGGAAACTCTGAAAGGCATGGGTGCATTCGGTACTGTGTCTTCAGCGGGATCGGGTTGATCTTCAAGTTGATGAGTCGCTCAAACAAAGACCTGTTGAGACCAGCCTTGGCCGCCTTCTTGTTCATAATCACAGGGCCAAGCTGCTTATGATCTCCGACCAGAACGACTTGCTTGCATCCGAGCACAAGAGGAATCATGCATTCAGGCTCAGCAGACTGGGTAGACTCGTCAATGAGGACGTTTCGGAACTTCATCTTTGACAGTCGTGGATCGCCTGCACCGACACAGGTACAGCAGATGACATCCGCGTTGCTCAAAATCTCTCGCTCGGCGGCCTTGGTCAGCTGTCTCAGTTTCTTCTCGTCCTGGCTTGAAAGTTCGCCGACTTCATTCTTCAACTGGGACAGCTTCACGAGCTCGGTATTGTGCTCGGACATGCGAACCTGCTCGTGCAAGGCGAGGAAAGTGACAGATGACTCGACATCCTCTCGCGACTTGGCCGTGAGTCGAACCACTTTGAGGCCTGTACGGTGAATACGTTCACAGAGCTGGTCCACAGCAACGTTGGATGGAGCACACACCAGAACCTGGCTGCCGCTCGTCTTGGCAAGGTGGTAGATGATAGTAGCTGAAGTAACCGTCTTTCCTGTACCAGGAGGTCCTTGGATCAGACTAAGGGGCCTCTGAAGAACAGCCTTGATGGCATCCACCTGGCCTTGATTCAAATCGGGTAGCCCGGGAGCAGACCATTTCTTAGGCAGCGTAACTTTCATAGGGGGCGGCTGGCAAATATGGCCGAGCAAGATGTGGAAGATGTATCCCGAAACGCTCATGTCGTCGACGGCAAACGTCTTCATAGCCAGCTGCATACGATCGTACGAGGTAGCCTTCCAAACGTAATCGGCCGAAAAGTTGTGAGAGAGGTCGATGGGGACCAGCTTGTCGTTGCCCGTCTTGCGCAGCTCGAGGCAGACTTCGTCGGATTGGCTGTTTGGGATCTTGATGACGTATCCGACTCCCTCCCAGGGTTCTCGAAGCTCGCCAGTATATCGTAGTCGCATTTCGTCGCCGACTGCGAGTTTCACATCTCCGGATTCAATCTTTTGCAGGTTAAAGCTAGCAATGTGCTTGTTATTGAGAGCATAGTCCCAGCGAACCGTGAGGCCATCTTCCGACTGCGCTTCCTTGAGCTTCTTATCGTAGTCGGACTCCATCTTGACGAGGGGCCCAAAGATATTCTGGTAATGGTAGGGATCGTCGTATGTCAACTGAACCGGAAGAGGTTCGTCGTCAATGTTGGAAGCCTTTTCCAAATCTTGAATCGTCGCATCTGGCTCTTGCTTCCACATTTCTTCGAGTTTGGCAATCGTGTTGATCGTGAGGTGGCGGGCGCGCAGCTGTTCAGCGTCGGACGGCGGGTTCACAAGCCACGGCAAGAATGCCCGCTCCTCGATGAGGGGCTCCCACCGCGAGGTGTCCCAATTCATGTCTTTATTCGAGGAGACGGAGGCGCAGGGCTGACGGCATAGCAGGACGACCACAGCATCAGATTTCGCAGGGATAAATCCAAGAATGAAGGCATTCTTTGTTCCACAGTTATAGCATTCCAGAACGGTATCGCCGAGGGTCGATTCGGGGTGTAGCTGCACTTCCTTGTGGCGTGCGCGAACGAGGTGGTTCACAATATGGGTGGACGAGCCACTACCACGGGCACTACAGAACCACTTGTTGCACGTAAGGCATTTGACGACACAAGCCGGAGAGTGAATGCCGCAGTATCTGCACAGCGCGTTAGTTTATATAACCAGCGTGAGAAATAATTGGCGATGCTCACGCGCATGCATGAGCCGGGAGCTCTTTCTCCTCCTCAGGATGCTTCAGCTTCATGCCCATCATTTGATCGACGGGGACGCTATTGAGGCTGTCATTATCATCCTCTTCGAAGGCCTCCGTCTGGTTATCGTCGTCATCGGCTCGGCGTCGGCCACTTGGGCCGCCATATTTGCCGTAGAGCAGAGCCTCGTCAGGATCGATTGTCGACAAGTCGTCAGCGCCGGCCTTTATGGCGGCAGCTGAGTCGGAAATAAGGTGGTTACCAACATGGGTGAAGGCTCCCTCCATGTTGATTGGGTGTCTGGGGCGAGTGCGCCAGACGGTTGCTTTTGATGGCGATATGTCAGCTTCACGGTAGAGGGGTAGCGAAGAGTGACGAAAGTAGAGAGGATAAGGTGCAAGATCGCCCAGAGAAGTTGTTTGAGACTCGTGCGCTAGAACCAGATACGAGGGAGTACCGTGTACCTTTACAGTATATTTTGTGATTTCGAGAAGCCTCGTGCGACAAGCTTCGGCGCGAAATGGTCAAAGGGAAGGGATTCGATAAGTTCGTCGACCGGCCTCACATCATCGTCGCGGACGCAGGAAGAGGAAGAACAAAGGAAAGAATCAATATGAAAAGCTAGAACACAAGTCTCGAGCCTGGCTTTTGGAGAAGATTGTCGCTCGGAAGGTTCCCAGGCAGAAAGCGTTTTTCTGCACTCGTCAGTCGGAATCTATCAACGCCCTGGCGCACCCGAGAATCCTAGGCGGTGGTGTAGTGGTGGGACAATTTGCGCCCACGTGATAGGCGGTTCGGTGGCACGTTATCGATAAGACCTGAATTTCCGGCAAAACTGATAAGCCCAAACTTTTTTTCGACTGCCTTTGCGCCAGCTCCGATGGAGTGAAGTTATCTATCTACACATTGAGCAAAGATGATTGTATGTTGGCCTAGATTCTGAGTGTGGAGAGACCATCATCGCTAATTATAGTCTACAGCGCAAACAAGCACGCCAAAGGCGTGATTATCTCTACCGACGAGCCCTTTTACTGCGAGATGCCGAAATCAGCGAGAAGAGAGCCAAACTGAGGGCTTCACTCGCTTCAGGAAAACCATTGGACCCAGAAATCGCCAACGACAAATCCCTGAGGAAAGATTATCAATATGATGAATCCCGCGATCTTACTACAAATGAGCAGCTGGACCTGGACGACGAGTATGCGCAGCTATCTGGCATCGTCGACCCTCGAGTTCTTGTAACGACCTCTCGCGACCCTTCGGCCAGATTATCAGCCTTTGCAAAGGAAATCAGACTTCTTCTACCAACTTCTATTCGCATGAACCGTGGTAACCTTATCTTGCCCGACCTTGTCAAGTCTGCCCAGTCCGCAGGCCTGTCTGATATGCTCCTACTTCACGAACATCGCGGTACTCCTACGGCTCTGACGATTTCTCATTTACCTCACGGACCGACAGTCTCATTCTCCCTGCACAACGTTGTTCTCCGCCACGATATCCCTGGCAGTATTCGAGGAACGGTGTCAGAGGCATACCCTCACCTGATCTTTGACGGCTTTACAACTCGCCTGGGAGAACGGGTTGTCAAGGTGCTGAAGCATCTATTCCCTCCTAGAGAACCAATTACCAGCAAGAACAAGGTTGGCAACCGGGTAGTCACATTTAAGAACATCGACGACAGCATCGAAGTCAGACATCACGTTTTTGTACGGACGGGTTACGACAGCGTTGAGCTGTCCGAAGTCGGTCCCCGAATGACAATGAGAGTATTCGAAATTCGCGGAGGTACTCTGGAGAATAAAGAGGGTGACGTCGAGTGGCATTTGTCGCAATATACTCGAACATCTAGGAAGAAGAATTATCTCTGAGCGGGTCGTCCGCTGGTCAGCCTCGTCCTTTTTCGTCTTCTTGGCACACTGAGGCGCTGTTCCTGAGGCTTCGTGGTCCAGTTGTTGGCGGACTCGAAACACTATTTTTAGCGCCACCGATTGTGGCGGATCTTAATGCGCAAATTCTGATACACGCGGCCATTTTGACTTTGGCTGCAGCAGCGAGGTTGGACTTTTGACTCACAGTCAGCGCCATGTTAAGGGAGCTTCGCCACGATGGCGACGTAACCGAAGAGACATTGGATCCTGTTATTGGCTCATAATGGCCGAATTATGTGCGCAGTGTTGAAAGGCAGCATCATGAGATTGACGATTGTATATAACGAAGTTTGCGATCATGTGTACATACTAGTAATAATACAGGGAGAAGATATCCAGTATAATTTCATTATCCAGCACCCCGGTTGCAGCTCAATAAGGCAGCCAGCCCACCCATATGTATTACATCAGTAGCATCAGTAGCATCAGTAGCAGCCCATGTATAACTGAAGTGCTGGATAATAGAATTGGGGGGCTGAACAACTTTTCTCATAATAAATGGCTGCACACATAAATAAGTAATGACACGATGTTAAAGGGTCGCAATTGAATAGCTCAGGTACGACATCTTTACAATCAATTGGCCTATCTGAGAGCATCTTAAAATGAATGCCATGCCGCATCAAGAGTTACACGACGAATTAGATGAAAGCGTTGAGAGTCCTCGAATTATGAACTGCCCGTGGCCAATTACTGTTGAGAGCTGCACTCCACTATCCGCTCGCCCTAGCAGTGAGCCTATTCCAGACAAAGTAGAACCATGACCGCTACCGTGCCCCAGATCAGGCACAGTGGCATGCAAGAATACGAAGCTACGGATCCCTGTCCATCAGATGATCCTGCAGACAGAGCATCTTACCGTTACCCTGGGGATTACTCACTCAGCCGGCGCCTCCAGCGCTAGTTGGCGCAATTGCAGAGCAGAGAAATTCTCTTGTCTTCCTACATTGTCCATGTCCCGCAACCAGGACCCGGATGTGCTAGAGAGGCTCTTCTTCGCTCGGCGATGCCACTAGCTCGCTAGCTGACGCGCAATGAGCCCGGCAAGGCGACGCCCAAAGCCACAGGCATGGTTCACGGCCATGACTTCGATGCGCGACGATTGGCGGGCGCAGGGACCCGATGGAGCCAGCCAGCTGCTGGATTAGGCACAAGCACCTCGGGTGGAGCTGTCAAACCGATGGCAAGATGATTTCAACCGTGGGCGTCGTAATGGCGGCCGGCGGCCACTGGGCGCAGCGCTGACAAAGGCTCGCTCCGCGGTTCCGCGCGAAGACGCTGGAATCGGCGACGAAGAGATTGAAGCGAGAACCTGGCAGAAACGGTCTCAACTCGTTGTGCACTGCTTGGTTTTGACTCGGCTCGAATCCGGTTCTCCCAGATTGGGTTTTAGTAATTAGCCGTCCACGGGTCTCAATACGTCACTGGCCAATCCCTGCTTGCTCTACGCGCTGGTCGCAGTTACATGGCCCGGGTCCCTCTACAGTTTTTTTTCTTATTTTTTCGGCGCTACTCGTTTTCTACACCACAGCCAGCACCGCCTAGCCTACAGTGTTAGTGTTGCGCCTCTGCTATATTCCGCTTTGGGGCCTCGCAAAAACAGAAATTGCCGTCCTTCCCTTCTTCTCCATCTTCCTCCACCTCCGCACAACCCGAGGCTGCTTCGGTTTGCCAATTACTCGTGCTCGTTTCTGTACTTTGCGCTGCCAAAGCCTCCCCCACCAATTAGAGCACTGTGCTTGTGATCTTCTCGAAGCCTTGCCGTTGATTCCGCCCGCTGTCTTCATTTACCTGCACGTAGCTGCAACCACCGCCGGCGAATCTCTCGCTTCGTCGAATCATCACCACCTCTCCCTTCCACCTGCACCAAAACAGAACCCCCGGCAGCACGCTCCTTCAGCATGTCAGGGCAGCAGAATCCCTATTCTCAAGGCCCTGCGCAAGAGGCCGGGCACAATCTCGGCGGCTATGGCCAGGTAAGTAAACCGCCCTTGTAGAGCCTTGCGACCCGCGGACTTCCGGACAAGCAGCGACGATGCTAATGCAAATGCGCTGGGCAGCTCAACCCATATGCCACCAACACCAGTGAAAGCCCGTACAACAATTACGAGATGCAGGACTACAACAGCCAAGCCCAAGGTCAGACCAGCAATGGATACGGCCAGGAGCAATCGCGACAGCCTCTGTCGCAGGCAGACTTCCTCAGCCGCGTGGGAGAACTCCGCAACGACATCAAGTCGCTGACCTCAGAGATCGACTTCATCGGCCAGCTGCATCAGCGCACTCTCAGCACTACTGACCCAGAGGCCACCCAGCAGCTTGAGCACTATGTGGCGCAAACGCAAGTTCGTAACACCGCCATCAAGGACGGTATCAAGGGTTTGGAACGCGATCTGCTCAAGACAACAGATGCGTCTCGCACCACCAAGAAGACCCAGCTGGAGTCGCTCAAGACATTCTTCAAGTCCGAGCTCGACAAGTACCAGAGCATTGAGCGCGACTACCAGCAGCGTTACCGAGAACAGATTGCGAGACAGTATCGTATTGTGAACCCGGATGCATCGGAGGACGAGGTGCAGCAGGCCACAGAGGCTGATTGGAACAACGAGGGTGTTTTCCAGACAGCTGTAAGTTTTACCCTTGATCTTGTCTCGTCCAAAATGCTCCAGTGCCAAAGAATTGGCCTGGCTTCGCGCTCCTCTTCAGCAATCAAATAGTAGCTTGTCTGGCGAGTACATACAAGTATGATTAGCGCTGACCACTTTGTAGCTTCGCACCAACCGCTCCGGCCACGCTGCTTCTCTCCTTGGCAACGTGCGCGCTCGCCACAACGAGCTGCAGCGCATTGAGCAGACCCTGTCCGAACTCGCCATTCTCTTCCAGGAACTCGCCTCCATGGTCGAGCAGCAGGAGAACGTCGTTGTCGCCGCCGAGGTCAACGCCGAGAGCACGGTCCAGAACATCGAGAAGGGTAACGAGCAAGTCAGCCAAGGTATCCAGCACGCCCGCCGCACTCGTCGTCTCAAGTGGTGGTGCGCTCTCATCGTCTTCCTTATCTGTCTCGCCATTGCTCTGGGCGTGGGTCTGGGTGTTGCCTTGACGAACAAACACTGATCGGCTTTGTCTCGCCGAAACAAAACACTGCGAATTTCCTTTATATGAACGATCTGCAAATTTTCTTTTTTTTATTACTTCTGACTTCTAAACTACGGGAAAGGGCCTCTTATTACTTCCAGGGCTCTCGAGGCGTAATATTTTTTTTATTCTCTCATAGACTATGAACTATGTATCCAACCGCATGAGGAGGAGCTTCTACGTGCTTCTTCACAGCGAAACGACTATTTGTACAATCTTAATTCTTACTTTTGAGACGCTACACGGGGGGCGAGGGGAGGAAGAGTAGCGTTGATTGCAGCGGGAGCAGAGAGGAGATGAGAAAGGGGAGGAAGAATGATACAACTCGTGGTGACGAAAGGATAAAAAGGGGAGCACAGATATTGAAATTTTTGGTGGTGTTGCTGATGATATTTAATGCCATGAACTCTCGGATGTGTCGATGAAACTACTCTGGTAGAATGGGATCGGATCGGATGGGAAGCAAAGAGGGGAGTCCATGTGATTGCGACGGATGAACATAGGATAGGACCCTTTTTTATACCTTTTTTTTTTTAATGAAGCGGATAAATTGTGAGGATAATTTGCGTTGTGAGAGGAGTTTTGTTTGTCTTATTGTTTTCCCGAGCCAAAGTAACACATCCCAACCATCCAATGATACATCCTTTTTAGTTTTTAAGCATACATCTTTTTCCGGTTCCCTTTGTCATACAGCTCCTTCGAATGGGTAAAAAGAATGGTAATCATACAATACAGTAAAATACAAAATAACGAATGGAAAAAAAAGTATCAAAAATACTTTGTGACACCATTACAAGTCAGGAGACGTGAGATGTCATTATAGTAGAAATATACAGAAGAGGGTTTTTCATTTCTGCATTATCAACGCCACGGTTTTTTTTTCTGCCATTCAGTGAAAACCCCCCCCTTTTCTCTTACACCTCTCCATCGCATCACTCCTTTCATTTTTTCCTCGTTAACCGTATTCCGTCCCCATCCCTAAACACAGCATACACCTAATCATGAGACGTAATCAATCCCCCTGAATGTCGATGTTAGATATTTGCTGTTCGGTTTGCGCCACCGGATCGAGAAAAGGGGGAAACATGTCCGAAGAAAATACAAAACTCCAAAAAGTTTTTCTCAACTCTCCGATCTTCGGCAGCGTATAATGGTTTTTGTGGCATATGTGTAAGTGTTACAAGCCCACACACTGAGTTCATAAGTGGTATGTGTGTATATGTGCATTTCTGAGGACCGTCCTCTCCTCACTCTTATTCTTAATTCTTCTTTTCATATTTTTATTCCGTCCTTTGAATCTGCAGCCCCGTTCATGCAGCATCAAACTAAGGCATGCGCAGTCCACCAGGGCCGCCTGGGCCGCCTGCGAGCTTCTCCGCCAACTTGGGGTACTTCTCCGTGACCTTGACTTGGGTGCGCGTAGCCTCCGCGTAGGACAAGGCGTTGACAATTTCGCCCTCGGTTCGGGCGAGCTCTGCCGCACGCTCAAAGTACTTGAGCGCCTCGGTGACCTTGTTCTGCTGAAGAAGAAGCTGAGCCATGGTGGCTACAGCAATATCACACTCAGGATCAACTGTAGAATGGTAAGTTAGTATTGTTCGTAGTAGAATAGAAACAGGGAATTACTGACTAATCAGAGCCTTTTGGCAAAGCTTCTCTGCCTCTTTAAAGTCAGACGATGACTGAAATAGGGCGAGAGCTTTGTTAATCAGGGGCAGAACGTTCATGGACATGGGCTTCGACTGCTTCTCCATCTCCATGGCGGTATCAAACTTCTCAATGGCCTCGGGGTAGTTACCCTGGTCTAGCAACAGCTCGCCGTAGTAGTTGTAAACGTCGGGGACCTTGGGGAAGTTCTTGATGCATCGTCGGAAGGTGGCCATGGACGACGCGATGGAGCCCATCTTGTACTGGGTAACACCCAGCTGGATGTGGGAGAAGATGAAGTCCTTGTCCAGGTCAATCGACTTCTGGTAGTCCTTCTGTGCGCTTGCGAGGTCGCCCTTGATGAAGTGAGCCTGGGCGCGGTGGTAATAGACATCGGGGTCGTCGTTATCCTGCTCGAGGGCCTTGTCAAACTCGGCGTCGGCCTTGTCAGGCTCGCCCAGCTCCAAACTGATGCTAGCTCGCTTGATATAGCTCTGGGTCATCTTTGGGTCGAGTTCGATACTGCGGTCGAAATCCTCCGTTGCCGCGGCGTGGTTACCAAGAAGGGTTCGAATAGTACCCCGCAAGTTGTAAGCGAGAGCCTCGTGCTCGCCGAGATCGCCCAGCTCTATGGCCTTCTCGAACGCCTGTCTGGCCTCCTCGTATCCCTCGGCCGTCTTCTGCTCGAGCCCCTGGAAACCGAGCTGCAGCTGTCCCAGACCGGTATCCAGAGAGAGCTCGATTGAGTCGTCAAGAGCCGCAGGGCGGGGCTTCTGGCGGAAGCTCTGCAGGTAGTTGCCGACGAAGATGGGGCTAGGAAGCTTGGCGGGTCTGGATGCCATGACTTCTTTGGCCTTGTGCTCGGCGAAGACCTTGAGCAGTCTCTCAACTGCCTGGGCAGTTGATTCGCTCTTGAAGTTGTCGATGATGCAAGAGGCTGTGAAGTCGAGAAGGGCCTCGGAGTACATCTTTAGGTGCTCGTAGGCAGTAGCACGGCGGTTAATAGCCTTAATGTAATCGGGGTCCATGCTGATGGCGGCTGTGGTATCTTCGACGACCTTTTCCCACTCGCTCATGGCGCTGTAGCAGGCAGCTCTGTTGGAGTAGAAGACGGCATCTGGCTTGCACAGAATGGCCTGGGAGTAGAGGTCGATGGCCTTGTTGTATGCCTTATCACCGTAGGCCTTGTTACCGGCCTGCTTCAGCCGAGCGGCATACTGTTCTCGCACCTCGGGGCTCAGCTGTAGAACGGTGGCCTCGTCGATTTCTGGCAGCTCGGATTCGGGCTCGACGGTGGCGCCTTTGGGCTGAGAAGCTTTGGAGTCGGCGGCTTTGCGCTCGGCCTCTTTGCGCTTCCTCCTCTCCTTCTTGCTGAGCTTTGGTGACGCATCGGACTTCTATTGCAAGCAGTACATGTTAGTATTTGCTTCTCTCACTCTCTCTTATCCAGCGGTGCTCTCCGGTTTCGGGTCGTGTCCACCAATTCGGCGGCGACTCCAGCACGGCTGCTGCGATGCTTATGCCGTCATGCCGTCATGCCGTCATGCCATGATAACCCCTCCATGAACAACACAACAACAACCAAAGACGTACCGAATCGGAATTCAGATAGTAGACGACGCCCGCGCCGGTGACGACAACAGCCACGCCCGCAATGGTATAGACCACGGCCTTGTTCTCCGACACCCACGACGATATCCGGTCCCAGGTCGAGGACGAGTTCGCGTCGACAGCGACAGCGGCGGGGCGGCCCGGAGGCATTGACGGCAGCGGGTTAGACATGGCCGGGGCGGGAATTAGAGCGCTGCGAGCTCGAGACGAGAGATGGAGACGAAGGACGCAGGAAGTGCTGGGGGCTCGAATGGGCCGTTTGAATGATGTCGGGGCGCAGGAAGAGCTGCAGCAATAGCTGGGCACGCGCAGTAAAAAATGAATGATGGCACGGCCACAAGTGGTTCATCCACCGGCTGGCGGGCGGTTAAGTAACCCACCTCGAGCTAGACGGAACCGCGCAGCAGGAGCTGCTTCTGAATTTTTTTCTTTTGGCTTCTCATTCTCCACTCTGCCTTCCGAGCCACTGAGAGAGCCACTGAGAGAAAAAACATTGAACACCGAGACTGGCATACGCAACCGCCGGTCGCCTGGCAAAGGCTCCGAAAATGCCTGACCTGACTTCAGTATCCATTGATTTTATTCGCTTTGCATCTATACATTTTGTCCTTTCACTCCTGCTATGCATCTCGTCAGCCAAGTACTAGGCGCATCGAGCCCCTAGCAGCTATGACGATATGCCCTGGGGCGAAAATGCTAGCCATGGAACCAATGCTTTGCACATCCACCCATTGGCCCACGGCTCAGATCGATCTGCCGCCGTAATAATTTCATACCAACCTGAAGTGCGTACATATAGCCGCCGCAAGATTGGCCACCGGCTCGTAGATTACGCGACAAGCCGCCACAGCATGTTATCCAATACTGTGCATCTACCCTGATGCCTACACAGGCAGTGAACAGCTCCATGCGATATGCTCAGCTGAACATGTTCGCATTCAGCCATAAGCTGTGGCATTGCCCAGAGCCGATTCGTCTCTCACAGGTTGCTGCAGAAGTCTTGCATTTTACCCGCTATTAGTTGCTGGCCGTGCACCTTTTAACATTGAACACGAAGTGACGTGACACCTACCGTATGCACTGTGAAGCTGTTCAAGAGCAATTTGTAGGAGCTACTTTCTTTCTAGCACCGCAGCTTTTGCATACCCATCTTTAAACATTTTTCATCCAAATTTGTAGTGTACTTACTCTTCTTTACCCAAATCCATATAATTCCCTTGCCTATATTTGACATTGTTTTCGCTCCTCCTCCGTGATGGCAGCAGTAGAGTGCGGCTACTAAGTGGCGCATTACTAAAACAACACACAGCTCAGCTCAGCTCAGTAAATCTCACACACAACCATCAAACACACCAGTATAGGCACCAATTGGTCGCCATGGCGGACATCTTTTCTCTCTTCACCTCTCTCCGGTATGATCCGGGTCTATTAGAAGTTCCTTCCAAAGGCATCGACTACGCCGGGTGGAATGCCGCCAATAAGTCGCCCTTTTACATGCTCGACTATCATCGCGATCGCATGCTACGAGCAGCGACCCATTGGAAGTGGGATGAAGCCATCAATGTTCTCTCGGGCCAGAAAGGCTTGGACACCTTAACAAAGCTTGCCGGGGAATTCATTGGCCCATCCCAGGAAACTGCGCTGCGCTTCAAAATCCTCGTCAGTCGCGACGGCCTGGTGAGCTTTGAGAAGAACAACGTCGCTCCTGTTCCCACAGAAAATCTGTTCCCCTTGCGATTGCCACAACCTGGAGCTCCATCCACCTCCGGAGAGGCCAAGAAAACCCCATGCTGGACAGTGGCACCTGATGATCTCCAGACCACGGCATCAGAGTACACGCATTTCAAGACCACCAAGAGAGAAATGTACGACTCTGCCCGCGAGAGGCTTGCAATCGCTCCGACTGATGAGCGAGAAGTATTACTAGTCAACAAACACGACGGATCCGTCATGGAAGGTAGCTTATTCACGCCGTATTTCTGGAGAGATGGACGATGGGTCACTCCGCCCGTCCATTTGAGCACTGGAAGTGGTGGCCAAGATGGCGTATCTCGACGGTGGGCCTTGGAAAGGTGAGCTTCCAATCGCCTATTTAGATGGAATCTCAAGGATAGTGGCTAATAATCAGAAATAGAGGAGTGGCTGTCGAGCAGGCTGTACCGGCAGACTCGCTCACAGACGGCGAAGAGTGCTGGATCAGTAACGGCGTGAGAGGATTCATCGCGGCCGTTGTCCGGCTCCAGCAGTAATTGGGCATGGCCACGGTGCAACACATCACCGAGTTCAAAAGGAGGAAGCTGAAGCGAAATAGCTACCAGACGTGCTCTACGGGATGGGTGCCAGCTGATTCGCTCAGGAAGGGCATCCAGGGTATGGCGATGCATTAGTAGTGCCATCAGGCTGCATGTGTACGGCTATAATTGGACATCCATGAGCCCTATAAATCTATACAGGCAAATCACAGGGCCAAAAAATGTTTGTCATGCAGCTAAGAGAGATTTCTCAATCTCGGCTGCTGGTTTAGTTTGCTTGTCGCTATAATTTGAGACTTGCAGGCCTGGAGACGGAAAAGGGCTGCTGTTGCTGCGTCTCTTAAGCGCCACTCCCCCGCGCTAGACTCGGTCGCGTACTCCAGCCTCTCTGCAACTTTCACCTCGCAATAATCCAGCATCGTATCCTTGGCCTGGCCAACGCCAACCTTTGGCACTTTTGCATAGCCAATCATTGAATTGTTTCTATTTTGCATCTCCTTTGTTTCATTCTGTTGCTCATGCTTTGTACTCCTTTGCCGTTGTTCTAAGCGGGAGCCAGACGCAGGCCCACAACTTCTTCTCGCCCTGTCAATTCCACTTTTCAGCGTCCATCAGCCAGAGTGAACGCCGCATGATATACCCATCATTCATCAACTCCGTATCTTGATGAAAGCCTCTCCATGGAAGAAGCCATCAAAGCCGGGCGTGCCAAGTATGTGGCCGGCCAATACAAAGAGGCCCTTCATGTCTTCACAGAGGTCCGTCATCAACGCTTGGCTAGAAGCTTGTGCAAGGCCGTCACTAACTGTTTCCAGGCTATAAGCCTCTGTCCTTGTGCGTTGGAAAAGAGGAAGAGGAAGCGAGAGGCTCAAGAGGTCCATGATGCAGGGGGAGCCGATCCGGCAGCTCTGGATGTGACTATCGAATGCCATAATCCTTTTCATCTCCAAGCCCTCAACTATCGGGCTGGAACGTTTGAAAAGATTCCAGATATTCGCCGCGCGAAAGCTGACGCGCAGCGAATGATGCGTATAGCGCCATTTTCACCTGAAGTACGCATCTCCTACCTGACACAAACATTTTCTTTCCTGTTTACTTTGCTCATCTCTTATAGGGCTATCTTCGCACTAATAAAGTCCTACGGATTAATCAAGACCCAGAAGCCGCTTTTGAACTGCTGACCAACGGTATTCTAAGGCTTCTAGAGAGAGAAGGCGTCCAAGTGGAGGATATCAAGGTGCGTCAGCTTGGACGTGAAAAATGAATGGCATACCCCAAGATTTTGACAAGATGCTAGCGTCTCGATCAAGCTCGAGATCCCCTTAAGCTCAAATTTAGCAGGATTGATCCTTTGGGTGAATTTTTGAGTCTTAGTTTGATGGCAAAGACCAGTCTGCCAGGAGAGCTTGTTCGGGATATCTTTGGCCGCTTGGATATATTCACTTTGTGGTGAGTCCCGCAGCAAACTCTTGATGAGTATAAACAATGCTAACTAAATCTCTCCGCTTTATGTAGTCAATGTCTGCGTGTCTCCAAATCTTGGAAGAAGGCGCTGACGGCCCCAGGAAGCGCGCGGTTTTGGAAATCATTAATTTTCCCTGGTGCTATAGCCCCGCGCGTTCCATTCACCTCATTGAGAAAGTTGCTTTCTTATTCATTAAATGATGTTAGAGAGTTTGTTATTGATGATTGTTCAAGGTTTAGGCTGGACCAGAGGAAATTCACCGCCGTCTTGAATGCAGGAGCCAAGCTGGAACGCTTAGAGCTAGCTAGACCATATGAACGGCTGGACATTTCGCTCTCCAATTTTAGGGGAAATCTCAAGACTCTCAAGCAGTTACGACTTGACGGATTCTATCAACTCTATGCGCCTAGCCACGAAGAAAGAGATCCATATCTCTATTTTTTACTAACCGCCGTGAACACACTGGAGACCTTGACCCTTGTCGGAATCCCCAGGCAATGGTTCAATCCAGTGGGAATTTCTTATATGCCGAATTTGAAGCACCTCAAGTTAGTCAAGGCTCCCAATCAGCCATGGCAGTTGCCGATTGTAAGTACCTTGTACCAAGATACTCGGAATGAGAAAGTAACGCCTACCAGCTTCAATGGTTGAGACACACCCCCCAGCTCGAGCAACTCTATGTAGAGGATCTCATTTTCAGCTGCCATCTTCCGGACGATGAGCCATTCGACGATTGCTGCGTACCAAACCTCAAATCCCTTACGATTGTAGATACGCAAAATCGTCTCAATCACGGTCATCACCATCACCATATACACCCAAGCCAGATAGGCTCGGCCGAAGCTTATCAGTATCTTACAGCTTTAAATTTGGGAAAAAAGCTCAAGTACCTAGACATATTTTACGAGTTTGACTACACGTACATGAACCAAGAAGATGGCGATATCTTTAATCGCATGCAGCGGCATCTGTCAAGCGCATACGAAGATCTGCAGACAATACGGCTTTCGGACACAGTCATATCACCAGAAACAGCGCATAATCTATTCATGCCATCCTTGAAAGCTGGCAAGCTACACTCGTTTGACATCATCTTTCCTATGCAACGTTTGGACGAGGGGCCTGAGGGAACAAGTACCAGTCACATCCAGGGGTACCAGTGGCTTGAAGGGGCCGAGAGCATTCGACATTTGGGCTTGTACGATTTCAGCTTCAAGCCACACATGTATCCAAAGGACAATCCTCTGATCAAGTTCCTGCAAACTTTTCCATGCTTGGAAGAGCTGAGCCTGGAGTCAGAACGGTATATGCCTGATCACTATGCCCAGCTTGTCCAAGACGTACTGGTCTCGGTGAAACTCAAAACTCTGTATAGCACGACGGTTCATGGCATCAATTTTGATAAAATAAGGCAGCTAGCCAAAAACAAGGGCGTAAATTTTTTCTGGACGAAACAGACTCGAGTGTGGCCAATGAAGTTCAAAGACGATTAAAGTCGCGATGGTCACGGGTAAATATACATCTATGCAAAGGAGAGAACGCAGTTCTGGAACATTTACACATGGGGAAACGGTAGCGAGCGTTGAATCTGCTCAATGGATCGTGTGTAATAGAACACGGTGGGAGCGACGAATATCGGTAACGTTGGATACAAATATGGCCATGGTTATGGCGGTGTTCATGAGGCTGACTCAATGGTGGAATTATTACGTGACAATGATTCTAGTATACATAAATTGAACAAATAGGTCGTATGTTCCTTTTGATAGATGGCAAAGCAAACATTTAGTTTAGACGTTGGGGGGTTCTGTTTATGCCAGTGCCCTCCCTCTACCCCTTCTCAAGCCGGAAATGCCCGCCATCTCCTCTTTCATGTTCCACACTAGATTTCGTATTTTCCGATGATAGGAGACAATCGATAATGTGCTGCGGCGAGACGCATATAACAGCATACGTGTTACCGTTTTAAGTATCTCGTTGCCTATCACTAATGATTCTGGTGCGACGCCTGGCGGGATACTTGCAGCTTAACCTCCTGTTTGTTCAACAGCGTGGCCGACATCGCATCCCGACGAGTAAGTATCCGGTTTACTCTGTGGTCTAATAATCGATGGGCTTTTGTTCGTGTATAAGTACCCTCATTGCCCCCTCGAATTCTTTCACTCTTCTTTCTCTTCAATTTATTCTTTACAGTTATAATTATGACTTGACGGCATATGAACCACTCAAAAGTCTTCTGCATATGACTTTACCTGGTCCAGATACCTTTTCCTGATTTTGTAATCGACATCTTCAACGCGTCGGCGCCAGCGTTGCGCCCAGCCTCAGTCTTGTCGTGACGCTACCATGCGACGTCCCTGCCATTTCTGCCGTACCAGCGGTACCAGCCAAAGCTGTAATCACTAGGAATGATGCCTCTGAGCTGTATACGAAGACCGGAGACGTAATGGATACCCATGCGGCCGGGGGGAAATGGGGCGGGACAGACCATCTCCATGAACTACATGACGACATCCCCAAGATGTCCCAGGCAGATGGGAGGATCTATTCAAAACGATGAAGAGGTCTTTTGATCAAACTGGTTACGGCAATATCCCCCAGACCGTTCAAAGATCTGTCAACAGTGTACCTGCTCTTCTTGAACATGAGGCAGCGTCAGATTTTACGGAGGCTATTAGCAACTCTAATGTTCTACATGGGGACCAGCAGCATACCGCTGGCTAGGTTGCCGAACTTGCAACTGGATTTGAGAATGCGTATCTCCTTGAAAGGTACATGAACGCAAATCAGCCGGCGCAAACAGCCGATTGCGTCAAAAATGAGATCCTTCCGCCTCAGACAACTTGGACATCCTGGCAATAAGATGATTATCTTTACATGACCAACTAAGCAGTGGCTGGCTACCCATAACGTCGCTTGCCAACCAATGTAAGTGGCCATCATGCCCATTGTCTTTGTTATTCGAGTGTTCTAACGGGAAACCGCTTGCCAAGTTTACAGATGTCGAATATATACCACATCTACATAATACGAACGGGTTCGGCTTAACAACCTTTGAAATAAGCCTACTTCAGATAACAGGCGCCTCCCTGTAACACACTTTGCCTTTGGTTTCACTGTCATAGAAAAGAAATAAGGCTTCGACAGGCAATATGACTATGGCACGAGAGAATATCCATGATATGGACCTCTTCGCTACCCCTGATGCTCTTATATGACACCAGGGGCGCGCTCTACCCAAACTGGCCGTTTCGCGTACCTTCAACCAATATCCGCGGGCTGTAGCCGCAAAGGGCTCGCCTGCTCGCAAAGCAATCCTGCCCCGACTCCTGAGACTTTACCGCAGACTTCTCACAGCTATCCAAGATTGGCCTATGTACCCTACCGATTCAGGCTTGGGAAGAGTGCCGAAAGGACGGTTCTAGAAGACCAGGCAGCCTTTGCTTGGGCTCAATGCGCGCGAATGCGATGGTATTAATAAAAACCACCTACTGACCGAATTCAATCTTATTGTTGCTTTACATCAAGAGCGCCCGCCATTTATGGCTCGTGGCCTTTCTTACGCAGCAATCACCAACCAAAGCTATCCAATAGTGGATAAAGCTCAAGCGTTTGCGCCTTTCTGAGTGGTCGGTCTCAAGACAGACGATCACGCCATTCATTTGTCTTCATCTAAGAGATGATGAACATTGTGCCTTTCTGTGGGTTATAGCTCGCCCAGCAGGCTGAGGGCAACCCAGACCTTGTCGCAGCCTTTGACAGTTTGAGGTAGACCCGCGCGAGGAGGGACTCAGAGATCAAGATCTTTCAAGAACACCAGTAACAGCACCACCAGGTTTCTGATCCCAAAGAAGCGAGAATATAGAGCTCGCCTTGGAAGAAGGATCCTGATTCTGACTCTGGTATTTTCTGTGCTGATATCGAGAGACTGCAGAGCCCACTGTCCAAACCCTGCGTTGGCGGATGCCATGGAGCGTCTCTGCGCAGAAATAAATAAACTGGAACTGGCTCTGTTATTGGAGAACAACACACTGACCAGCACCATGCCAGCTGGGTGAATCGCCGACGAGCAATAAGATCCAGGAAATCCCTGCGACAACATTGGAATAAGGCTGGCTCATTTGGGCATGGCTGAATACTAGAGAAGCTGGCAACTATCGAGTTTAACGAAATACTCGGTTATTTCGTTCCATCAGGAGAAGATGCATGGAACTAATCGGAGAAACAAGCAATCAACATGACGGCAGCTGAACAAAATGAGGGTCATCCATTCATCCAATCAGAGGCGTTTGTCCTCGACCATTCGATGGTGAGAATCCAAGCAACCACCGTGTGTACAAGCAATTCAAGGCTCAACCTTGATGGGCGAAATACATACTCTCGTCATCAATCTATCGAGACCGCCGTCTCCCAACGTTCAACTCAAAGATGCTCTCGGCGGATCCTACAGCAAAGACTACACAAGGCACCAGAGAGACAGTTCACTCCCATCTGCATAGAGCAGCATAAAAGGTTACTCATGCGCGGAGACTTGCATTTGGCCTCCTTGGACCTAGTTGATGGTCCTGTCGTGGGTCAACACTTTATAATTATCAACTCAATGAATCGATCGCTATTATACTGTTATATGAAGGAGGACGAGGATCGCTAGCTTCGATATGAGGGCATTCAGCTTACAGATCAAGGATATGCATCATATGAAGACAAAATTTAGCGGCAAAATAGATGTTGAAGACTCCTTGAGGCATGGTATCACATATTGCCCCGTGGAGGACTTCTTTTACATCTATACAACGTTGATCTCACAAAATTTATTCTGCTTTTTATAATACATCCATCTTTGGAATCATAATGCTGCTTGCCTGTACTTTTTATCGATGTAGCAGGCGGCATAGAGAGGCTCTAAAATGCCTCTTACATAGATGAAGCATACACAAAATATATTATTTATGGAAAGGTTACCTAGCGCCCTGTTGTAGCCCAAAAAAAGTACATGTAAAAGGGATATAAAGCAGAAGATGCGATTAACCCAGTGACGATGACGGAGGAAGAACGGTACCAATGTGAACTGCTGGTCCAGGGTGTCTTTATGCTTGTGAGTGTGGACAGGATAACACATCTACAACAATCGGTCGCTTGCAACGTCGCTCAATTATTAACCTTACAAAGCTGGATGACATACAAGCTTTTGTAGTAAATATCACTCCTCAGCCCCTATCCGTTCCGTCCACCTGGATCTTTGATTCTGGTGCATCTCGCCACATGTCGGGGCACCATTCGGATTTCATCAATTTCCAACCAAGAACGGGAAACATCTCCATAGCTGGGAAGCAAAAATCCCCATTGAAAGGATTGGATTAGTTTGCGTGCTGCTTCGGCTCCCTGACGGTAGTATCCATAGGAACCTGCTGCTAATTTTCATGTGGCACCATTTTCTTGAGTCGTGACGTTACGCAGAATTCAGCATTGAGGTGGCAGGGCGGCCTCACAATGAGCCTTTGGAACCGGGGATGGCTTGGTAAAAAGCAGGTCCATATGCAGATACGACTTGAAAAAGCAAACACGATTACACGGCACGCGGAATCAAGGAAACACGAAGCAATAAGGCAAAAAACACATCTCATGACATTAAATATTGTAGCTAGTGGTCTCTTGGTCATGGCTGTTGCTGTTGCTGCTGCTGCTGTTGCTGCTGCTGTTGCCGCCCTATGTCCAAACCGTCAGTATGTAAATCGTAATGAACTGGTGATTGAACAGAAGAAGAAAACGTACCACTGCTACGACCACGACCACCGCCACGGCCCCGCCTCCCCCCGCGCCTCCGCCTACCACTATTTTCCAGGGCGATGGCACGGCGAAAATATTCTTGGAGGTGGCGGTCACGGTCTACACCGATAATGTCAGTCTTGATGTTGGTCAATCAGAATGGTGATGACGAACTTACCATTACTATCTAGGGAGGAGATGTACTCGAAATACCGGCGCAAGAATATTCGTCGGTCTATCACAGAGATGTCAGCTTTGGAATCAGCTTTGAGATCATTCTGTCAGAATGGTAACTACCTGCGGCATTGAGGGTGTTCACGAAGGCGAAAATTTGATCCCATGCGGGGGAATTTGGCTGTCGTAGTACATCATCAGTATACCGCCAATACGCCAAATTGATGTGGAAAGAGCAGACAAGAGTATCAAAAAGAGAACTTACAGAAGACATTTTTTTTGGTGACGAGAAGCAAGACCTTCGAGACGGATGAGGAACTTGATATCACAGGAGCCGACAATGTTTTGGATCTTAAAATTCGTAAAAAGAAAAAGAATCTACATATTGCCGTTAGCAAATGATGCACACTGAGCAAGAGAGAAAGTACAAGAGCCGCAATGAAGAGGGAAACAGCTGTTAGGAAAGGAAAATGGGAGACAAGAAAAGAATGCAGTCTGGAAGATGGGACATGAAGGAACTCAGGGGAGTGGACAATATGAAGAGGAAAACAAATGAGACGAGGATCAAAAGGAGGAAGATGAGAGCGCTGGTAGAGGAGAATGTTTCTAGAAGAGAATATCATCACAATATTTGGGCGTGGAAGAGAATGCAAAATGCGTTGAAGACAAAGTAGATGGAGCAGGAGAAATGATCAAGGCACCGATGATCAGAGGAGGCGAGGTGAAGAGGGCAATAGAGCAAACTTCAAAGGGTTGGGATATGCAGCGAAACAGAGAGAAGGCGCACGAACCTGAATGTCGGATGCTTGAAGAAGGAAAGAAAAGATGAAAAGAGAAGATGAAGCACCGTCAGAAGTTCTTCTAGTGCACCTAGGCCTGGCAGTCACGCGCAGTCCTTCATCAGGGCTCGCCAGTCACGGGCCGCACTTTGCAGCTGTCAGTCACCTGTAACCGAAGCGCACAAATCTTCATCTGATTCTCATATATCTATCACATTCAATGTGCACAGAGTACGCAGCATGACATTCCCTATTCTTAGTCTCAATTTGCATACAGCATTGGCGTGTAGTGGAAATCAACTGTGCCAAGTTTAGGCAACTGTAGGTACACTTAATATAGACGCAGGTCGAGGAGCCAATACTGGGATTCTGTTGTCCCATGTATTTGCCAATCTAACCTCTGAAGCACCAGCTCCTTTTCTCCAACATTCTGCTATTCGAAGTCTGATATTGCGCGCATTGCCATGTAGACTGCCATGTCGTTGGAAGTGGTCTTGTCCGACCTCCACAAATTCTTGAGCGCCCGCTGATTATGGCAAATGCCCCTGGAGCCTTGCTATATGCAGCCTAGTGGGAATGGGTCTATCGACTGTCTTGGAAGATCTGGCGCTCAGCTGTGGAGAAGATGAGATGCGGGTGACCCATTCTTTGCTCGAGAACTCAGGATATTTAGAGGCTCCCAAAATCTCTCGAGCTCCTTATGAAGCAAATAAATCTGTTGGTATAATCTGCATTGCAATACCCGACTATCACTAGCTTAAGAACAGCTTTCCTCAGCAATTGAATGGAAACCATTTTGCCCATTTTTGCCCCACTACATCGGCGGTGCTGCCCAAGGTTGTATTCTAGTTGGAAGAAGTTGGTTTGCTTGCGTGATTCGAGCGCGGCCCGTCGATGTCACTATGCAAGTGATTGAATCCCGTCCTAATCAGTAGTGCCTAAAGATTTTCTGGTGAATATTGTCAGGTAGTCCAAAGGACATGGCAATGAACTCAGCTCTATATATCGAAGAAATGGCGCCCTCCTCGCTCTTTCTCCACCATTTTTCTTCTTCTTCTTCTTCTTCTTCTTCTTCTTCTTCTTCTTCTTCTTCTTCTTCTTTTCTTCATAACTACCGTACGTTCATCCTTGAAAGGTTGGCAAATTCACGTTGATGGTAATATCACCGTGTAGGTGGTAATTATCGTGGAGGAGACCGATTGGGCTGATACTCACTGCCAAATCGCAATGAACGTCGCCGTTGTCAAGCCATCTTGAACACCTGTGATAACCAAACCCAGCAACAGAATCTGCACTACAGTCAGCAGTAATAGCAGCAAGTTGCGCCTGAAGCTGAAGAAGGACAAGAAGAGGTACAAGTCCCCGCTTCCGCCTCAGCGGCGGCACCAGCATCAGCATCGGAGGAGCTGGAAGCGGCGGCGACGGTGGCATTTCCTGTAGAAAATGATGATGTTAATAAGGATGGTGTGGTCACGGTGGTGTAGGGAGTGTTCTTGGCCGAAGCCAATGTATGTACCTACACTTCCTACCGACAAGTCTACCTACCTAGGTAGGTATCTATACAGCGAGAGCTTGACAAGGCATTTAGACAACATATTCAGACCAATAGGGCATTCCAAGTGATTCTCATCATCTTTATGTCTTATCGCAATGAGATAGCCGGCATAAGTAAATCCGTGACATCGCGTTATACCGAAAGCGGACGCTCCTTCCATACTCATGGGACACCGCCGCCGGCACAATGGGAGAAGAGCACAAATCGAAAATTGGAATTCTATCGTGGTAATCCTAGAATGCTCCTCGGTCATACAGCAAGCGATATTTCGAAGAACCAATTGGCGATCCCAGATCGCCCAGCTATATACCGAAATCATCGAGGCCGCGAAGAAGAGGGCATGATGTGGCCCCGCCAACGGAGAGGATATCGAATTGGTTCCATTCAATGGACCAATTTAGGTTGACTTTAGGTCCCCAGAAAGACATTGAAATGATGGTTGTCGATTCTTATAAAGAGTCAGGAAAGGAGACAGTGTGGTCTCGACAAGAGACAGGCGGCTCTGACAAAGAGTTGGGCGACAAGATGATTTGGTCTCGACAAGAGACTGTCGACTCTAAGGAAGAGTTAGATGATGTCTCTCTAGAAGTGTTGGCTCAGAAATCCGAGTTGAGCAAGAAGGAGTCTCGCTCGAAAATATTGTTGCAGAGACGAAGCTGAAAAATAGCTTTACTCCTCCTCCCACCAAGCCTCGACGATCAATGCGCTCGGCTGCCGTTGTTACAAAGAACAACTTGAAGAGGAGCCATGAAGCTACTGCAGAAGATGCGATGCAGGTGACGAAGAAAGCTAGCAAAGAGGTCTCTATAGCAGCCTCGGATGTACTTCGTAAAGGAAAGATGGTCGAGACAACGCGACATTGAAGATATTGGAGCTTTTTGAGAAGTATAGAACCCAACACAGAGTTAGGAATACTCCTGCTGCCTCTCTCGAGAGGAAGGAAGATGTAGTGAAGCTTGAAGAGTCAGGCTATGAAGAAGCTGGCTCTGTCCACAGTGATTATGGTGGAAATAGGAAGTCTAGAGCCAATAGAATAACTGGCAAAGTGTCCATTGATGCCACTCAAGAAGATGCACATGAGTCCAACCGTGAGCCCATTGACATTGACCCTCTTGATGCCCTCGTTGATGGCGATTGTATCTCACTAGATGATGATGAAGCCAAAGGTGATGAGAACTTTGCAATTGAGCACGATAATGCCATGAAGAATGACAACCATTCGTCAAAGCCATCACAAGACAGACCCCACACCCAGACTGCAGAGGTAGATGTAGCTCAATGGGTAAAGGAATGTAACGAAGCTTATCGTGTGGATGAAGATGACAAAGACGCGAGACGATGCGAAGGCAGCTTTGCCCAAGTCATATACGCCATATGCAACTGGGCCACAGACATCCCAGACACCTAGTCTGAACTGCCAAGAAATGATAGGGAGATGGCAATGAGCTGCTATAGCCATTTTGAAAGAGCTGCAGGCAACCCCAACAGTCTATTGGAGATTATCTTGCAAAGAATTCCGCTGCAGACGCGAAAGGTGCTTGGAAAAGCAGATTTGAAGGCGACAGACCTTCTCGACCTCCCGTCGATCCCTTTCAAGTGCATGCATAGGTTGGTGTATATCGATGTGGCTACGGAGCTACGTGAGGAACAAATTCACCGGGAGAAGAAGTTTGACAAGTCCTCGAGATTATACAAGGAAGCAAAGTCCTTGGTCAATGCGGAAGAAGCATCGAAAGTCAGTCTTTATGTAGGTTCTTCCATCCGCAAGGGAGGATCGTGGAAGCGAATTCAGGAGCATTATGCAGCGGCAAACAATCCTGAAAGCAGTGGAAACATGCATTATCGTGAGATATCGAAATCCAACGTCGTTACTAATTTCAGAGTGCTCGGCGTGTGGAAAAATACATACATCAATGACAGCCATGTTGGCCAAGATACCGGCAAATGGATCACCCTAGTTGCGGAAGCGTTGATGGTGGTATATCTAGGCATTTATACAGAGCAAAATGCGGTAACATCAAGAGCTTAGCTTTGCACTCCAGCTTCATATAACCTAGTGAAGCGCATTAGAAGCGGAATCTCACTTCCCGATTTCTCTAATATTAGTCTTAGTCACGCCTGGCCGCTCTGTCAGAAATTATGTGGTAGAGCGAAATGAATGAGTGAATGTATCAACGCGGAGTGCCATCAGCCACAAAAGTTGTCAAAGAATACCATTCCTAACACCAAGACCTACAACGAATTCTCAAGTGGAGCACCCTGTAAGGAAGAGACTTGGCCTGTGGAAGTATTTGGTTCTCTTTCGCCAACAGTTTTGACCTGCCATCTCCAGGCGCCTCCCGGAACGCCTCTGCGCTCGCCTCAGCTTCTACCTCTGCATCTGCCTCCTCGAAACCTCCACTTCAAGTTGTTGGCCGAGTATATACCTAGGCGCTGACACAATTGCATTAGGATGGTACTCCCAGCTGCCGTGTTGAGCTACAGCAGGATGCTTGGTAGCTTCCCCTATCAAGAGCTTCCATTTTGATGAGTGCAAGGGTGATTTCATGTGTATGTTGAGCGCAAAATGACATTAAGAGAGAATAACCTTGTCGACAGAAAAAAATATACACAATGGCTTCGGCCCTTGTCTGCGTCGCTTGTCGATTGCAGTCTGAATTAACCTATAATTGGTCATTTGCACCACTAAGACTAAAGAGAACCATAAACTACCTAGGTATATTAAAAAGATTTATTTCCAAAAGGGTGAAAGACAATAGCGATGCCCAGAGGAGTGGGTTGAACGAAATGACAAGCACTTCGCCGCAACGACCGCGAGGTCAAAGTAAGTTCATATATAGTAATAGTATGTTGAGGAACATAATCGGACTTGGATGCTAGTGCATATATATGTTTCGACTTCCGGGGCTGTACTCGAAGTGGATGAATCAGTCAAAGTAGTTCCGGAAGCGGCTTTGGCCAGCGAGGCTTGGGGGGGAGAGGAGAGCTGGTCGAGATTGGGTCAGTAATTCGCCCATATTACAGCGAATACCGAGGCAACAGCAACAGCGGCATCCGTCTGTCTATCATCGTCATTCTGGCCTACAACTTTGTATTTATCATCACTAGGGTAAAATGTCGACAGAGTGATGCCGCATCTGTAATATGCCAGCACCCACCCTTTTAGTAAAACTGCAGACGTCCAAGGCTTGCACAAATGCTAGTCCTATTGCTAAAGGCCTTAATCAGTCCTATGAACGCATATATAGATATTATAAATATCTTAGTATAATATCCCAACGCTGCAATACCTACATCAGCCTACTCAAAATACGGGTCCTGAAACGAAAGCCGGCCGAAGACTGCGCGTACTATTCTGAACCACATGCAGTAAATCAAGCTAATAAATGCTTTGCAAATATTTCATATAATTAAAATCTACAGAATTTCGTGCTGTTCCTTAAACTTGTAGATATAATATATTGGCTTCTACACTGGTCGTCGAAACGGGTGTGCCTCCGTGTTGAAAACGTACTCATCCAAAGACATCAAATCAGAGTCGCTAAAGATGAGGTAGAAATACTTGACGGTTTCACCTAACCAGAACGTCTTCATTGTTGTCTGTTAGATTATCTTTCTTCACAAAGGGTAACAGGAAACTCACCTCCATCGAATCACCCTTCGGGCCCAAGCTCACCGTCACATCCCTGACAATGGCAAACGCCAGCTCCGTCTCCGTCTCTCTGACAATATTCTCCCACATTCGCCACGCGGCATCTCGCCAGGTTTGATCTCCTGTGATGCGCCACATGTAAAACACGCTCTCAATGGCTTCGGGTCGCAACAGGTAGCTTGTGCCCTGGACACTTAGGAATCCGCCGGGCCTCCTGGGATCATCAGTAGGGGGCATATGCTCTGCGTTGAATGGACATGGGCCGTCTAATTTTGCACACGCCACGAAAGTAGCAGACTCTGGCATTATGCCGGACGGCATGGCATCGTATTCCCACACACAACCGGCCGTGAGACGAGAGCCCAGGTCGACATAATCTAACTTGTCTAGTAGCTTGCCTGCCAACGCGTACATACCGCCGGCGAAGCAAGTCAGATGGTCCATCTTAGCTGTAAACGTAGCATTTCGAGTGTTGTCGTCTATCTCGACCTCGCCCGCCAGAAGTATATTTGCGTCACCGGGAGTCATTGGACGAAACAGCAAATTGTCTCTGATAGTGTCGAGAGCCTTGATCGCCATTTCAGGGTACTCAGTGTCGAGTCCTCCCAGGAGAGGGTGCATCTTGACCAGGTATTCGTACTGAGAGTCGGCACTACCTGCAATTGAATAGTGGCTTTCAAGCATTTCCTCATCGCGGTAGTTCATCCAGATTGGCCACATGCCAGGAAGAGTAGTCTCGTTTTGGAATCGGCGGAAGAAAATCTTGATTCGTTCAACGGCATCATAATATTTGTCATTTTTGGTCAGCACTGCAAGCCTGGTAAATTCCATGCACAAAGTTCCTCCAGCAGCCGCGCTCATCTTGGCATCAGCAGTAGTTTGGCCCTGCTTCGCCTTCTCGTAGTCTAACCAATGGGAAGGCAGACGGTTGGGTGTATCAAAGGTGGCATAGAGGGTGTCGCCAAGCTCAACAGCCTTTGCGAGCAAAATGGGCTCCTGAGAGAGATCGTATGCGGCAAGCAGTCCGCCGAGGTATCGAATCGTCACCTCAAACAAATTCACCACACGGTTATCTTGAGTCTTTGACCAGTCAATCAATGCCACTTCCTTGACGGCCTGGGAAAACTCGTCTTTCAGTCCCATAATCCAGAGGGTGTCCAAGGCATCGACCAGCTGTGCCGACCATCCGCTAAGCGACGTCTTGCCCTTGGCCGACAGCGGCATCAGCTCGTCCTTGGTCCATGCGAATTTCTTATAGGCCTCCCAACTCTTTAAGAATGCCTTTTTGACAGCCTGCATCTTGGCCTCTTGACCATCGGATCGCTTATTCGACTGTATCTGCGGGAGCTTCTTGGGAGATCCGGTGGGAAGTCTCTTCATGTCCGTCGGAGGATGGTAGACTTTTGCTTTGGACCAGTCGTAACTTGAGGGCACGTACGGGTACTTGAATTTACCGCCGGCTGGCTGTCGCCGAGGAAGGATATCGAAGCTGCTCCATAGCAAGAGGGCGATGCAGACGAAGAAAAGGAGCGCGGCATATCGGCGGGAAATCATGGTGTCTATTCGGTGTGCGAAGAGCACATGGTCTTCTCTCTTCGATATGAGAAAGAAACAAAACAAAACAACACACAAAGACCGAAAAGCAAAGCAGATGGCACGCCTAAGAAAAGGAGAGGTTGTCAAAAGAAGATTTGAGGCACGAGATCCGGCCTTGGAAATGTTAGGCGGGGAGCGTTAGTGGCTGGCTGTGGGCGCAGCCGCCTTGGCGAAGTCCCCTAACACCGGGCCTCGGCCTAAATTAAGCTATAGCAATTTGGGAGCTTGGATCCGGAATTCATCCATGGGGTCTGACAGCTTGGAGAGAAGACGGAGGGTATTAGACGTGCTTATAGCCGCAGACTTGGCTATAGATACCACCAAGGCTCTCTGCTACTTCTTCGCTTCACAGTCTTTTCCCAGCATCGAATTTCTTTTCCTTCTCTCTTCGGCTTCGCCTTTTAGCCTGTCTCCGAAGCCAAGCAATTTTAGCGTGGCGGCTCTGATCCAGCTTAAAATATGGAGATGCTGCGCTTGATTGGCCCAAGCTTCTAAGCTATCGGGTAGGATATCCATGAAACGGATGTAACAGCAGATGGATGGCTCACTAGATCATGTACCTAGATGTTACTAGTATTATTGGCACTTTGCACACTCAGAGCCTCCCCTCTTCCGAACAACTTGAAGTACTTATGATAAGGCATAGTACTAGCATACACGCATATATGGATCTGGAGTATGGAGCCGCTCCCCTATTCTCTCAAGCTACTTACTAGATGTTAGGCAATTGATATCGTGCCATGACAGCATTCGGGATTCTGGTAACCTCAAGATATTGAATACAGCATTCAATTTGGTTCACTTTTTGCCAGCATTCAAGGAATAATAATTGTGTGTGTAGTCAGAGCCGATATTGGCGGGGTAAACGACAGCTTTTTTCTGACATTTGTTCAATTGCACGGGCCAGCATAGGATTCGGACTGTTCAGAAGTCTCGGGTTTGAACTATTATAGCGATTACGTGCTGCTGCAGGATATACCAATCAGCTAAGCGTGCCACTGCCTACGTTTATACTCCTTAATTTTCCAAGGGCAGTTTGTTTAGAAATTGTAGCACCCGGCCCCTACAACTTATTCCCCGGGCGACTGTTGAAAGAGAAGGCATATAACAAAAAATGGTAGTACATACATGGTCGCCGTCGTTGGCTTGACTATAGAAGAGCGGACAGGACTTCGCCTGCCTAAACCTGCTTGGTTGTGCACATCAAGGGACTTTGCCAGTGACTAAGCTGTCATTATGCTGTTGGTTGCTCCCTCTCGACTGACACTGGCCACATCCAATTCTCGTGCGGTCTTGTATCAGCTTTGAACAAGTACCCTGGGCATCTTGGTTCCCTCAACTATTCCTCCGCCCTCAATGATTGAACCGGACGGGTTTTTTGTCTCTGGCCACTCGGACGATGCAGATCCCCACGCTTCCAGTGAAAGATGGCAATGCTGTCCCCATGGTAAGTACAACTTCTCCGCCAGGCCATTTCCACAAGGGAAGTGACACTAAGCCAATCCTCCCAGCTCGGAATCGGCACCGGGACTGCTTGGTACAAGGATAGCCCAGACGATCCTTTGAATCCACAGCTCGTCGAGCTACTAAAGACAGCCCTTGCACAGGGCTATGTACATGTCGATACTGCAGACTCGTATGGAACTGAGCGAGAAGTTGGCCTAGCAATACAACAAAGCGGTATTCCACGAGAGAGGCTCTTCATCACCACCAAGGTTCAGCATGGATGGGAAAATGTTGCTGCAGCTTTGGACGCCAGCCTTGAGAAACTGGGGTTGGAATACGTGGATTTGTAAGGCTTTCCACCTAGTACAGAGCTCACCTTACTCACAAAGAGCAGGTACCTTTTGCACAATCCTTACGTGATTGCATCCAACGAAGGCATACAAGCAGCATGGAAGGGCCTCGAGACCGTCAAAGCACAAGGAAAAGCCAGGTCCATTGGCATTTCCAACTTTCAGAGGCATCACGTTGAAGCCCTCCTCGAGACATGCACTATCAAACCGGCAATGAATCAGCTAGAATTCCATCCCTATCTCCAGCGCGCCAACGACTTCGTGCCTTGGATGCGCGAACATGGTATCGAGGTATCGTCCTTTAAAACTTTGGCACCAATCACTGTGGGCAAAGGAGGGCCTCTAGACGAGCTGCTTCCGTCGCTCGCAACAAAGTATGAGGTAGCTGAATCGGTAATACTGCTGAGCTGGTGTATTGGACAGAATATTGCTCCCATCACAACAACTTCTAGCCAATCTCGCCTTTGCGAGTACAAGGCAGCTACTCGGGTAGTCCTGGAAGCGGCGGACGTCGAGATAATTAGTCAGGCTGGGTTGAAGCATCACTTTAGGTGGTGGGGAAAGAATTTCTTTGAACCAGACGATAGATCTTAGAAGCTCCCAGGCAAGGGTAGACTAGTAATGAAGCTATGAGTCTATATTGTCTGGAAGTGATTGTTCTTACATGGAGTTTCCGCACACTTGGCTGGCCTTTTCTACTTTCCGCGCATCGGCGAAATTCGCAGGCCTACCACATATACCATACATGTAATTAGTAGTGTTATTAAATTTGCACCCGAGTTTTTATTTCTTTAGTTATATATGAGGTGTATTAAAGTTGTGTTAGCTGCTTGCGCTGTTTGTCCAATGAAAAGTTGTTATTGCCGAGATCTGCAAAGTGGCAAAATGACCTGAGAAAATGAGAGATGCTCAGCTTGGACACCATTCTGCCCTGAACAGCACCACTGCGCAGAACTTGAACATTCCTGCCTCTCTTTTCTACCCATTTCCACCTTTTAAAGCTAAACGGCTCTTAGGCATATCAAAATTGTTGGGCTATGCAGCATTCCAACCCGAGGCTTTGACCATTGACGCTACAGGATCATTGATGTGTTTGTGAGGGAGTTCATCAGGTGTTCATGAAGGCTACATGTAGTTTGACCTCTACGGACCCGAATGGTTAAACGAGGAACGTGACGTCTGTGACCCGATACGCTTAAGATCTAGATGTCAGCTAGATTGGTTGACTGTGACTGTAAACATCTTTCGATTAGTCCTCACACTATCAGTGCGGCGGGATCAGAAGTCAGCGCTTTCTCGTAAATTTGCCCAATCACATTTGCAGTGGAAATGGACAGAATCGATACCAACCATGAAGATCAGAAGGCTCTGGAAGCTCGGAAGACTTCCATTCATGACACTTTGGTATTATTGACACATTATTTTCCCACATACGACGGGACAAACCATCTTTACTCCCAGTGGGACCGTTGTGCTGCACTTCATCATCATATTCAGGCTCTCAGAGACAAGGTGGCTGCCTTGAAACCCACAGAGACAATCGACGATGGTGACCAAGAGCTATATAATAAGCTCATACACGATGACATCTGGTGTGGTATCATTTTGCAATGAAGACCGTTAGCATTGGTTCTAATTCAGCTCTAGGTATATGATCGAGATTCAGCAATTTTTGGATGCCGAGCGTTCCCTCTTTTCTCTTTTAGAGAACGCAGACAATAATCCCATATTCGCTGCCAAACTTCACCGAAGCCTGCTAGGACTTTATGAGAGAACTGGCCGTAGCATTCTTGCCAAGAAATCTGCGTCCTTGGAGTTCGAGATTATTGAAAGAGATTCTCAGACTGTGAGCAACGATATTGCTAATGCCTGGAGCAATATGGACTACACAAGAGTTTCTGCCTTTGAGGCTTTAGATGGGATAATATATCTTGATAAGGCGATCTTGATGGCTAAGGATGTGCCTGAGCCAAGGCGCTACCAACAGTTCAGCATTGACCGCTTCTTGCGCAACAGAGGACGAGCCAACGCGCAACTGCAACGCCTCGAAGTCGCTTTGAGTGATTTTTATCAAGCTGAGTACTACCAAGAGAAAATCCATGGACCAAGTAGTCATTATGATGGAGAGTGAGATAGCTCCCTATCCATGTTTTCTTCAAAGCACAATAGTTACTAATGCAAATAATCTTTTAACTCATCCAGGACACAATATGAGCGTGCCAAGATTGAAGCCCGGCGAGGCAACTTTGAGAGAGCGTACTCACTCGCCTTCAAAGCTTGTGATCTGGTATCTGTAGATAAGCCTACACATGCAAGTGTGATGGCAGCACAGTACCTCCTAGGATGGATTGCTATGCTCCAAGGAAAAAATACTCTTGCGTTGAAGCACTTTGAGAAATCGCTGGCTATTTCAAAACCCAATGAGCACCAAAGAGGGAACTCGGGCGAATCGGCCAGGATTGAATGGCGTATGTCACAGGTCTTGGAGCGCATGGGCAGACAAGAAGATGCCATGACTCTTCGAGAGGCGGCTGTAAAGGTCAAAGCTAGCCTGCTTGCTACCGGGGACTATGCTCAGGTTAAAGATGAGGAAAGTTCCTGGGATGCTCTGGTCGGCTTACTTTATCGTTGAGGAAGCTGCAGAGCCAGTTTTTGTTGGTAGTCACAAGCATTAAGAGATTGTTATCTGGGGAATACACTTGTTACGGACTGACGGACCTATGCCACGAACAAGATCAGAGTCTCGTAAGGCCGAGGGTGAATGCGCCAACAGTATTGAATGAGAATTATCTGAGGAGTAAAAGGTTACTATGCAGAACTTGTCTATGTATAGCACACGCGACAACTGACGCCGTAGGGCAACCATCATCTTTATTTAGATTACCTCCTCCTTCATTTTCTTTTCCATCATCTCCCAGAGACCCTTTGCTCTGTATCCAGACAGCCAATAGTTACCCTCGGCATCTTTCCCCACGATAATGATTCCATCCGAAAAGTTGTATGGACCCTGTACGCTCTGCACATAGGATGGTTTCAATGGTGTCTGCCGTAGCGTCACAGTCGCAGCCGATAGATCGACATTAAACATGTTGCCCTTTTGCCAATTAGAGTACATAAACAAGTGCATCGAGCTGTCACCGAAGAATGGAGGCGCCCTGTTGGCTGGGTCAAGCCGGACCAGCGATGTGTAGGCCTCGACTTGTTCGCGAGAGCCTTGCTCCTTAATCGAGCGACGGATCTGGGTTGCTACATAGCTGAGTGGCTTCTGAAGCAGATCTTTAACCGGCATTAGAGTACTAAGAAAGCCAACGCAGTTGCTGAGAAATGGACGTTTATCTGGTAGCAGGTCCGCCAACACCGGCCTCCATTGATAAGCTTGTTGTATAGCAACCTGGATGGCAAGGTTAGCATACAGTCTTTAGTGGTTCGGTATATATGAAGACTGGCTACTTACTATTTTCTCCGAATCCTTTGAAAGATTAGCCATTGCCAGACGCGACATCCAAGCCAAGAGGCAATCCCCTTCGCTTATGAACGGGACCTCCGGATCCTCGCTATCAGCCTGAGCAGCAAGTTCTGCGAGAGCCTTCTCTCTCAACTTTGCGAGGTATGCTGCAGGCACGCAGACCATACGATGCTCTTTCTTGCTGACTATCAAGCTATAGGAGTTCTGAAGTACCCACAAGACAAGGCCCAGCTTGGACACATGGTGTTTGGCGAGGACATGGGCCTCTGTGGGTTTCTTTCCAACATGCTCTAAAACATACTCGTGGGGGGCCAATGGCTCCAAGATCTCATTTTCTCTGCCCTGAAGCATCAGCATCCAGGCATCGAGAAGAGCCCGTTTTGCTGTTGCGTCAAAGGCGAGGTGTAACCAGTGGAGGATGACGACTGTCGAGTTCTTGAATGAGACGACACGTAGACCAAGCTGAGGACGGTCGGTATATATGTAATCATCGAGCGTTTTAGGTACCTCGTGGCCATAAATCAGCTCTGAGAGGTCATCGGGATCTCCCACAACTGCCGGCTGGTCCTTGCAGGGACGGGGTATACACGATGCAGCGGGATGGTCTTCCTTGGCCAAGGCGCTATAGTCCACATGGCTGAATCCCACTGCCGGGCGATCTGAGGTGAATTCGGCTGGTATATGGTGCTCCAATTCTCCACGATCCTAAATGGGGCACGGCTGTTAGATATCAGCGCCGGCCGGTGGGAGGAGGCTCACATTTCTTCTCAGCCGAGCACCCAGCTTGTTCCAGCCAGGACGGCTCACGACACGTTCCAGCGAGGTGCGCAGCCTCTCAGGATCGAGTACATCGTCAAAAACAAACAGGGTGTATAAGACAAACGTTCTGAAAATAATAGTGTCGTCAAAGAAGCCGACCGGGACAACGAGATCAGTCGGCACGCGCTGGGGCGCCTTTGGCGGACTAGAAAAGAGACCAAACATGTTTGTCAAGCGTTGCTCTTCGGAGGTAGAAAGATGGTCATCTCATTCCATTATATACGCAAGGAGAACAAGGAAATCTTGTGCCAGCTGCCGCGGTTCTGTACCTGATACGTATTCTTCGTTAACTCACTTCTACCGCTGTTGGTTGATGTGTTGATGACATGTATCCATTATACTCCAAAATTGAATCTCACTCACACAGGCGGTCAGCAACCTCTATAGAACCAGCATGCACACCGTATCTATTCCCTCATGAGATGTATGTATCTTCGACAGTGGGTCTTTCTTTTTATACCTAGGTAATACTTGTTGGTTCCACTTTTGGTTTAGTAATTAATTATTAGGGTCTGGGTATATTACTTTGCAAGTATTATAAAAGGGAAAGGTAACTGTAATTTATTATTTAAATAGCTTACTTGTGTTGTACAAATATTATAAAAAGTGGTTTTTATAAAGAAGAGTTATCTAGTACCCTGATTCTACTATCCAGCACTTTAACTATAATATAGGCTACTACTACTACTGCCACTACTACTAGTATTACTGCCGCTATCTTTAATAGATTTAGTAATAATGTATTTCAACATATGGATTAGCTGCCTTATCATGCTATAGCTGTGCCGTTAAATAATGGAATTGGCGTGCTGGATAACTTTTCCCTTTTATAAAAGGTTTGGACTTGAAGGGATAACTTGAAATGTTTTTTTTTTTTTTTTTTTTACAATAGCTTTATCATCTGCACGCCTTTCGAATCTTATATACAATGACATCGAATATACAAACAGTGGTATACTCGTACGGTTGATTGGGATCATTATATTTGTCGTTCTTTCGCTTCCTGGCTTGTTGTGGCAAACTTCTATTTCACTGATCAACATTGTCGGTATAACGGCCGACATGGCTATCATTGCAGGTAAATTCCTTTCGCGTGTGACCATCGCCGTATCAGGGTAACAAGAGCGGCTAGACTCTCAAAAGTTGGGTGCGCTCCCCAAAACATGGAGGCTTTGGAAATATTGACTGGCATAGATACTATCTGCGTCGACAATAGCAGCATAATTACAGGAAATTGATACATACTCGTGAACCTATAGCGTCTCTTGTGGTCCAGAGACTATTATTCTGGCTGCCATCTCAAGAATTACCCAGAAAAACAGCCGTGATGCTCTTCATGGTGCTATATCGAGAACGCCCAGGCAATTTCCTCAAGCTAAAGCCAGGCGGGATCACTATAGGATCATTGACAGCCAAGAAATAGACTACGACGTAGGACGATTCTATACGTAGTGTATTATCGAAGAAGATGGTACGAGGCACTTCTTCGCAAGTGGACATCCATAGTCAAAAGTCCGCACCAGCTTATCATCAGAATTGCGGCAAGAAGCTGAGACAAGCCGTCAGAACATTTCGAGGCCAAGGCTTGGGCTCGCTTGGCCTTTAAAAAAAGAGGAAAATGGGAGTTTCTGGGAGTTCTTCCATTTTTCGAACCGCCCAGACAAGGCACAAGACTGGCCCTCAAGCTAGCCGCTAAGCTTGGAGTCCGCGTGAAGGTGATGTCGGGCTGGCATGAAGCCTTGGTCGAGAGATCTGCTCGAGTTGCTGCAACCGAAGAATCTCTACTTCGCGCCGACATGATTGACGACTTCCAACGGGACCAAAATGACAAACTCGCGACACATGTCAGCGAGGCTGATGTGTACACCGAGCTGAACGGCAGGCATAGAGAAATGATGTGAGCGATACTCTAGGGCAGTGGTCACCGCGTGGCTATCACGAGAAGTGACACATCACATATACTTGCTTTACGAAAGGCCGACTTTGGCATAGCAATAGCAACATCAACAGAAATAGCTCAATCAGCTTCTGAGCTAGTCTGTGATCAAGGGACTTATGGCTTGCTTCCATTGATGTCTGCTATACGGTTATCACGTCAAGACTATTAATGTGTATACAATTACCTTGTGTGACAGACTGTCCGAACGTGCCACGTCCTGCTTACAATGCCATTTGTTTTTTGATTGATGGAAAGCTACTGGACTTGAGATTGCTGCTCATAACTACGGAACTTATCGAAGCTGTACATATGTTGCTTGGTCCAGAAACACCTTTCTAGAGGAAGCCCACATGCTGGAGTAGGAGGGAACAGCTCCGGGTCCGTATGTGGGAAGAGCTCTGGGTCCTTTGAGTCTGAGCTTGGACGCGTAACGCGCGGGCTGGAAATCGTCCAGCGTTGCGTAGGTGGTATAAGTTCTTCCACGTTTGCGGGCTCGGATGGTTGTAATTGGGCGTTTGTAATTTTCTCGGGAGGAAACGTCCGTTGGCCTGCCTCGGGGGAGCGGGTTTTCGCTCTTTTTTAGGCATAGGGCCCTTCCGGTGGCAGGGAGGAGATCGGACGATCATATGTGTAGGTGCGTCGTAGTCACAAGGACTAAGATTTCGTAACAGTCTCAATAAAGTCAGTCGGTCATGACGCTGTATGCAATTGCTACCATATCATGGAATGCATGGGTCGTAGGAGGTCGGACCTTAAACATGACGCCTACAGATCACAGCATAGGAGCACATTCATAAGGTTAAAGAAGCTTGATTCTGGGCTATGGTGCGGGCTCTGCTGTGACTATATATATAGATCTACCTCCTGTCTCTTTCCTTCTCCGGGGATGTCAGGGCAGGAGTCCCTTAACAAAAAAGGTCCTTGTAGAGGTAGGGTCGCTTACTCTTTTTTGCCATCTACGGGACCTTTCTTCACGTATATTACTTGCCCTCGGCGGAAAGGCTACAGATTCTGTCATTTTTATTCGCGATTAGAGACGTGTGGATCGCTGCTCTGACGCAGGTAGGGCCTTCCAAGAACACCATTCGTGGCAGTCTAAGAAGCTTTGGTCCTCAGCTGACTGCCCACCTACTTGTCACTGCAGTGTGTGTCACAGGTTGGGTTGGTGAATCATTATCTGTACGTATGAAAACAGCATTTCAAGTTTTGCTGTATGTTTAGGCACCTTTGTGACAGTTGGTGCTGTGAATTTATCATTTGATCTAGTTACAACCCAACCTTTATCGTCTTAATAAAAGGCTTCTTGGGTACAGAACAAATATTATGTAACTAGATTCCCCGTTACGCAAGTAAATTTAAAGGAAAAGTTGTTCAGCACTCCAATTCAGTTATCTAACACTCTAGCTAACATCCGTACGTGTATGTAGGCTATTAAGTACTACATCTACTACATCTACTACATCTACTACATCTACTACATCTACTACATCTACTACATCTACTACATCTACTACATCTACTACATCTACTACATCTACTACATCTACTACATCTACTACATCTACTACATCTACTACATCTACTACATCTACTACATCTACTACATCTACTACATCTATTGGAAGCAACTCCTCTAGCTCGATGCCCCTCGAGGCAGGTCAAGCCCCTTAGGGCCCCTTTGGAGGAAGGACCCCTCGGCCTATTATATATAGTGCCGAGCCCCACGCCTCTTAGCTGATAGCAACCTAGCCTGATCATCATCACAATACAATCACTACGTTCACTCTCTTGTGCCTCGTTCAATAGGTTATGAGCCCTTGTGCTTTAAACATCACGACTATAGCCTCTCTTCAACTGCTCACCGTTCACATCGCGTCCCTCGCCCGAAGTTGGGCCCCTTCGGTCGATTTTCGTCGCTCTTCTTGTTCTTTCATGTAGCGTTCGCGTTCTTCCATGTTCTTTTAACTTCTGCTTGTATCCGAGCTCTCATGGCTTCCTCGGCGGCTTTGCTTGATGCTTCAATTTCCGCGTAGCTCGGGCGAATTCGCGTGTCTCCCTTCTCCGCCTCTCTGTACAGGGCGCTGTAGTCGTTCAAGTTGAGGTCTTCAAGTTCTTTTCGCACGCACTTGTCGATCGCGTCCATTCTGGCTGGGAACAAAGCATGTAGGAACACGTATCTGGGCCATGTAGCTTTGTGTTTGATCAGTCGGTCCAGGGCGTGGTTTCTCCTACATCTACTATTGCTGTTATTCTAAAGTGTATTCAGAAGTTTTATATTTTGATATGTGGACGGGCTGTTGGGGGACTCTTGCCCTGACATCCCCAGGGTGGAAGGAGATATGGGACCACCCTATATATATAGCTAGACTAGATCCTGCATCATGAGAAGAGACAGGCCTTTCTACCCCTTACACTGTGCATATACGTTCCATGACGTTCCAGGCACTACATGAGGGGATCGCTTCATCCACGATATGGTAGCAATTGCTGGTTGCTAACCCACGATCGACGACCACCGAGAGACATCCATCGTCTTCGTGACGTAAAACGATCAAAACACACCTCCAACGAGCCCGATGCCCGCTAAGGAAAAACAAAATACACAACCCAGGCAAGCCAACGGCAGATTTCTACCACGGAAGATCGCAGCAGTGAGGGGATCGCTTCATCCACGATACGGGCTGCCTTGTTGAGCTACAGCTGGGAGGCTAAATAACTTCTCCTACTTTAAAGTCTAGAAGCTACTACATCGTGCTTCTCTCGTCTTTTCCTTTAGGGACATGGCTTCATTTTAGCCGTAGAAGCCCTTGCTTCTAGTCAAGCGGTAGAGATGATACATATAGTATTTGTCGAAAGCCTTCTAATGGCACATATCTCGTTTAATCAGCGTAATAATGTTTTCGCTACACTTTGTCTACTGGTTCTAGTACCCCAACGTGATATACCTTCTCCTTGCTAGTATCTATCTTGTAAGGGATCATTTCTCTTGTCTGGTTTAGATGAACGCTTCCCCATCTCAGATACTCTCCAAATGTTTGGGGCTCACAGTCTTTTCCTTCATTCTGGGGCTGATCGAGAAGATCCGCGAGAAAGTCCTTTCCGCCGGGATGTCCATGGGAAAGCTTCATCGTTGAGCTGTTGGCCAGTGCATCATGAACGAAATCCTGCGCTTCGAGCCATTTCTCCCGCACTTCATCCGACTCACTGCCGTCCAACCCGTCCCTTCGCGTCGTCAGATAGCCGAGCTGCTGAGGACCAGACCATTTCGTTTTCGGCTGCACGTAGTATGTCTCCTGCATTGCTTTTGCGAAGAATATATTCTCCCGATAGTACTTTGGCCCATCGAAACCATCACTAGGATCGATAAGCTTCCGAAGCCGCTCCAAGGCCACGAAATGAGCGAGATAGTCGGTAAAGGACTCCATTGTCACATCCAGCTCAAGCTTGCTTTTACTCAATGGAGGATTCAACAGCGGCAGATGCCTCAGAAGGGGGTGTTTGTGAAACCCATCAGCATTAGTGACCCCCGTCCACATGGTGAGATAGATGTCATGCCAGCGTTTGATAAAGGGATTGTTCCTCTTGGCGGCAATGAAGCCGTTGATCATGGCATCTTCATCGGGGCGTAGACGGAGCACGAAGCCAGCCATCTCATATGGCGTGGCCGGGTCCTCAATCTGCCGCCAGCAGATGTCATCGATGTGTCGAAATAAGAGAGTTCCGGCATCAAGCCATACGCCGCCATATAGCCATAACAGAGGCAGCCTAACTAAATCACCCGAGTGCTGCCCCACGCTCGGTCCGTCCATTGTGCCATTTAGGAAGGCATCCGGCAGATATCCGTCGGGAACAAAATGGCGGACATTTGTTTGGGAGCCGGAAACGCAGTCAACAACGTGGACAGTCCAATCGGGGCCCAGCCGACGGACCCAGTTGATAACGTTACGACGGCACCATGGCCGCATGGAGAGAAAGCCGGAATGCCAGAAGGCCCAGACGTTCTTATCAGAGCTCACGGCGTGGCGGGTGGTAAGCCATGCCGAAATCTCTTCATCACTACGGTGGTCGGTGATGATGGGGGAGACGGGGACCAGGCCGGGTGGTAAAGTGGACAAATCAGGCGGATTTGTAATTATAAGAGGTGCGATAGGAGGATACGACCTGGGCGTAGATGGGGACATGGTAAGCTTCCAAGCTTAGGGGATCAGTCTGTGAAATGGGAGTTGCGTTGGTTCAGAGGACTTGTGCTGCCAACTTGGTAAGGAGTTTATAAAGCCCCATAAGCTGTGAAGGGTGCTGTTGGGACGCCTTGTGTTCCCTTGGCTCCACTTCAATGGTCTTGAAAGCCATCTGCCTGTCTATTTTAGACTATGTCCCAGAGAGAGAGCAAGTGTACTAGTAGGTATTACAACATGGTAGAAAGTTGCGGTAAGTTGTTAGTTGCTACATGTAACTACCTCTCTGAGTTAGACTAGGGCCATAATGCATGTAGGGCTCTGTGAGATTAGATCCGCGAGTTGTAAACGTCCAACCGGAAGCATCGGTACTCCGCGGAACACAGCTTATCAAGTACACGCATGCCTAGCAAGGACACACGTTACAGCGAGTTGATCATGCGCGGAGACTACGATAAGCCTTTGGATGGAACCGACGCCAGAAGGCGGGATAGACCAGATAGCGGCGAGGACCACATTGTCTGTAACATTCATGGATGAGATGCACTCAATCCTTCTTCCTGTCATCCTGCCCGGATATAAGCATAAGGGGGAATCCTGGGGCACCTGGTAGTGTCGCATCGTAGACTATTAGATCTTACATCTAGGGTGGGGTCGCAGATCTGACGGTAACCACATACTACATGGTAGCTGAGATTCTGGTGTTGACTATCTACATACAACGTGCTATATGCGACATGCAGCGTATCTGAGCTCTCAGGTAGGCAAACTAAGCAAAAGGCCACCTTGTCCCGTGTGCTTAATTATTGGTCTCTCGTGCTGTCTTCTTCAGTTCATGTAGCCACTCTTCTGCAGACGCATCCGTTTTGCGTGAAACTTGATGTTACTTCCAGCCATATTCAATCACCCGTGTCAACTCAAGTAACGCCGCCATGCCTCACTCAACTCTAACCCGTCCCAAATCATTTCATGCCATCGTTCTTGATCTGAATGGCGTCCTTCTTTCGTATGGGGGCTCATTCCCCTCAAGCGTCTTGAAACCCAGCCAGATCAAGAACGTGCTCGACTCGCCAACATGGTATGACTATGAGTGCGGGAAAATCTCATCTCGTCAGGAATGCTACCAAAGAGTCTCTTCGGAGTTTGAGATGGACGTTGATGTCTTCTCAGATACTCTTGAACAGCTCACCAAAACAGTCAAGCCGCATTCTGAATTCATAGCCGCCATCAAGAATATCAAAGCAGCCTTTCCAGAAATCAAGGTCTATGGAATGAGCAACATTTCGCAGCCAGACTATGAGTTTTTGAAGCCAATGATCTCCTCTTGGGGTATTCTAGATGGATTTCAGGCAAGTGGGCAGGCTGGAGTGAGAAAGCCGGACAATGCCTCGTATATAACGTTTCTCCAGAAATTCGAGCTTGATTCCGCCAGATGCGTGTTCATCGACGATAGCGTTGAGAATACCGTTGCAGCTTCAGCATTAGGATTCAAAGGAGTGAAATATAGCAACCCAATAGAGGTTGAAAGGACGCTGTGGAATTTGCTGGGGTCTCCCGTGGATCGCGGCATGGAGTATATGGAGAGAAACGCAAAGAAGATGATGTTGGAACTAAGCACCGGAGGAGAACAGCCTGATAACTTTAGCCAGTTTATAATCTTGGAGCTGACACAGGATGAGTGAGTGCCCCTGTGACTATCTGGGTCTTCCAGAAGGAAAGGAAAATTTATCACTAATAAGTATACAGGCGCTTGATCAAGCTGGAAAGAAAGCGAGGGCCGACCTGGAACTATTTCCACCACAGCAACACGTTCAACGGCACTACTTACAGCGATGACTGCGATACCACCTCGTACGCCATGTGCACACTGGACGATATCCCTGCTCATGAGAAAGAGGCAGCAATGGATATCATTCTCAATAATCTCAGTCCAGACAACCTACCATTAGTAAGAATTACTCGATCTCTCATTTAACACATGTTTTCTCTAACACGAAGTGATACGCACAGTGTTGGTTCAACAAGAACCGCCCTCGCCTCTGCCACGGCATTATTGCCAATGCCTTTCGTTTCTTTGCTCTTTCAGGTACATAAAAGCTCAAGTATACAAGTTACATGCCGACAACTAACATCAGATAAGGCCAAGGTCACAAATTAGCACATACTTATCTCTTTCTCTGCCGCCTGCTCCGGACCAAGGCCTATGAACTCGGAAGCCGTTACTATGAAAACATTGACTACATGCCTTACATCCTTAGCAATCTGTGCTCGCGGCGGCCTACGGACCCGTCATTGGCGGAGATGCGGGAGCTATTGAAGAAAGAAATCCAGGACCGGTCAGGGTGTGATAGTGACGTCCTGGGAGCGGCACTGAGGACTTTGAGTGCTCAGGCCATGGGAGTGCCGTACGCGAAGAGAGATGTGCAAGTGCTGCTGGAGAGCCAGCAACTGGATGGCGGTTGGAATAGAGTGTGGCTTTTCAAATATGGGAAAGAGGATATCAAGGTCGGTTCCAGGGGCGTTATCACGGCTATGGCTGTCAAAGCCCTACGACAATACTACGCAGACGAGGAGTAGTACTAGAGTATAGACAGACGCCAAGAGTTGGTTCCGCTTTTAGCATCCGCCTTTACCGAAAATAGATGGTACCTGCTAGTTCCACGTTTTAGCAACCACCTTTTCGGTAAAGGTGGGTACATGTGCTAAAAGCGGGTACAAATTACAACTCGCACACATCGTATAGCATAGAACCCAGATTGAGGTTGTAAATACTCATTCTTTTAGCACCGTTAATTCATATTGTGTGATATAACACTATGCGGCGTCTGATACCCAAGTCTGGCCGCATCATTCATGCAATGTTACTAGATTGGCTTGCGTATTTAGTTCTTACAAATACGCCTCCCGCATAGATACGCTTGCATGAACATGGTCCCCATGCCGATCAATCCTTCGTCTGCAAGGCGATACTAACTCCCAATTGCGTGGGGAAAGATGAATACTGTTTAGGAACGTTGCATCTACAACATTAAATCCTTCGCTTCCTTTCGGATCCTGCGGCAGGAGGCTGCGGATACATTGGGATAAGCAGGCTCTTTGTTTGGAGGAGGGGAGTTGAAAGCTCGTCTGACAGGGTTCAAGTCCTGCCAAGTCAAGCCGTGACTGAATTTCTCATGTACAAGTCTCTCATCTAAGTAAACAATTACGCTCGGGGACTATTCAAATTTAGCTTCTTAATTTCCCCTCGATTTTCCTCTCTCTCTCTTCCTGGTGTACTCGTAAGACCGTGTGCACCATGGCGGCCCTGATCCCACAGTCTCCTCTCCAATGGTGCCTCTTCGTCATTGCACTCTCATCCACATACATAGTTTCTTTCCTCTTCTACAATCTTTTCCTTCATCCCCTCCGTAGGTTTCCCGGCCCAAAATTCTCTCGAGCCTCAGTGCTTCCCAAGCTCTACTTCTTGTCTCGCGGCAAATTGATTTACCACATTGAGGATCTCCACAAGCATTATGGCCCGGTAGTAAGAATTGCTCCCAACGAGCTTTCTTTCACGGACCCTCAAGCATGGGAAGATATCTTCATTCGGCAGCCGCCCGGCATTACCAAAACCAGCCACAGCCATGCTTTGGCGCCAGACATGGCCTTCTATAATCCTTTCGGGGATCTCCCCCCGTCTGTGATCAGTTCTGATGATGTTTGTAAGACCGCTATCTTGCTAGGCGAAACAGCTTACTTACATTTGCAAACCCCGTAGGAGGCACATCACCACCTTCGGAAGAAGCTGGTCCCTGGCTTTAGTGATAGGGCGATGAAGGAGCAAGAGCCGCTAATTGGAAATTATGTCGATCTTCTAATACGGAGACTCCGAGAAAACAGCACCGATGCCACGGGGAGACCCCAAAGTGTCAACATGCGCGACTGGATCGCCTACACCACCTTTGACATCATCGGCAACCTCACATTTGGGGAAGATTTTGGATGCCTCGAAGGCAGTGGCTATCATCCATGGATTGCGCTTGTGCTGGGTAGCTTCAAAAGCCGCGTCAAGATTCAGATCTTCAAAGCCCTTGGGATCCTGGCACCAGCTAGTTGGCTCATGCGGAGCCTGGGAGTCGGAATCAAAGCCCGCCGGATGCATTTTGAGCTAGTTCTAAGCAAAACGAAGAAGCGTATCGCGATGGGTACGGATAGAACTGATTTCATGGATACGTTGATCAAAGACGGTATGAGCATAGATGGGCTCAAGAGGAATGCGACATTGCTGGTCAATGCTGGAAGCGAGACCACTGCGACGCTGCTCACGGGGGCTGTTTTTCTTCTCGTAACGCACGAAAATGTGCTCAAGAAACTCGTTGCCGAAGTACGAGGTCGATTCCAGAGGCAAGAGGACATGACTCTCAGCAGCGTAGCCAGCCTGACTTACATGCTCGCTGTCTTGGACGAGGCTCTGCGAGTCTACCCACCCGATGCAGTCTCTTCGCCGCGCCTGGTTCCTGCCGGAGGCCATGAGATTGCCGGGTCGTTTGTGCCCGGGGGCACCCGTGTCGGGATCTGGCAATGGGCCATGAATCGTGACGAACGGCTCTTTCTCGAGCCATCTCGCTTCGACCCTGACCGCTTCTACAACAAGGGAGACGAAAAGTCGAGATACGCAGGCGATCGGCTGGACGCGGTGAATGCGTTTCTGCTCGGGCAAAGAAGCTGCATCGGGAGGAACCTGGCTTATGCTGAGATGAGACTCATACTCGCACGGTTAATCTGGGAGTTTGATATGTCGATTGATCAGAGCAGCAAGAATTGGATCGAAAACCAAGAGAATTTTGAGCTGTGGGTAAAACCAGACTTGAATATCCATTTGAAGACGGTAGATAGAGGACAGTAAGTGGTTTCTTGATCCATGATTATGGCCTCCTATAGCAATCCATACTCGGCAACTTCTTTTTTTAAAATCTTGTCCGTGATCCATGTGCCACCCTATAATGAGAGAAAATAGCGTAAAGACGTAAAGCGTAGTATCCGCACGTTTTGCAGAGTCAGTCATAGTCTCGCAAAAGACAAAGGCCAGTGTCAGTGTCAGTATATGGCGAACATTTATGGGGGCAAGAATCAGCTTGTGAGAGCTTCGAGGCTGTTTATAATCTTTGAGAAAAATGAAAAAAGTCCTGTCGGCGTCAACTCGCCCGCCCTTTGCTAGGATCAGGTTGCAACGCGACCAGTATAGTCGTTCCCCCTTTTGTTGAAGTGTTTAAAGGGACGAAACCATATCTAGTTCTGGTGATTTTTTATGATAGCTGAGCTATATAGCCTATAGGGTTTTACAGGCTGTATATATGTATGCTTGTAATACTCTCAAAACACAAAACAGGCAGCATTTACATCCCCAACGCTACCATTCAACATCCAAAGAAGAAAGTGCAGAAACATGATCCAATGCACTTTGTTTTTAAAATTGGTATACACGCTTTTCGTCAAACATCATAGTAAGTCCATTACATCACCGATCCATGAACACCCAGTTCCTTCGTTGTCGCCATCTACTACTTCCAACTCGGCTTCATCATCATCATCGCAATTCCCGCCTTCAAAGCCCTCATCCGCTTCACAAGCCGGAGGTTCTATTTCTCTTACCACAACCGTAGCACAGAAGAGGTTTTTTACTTCACCAAAAGGTCAGCCCTTATTGACGGCATTTGTAAGGGGACCAGTAGGCAAATCTTTCCCTAGTAAAGAAATATCAGGCTGCCGCCAAGTTTCGTCAGATAGCATAAACCTCAGGCTCGGGCACTAGGTGTTTGAGCGCATTCCCATGGTGTAATGGCATGTACTAGGTTACGCAAGATAGCGTACTCATGAGTTTGATAGCCTTGACACAATAATTCTCCTCATTATATAAGAATATCGGTACATTAGACTTTGCCAGTCTCGTCGATTTTCATGCCATTCACGTCTATATAAATATTACATTCATCTTAAGACGGGTATATATACACATGTATATGCCTGCTTGTTTAGTTTACTATTGACCCACACTTCGAAAGTGTCTATTCCAACCCCTCTGCTACCGCCATAATAATAATTTACCCCGTTTCTATTTCAGACCCATCACCTCAATTACAATAAACCATCTATATGCTATTTACGAAACATAAACAAGAATTGATGACGTGTATTTGCCAACTGCATACCGTTTCCAAGTTATCTCTTGGAAGCAAAACAGTAAGAAATACATGTTCGTCCCTAGGGAACTTCGTAGAGACCGCCAGAACCTCTGGGATGTGTCCAGACTCTTGCGTTTTTGATCTCCTGATTGACTGGTAGCTCCGTTGGGTTGTTTGCCGGAAGCTCTAATGGATCAACTGCTTGTAATTCTGCGATATTTGCTGTCTTTCCCCCCCCTCTCGAGAAATTATGAAAGATACCGTTGTTCCAGATTCTGTACTTGCGTCCCAGGAAACCCAGAGCCATTATCAGCAATATACCGCCTATTGTTGCCCCAACCGAAATACCTGCAATTGCCTTCTTAGGGAGTTTTTGGGCTGATTGAGGCGCGGCTGTTGTCGATGCTGTCGAAGCTGTCGATGCTGTCGAAGTCGCTGGATTTGTCGAATACGGCGGTGTCCCATCCATAGTAGAACCTGTGTTTGATGCATTTATTGTTGAAGTAGTTGTACTAGTTTCACCGAGTGTAGATATCGAAGTCGAACTTTTTGTAGTCGAGGCCGGCCCATTGGTAATGTTGTAATAATGGGATTCGCCGAGAACATCCAACGATTCTGCATCAAGACAGACAAGATAAAGCGGCATCTTTCCGTATTCTGAAAACTGCCATACCGCCATATTGACAACATACGTGACTGTACTTATCGAGGTGGATAGGTTCTCTGTCTCTATACATCTAATCAGTAACTTGAGGCTGCGTTACGACACTACCGTGCTCTACCTAGAGTATATTTAGCATCCGCCGGCTGCGGGTCAATTAAATCTCTCCGGGTTTCGAGTCGCAGACTATTAACGCCTTTTGGGATATCCCCAGTCCAATGTACAGTAATGGTGGAACCATATCCATAAGCTGGATTGTCTTGATAATTGTGCAAAGGTCCAGCAGGTGGTGGCTGAACAAAGGCAACCTGTGAGCGAACTTCTGTCACTAAGAGTAAAATACCAGTGAAACATGAAAGAAAAGAAAATGAACAGCGCATTTTAACTCCAAATGCGTAAACCACCATCGACAAGTCGCATTACAAACAGAACGGTGATATAATACGCCAGGAAAGGGGGTAGCCAACAACGGATATATATACGTTTCGGTTAGGGTCAAAGGATCAATTAATCTATACATATAGTTTGCTCCTGCCTATTAAAGCCTAGAGATAGATGTAAATGATATTACTTGTGGAATTAATGCAGCAGTTGAACCTTTAACCAACAGCATGTGCGAATAATTATTATACACTGTAGACTCAAGTGGTAGAAGACTACCGAAATATGTTACGGACAGTCTCGTGGTATTAACCCCCTTTTCCTTCCTTCTTCTTTTTTTTTTTTTTTTTGGTCAGTGTCATTTCACTCTTCCATATGTTTCTTGGACTCTAGCTAAGTGTATGTACTCAACGTTGTAACCTCTACTACATATGAGTCTATATGAAGCTGAGTTGGTGCAGATAATTATCAAGATTGGCGGTGAGAACTGAAATAAATTCATAGCTAGTTTCCCAAAGCTATTATCGTTTCTCATCTGATTCATATTTTATCATACCTTCTTCACGACGAAGTGCTGGTAACAGGCCATTCGCGGCCGTTGCTCGTCTTTCTGGTCCTCACTACTGTCTTCAGCGCGGTATACCATGTGTCGCCCGATTACAACCTTCATGTCGTTCGTCTACACGAGGCCTTGATTGGCTTCACAACTAGAGGTAGTACTGCATCTTTCATTGGCATAGTGTGGCTTTCTAGCCCTGATAGACACCAACATCCCCTCTCTCTAGTAAGATACCGCACTCCTTCCTAGTCACCTATTATTAAAATTAGGGCCAAGTTCTTTTCATAGCTAGAGTCTCGTAGTTCCTTTACGGATTCGGGAACACTGAAGTGACCATGGTTGGTAAATGCTGTCAAGCGCAAGACATGAGCCCCTAATAGAGGTCGCGTCGGTGGCATTGGCTGCTGTTCAGACCATCCACTAGGATATTTCCGTCGCTCTTCATCCATATTCAGCTTGGAGTGGTAGAATCACAAAATGTATCGAAGCATGCTTTTTACAGCAGAGGCTCAAGCTTCCAATTGGCTACTTCAAGTCTGCAATGATTTTATGAATCTAAAGCAATGTTTAGCTATATTTAGCCTTCACCTGGGCCTATACGCTCGCGAGCGTGTAAGAGGTTTAATTGCGTAACAGAGAGCGAGGACAAAGCTTTGACACACCGTGCACTTATCTGCTCGTTGTTATAACCCAACAGAAATACTAGTTGATAAGAATTGTTGGCTTCATATGCATTGAGAATTAAAAGTATTTGCAAGCTTGATATAAGCATAACTGATGGTCGTGACTCAATGCGTGAAGCCAAAGGTGCCCCACTAAAGCACACCTCTTCGATTACATCACCGAGCAATCTATCCTACAACCAACAAACACCCTCCAGCTCTACCTCGTTTACGTGATGAGGATACGCAAGGCATGCCACCCCGTCTTCCGCACACTCTCGTCACCGTCTCTTGTCCCCTTGCGCAATCAATCCTACGGTGTTGCGTGACTAGAGAATCCGCTGCTGCAACGACTCATGGGCTGAGTAGAGCTTCAACTTCGGCTTCGGCTGGGCAATCGCCGCTTCTGCGCTGTTGCAATGGCAGCCGTAAGAGGGGGTTTCATGCGACAAGATATCTCGCCCAGAGTGCTTTCGAAGGAAAAAATCATTATGAGCGGCTGAAAGTTCCGCTGGACGCCAGCGTGGGAGAGATCAAGAAGTACAAATCCCCCTCCTTGCAATCACAACCAGGTATCTAACGAATCAACCAGATCCTTCTATGCCCTCTCCAAGGCTCACCACCCCGACGCAAATCGCTCCGACCCCGACGCCGCCCACAACTTCTCCCTCATCTCCGAGTCCTACACCATCCTATCCGACGCCTCCCGCCGCGCCTCCTACGACCGCGACGTCCTGCGCCTTCACCACCAACACCCTCAACACCCTCACCAAGCCTCCTACCACAGCACAAATCCCGCCGGCGGCCGACCCCCCTCCGGCCTGAGCCGCCGCAGAGGCACCTTCCGCGGCCCCCCTCCCAGCTTCTACCGCAACGGCGGATGGGGCGCGCACGCCGACAAGCGCCACCAGGCACACGAGGAGTCCACCGGCGGCGCTGGCTCGGGTTCAGCATCTGAGACGGACCGCGCCAATCCATGGAACACGAGCGCTTTCCACCAGACGCATCACTATGGCGGCATGGGTCCAGGGTCTGACCCTTTCCACCACCGAGACGAGCACGTGCCGCACTTTGACAAGGCCGGCCACACGAGGACGCACGAGAGGCAGGATCACCGCCGGTGGCAGCGCCAGAAGAGGGCCGTTGGGGACGACGACATTGAGTTTGAGCCGCAGACGAGCCTGGCAGGGCACTTTTTGATCGTGGCGGGCATATTGGCGGCGACGTTTCTGGCGCCGGCGGTGTATCTGCAGTTTATGCGCCTGGGGAGGCAGAAGAAGGAGAGGGAACAGTGAAACGAGTGATGCTCCGTCGTGTTTATGGTTCTTGTAGATTGGCGTTCTGGAGAAGGCTAGCGCTGGACAATAGCCTCTTGTATAAATATAGAGAGCAGTGTATATTAGATAGGTAATGCAGAAGGCTATGAATAGCACTTTTTCATTCTGATAGTTTCAAGGCGGAATAAGACGCTCTACCAGTGCGTAAAGCATCCAGATCTCTTCGGTCGCCTCCTTTTGGACGTAGAATGAGTATAGTTCTACATTACTATGATATAGCCGGCGATGAGAGAGATGGAGTTCATACGAGAGAATAATGAATAGTGGCAATTCAATATCATTCTTCATCAAGCAATCGTGATTAGAATTACCTAAGTACCAGAGAACGAGCGTAATATACACAAGCATGCCGCATCATACTCCAAAATATACATCACAGACTCAACCAACAGACAACAGCCTTTTGTTCACTTGCGCAAGATATTCTTTATTTTCTCCTCCTTCTATCTACCCCCGAGTCTCAATCGTCAAGTCTCCGTTCGGTTTGTGGTTTTCATAAAGGTTTGGTTGGAGATGTAGCTGCGGCAATGAAGCAAACTACTCGGCCACATAGCCACTCACGTCTCACATATAGGCATGTATGTAGGCGCTAAATGACTCATGGCAGTGATATCAGATTTGGTTTTTCTGAGCTTAACCCTCGAAGGTGAAGCTAGCACCGAGCTTGTGGGTAGCCTGGTCGAGCTTCTGGGTATCGAAAGAGCCACCAAGACCCAGGGTGACACCCTCGCGGAGGAGGACGTTGTAGGCAAGAGCGGCAATACCACGGTCGTTGATCTTGACCTATAGTTGAGAAAAGACCTTGTTAGCAACGGAGTGCTCATTGTGATGGAATTTTCAGGGAGACAAACCTTGGCGAAGGAGACGGGGTCAATGCGGTACTTGCTGGCAACCTCGAGACCAACGGTGTTGCTGGTCTTGGAGTTCCAGGTGGCCTTGGCACCAGCCTCGACCTGGCTGTTGACCTTGTGGTAGTAAGAAGCAGCAAAGGTGCTCAGGTTGTCAGTAGCGGTGATGGCAGCGCTGTACTGAGGAGCGACGTAGCCGACAGCGGCGCTGTAGCCGGTCAGGGCAGCCTTGTTGACATCATAGCCAGCGCTGGCACCGGCGAGGAAACCCTCGTGGCCGACGACGGCATCGACGTTGGCGGTGGGGCCCTTGAGGAGGTCGAAGAAGGCACGGCCGTGGAAGCCGGGCTGCTTGAAGAGCAGGTTGAACTTGGCGCCCTTGGCGGCGGTGGCGGGGAGGAAGTTGAAGAGACCCTCGAGCTTGAGGCCCTTGGCGAGGGTGTCGTTGACCTCAACCTTGGTGTCGAGGGCGTTGGCGGTGTTCCAGGTCTGGGTCAGAGTCAGGCCTGTAAACGCAGAAGCGTTAGCAAAGAATTCGGTAGAGTCTAGCAATGGGTGCGCATTGAATTGTCTGCAGCGAGTTCAAAAGCGCGCGCCAGGGGAGAGCTGGTGTGTTTCAGTCTGCGGCGGGATGTCGTACCAGTAGGCTTGTCGGTGTATTTTCCCTCAATCTATTCATAGCAACAGCAAGGTCAGTCTCATATTCTCATCCCGGAGGCAATCCAAAACATGCAGCAATGGCTCCCATCGCCACGGCGAATGCTCGCAGGCGTGGCGGGGGAGGGGAAAGGAGGAGATTGGGTCGGTGGAGCAAAACTTACAGCAGCAGAGGTGGCCTTCTCGTGGCTGGACTTGCCAGTCACCTTGAAGGCAACGCCATTGGGAGCGGTGTCCTTGAACTCAAAGGTGGTGGCGGACAGGTGGTAGAAGTCCTTGTTGAGGAGCTGTGGGAGGCAAGCAGAGTCAGCCGCGTCTGTCATCCGGCCCAACGGCTAGAGGCCATCGTGTAGCTCTAGCCGAGGGGTTATAGAGCAATGAGAAAAATCAGGACGGAGTGGAAAGGCGCGCATACGTCGTTGGCCGGCTTGGCAATGTCGGAGAAGGCGGGGATGGACATTTTGGCGGTTTGTGAGGTGGGAGAAGAGGGAGAATAGAGATGGCGATTGAGCTGGAGGAGAGAACAAGTGCGGTGTATCAACCAGAGGAAGAGGTTGCAGAGATTCGCGCGAGGCGAGGGAAAATGTTTTGGGGTCGGCCTCGGCCGCTGATTGGCCCATCAGTCGGTTGGGGGAGAGCAGCGCAGAGCGTCGGCTGATGTCGGGCCGGGCATCTTGGGGTCTAGGGGATTGGCGCGTCCACGTGGGGGAAGTGCTTTGACGGCAGCGGCCTTTAATTCCATGCTGGAAATGCTGGATCAGGAGACAATTGCTGCGGCATCGAGTTTCAGGGTATTTCATGCAATTACGTGCAGTCTTTTGCTGCTTACAGCGGTTATCGTGACTCCCACAAAGTGTCAGAGACGTAACGCGGGGTCGGCTCTGCTGTCTGAATAAAGCAGGCGGTAAAGGCGCTATGGACAGCCATCAATGCTACTAAGACAGTCATCGCATTGACGGTGAAATAGCCCAAGTCTAATAAGTCTATCTAGTCGCCGGCTATACAAATGCGTTTCGTAACAAGTTCATGCGTAATAGGAGCAAGAACAAAGAAGCAAAAAGAAGGCCTTTTAGACGATTCTGTTCGGGTTGAAGGACTCAATGGCGCCATTTTGTACTTCATTTCCCAATGCCGAGCCATATCCGGACCTCGGGCACAGTATCATATGAGAGTCATGAGTAAATTCCATTGCAGTGGCATTTGATACTTTTGTCTGTCTGTAGCTTAACTTTTATATATACTGTACTACGTTTTCGCCTTTAAGACGTTCTTTCAACCAGCACCAGAAATAAGTTTAGGAAATTTTGACATATACAACAAAGGCACTTTTGCCAGCTGCTTTTACTCAGTACCTTCATACTTGGCGTTGTGGGTAGAGATGGCTCTGTAAAGCTAATTAGTAATTGTTTCTTTCCTGGTTAACGGGGTCCGGACGAAGAGATACGAACCTGCCACTGGGATCGGTCTGCTTAGACCAGGTAGGCGTCCATCGCTCCACGGTAGAAGCGCAGCGAGGAGGGAAGTGCTCGTCAAACATGAGGCGGTACCAGTAACTGTGATAGCAGTGTTAGCTTTCTTTATCAGATGCCGATGCAAGATATTATACGTACGCCTCCTTGGTATCCGGGATATCGGTGCCCCACTCGGCCTTGGGGTTCTTCATCATCTCATCGGTGACGTGCAGCTCGGCGTTGTCCTTGAGCGCATCAATCCATCCGTATCCGACACCGTCAGAGAACTGCTCCTTTTGTCTCCACAGGATGGAGTCAGGAAGGTAAGGAGCAGTGCCAGGCTCGTCGGAGGTGTCGAAAGCTTTTCGGAGAATGTACTTTTCCATTCTGTCCTTGGTAATCATCTTGTCCTGAGGGTCAATGCTCATCGCAGTCTCGATAAACTATAGAAATGAGTCAGTCACAACGGAGAAATATTTCACATGAGGCGGGTATCTCATACCTTCTTATCCAGGAAAGGCACACGGGCCTCCAGACCCCAGGCAGAGGTGGACTTGTTAGCTCGCAGACAATCCGCAAGGTGCAAGTTCTTGATACGGCGGACAGTCTCCTCGTGGAACGCCTTCTTGTCGGGAGCAGCGTGGAAGTAAAGGTAGCCGCCGAAAATCTCATCACTGCCCTCGCCACTCAATACCATCTTAATACCCATAGCCTTGATTTTACGAGAGAGCAGGAACATGGGCGTTGAGGCTCGGATGGTTGTGACGTCGTACGTCTCCAGGTGGTAGATGACATCCGACAGTGCGTTGAGGCCGTCCTCAATGGTAAAGGTCATGACGTGGTGCTTCGTACCAAGGAATTTGGCAACCTTGAGAGCGGCCTCGTTGTCTGGAGATCCTGGCAGTCCAATGGAGAAGGAGTTGAGCTGAGGGAGGTAGGTAACGGTAGACAGGTTGTCGTCGTCGTCAACACCGACAAGGCCCTCTCCGTGGTCAACATCAGCCTCGGCAGGAGTAGCAGTTCCGGTAGACTCTTCGGCCTTCTTCTTGAGTCTCAGCATCTCTCGCTGAGCAATGGAAGCGACCAAGCTGGAGTCGAGGCCACCAGAAAGAAGCACACCATAGGGGACCTCGGCCATCAGACGCTTTCTAACAGCCTTCTCCAGAGAAGTTCGGAGAGTCTTGTAGTCGACGGGAGTAGATGGCACGTTGGCAGGGTCCCACCAAGTAGGCTTGAAGTAGCGGGTAGTCTCGCCAGTTTTTGAGTCGTAGACGTGGCCGGGAGGGAAGGCGATGATCTTGTCGCAGACGGGAGACAAGCACTTGAGCTCGGAGGCGAAGTACACAGCACCAGGTTCCTTCCATGACCATCCCTGGTACAGTGTTGTAACGCCAATCGGATCGCGCGCGGCAATGGTGCGGTCTTGCTTCTTGTCGTATAGAACGAATGAGAACATGCCATCAAGGCTGTTGGGGGCGTCGATGTCGTGCTCCATATACTATTGCAGGGGAAACAATGTCAACTTATGGTCCTCTCGCAGATTTTGCGTGTGTAGCTCCGATTACTTACCAAGGGAATGATAACCTCGCAATCCGATTGCGTCTTGAAGTGGTACGGCTCTTTTAGGTGCTTTCGGATCTGACGATGGTTGTAGATCTCGCCGTTGACGGCAAGGATGATGGTGTCATCGGCGTTGGTCAAGGGCTGAGCACCAGACTCTGGAGTTGTATGAGCGAGTGTCTAGTCGTAGCATCATGCTTTGTCGAGCCGAGGGCAAAAACTTACCAACACCAACGATACTGAGACGCTCATGGCACAGGACTGCGCAACTTGTCAGCCGAGGCTCCAAAGTCTACTCTCTTCAACCAATTGACTTACTTGTGTTGTGAGAAATGACGTTTCCGCCTATACAAGCCATCGACAGTCAGCCATGTCCTTCTTCCGGCCGCTAAACAGCCTCATCCAAATCAATTGACTCAAACATACTCCAATCGGGACCTCGGTGTCGAATTCTAATGCGCCATTGTCAATTGAAGTAGCTACCAAGAGGAAACAGATATACTTACGCCTTGGCCAGCTTCAGAGCCGTCGGCTTGAACTTTTGCACATCGGGATGGCTATTTTAGGCGCGTTGTGGTCAGCTACATTGCTTCTTCTGTCTCCAATGTGTGCGCTCGTGATAAGGCGCTCGCAATCACTGCGGCGGGGTGTTGCCCCTCCAAAAGTGTTGTACGATGGACAGAAGCAAAAGGAACAAGGACGAACCAATGACACGCAAAAATGCCACACATCTTGTATGATTTTGCTCGAGATTAAGAATTCTGGGTGTAGGAAGAAGAAATTAATCGGAAAAAGGGAAGAAGGGAAGAATTTGGTGGAATATGACTATCAGGACCATGACTCTGCGCGACCACCTTAAAAATTAAACGCAGACCAAGGCCAGGCTAAATGTACTAGCTTTCCACTCTAGCCTTCCGCCGACTTCGGGCTCGCTCAGAGTCACTGCCAGGCCATTATCATTGGTGCAGGCCACGCCAGGTCGCCAATTACCTAAAGCGAAACTGATAAGGGAAAACAAAACTGATTCGGACCACTTTGTGGATGGTTGTTTGTTTGCCAGCGACCCTGCCTTGTCTTGGAACGAATGCTGTTCTAGTAGGTCGTTGGACCCTTGTTTTAGCCGACCTACCTAGAAGAGGTGCCGGCTGACAGCTTATCCTGGTGCGATGATTCACCTTGCAGCAGCTTGGGCAGTTGGGCTGTTTCGGTAACGTGGCATATAAGAATTGATTACGCCGATATATCTACAGTACAGCCTGAATTATCATTACTATTGGTGGTTTATATTAATCCCCAAGATTACATAAAGTATACTCCCAGACGCATCGGTGAGATCAGATAGGAAGAATTGCACGTGGCAGATGACTGGGGTAGCATTAATGCTACATGTGCCTACGGATATATCAAGCCAAGGGCGTCTAGTCCTCTGATCCGTTCACTAATAAACGCCCTCTAAGCATGTCGCTTCCCCATAGTTTTGGTCCAGACAGGATCAAGTCGTTTCAAATACCGTCAATTACTACAATGCTCTTGTGTTCCGATACAAATCTACGCCCTTTCATGGACCAAAGTGCATGGAGTCATTCTCTCATGTGGAATCATATCGCCGATGCTATTCCGTACTGTCATATATCGTTGTCTAGCAGATTAGCTTCTGAAAAGCTAGTCAAACATGATCGTCTTCGGTAAGGTTTGCTAAAAGAAAAATCGAAAAAATCACATGTCCTGGTATTGCCCCCAATCAACGCCATGGCCGGTCTTCTCAATAGGAATATCCCCAGTGTCTAGAAGTCTTCAACACCTCACGCAACAAAGTCCATTACGGCGCCGGATTCTCGCGGACCACGCGGCGAATGCGCTTCTCGTATTCGGCCTTGTCTCTCTTGAATAGGTTATACGCGTCGGCTTGCGCGGGCGATTCGGGGTTGGGATCGTTGAGGAGGTCTTGGATGCCGAGCAGAATCTGCTTGACCGTGATTGCTGGCTTCCACGCCTCTTCCTCGTTGAGAATCGACAGGCAAACGGTGCCTGAGGGATAGACGTTGGGGTGGAACAGCGGGGGAACAAATTTGCCTATTGACAGGATCAGAGATTGATTGCAGTCACAAACGTCTTCATCGTCACTTACACTTTGGGGGCTTTGTTGGGTACTCTGAAGACAAGCACCAAGTCAGTTTCGGCCTAATCAGCCCTATCGTGCACGCGAGCACTCACCGTCGGGAAACGCAATGTTGAGCTTGAACAGCCCTCCCTCCCAGATTGTCTTTTCTTTGCCAGGAATTCCACACTCCCAGTTCTTCAGGTCGAGCACTCCCTCCTTCGTCCGAGCAGGCTTGGCGAAGAAGCCGAATGGATGGTCACGTCGCCATTGTTTCCTAGTGATCAGCATCGGTCAGCGCCATGAGATGATCCGAAACACCGTGAGAGCAACGATTCACATACCGCTCCTCCTGTAATCTGTTTTGGCAAAGGGCCATCGTGATATAGACCAAAAATGGGCGAGCTGACAAAGAGTCGCGAGACAAAGGTAGATCGTAGTAGCGCTGCCTTGCAAGGGCCGGTACGGTCTGCAGTGCAAAGAGAGACTGCAATTTTCAGGCGAAGAAGGATGTTATGCAGGCAAACAAATCGGATTCTCCTGTTTGCAATCTGAAGATGGAGACAACAGAATAGCGACGCGCGCGTTGCAAATAGGTGGTCTTGGTAAGAAGGAAGAAGAAAGTCGGATGAAAATTACAGGCGTCGTAAGGCTGCGAATAGCGCCTCGATCGACCTAGTGCAAAGATTCCAGGGATCAGTTAGGCACCTGCCGCCGGTCCCTTGCAGCGAGGAACCCAGGTCGGCAGAGTCACGGCTGGCAGGCCTGTTAGGCCTAATCCGCCCTGAAGCAAACAAGCTCCAGCGTGGGGCAGCCCGGCATCACCCTCGGCTCAGCTCGTGACGCTGCATGTCACTTCCCAAGATGCAACGAGGCGCGCAGATCTGCTCGCAAGCTCTTCCAGCGACTACACCGTCTTTGCTCTGGACACGACCGCCACAGTATCCAGAAATCAATCTTTGAATACCATTGCAGGATATTGTAACGCATTGCTCGTTCGCAGACGCCTGCACATCTCCCCAGTCGCTTGTCCCGCGCTACCCCCTCCATTAGCGCCGCAGCTTAATAGACCACATCGAACTCCGATTTCTTGCGCATCTGGCTTGTTGTGTCTGACGGCATCCGATCGTGAACGCGAAACACCATGAGCTCTCCATCTGGAGCGGCAGAAAATGCGAAGCCGGAGGAGTCCGGGGCCAAAGGAGGGGAGGCCAAGCCGACAACACCAGCAGCGCCTGTACCCCCCGCGACGACTGTGTCGGACGATTTCGAAGATGTTCCCGATCCAGACGAAGAGGACCTGGATGATCTCGACGGTATGGCCCCTCGTGAATTGGCTATGGCTTCTTATGCTGACCTGAAGATTGGTTAGAACTGCTTGACGGATTCAAGGCTGTCCGAAAGGAGATGATCGAAGACGATACGCTGAAAGAAGGAATCAACCCTCCCGACTTGGACTACGAGAACATGTCAGAGGAAGAGGTCACCAAGAGGATGCAAGCGGGCATAGCTGGTCTGCTGGCCAACCTTGAGCAATCCGTATGTTGATCTTATGAGCTCCGCTATACATGTGTCATACTAATGTTGAACGTCTGCCTTAGCCGGAGATGCAAGCTGAGTTTGAAGAAATGTTCAAGCAAATGGGCGCAGAGATGAGCGCCCAATTCGATGCTGAAGAACAGGAAGAAGCGCAAACTACTAGCAAAGACAAAGCGAAGAGTACTCCTGCCGCCACCGCAACTGCTGCCGCAACTCCCACCGCAACTCCCACCACAGCTGCTACCACAGCTGCTCCCGCCGCGACTCCGACGACCGCTACATCAAGCACCCCTCAACCGGCGGCAGGTGAAAAGTCTGGTGCAGCGTTTCAGGATACCATTCGCCGTACCATGGAGCGCATGCAGTCATCTGGTGAACAAGCCACCGCGGCGGCTGCGGCGGGCGGCGATGACGACTTCTTGACTGAAATGCTCAAGCAGCTTACTGCTGGCGACTTTGCTGGTGGCAGCGAAGAGGACTTTTCCAAGATGCTCATGGGCATGATGGAGCAGTTGACGAACAAGGAGATCCTGTATGAGCCAATGAAGGAATTGCATGACAAGTTCCCCGCGTGGCTCGCCAAGAACAAGGATTCGACTCCTGCCGAGGACCTGAAGAGATACGCAGAGCAGCAGGCGATTGTGGCAGAGATTGTGGCCAAGTTCGACGAACCTGGCTACTCGGACTCTAATGCGACTGATAGAGAATACATTGTAGACAGGATGCAAAAGGTAAAGTTCGACCTTGTCTCGGCCTTTTCTTGTGCGAGACATGACTAACAAGCTCCAGATGCAAGCAGCGGGATCGCCGCCATCCGACTTGGTGGGGGATATGGCTTCTGCCCAAGAAGCGTTCAATGCCACGGAAGACCAGTGCAATCCGCAATAAACATTCAAGATCTAGTCACGGCGCATTCATATATACACGCACACTTATATATATACCCATAGTGCGCGCCCTATATGCAAACATTTTTCATCCTATACCAGTATATCCATCCAACGCCGATGTGAAGAGATTTATCCGGAGTCCCGAGGTCCCAAACTCCATATTTCGCCAAGTGACAGACGCTTCTTTCATACCATTCCAATATTAACCAATCATGGTGCTGGTCTAATCGATTTCCATTTGATTTGAAGGCTGTGAAGATTGATGCTGTTGATGCGGTTGCTGTTGCTGCAACGGTCGTTGCTCTTGTTCTTGTGAAATAAGTTCGGCAAATATGTCATCATACTCGTCATCCTCGGCCAGCGTCGGCAGCCGGGATCCTCGCTGGGCCATTACTTCCTCTTCGTAAGACGTAAGTAATTGCTCTTCATCCATGAGTTCTTCCGGGATCATGTCCTCGTCCATCTGTGACTGTGCCATTTCGGGCGCAAAGGTTGCGGCATCCTCGATATCGGCATCGGAGAATGAAGGCGCATCATGAGACAAGCGGCCGACATTAGCTAGCCAGCTCGTTTTCAGAAACTGCAAGTACCGCCGCCATTAGCCATCTATTCGCTGCTGAACAACTAAATTTCCTTCAAACTTACTTGGCCCTCAATGTCTCTTCTTTGCCAGGATTTATCCTCGGCCTTTTGGCGGACATTCTGCAGGAAGCCCTTGCGCCTCTGCTCCTGCAGCTCCTCTCTTCTTTTCATGACGGGATTCGGGCGCGCAGGCCGTGATTGATACTTGAAATTGTTAGGCCTGATCGGTGACGACTGGACCTGGCGAGGCTGCCACCGCGATTCTTCCTCGGCCGGAGAGAGAGGCGATGAGGCGCGCACAGGCGAGGACGATAGTGGAGATGAGACGGCGGGACGATTGTCCCAAGAAGGAACCGGCTTTGGCGTAAACGACAGCATCCTGCGTGGTGCGGCTTCGTCTGTGAGATTGTGCATAAATAAAGAATAGAATCAACAGAAAATGCGTGTAAGCCAGTAATTGCCGGGTCTTGATGCTGGAATGTCGTCTGTGAAAAGTGGCTGGTTGAAGAGACAAACCACTGCTCCATCTCGAAGCGTCAATCAAGATCACTCAACACGCCGATGCGACGCGCTCGCTGCAGGCGCGCAATCACGTGCCTCCGCTAATGATGCGCCTCCCACATCTGCGGCGCCGGATGATCAGCAGAGCTGGCAGGGCCGATGGTGGCCAAATCAGCGGCCGGCCGCAAAAATCTGATGATGTCGTCGTCGCAAGGAATTATCCACCGCAAAAAGTCCAAGGGTCTGGTCTCCCAACAAAACTGGCCTCCTTTTCCCTTCCGCGCACTTCCTCGGCTTTTGATACTTTTTGCGCCATGAGAGTCGCCAGCAACGCCTGAAATTATTTCTTTTTTCCTTTTTCCCTTGCTTCTTCTTCTTCTCCCTGGAGTCTACACACAGCGAAAGGCAGGCGCTCTGCATTATCACATGCACTAATTTTTTTTTTCTTACACGATCCGTCCGCCTCCCTTTTTGCCACGATACTCATATAATGCCGATTTGCGAACACTGAAGAAATCCTATGTCGAAACGTCCCTATTCACGCCCCCTCGGCACCTCCAATGAACGTCTTTTCTAAATCCACCTTTGCGACGGCCCGCATCGGTAACCGCTCATGGACCTGTTCTGCTTGTCGTGGCCAATTGGCGCGCACTAGGCCGCCCCGACAGATATTCGCGCGACGTTTTGTCTCGGGGCGAAAATCGTCGTCAGAGGGCAATGGCGGTGCCAAGTCTGGGCCAAACGCCAGGCTGATTCTGTTTGCGTCGACTGGAGCAGCGGCTGGTACGGCAGCGCTTGCCTTCACCGACGAGATCAAGAACAGCTACGAGGCGGCGGAGAGGACAGGCAGAGTGGTTGCTGCGCTGGCCGTCTGCATCAATGAGTGAGTGCGCAATGGAGGAGGAGACGACACGTTTCCAGCGAATGGTGGGCTGACTGTGATTGAATCATGATAGCTACCGAACGACGTTGAATACAAAATCCACGATTGACGACGAAGAAAAGCAAGATCAAATGCTAAAGGCTTGCCACAAGCGATGCGCCGAACGAACCCTCAAAGTGTTGGAGAAAAATGGCGGTATATTTATCAAACTAGGACAGCACCTGGTATGCGCTACTACTTGAATTCTACCGGACAACACCTCAATGGACATGATGTGGCTAACATGACGGCGACAGAGTGCTATGAATTACCTCTTACCCCCTGAGTGGACGACGACCTTTGTACCGCTGCAGGACAAATGCCCCGTCTCATCATTCGAATCGGTGCAGGATATGTTCCGACGGGATACGAATGAAGAGCTATGGCAGTACTTTTCTGAATTCTCGGAGGAGCCAATTGGCGCCGCCTCTCTTGCGCAAGTACACCTAGCAACCATCAAGGATACTGAGCGCAAGGTGGCCGTCAAGGTTCAGCATCCCGAGCTGGAGGCATGGGCGCCCCTTGATCTTGCGCTTACTAGATACACCTTCTCTACGCTCAAACGATTCTTCCCCGAGTACGACTTGGAATGGCTGTCTTCGGAAATGGACTATTCTCTGCCCAAGGAGCTCGACTTCAGGGAGGAGGCCGAGAATGCACGTCGCATGAAGGCGCACTTTGCTAAGCATCCCGAGCTGCCTCTCGTCGTGCCTGAGGTCATGTGGGCGAAGAAGCGAATTCTCGTCATGGCCTGCGAATCAGGCCGGCGACCAGACGACCTTGATTACCTGGACAAGAATGGCATTGACCGCGACGAAGTGTCGGCAACATTGGCGCGAATTTTCAACGAGATGATATTCGGCGATGGTGCTCCACTGCACTGCGATCCTCACGGCGGTAACCTGGCCATCCGCAAGAACACTACTCGCCGCGGTCTTGGACGAGGCCCCAACTTTGACATCGTCCTCTACGACCACGGCCTGTACCGCGACATTCCCCTCCCGCTGAGACGTTCTTATGCCAAGATGTGGCTCGCCGTCATTGACGGTGACATGGACCGGATGAAGAAGTACGCCCACGAGGTGGCTGGCATCAGCGAGGAGGATTTCCCCCTCTTTGCCTCTGCCATCACAGGCCGCGACTTCAGCGTTGTCAGCAAAGAAGGATCGATTCTCAAGACACGCTCCGCAGACGAAGAGCAAAACATGAGCGGCGCCCTGCAAGAAGGCCTCATCGTCGACCTTGTGCAAATGCTCGGTCGCGTTCCTCGCATTATCCTCCTCATCCTAAAGACCAATGACCTAACACGCAGTCTTGATGAAAACCTCCACACCAGCCAAGGACCTATACGCACGTTTATGATTCTAGCGCGCTATTGCACTCGGACTGTCTTCCACGAGCAGATCGAGGACATTATCCGCAGCGGATCGCTACTGTGGCCTCAGAATGTAGTGCGAGCTTTGACGGCCTGGATCGGCTTCGTGAGGGTCGAGCTCAAGCTGGAAGCGTTTGAGATGTGGCTGGGTATCAAGAGGATGTTGGGATTCCGGGCTGTCGAGTTTGGCGGCGGGCCGCTGAGACAGGAGGAGATTTAGAATTTCTTTTCCCCGAGAGGGCGGCCTCTTTGCGAGAAGCGTATAGATTTTGATAGACTGTATAACTAGGCAACCCCCAAAGCAAAATGGTGAAATGGTTGGAAGCTGAAATGATGGGAATGCTTTTCGTGTTGGCACGAGGCTATGAGATATGTTTTGATGCCGGATAGTTGAAAAAAGTTTTAATAATTCAAAAGACATTAATAGACACCTAATGCATGCAACTTGTCATCCACGTGAAGGATCATGAAGAGACAAAAAAGGATAAGCCGATTACTGAACAAGGAAAGAAGGAAGCAAAAAAGAAGTGGTGATTCCGCCCGGGCTCGAACCGGGGACCTTTTCGGTGGCGTTAAACGATGTTAACGAAATGTCATAACCAACTAGACCACGGAACCAGATACTTATTGTTGTTGTGGAGTGGCAATATTTTTGTACAATTGGTTTCCATTCTCGCGATACTCTACCTATCTATACTAAAACACTCAAAGTTTAACAAGCAATAAACAACCCCATTTTTCCGAATCAGAACTGACGTTGAAAAAAAGACACTCTACAATTTTATAACAACCTTCCCAAAGTAGCCAATTCCCGCTTTCGTTGCGCTTCATTGCGTTTCAACCGCTTCCGAATCCCGAGCCCGGGGCTCCACTTTTCGGGGGCCGTTCCGTGTCTGCCGCCCTTGAATCTCGGATCCGATTGTTCAACACATACAGGTATACAAGAGCAAGAAAATACAGAAAGAAGACTCATTCCTTCAAAATTCACCAAAATCCAGTTCCAAAACTTCCACCCAAAAAGCCCACCAAATCCAAAAAAAAAACCATCCAAAGATTAAAACAAAGTTGCGTACACACAAAAACATCAAAACACGTTTGGTCGGGGTATATCCATCTCAAATTCTCATCTCCTCCAATTCAGCCTCAGCCTCCATCAGCAAGTTGTCGTGGTTCTCCATCGCCACCTCATACACCGAGTAGCCCTCATTGTCTCTGATTTCAGGGTCGGCACCGTGTTGTAGCAGCGGCAGCATCGAGTCCGCCGCTTGAGACATTACGGCATAATGCAGCGCCGTCATGCCGTCTCCATCTTGGTCGTTGACTTTCAGGCCCAGGTCGATCAAGGCATGTATATAGTCACCTTGACCACTGGTAGCTGCGTACATGAGCAAATTTCGTCCGAAGCTGTCTCTGGCATCGAGATTCGCTCCTCTCGCGACGAGCAGATACAGGAACTTTTCGTGCGTCATCAAGGTGTAATGTAGCGCCGTCTTGCCATGTTTGTCTGTGGCTTCTATGTTGGCCCCGTAGTCGAGAAGAGTGCGGACGGTATCGGTAGCGGAGGGACCTTGGGACATTACTGCAAGGAACAAGGGGGTTTGCTCTTTTGGTGTGGTGAACTCGGTAGACGCGCGTGCCTTTAGGAGCAATCTGGCTACCTGCGAATACCCGCCGTCTGCCGCAACTGACAATGGCGATGATTCACCATCGGTACAGTTCACGTTGGCGCCCCTGTCGATGAGCAGCTTGACGGTTTTCACACGGTTAGTACCCGCCGCCAAGAGCAGAGGCGTCCGCCCTTCCTTATCCACCGTCTCTATGTTGGCACCTCTGTCCAACAGGAACTGAGTGGTATCCTCAAGGCCTTGTTCCGCCGCCCGAGACAACATGGTTCGTCCGATGTGATCCTTGTATTCTAGATCTGCTCCGTGATCAAGCAATGTTTTCACAACGGAGGTCCTGCCCTTGATGGCCGCATGCAATGCAGGAGTGTTGCCCCTATCGTCGCCGATTTCCAACGACGCGCCCTGCTGCAGCAGATATTGCACCACCTCGAGATGGCCCTTGGCGGCGGCCCAATAAAGTGCTGTCCGGCCGAAATAATCACTCAAGTCAACGTCGACGTCCCGTTCATTGAACAGCTTGACAATGTCCAGTCTACCAAGCCGGGCGGCGTGGATCTGGGCAGGCCCCGAACTGCCAAGGGACTGGTATTTGTCAAGCCCAAGATCGAGCAGCTTCTCCATGATCCTGGTGCACCCGCCATCAACAGCGTAGAATAGAACAGACGATCCGCTGCGATCGCTGGCGAAAATATCGGCCCCTCGCTGCAACAGCAGTGCAAAAGTGCCCTCTCTCGCCTTCTCCACGGCGTAAATAAGAGGCGTCTTGTCCTCACATTTCGCATTCGGGCTTGCTCCACGCTCGAGGAGCAACTTGGTTATCTCGTCCAACCCGTTAAAAGCGGCTGTTGCCAAGATCATTGGGTCACGAATGATGGCGCCATTGTCGAGTAGGAGCTTGATAATAGGCAGACGCCCTTGGGCCACGGCATATCTGAGGGGACAGTCCCTGCCGATTTCAATTATGTTGGGTCTGGCTCCATATCGCAGCGCTTTCCTTGCTGTCTCAGTGTTGCCCTTCCACGTGGCCCATTGAAGGGCAAGGTTGGCATTCTCTTCAAGTTTGTAGAGAACCGGATCGAGGATGGCGAAGAAGCGCTGATTCACCTTGGCCAGGGCGTCGACGTCCCTCGGCCGGGGCAAGTGTCTGGCGATTTGATAGACCAGCTCCGTTGGCAAGGCGTCCAGTCCCATCTTGGCTGCTGTACTATTGCTATGAGCGAAGATATAATGTGCTGCTTTGTAGATATTTTTGTATTGTTGCTCTGGGCGAAGATATAATAAGTTGCTTGATAGCTGTTTTCGTAGTATCGCTCTGGGCAAAGATATGATGGATTGCTCTATCGATGTTGTTGACGGTGCGGTAGCGATGGAGACAGAAGAGAAATATAAAGCGAAAACAAGGACGACCACGATGCTGACGACGACAACCGCTGCCACAGCCACTAAAGTCTAATACCAGTCGGATACGAACAATTAAGATGCAAGACAAGAACCTTCTGCCTAATGACGATAGCTGTTACGCAACTTACCTTTGCGGTGGCTTAATCGCGTGTAAACTGAAAAGCAGGGAGACGCAGTGGTGCGCACTTATACGCCACCAGCCGGGAAAGGGGAGGGAGAAGAAACGAATACCTAGGGTGGACAAGTAGTGTGCGGCCATATACCTAAATAGAAAGACGGCTCTTTTTCTCTACAACTTCTTTTCAAACGTTACTCTCCCTTCCATTTTTTTTTAACTGTAGTAATACCAAGGCTGTGCCACTCTTCTCCATCCGCCTTGTTTTCCTTGCCATAAGTATTCAGCTACATGCCTCCCTTGTGAAAGAATGCCCGCTTTCACGGGCCAGTATATGGCCTAAATACGCCCAAATACCTGGTAACTACAGGTACGTAGATATATAAGGCAGATGGATGCAAGCCACAATCTGCTCAACGATAACAACGTCGTGCTGTCTCCACGGATGTTGGTATTCCTCAGTAGGTCAGAAGTATGTCTACATTAGCGTACCAGGCTACACCGTTTGCTCGAATCCGTATGCGGCACAGAGGCAAATACTTCTTGCGAGTCTGAGATTGATGGGTTGCAAGAAACGATCATTATGTCTGATTTACGATACAGTATAACATTGATGCATGAGTATAAAGCTCTGGGCTGAGCTGTTTTAACATACTTCTAGTATCTCTCTGGGTCCTCACTTGCTCCCTTTCTCTCCCCTTAAGGCCCCCTGTCAGCATATACGATCTCGCCCTGCTTCATGCAAGCTGTAAACCCGGCCAGTCCCGACGTGACAGCTGTTTAATCCCAGCCCTCAGTTTAGCATCAGCTAATCCTAAGCGTGTTGGAAGTGCCGGCAGTGCGGCCCTTGCCGCTACGCCGAAAACCATATTTGGCCGCGAATAAATTATACCTGATTTGGACAGACCTTTTGGAACTCCTTGCCTCTTGACCCATCAGGCTGACACAAGCGGTGCTTGCCGGGTTTTGACAGGCAGGCTCTGCGGGCGTTATCAGCTTCAATTTTATGTAAACTGCGTTCTTGGCGAGTGATAACGTCTTCGGATCTGCGATTCTAGTGGCGGTCAGCCAAACTCCGCATGATTGCAGCGGTAATAACAGCCGAGCTTGGGGTTAGTCAATGGCGGGAAAATATATCTGGCCATCATGGATAGGTAGCCACACTAAATGAGCAATATCCTTTTTAGGTTAACAAGGTACTAGTATCTTCTGATAGTATTGAGTACTTAGGAACCTGGATAGCTCAATGAGCAAAGTTAATAGAGACTGTTACTATCAGGCCGAGGTTTGACCTCGCCAATTCGGCCGCAATATGGACTTCTTTCGTAGCCAGTCACGTATTTTTCAAAAGACAAAATACACACACAAATTCGTATACAAAAGTTAAAGCAGTTGCGTGGCGTCTTAATGGGCTCTCACTCACGGCGAGATTGAGTTGGCGAGGTTGTTGCTCGCTATAAGTAACCTCAACGGGGCTATGGACCCCTTTACCACCTTACACGTAACCCGCGGTATTTTTATCTGCGTTTCCTGTAGAATAGTGCCAAATATAGCAGTGGCTTTATAGAGTTCATTCAATCCATATATGGTAGTTCGCCACATACTTGTTCGGGAAATAGGTCTACCAAACCAACTCTAGTGCTTGGCAAATCTTGGCATATCTTGAAAGTATGATAGTATTCGGCAACTACTTTTCCATAAGCATCTTTGACCATCGTCCTCACATGAAATCATGGCTTGAAAGGCACCACTATTCAAACCTCATTCCCAAAATCCAAAGTCCAAGCCCCCAAAACCAAGTCATATCGTGCTTGTAGGAATAAACCTTAAAACCTCCCCAAACGCCATACTATAAATAACTAGAGCACATCATGATCTAAGCCAAGCGTATACCAGTAAATCACTCAAAGGACCCCTTGCCCAACAATCCTCCTACAAGTCCCGCTCTGCTCTCGGCGCCGCGAACCTTCTTCTCCTCTCTCCTGCGCTCGTTCTCTTGCATCCGCGCCAGTTTTTCGTTATCTCTCGCGAAGCCATTGATTCCACTCTTCTTGCCTGCGCCTTTCTTGATCTTGGCCTCTTCGCCAAATCCACTACCGGATCCACTACCTGTGGCCATCGTCGTCGAAGAGGAAGATGTAGTAGTAGTGGCCGTGGATATCAATGATGAGTTGGTGGTTGCGCGACGTAGAAGTGACGCGGGGACTTTGAAAGACGAAGATGAACCTCCCGCAGTAGTAAAAGCGAGGCGACTCGATGAAGACAAGCCAGATGAGGCGTTGCGCTTGAGGCTGATGCGATCAACCACGACGTTGCGTGAGCGGCGGGAGGCAGGGGAGTGATTCTCCTTGTTCCCTCGTGACGCAGGTCGAGCATCCTCATCTTCGCTGTCGGAGCCAACCTCAGTGGCCGGGATAACAGAACTATGCCGTCCATCCTCCAGCAGATCAGACAGCGTCTCCCGAACCTCGCCAATGTTTGATGGCTTCTTGCCATCTTTGGTTCTCCTCATATGAGCGGGAGCCCTGTTATCACCAGCACTACCAAGTGGCTTACGCGGCTGACTATCAGGAATGACTTGCCGCTGCTGTTGCTGCTGCTGTTCAGGTTGTTCAGGCTGTTCGCTTTGAGACTGCGACTCATCTCCTTGCGAAGCTGGCGCATCGACAAGTTCCAAAAAGTCCATTTCGTCGTCACTGCCCCGATCCTCCATGGTACGTAAGAAAGCTTGGTTACCAGGATTTTCAGCCATCTTCTTGACGCGCTCATCAGAGAACAATGCCTTTTGCATCTTTGCAAACTGGCGACGCTTCATTCTCCGGCGAGCTTCTCCACCGTCATCAGAGTCAGAGAGGTCATAGTCAGCTCCGCGCTTACGGCGAAGCAAGCCTGATGTGATGTCCTTGTACAGCTTTTCAACTTCCTTTTCATCGTTTATCCGTTCTCGGTCACTGAAGAATGTTAGCTCGTCTAAACCCCTTCGTCTATGGCCTAAGAGATGCTAGCAACTTACGCGTAAAATGCGGCCAGCTTGCGAGCATCAACGTCATTGCCAGCGGCATCATCAATGATGTCCTGAACAGTGGCATCAAACTCGTCGTCGCTGTCTTCGCCATCCGCTCCGCCAAGGCCGGCATATTCGTCCTCAGATTCTTCGGCTTGTTCTTCCACCATCTCCTTCGCCTTGCTCTTCTTCTTGTTAAACTCTTCTATGAGCTTCTTCTTCTTTTGTTCAGCAGCTGCGTTCTGAAGTACATTGAAAGCAGACTTGGAAGAATCCAGTTCTTCGTCTTCTTTTTCCGCATTCGTGGAGATTGCATTCTCTTCATTGATGGATGACATTTCCACTTTTCGTCGAAGTCTTCCCCTACGCACCAGTGGAGAGCTTTGAATTGCATCTCCATGCTGGTCCGCCGGTATCGTCTCCACTGTGGAAGTTGGAGGCTCGACAAATCTCGATTTTAGAGGCGTATATCTCTGAAGCCCCCCATCCTGCGAGGGCTCAATCATGTCAGAGATTTGTGAGTTCATGTCATCTCGTAGGAGACTGTCCAACCCATGCATCTGTGACTGCGCAAGGTTGAGCTGAACAGCCTGCGTAACGCCCTGAGTTTCATCTCGCTGAGAGTCTAGAACCATATCTTCGACACTGTCATCCATGGCAGCCGAAAAGTTGGAGTCGGGGAATTGATCGAAATCGGGCATCATGGATTGTGTCGGTTCAAGTTGGCTCTTCTGATTCTCATCCATTGTTCCAGCAAAGATTTGAGTAAGGCTAAGGCCAGCAGGTCCCTGAACGGGAAGACCAGGAATGAATGTCTTCTTGGCAGATCGCAACACGGATGTAGGCGCAACAGGAGAGTCGAGCGTTGGAGTATCGTAGGCCCTCTTGGATTTTGGCGTGGCTTCGAAGGTGGGCTCGCCTTCATCGTCAGACAAAACGGCAGTCTTATTCCGTGAGCGTTTTCTTTTAAACGCAGTTACGTTTTCGGCATCTTCGTCTTCATCGTCACCATCCTTGCTATCAAGCTGAGGAAGGACATCTGAAGCTTCAGATGCTGCGTCTTCTTCCTCATCTGCCTCGTCCGCCTCGGCATCAAACATGGCCAGTCCCGCCGTCTCGCCTTCTGCCTCTGATGCGTCGTCTTCTTCTTCATCATCTTCATCTTCTTCCTCAGATCCTGAGAGCTCCACAGCAGAACCCTCTGCGTCTGCGTCACCATCTTTATACTCTTCGTCGTCACTATCATCCCACGCCAAAGGATCTGCTTCACCATTCTCTTTTCCTTCTTTCTTCTCAGCCGCTGCTTCCTCTTCCTTAATTCGTTGAGCCTCCTCTCTGGCTTTGCCCAGGATATCTTCAACCTCCTGCATCTGTCTTTCTCGTTCTTCTGCAGTCTGGACGACGATACCTTGGGCTTTCAACATCTCAAGCCTTCGGTCTCGCTCAGATCTTGCTTGTTCCCTCGCCTTTTGCAGCAGAGTAGCTTGAAATTCGCCAGGAGTCATTCCGTCTCGCTCATTTTTGCGCTTCTTTTCTTTTCCGGGAGGCGTTACGTGAGCCAAAGCCCGCAAGGCCAGTATTGAATGCGATTCCTGCGCTTTTTTAAAGGGAACATTGTTGAAAACAGCATTCATTCTGTCTTTAGCTGTAGTTGTAATCTCCAATTCGTCGTCTGAGTCGGCGGCAGTAAACCTGGGAGGAATCGGTAGTCGCACTCTCACTCGGCGTTTAGTTTGCGTAGGCTTGCTTGGTTCTTCGACTTCAGTAGCTAGCCCTTTACCCTTGTCCAAGCGTGTAGGGGTTGTTTGTTGAACATATTCTGTATCATGGTTTACTGCTAAATCATCTAGCCTCGCCGTAGCATCTTCGATGCCTTGAGATTCCCGCTTGTCTCCCCGCTTCTCTCCAGCTGGTGGCGAGCTAGGTGGCGTATCTTTGTTCGCATCCCCATCGGTTGGAGGTGTTACCGGCCTGCTTGAACTGTTTGCCTGAGGATCCAGCGATGCCTCGCCTTCTATTCTGAAATTGAAACGCTCAAATAGGCTTGCTTTAGAGAGCTTCTTTCGTGTCTTGGCTTCGTGGGCCAGCTGCATGTTTCTTGCCATTCGCTGGGTCTCTCGGTTAAGCTCTTCCATGGCCTTTTTGCTTGCTTTTCTCGTTGGACGGGCTTCTTGTGTCAATCTCCGTCCTCCTTCGTCGTCCGTTATACCTTCTGCATCATCTCCAGAATCCAGCCCCTCGAGTTCAGATGCTAGCTTTTCCTGCCGTGCCCAGCGCTCTGCTTTCCGCGCTTCTTCTTCAGCCTCTCGCGCGAGGCGCTCTTGTCGCTTCCGTTCCACCAGGGCCTTGAAGCGATCCGACTTGACAGCAGGCAGGTCTTCTTCGGATTCTGCTTGGTCCTGAGGCGCCTTTGCTGGCGACGGACGCACTGGTGAAGAAACAAAAAGACCAGGGGAAGGCGATCGATGTGAGAGTTCCGGAGCATTGTCTTGTGCGGGACGGCGCTTCAGCCGCCGAGGGGCAACCGGAAGCTCATCTTCGTCTTCCTCTTCGGCGCCATCAGCATCTACCATCTCGGTATCCGTGGCCTCTTTAGATTGCGCCTCCTCTTGTTCCAACATTCGTCTCACACGATCCCTCGCAGTTTCTGCATTATTGGCTGTATCCGGTTCATTCGTATCATCTGAGGGGCCTTGCATCCGAGCGGCCAGCTTTCCTCGTGGCCGTATCTGGACAGCTTCATCAGAATCGGAATCCGATTCATGGTCCTCCTCGTGGGCAACTGTTTTGCTTCTTGGCGATCGTGCTTTCAGTTTGGTCTCTTTGGCTTTGCGGCTGCTGCTATTGTCGTCGTCATCGCTGCTATCTACCGTCGCAAGTAATGCCTTGATTTTCGATCGCGGTGTAAGTAATTCTGGAGTTGCATTTCGAGATGCTGGCGTTGGAGACCGCGGCGAAGCCATTGTTAATACCAATGACCAGCCAAGCTCGCAGCCTTATTCGGTGATTGACGTGAATTCTTAATAATACTGAAAAGTATGGGTTATGGCGTTGAGAGGTCAAGACATGGCATTCGGGTTTAGCAGGCATAAAGTGCAAAGCAGCGACACGTTAAATTGCGTGGGGAAACATTTACGCGCTTTCGACGCGACGCATGTCAACGCGCAGTGCTCGCCCATTAACTGGGGCAAAAGTGACCTGGAAGCTCCCCGCATTCAACCCACCTACAGTAGAACAGCGCCCTACGCCTATACACAATGAACACAACCACAACCTGATACATTTATATGACACTTTTTACTGTTGATATCGTAGCAGATTATTTAATATGGCGATGAGAGCTTATATGGACATTAGATGCTTCTACTTGGACATTAATAGCATTTGATATCGAGAATGTTGCAAGGTCACAAAACACATTTCCTGAAAGATCAACTGGTGGCAAAATCAGTATTATTCCATTGTCAACCAAGGCGTAGCCTAGGCTGCTGATTCTGCCTGTTTTATAGCTATCTAGTATATCCGGTAAAGACTGTCCAAATTTCCCATGTCCTCCTCACGCAATCCTCTTGGCTCATTGAGCCTCGTGTGTCTGCCAAGTCGGGGCCGACTTAGAAGAGCTTGTGCTCCAGAGTCATTTCAGACTCAGGCTCCAGGCCAACGCAAGCGCGGAAGATGTTGGTCAATGCCGCACGTTGCTTAGCCAGAGCGTTCACAACGGGAGTGCCCGGAGGAGTCAAAGGAGCCTTGAGCATGTAGCTGAGGACACTGAGGACGCTGTGGAAGTGCTTGAATTCAGCAGTCTCGTGGCCGTCATTGGAAGCAGCCTTCCACTGGATACGAGTCATCATCTCAGCAACCACCACAAGATCAATGATCAGGGGCGAAGCTAGGAGAGAGTCCTCGCAGATATTGAACAAACTATTGCGACCAGTTAGTATAATGATATTCCGAATAGGCTCTACTGCAACGGAAGAAAATCTCCGTAGGATTTTGAAAGGAAACTTACGAGATGGTTTGGTGGCCACCGAGGAAGATCTCAGCGTAGTACTCATCAAGAGCACGCTTGTTGTCGCCAACAGCGGGCATGTACTTGATGACAACGCAGTGGTCGGGGTGCTCGCCCTTCTTGTACAGAATGCTGTTAGCCTCGACCATGTCATCCACGACATTGGACTTGGAGATTTCCTTGGAGCGGAACTGCTTCTGAGAGCTCAAGTTCTTGCCGTCGTTGTTGCCAAGGTGGTTGTAGCTGGCAATGGAGGTCAACTTGATACCGGCATTGATAAGGAAATCCACCAGGGCGGACTTCATCTTGGTCTGGCCAGACTTGAAGTCGTCGCCACCAATGTAGGCATTGTGCTTCTCAGCAAGCTCAATAGCACCAGGAACGAAGGTGTTCTGGGGAGAGCCGTTGATGAAGGGGGCGCCCTCCAGGATACAGGCAACAGCAAAGATGGTGGAAGGAGAAACCTCCTCGTGACCCTGCTCAATAGCCTTGAGAAGGTTATCGGCAGTGTCATTGACTCCATCAATGAGGTCGGCGTATCGCTCAGTGTTGGCGGTCCACAGGACAATCACCTTGTCAAGGTTGTTGTTGGCCTTGAAGTCACGAATGTCCTTTCGGAGTTGCTCGACATGAGCCATCGAAGCCTTGGAGCCCTCGAGGACATTGTCAGCTCGGTCCTCCTGGTTGGCGGCAATGAAGTCGGGGTAGTAGATGGAGGGAAGAGGAGTCAACCCAGCCATCTCCTTTCTGACGTGAGCCTTCAGGGCAGGCTCCAGGACCTTGGCGCGATCCATGGCCTGAGCCAGGTTCATCGAGCTGATGTCCCAGCCGCCAATGACCAGGTCGTTGGGGTGGACCATGGGCAGGAGATTGTGGAAGGGAATGTTGATCTCCTGGTTGGTCTTGGCATCGGCTCCAAGCTTGACGGTGGAGCTCATGACGACGGAGCCATAGTAGTTGGCCTCCTGGACGCCTTCCTTGGTGTCCCACACAAGCTTGCGGCGGTTAGCAATGATACCTGCGGTGACAGTGGTACCATTGTTACCACCCCAGCCGACAAGCATCATGCCAACCTTGGGAACCTTGCGGTCGACCTTGAAGTCGTAGAGCGTTTCCTTGGGAGTCGCCACAAAGTTGCCATTGGCGTCGGTCTCGACGCTGGTGGTACGATAAGTATACTTGGAGCGGATTTCCGACTCAGTATAATTGACATTGGGGGAGTTCACGACGAAGGTGCTCTGAGCAGCACCAGTGGACACCGTGTGGCCATTGGCATGGCCATTCCCGTTCGAGGAGCCCGTGCTATCTTCCGCGTGAGGGGCCATGTTGACGGTTTGGCGGGACGCGGGAGTGTTTCTAGTTGAAGGGTTCTATTTCTCTAGATACGACCTTTATTTGGAATAGGTCGAGTCCGCTAACCCTCCAGTGGCAGAGCAGCGGGCTCCGGCGAACGGGTTGTGAATCCTGCAGTCAAGGTTAGTCGTCGACTTCTTTCCATGTTTTGCAGCAAGAATACATACGAGTTCAAGAAGTTGGAAAACGTCTTGACGACTGGATGTGGTCGAGGGATTAGACTCGACCAACAAATTAAACCTGTAATAGGTGGGATGGAGGGGTTGTTGAGACGGAAACTAAGTGGCCAAGCAGTGGTTGCTGAATTGACACAGAGATTTCTGGGGTTTAAAGATTCGGTTTGCTTGCAGAGCGTTACTGAGTAAGTGGTTTACGGTGAGAGAAGGAAAGGAAAAAGAAGCTTTTGGCTGGTTGGGGAGACGGAACCGTTTTGTAGTTCGCTTCGGCTTAATATGGCTCTACGCTGATTAGGACAACTCACATGTACCTACAGGCGCTAAGAGGCGGCTAGCTTTACCAGGTAGACCGATGCTTTTCGAAGCTTCCGGATGGCTTGGGCCTGGACCTGGCTGCAAGCTGAGCGGTGAAAAACAGCGCACAATTAAAAACATTGAATGGAACCTTTTCTGTTGCCTTTGCATCCGGCGGCACGGGCGGATTTCGGGGCCATGGGAATCTCCCACTCCGGAGGAGCTGGTGACGAGTACAGAGACGACTGACTTTGGGCGTTTACATTCGTCAATCTATAGCAACAATGTGAACTTGCAATCTTTAAAAAAAAAAAAAAAAAAATCAATATGTATTTAGCACTCCACAGGAAAAGAACAATACCCCGTGGGATAGCGCTTGATTCCCCATACTTGCTAAGCTCCACGTTCCCATCCTCACCCCGAGCTACGGCTGCTCAACAAGGACACAATGGCGGCCTCTTTCTCCCTCGCGATACGGCACAGCACGGCACGCAACTCAGTTCCGAAGACCGCGCGTTCCCTTGCGCGTGTGTACCTGCATTGGCGGGCACAGATAAGCTGTCAAAACATTGCTGCATGTTGGCTCATCCTGCGGTGGTGTAAAAACAGATTGGTAGACACATGTGATTCATGTGGGGGCTCTAATTCCACTCATTTCCCCAAACTGGCTTCCCGGCCGTCCAGCCATTGAGAGCTGTCACGTCTATCTTTTACGCTCTGCATTTACTCATAACTGACGCGTACCGTTTCGGGTGAATTCGGTCTGTGGATGGAGATTCATGCAGATACAGACCTGAACCAAGCCGGAAACTGTTTGCGTGGCTACGTGTTCGCTGACCTTTTGCATTTGCCAATGGCGATCAGCGTCGACCGCTTTTCCTGACCGCATGTGCCTACATGTACAAGTATGCTGCATTTGTTGGGATCTTGGCTGCCAGGCATCAGGCCACTTAAACACCTCTGCGTCCGCGCCAGAAAACGCTTCGTGCGTCAAATGTAACCAGAGGCATTTTCTTACAGCTAATGCCATTCTCCAACCCTACACCGTTCTTTGCAGACGTGCCGATCGCTCTCTCGGTAGCGAGCTGAATGCTAGCACCAGAGTCCTAGATGAAGATGTGCATGTTGTAGCATCATAGCCCAGCTCAGTGTGAATTCGCCTTTTCTGTCTTCGAGAGTGAGCATTCGTTTTTTTCTATGTGTCATAAGTGGGAGCGTCTCCTCAGGTAGGCATGTAGCACACATTGAGTTACTGCTTGGCGTTGCACGTCGATGGATATAGCTCCTTTCAATGTTCTGAGTCCGGGAGTGTTCGTCTTTGCAACAGCACGAATAGCAGCACATAGGTAGAATTATAGCGTCAGCAAACTTAGCAAAGTGTCATTACAAATGTAACTAAATACGCATATAACTCAACTGCAGCCAGATAATACAAACCATTCTATCCGCTCTCTGATTAAACTTGCATGTTGGTAACCCAAGTGCTCATCTACCCTATAATGCTCCAAATCGAGCAACTGGAGGACCTAATTACTCAATATAGCGGACACCCCTGCCAGACAAGCTGTATTTTTGCCTTCATCAAAGTGCGTCAACAGCTTCTCGCTTAGGACGTGTATAGTCGAGCACGTGCTTTATCCGGAAAAGAATCATCTGCCTTGGTCATCACCTCTGCTTTGAGAACGGGACAATATGAAACCGAAACAGTCGGCTTCAAGCAACATGTCGTGTCACAGATAGATGACAAAAGCGTCTGTAATCTCAAAACTGTCAAAGCACCCCCGGTCGCAAGGCTTCCAGGGATATATACTGCATACAAGTATGTACTGTGATGCTATTTGGAAAAGGCACAGAGTGCCCAACGTAACGCCCAGATATTGCGGGTTTTCAAGCCAGGTATTGCATCTATTAACCATGGCCAACCATAGGCTCTCTTGCTACAACAGCCAGGTTTCTCGCCCTTCTCGAGAAGAACAAATGTCTTGTGCTACAGTACTACAGAGAACATATACGTGTAAAGTAATGCTAGCAGCGGCGGGGGGTCTTGGATGTGACGCTGTGTCTGCTAGGGTTGCTCGTGAACCCAACACAAAGGTCAGCTACCTAGGATAACCATCGGCAGCAGCTCAGTTCAGCAGGTGAAATATATAAGCTGGGCAAGCTTAGTCCTCATACCCCATATTCTCTCTCTTTGTGGAGTGACGATAAGCCGCAACTGAGCCGAACAGAGATGATGATCACCGATCCGAATGCCAAAGAGGAAATGAGAACACAAGGACAGCGGTGATGTGCGGAGACAGCCGTACCGCACCGCGACTCCAGCCTCGCCGCTTTTGCGCTTCCCAAGTAGGAATGGCAAAGATTATGCGCTGTAGAACCGAGACTGCGCCGACATTTTGCTCATGCGCGATGGAACCAACAGCTTCTCTCTTTGTCGCAGGCCCGAGGGCTCTACCGGCCGCTTTGTCGCTCACGCCCATCCTTCGCCCGAGACATTGTGCTGCCGCCCACGTGCTGCTTCTATTCCATTCTTTTGGAGTCTGCGGCCCGAAATGATGATTCTGTGCGAGACAATGGGCCAAGTCGAGGGGCGCTTATTGGGGAGATTTATAGCAAAAGGCTGAAGAAGGGACGTCCAATGGTTCCGACGCCAGAGCCATCAGACGGAGCATGGAACTGTTCGAGGGGTGTTCGACTCGCTACCTGTCGGGTGTCAGTTATACAGTAACCGTGCAATCTGAGCAGTCAATTTCCTGAGGTAGCGCTATTGGCGACTGCTAGCAAGCGTATAGTGCTGCCGCTAGTGCTCCCAGCGCTGGCACAATCTCTCTCACCAGCCACTGAGGCCGCTGACCCTTCCCCCCCCAAAAAGGGATCCTCGCAGCCTCCCCCAGCTGCCCCCCCTTATCAGCGGGCAGGGTCGCATCAAGGAGGACCCTGCAAGGTACGCGACCCAAAAGAGCGACTCGCAGTGGCACTACTGCGGGCCTCATTTGCCCAGCTATTCTCTTTCAGCGAAGCCTCCGGCTTGGTGCGCTCTTTGTTACAGCCTGCGCGCATCACGAGGTGCGAATCTTCATGTCGACGAAAATGAGCGTCTGTACTAACGGGGTGGAGATGGTGTTTAGCACTCTGATACACACCTAGCGGGAGAGCTAAAACCGCAAGTCAAACAGGCCTCTGCTGGGCGAGGCCGCGCTACACGATCGGTGGAATCTGCAACAAAGTGCCTTTAGACTCCATTGGACACCGGGCTTGGTGGTGACTGCTGGCCAGACAATAAAGGGAGTGGGTATTGAGACGATGCAAATACGACCAGAGCCTGATTCTTGGCCTGTTTCCCTGTCAAGGGAGCGGCCTTAAGCTAGTTGTACAACCGTATTCATGCGGTGCGGGCGACGTTATCCAGGGCTGTGATCTTCCGACGAGCGATGAATGCAATTCGGATTATCGCATGCCTGTGCCTTGTGCTTGTGCGCCGCAATGTAGTCACACAGTTGACTGACTTGATATATCTAGGCATCCATCATCCGATGGGCGTTTTGGCGCAGCAGACGCGAGCATAACCACCACGCCTGCTTCTTCCTTCTCCTCCAGCCTCGTTCGCGTCTCGCCTCGTATTCCGTTCGCATCTCGTGTCTGCTTCTGTCCACGAAGCCCGGACGGCTCGCAGAACGAAGGAAAAAAAGTGCATTCCACACCGCAATCACCGCCAACGTTTAGCCACGGCACTGCGAGGCTGCTGTGACAGGGGCCCGCGACCTGATCGCAATTAGCTTACACCAAAGAGTCCTGGGCCAGTGACAGGGTCCAGGGGCCGTCTAGTCAGGGGTCTGCCCACCCCAGCAACTTTTCCGCGACCTCCACAACTCGAGACACTATGCGCAACATCACCGTCTGCAGGTAGCCGGTCCTCCAAAAGCTCGCGACTCTATTCCCCCTTCCATCTTTCTTTCCTTTTCGCCAATTCATCCTCCTAGCATCGTAGGCGAGGCTTCAAGCGTCGTCCACCGCAGGAACCGTCCGGCGCGGGCTTGACAGCTTTCATCGGATCCTGGTTCCCGCTGTCACACTCTGCCGGAGCAAAATAAGCTTGCTGCAACACTCTACTCTGCCGGCGGCTCCTCGCAGCGAGGCTGCGCTTTGGCGGCTCCAAATCTGTGGCTCGAAGGATCTATGCACAGACAAAGAAGAAACTTGAAGAAGGCAGAAACAGGAGGCGTTGTGTGCACGGCTGTCGCGCAAATCCTCGTTGATTCTCCCGTATTAAATAGTCTGCTTTCCAACCATACCGCCTCGGCGAGACACGACAACCACCGCTCGCGACTGCGTTGTAGCACGTGTCGATGTTGACATGTCCGATGTGTTCCTTCGCGCTGGAATAACACCTGAACCACTACACGGAAGAACAGTTCCACAGGACACTGCTTCGCCGTCATGCAGGGACTGAGAGAGTCGGCGTTTCTGCCGACGATCAAATGTTCGTCATGCGGCTTGCAGGTCGAAATCTCCCTGATGGGAGAACATGTGTGTTCTGGGCCGGCCGTCGAGCGTAAGAGATACCAGTCTGCGAATTGGCGATGAGTTGCCTTGGCTAACATTCAACTTCCAGTATCACCGCCTCCCGATAGCAACGATAAGTTTGACGATCCGCTCCCCAGGCCGCTGCAGACAGATAAGATGGGCCGTATGCCTGGCCCGGTTGATATCGGCGCAGCAAGTACGATCTTCTACAGCTCTCCTCTCCGAGATGAATCAGATGCTAATTAACGCGCAGATACAGCGTACATGGTACCGGCACCGTTGACTCCGGTGAGCCAATATGGAGGATCGCGCAGCGTTTCTCCAATGACGCCAAACAGACCATCATTTGCTGATCAAGCAAGAGACTTCTTCTCATTTGGCGGCGCCAGAGTAGAAGAACCAACAAACATACCCGAAAAGCCCCTACAGCCTGACAGCAATGGGCACCGCAGCTCAAAAAGCATGGCTACCCTAGCTCCCGCAAAGCCTCTTGGTTTCATGGAGCGGATGAACACCATTGCCCCAGGCCCCTTTGATACGAACCAACGACCCTCGACTTCGCATGGCGCCTTTCCCACACAAAAGGAATCGGTAACCAAGTTCGATGCATTTTTACTGGAAGAGCCTGGGCGAATCCCTGAGCGACCTGGAACAAGTCATTCCAACTTGTCCACGGGAAGCGGCAGTAATCTTCCATCAACCCCAAAGCAGCCCCGAAAGAATGGATATGAAGGATTCGGAGCTCCGTCGGGGCGCCAGCTAGATCCCAACGCCATGGCACCGCCAATGAGAGCGGAAACCTTTCCTAGACCTTCACCTGGTGTAGGAGAAACCCCACGGCGGCCGTCATTTGCCAGCCCAATGTCTCACAACCGACTGCCTTCCATGGGAGATCCAGATGCGGAGCGACGACCATCTTTGGGGCCCGACACAACGAGGCGCCCGCCACCACGTAAAAGCCTTATTCCTCAACACCTCCCTACAGAATCCCTCAACTTGGCCGCCGAGTTCGGCTCCAGCAACCCCTATCATACGGCATCTGATTCATCATCCTCAGGATACTCTACCTTTAGCAACCAGAGCCAAACCACTACACAGACAAGTCCGGCAAGGTCGCAGCCGCGCAACAGCATCCCCGACGCGCTTAGAGTGAGGGCAATGCCTGGTGTAATGTCGACAACCACAGAGAAGCCACGGCCCGCCGATCTTCGACTCGACCCAGCAGCTGATATACCGCTTCCCGCGCGATCTCCAGTGCCACGATCGCCATACCTTATACCCGAGGGAGAAGAGGAGCGTTATGACCCAGCTATCCAACCTGGCATTGGTCAGCCAGCGTTCAAGCCATACAGAGCGTTTAGCCCAGCCCCGGAACCAAAGTCTGAGCCTGAGCCTGAGCCTGAGCTAGACTTGGGACCTAAAAACGAAAGCTCTCCAAGACAATCATCTCCGAGATCTCCGAGGCAGTCTCCAAGGCAAACTCTTCCTGCACAGACTCCTCCAAGACAGTTTACTCCCAGGCAGTCTACTCCCAGACAGTCTACTCCTAGACAGCCTACCCCTAGGCAGTCCACCCCGCTGCAGCCCTCTGCTAGACGGTCAACTCCCATGCAGCCCTCTCCCAGACAGTCAACTCCAGTGCAGCCCTCTCCTCGACAGTCAACTCCCCGACAATCGCCTCCGAGGAAATCATCTCTGAGACAATCTCAAACCGCCTCGACAGAATCTCCTCGAAAGTCATCCAGAGACCTCAAAGGCTCCAAAGACCTTAAGCTTCCGTCCCGTGGCGACTGCAAGGCTTGTGGCGAACCCATTACCGGAAAGAGCGTTTCGTCCGCCGATGGGAGGTTGACTGGAAGATATCACAAGGCTTGCTTTGTCTGTACCACTTGCGCGAACCCCTTTACCTCTGCCGAGTTTTACGTTTTGGACGACAAGCCGTACTGTGAGCAGCACTACCACAAGCTCAATGGCAGCTTGTGTGGAAGCTGCGGAGTCGGAATCGAGGGGCAGTTTGTTGAAGATGAGTCTCGTGCTAAGCATCACGTAGGATGCTTTTGCTGCCTTGACTGCGGCGTGCCGCTCTCCGACGGCTACTTTGAAGTCGACGGCAAGGCCTACTGCGAGCGCGATGCTGTGAGAAGAACACGGCCGCCACCACCACCTAATCCTTACCCTCGGGGTCCTCCAGGCAGAGGCGGATACGGAGGCCCGGGTCCTCGACCTTACGGCGGACCACCTGGACCGCCTGGACCTGGACGAATGGGTCCAGGAGGACCGGGACCTCGACCCTACGGCCCTCCTGGCCTGCCGAGAGGACCAGGACCCTATGGTGGCCCCCCACCAGGCCGACTCGGACCCGGCATGGGACCCGGCATGAGGCCTGGCATGGGACCTGGCATGGGACCCGGTTTGGGTCCACTGCCCAAGATGAACAAGAGGATGACACGCCTGGGCATGATGTAAAGATGCACACGGCCTTTATCCATCTTGTCGTATCATAATGTCTTAATACCACTACTATCTTTTGTTCACTTGCTCTGCGGCGCAGAGCTGAACATATCTTTAGGCATACCGTATACTTTTTTAACATCCCTTTCTCCTTTTGAGAGTCTTGGAACAAAATACATCACCATTTGGTTTTGGTTTATACTACTATACCCATTTACTTTTTTCTTTTACTTCCCTTCCTATACTTTCACCGGCGGAATACCCATGGCCGGCTGGGCTTGTTTGGTGGATATACACAATATATCTCTTTTGTTTTTAAAATCCTGGTCATGCTTACGAATGAATCCGATCCCATGTGTGTTTTAATTCATTTTCATGTATTGTCCTCATCATAGATGGCGTTTCTTCCCCCTTTTGGTATGTAGTACTTGATTGGACAGCTCTTTGTGAGTTAATGTATAGTTGCTGGGTTTTGCTGGTGGCACGAGAGGAAGATAATGTATGTTTGCTGTTGTTACTATATAATTCAGGGCATCTCGCTACGTCTTAATACTATGTCGTCTTTTTATGATATTTGTCCGTTACCGTCGTGGATGCTGAGAAAGGCTGAAATGTGCTGTTGAAGGCTTATATCGTTGGCGGTGTCTAATACGATTGCGGCAATGGCGTCTGAACGCCATTTTTATGTTACGTTTCAGGCGCTCGTAAATGATTCAAGCCCCTAGCTACTTGCAGCTTAAAAGATGAGCCTAATTGATACGAGTCAGATTGAAACAAAAAACTTAATCGAGATAATTTTCCTTCTATAGTTTGTGATGTCATTGGAATGTTGTAATCGCTGAGATTCTCTATGCACGTGTTGCGCAGGTGGTGTTTTAGATGCTACAACTTCTTAACAATGGGATTGTCGTGCAGTGTCGCAGCCTTGGGAATGTGCCAATTTGAGTCTAGATGAGCACATGTACCTGTATGCACACTGTGATTTTACCAGTAGTAGCATCTCTTTGACAGCCACCAAGAGGAACAGGATTAGGAGAGAGCAAGAAAAGGGGGGAATTAGCCAGATGGCGAGATGCATCAACTGTAATTTGCTACAGTCTGATTGCCACCTGAATCGCCCGCTGTGGTTGGCTGCTTAGACTAATAGCGTTTGGGCTAATAATCTGGAGCTGCTGATTACTATAAGCAGCCTTCTTCTTCTACAACAAGCCCGTTTCTTCCCATGCCATCCATATCCGGCGCTGTGAAGACTTGACGGAAAGACGAAAAAAGCTCAAGCTAGGTTCCGGCGGCACGTGGGGAACGGAAAACTCCCGAAGACTCAATTGGCTACTTGATGCTCTCTTTTTTTCTGGCCTTTTCCCTGGAATGAAGGTTGAGGCTGAAGATGGATAGCGACAGACTCGCCACATAATGAAAGGCTTGCCTTGTTCAGCTGCAAGACTTTGTTCGGCCTAAGACAGTGAGATAGGATTTTGCATTATGCATCAGTATTGACTTAAGAAGCGCATTTGTCTTCGTGTCCTTTTCCTTCATGTTTGTTTATTTTTGTTACTGATCTTCAGGAGTCAATCCTCCCTTTGAAACTTTGATGATTCTGAGGCGTGTCTGCAAGGCCAAATATGGGGCCGCGGGTGACGAAATTGCCCCTTGCGCTTGAGAGGAGCCACTGCCACTAGAGCACGGTCTGGCCCACGCGTGCCAACGGCGCAGAGGGTTTGAAATGATCTATGGTTGATAGAAAAAAAAGAATAGAGGCTTGCGTGGTGACGAGATGTGTCGACGAATTGCGCAAAGGGAACGGGAGTAGGGCGAGAGATGGCAATTCGGAATTGAGCATTCTGACCTGCTGCGAATTGCGCAAATGCTTAGGTACGCTACTGCAGCAGCAGCTCCCAATGGTATGGGCCATTTCCGTCGAGAACCTTGTGCAAACACTACACCAGAAAAGTACTAGATACAGGTACCTACCAGACGCAACTCGCAGACGCGTAGCCTCTCTGTCGTGCTGCCCCTGACAGAGACAAGTCGAGGCAGCTGCAGCAGAGTTTTCTCCTTATACTCGCAGCGTACGCAATCCAGTATAACAGGCACACATGCACTGTGGCCTCTGCACGTTCTCTGCTCCTCTGATCGACAATCATGAATCTGTCGCACTGATTACTGTGGCGGCCATCAGCACCACGAGCCGCTCGTTGGCCAGCCCCCTACGCCCTCCCCGCTGTAATTTTGGGGACCCCCCGCCATGTCGCTCCGACAGACAGTGCAGGTGGGACGCTATTGAGATACGCTGGCGGCCACTGTAACGCTGCAAAGGAAACTTGGAATACAGGCGCTGTACCACTAAAAGTGGCCGTAGACTCCACTCCCTGCGCGAGGCTTCCCGCTATTTCCATCGTCGCACTACATCTGCCAAGTTCTTCTCTTTGCAAGATCGCGCTGGTTAAACTTCCATCTCTTTTCCCTCGCTCGCTTGCGACACCTCGTTTTTTGTGCACGCGATAGCACCTTGTCTGGCCCCCCTCTGCATCGCAATTGTAGAGGCTGGTACGGAGCAGACTGTCCTCCTTTTTTCTACTCTCCTTTACGGCTTTATTGCCCCCTAGTCCCTCTTTTAAGTTTACGTTTACACCCCGCGACAGTGAGACCTTGACAGAGAGTCTTGAGCCGACAACCATCGCTACGACCAAACGGCGAAGCGCATCTTGGTCAATTCCTGTTATACGTCGGACGACACTGGTTGCTTCCGCACAAGACACGGGAAGCCTCCGCCAACAGTCGCTGCGTCGCCAGCCGCAGGTGCTTGGCAAATACAACCGCTTTGTACGACCTCGCAACATGCAAACTTGAGAAAGAGCTCTGGTAGCCCGCAATCAAGTTATATACATAATCTAGCTCTCGACATCTCACTCGATACTCACAAACGATCGCTGCATCAAATCAAATCCATATACGAAGCAACCGCTTCTAGGGCTTGGACAAGATGTTCAATCCCAACGCGCGCCGACCGCGGGTGAGAATACTGCTGCTCATCATTCTCGCCTCCGTTACGTCTTATTATCTGCTCTTCAGCGGCCCAAGCCCACGTTTCAGTATCGTGCCCTACCTGCCCGACCAGCGCGTCACGCAGGGCACTCAGCCCAACACCCCAGCTTCTCAGGCGCCGGCAGGTGACAACAAGGTTGACGACCAACCTGCCCCAGACGTAGACGATGGCTCGATTCAGGACGGTAAACCGTCGACAGACGAGAAGCAACATGAAGACGAGAGTCCAAAGGAAGAAGAGAAGAAGCCTCTAGAGCCTGAAAAGGAAAAAGAAGAGAAGCCTCTCAACATGGATATCGATACGTATAACAAGGAGCTGGAAATGCTGGAGTCTTGGGACTTGAACATTGAAGATTTACGCCAGTGGAAGGATCCTGACGACAAGGAAGACCCCAACGATGTCGCTCCTGGCTATGAAACCGATGGAAAGGATAGAGACTCTGGTACTATCAGCAGACTGCAGCATGAGAAAGACATGAGGAAAATGTGGAGATATGCATACAAAACCACTGCAAAGTAAGTCAAGCCAGCTAATTCCCCCCCCATTTTACGGTAGCTCAAGGCTGACATTACGCTTCCTCAGCCTCGAATCATCCAACAAGATCTACGGCAACACGCTCTCGACTCTTGATTACAAGGAGAACCGCACAGAAGCGCTGGAAGAGAAGCTCAGGGAAGACCCTGATGCTACCGTTGGCTTCAGCGTCGATAAGCCCGTTCGATTCAACCCATACCCAGACTACAACAGTGAAACGTGGAACAAGGCGAAGCACGCTTCTTATGTGCCTTGCAAGGGTCCATCTGGAGAGATTGTCCAAGACTTGCTAGTTTTCAAAGGACGTCCCCACAACTTCCCCGAGCCCAAATTTGGAAGCTACTCTCTGTTTAACATGGATCCCAACTTGTGCTGGGAGCGAGAGACACGCTTAGGCCCTTATGGTTTGCTACAGCAAACGAAAAAGGTTGGCGGCGAAGTCGAGGTTATCGATTGGGAGAATGTCAACTGGGGCGACCTGGTACAGCGATGTGTTCAGTCCAACGCCGCAAGATTCGATCTCAGCAAGGAAAGGAAGAACGAGTACCTGAGCGTCTATCCGGAAGTTGCAGAATCTCTAGCCCCTAAAGAAGATGACAAGAAGGACGGAGAAGCAAGCAAAGCCCCTGAAGCCCAGAAGGACAAAGAGCCGTCGGGCGAATTCCCCAACTTGGACGACAAGACCTTGAAGATTAAGGGACGATCGCCAGCTGACCCAGCTGACCCAGCTGACCCCGACACGAAGAAAGATAGCTCTGAGGTTGTAAAAGAGAAACGCTCCGCGGTTTTGCTTCGTTCGTATACGGGTAAAGTCTACACCGAGAACGACAAGGAGACGATTCGCGCCATGATTAGCGAGCTTTCTCTCAAGACTGGTGGCGAATTCGAGATATTCTTGCTTGTTCAGGTCAAGGACAAGGATGTAACCCACCTCGATGACCCGGAAGTGTACCGAAGCGTTTTGCAGAAGCGCATTCCTGTCGAGTTCCACGGCATCACCCTTTTGTGGAATGACCAGCAGGTTTGGGACATTTACACCAAACTCACGGACGACAACGAGCGTAGCGTTCACACGGCACAATGGCTAAGTGTCCAGAAATTCAGCATGGATCATCCCGAATTCGACTATATTTGGAACTGGGAAATGGACTTCCGCGTCACTGGCCATCACTACGACATGGTTGATAACCTGGCCAAGTTCTCCGCGAAGCAGCCGCGCCGAGGTTCCTGGGAGAGGAATGAGCGGTGGTATATCCCCGAACACCATGGCGACTATGATACGACCTTCCGAAAGGAAGTCGAGGAAACTTATGGCGAATCTACCGTCTGGGGTGCCCCTGACTTGCCTTTTATCACGCCGGTTGGCCCTAAGCCTCCGGTGAAGTCAGCGGGAGAAGATAACTATTCATGGGGCGTTGGCGAAGAGGCGGATTTTATTACTCTGGGCCCCATCTTCGATCCTGTGAACAGCAACTGGATTATCCGCGATAATGTTTGGGGATATTCAGACAAGACTCACAGAGCCCGCGATCTTCCTCGTCGTACCACGATTGTCACCCACTCTCGTCTGTCGAAGCGTCTGCTGGATATCATGCACGTCGAGAACTTGCGCGGAAACCACGTTGCCTCCGAAATGACGCCTCAGACCGTTGCCTTGCTCCATGGCCTCAAGGCAGTTTATGCCCCGCATCCCATCTTTACGGACCGCGACTGGAACGGTAAATTCCTCAACCAATGGTTCAACCCTGGCCCCAAGGGAGAATCTGGTGGATATGGAAGCCCCATGGGCTGGGGCAGAGAGCGACGATACCAGGGCAATTCCTGGTACTACCGAGCAGAGCCACCGAACCGAATGTACAACAACTGGATGGGCTGGATTGATACAGGCATGGGAGGCCAGGAGTGGGAGCAGCAACACGGACGACCGTGCCTGCCATCCATCTTGCTCCATCCTGTCAAAGATACAAAGGCTACAAAAGAAGGCCATAAGACTGGATTTGAGCTGTTTTACGGCTAAAGGAGCTCGTCGCTACCCTCAAGGGGTTGATGTTTCTTTTTCTTCGTTTCCTTTGTTTAGCTACAATCGGATGCATTTCATTACATCTCGTTGAGCCTTTGTTTCTCCATACCAGCTTTGTTCCAACAAATTCTGTTCCTCTTTTTTTCTCTTCTTCTTCTTCTCTTTATTGCCATTCCTTTCTAGGATATTGCATTTTCGTATATCTTTATTGTTATTCACGCCAACGCCTATGGCTATATCGAATAGTCCACCGGCTTGATAGTGGCGACTTTGAACGGGAGGGGTGATGTACTATGATTGTTGACAAGCGCAAATATTCATCATGGCAAAAGATCTACGCAACGTACGAGGGGAATACGGTGAGAGATGTATATACAGCCCGGCGTTTATTTAATTTTTTTATGATGTTGGTACCGGACTTTGCGGGCTGGTTATTTGCTTATTTCTACTTGGTTGCACGATGGTATTACGAGAGAATCTTCCTTTTTCCTTTTCTCTTATCTATTCATTTATCAAAAACCACAAACAGCGGTCAAGTCTTGGAAGAATGCATTGTCTTTAATGACGTTGAGGCTGTACAAATAGCATGGGCGTGGAGGAAGAGTAGTAATGTTTTAACTGTCTCTACTTTTGTGCATAATGTTTTTACAAGCAATTCAAAATGAAATTTCAAATGCTCAGAAATGTTTTCCATATCTACCCTGTGTGAAGTAAGAGTTGAGATTGAAAGTAATGCTCCAAATTGTAGGTTGTTTCCTACATATAATTGAGCGAATGAAGGGTGCCTCAATTGGCCTCGATTCGGAGCCTCTTGTTCCGACAGCGTCGGTCGGATTATTCTTGGCTGCCCCGCGGTAGGTACCGCTTAAGTGCATGCACGGCATCTGGCTTTCTCTCTCTCTCAAACGCTCTCGTGACATGGGCAATTCTTCAATTTGAGCGAGATGCTCAGCGCATGAGTTAAGCCGCGTGTTTAGTGATGATCAGGCATTTCTTTTCCTGTCGAGTTCTCGTTGCGTCATCAAGATGAAGCGAGGGGTAGCGACAGCAATGCGTTGATCGAATAATGAATCCATTTCCCAGCGTGAGTTTCACCCACCCCTAATTTGCGCATCGGATGTGAGAAGTATACTGAAGATTTGAGATGCATGGTAGACGCCAACGCCACGGCGATTTTTACTGCCAAAGCGGTCAACTCAGTCGTCGTCACAGACACCGGGTGCCCCCGCTCAATTTCAGTCTACGCCTCGGTTTGGCTCCTCTTCAGCCCCCAGGCCTACACAGGGTAGGGAGCTCGAAATCGAAGAGGATGAGGATGTGATATCCGAGTCCAGTCTCTCTGGCGATGACGGAGAACCTGCCGTAGGGACCACGCAACGCGGCTCTCGCCGCCATGGGCTCGATATTGAGTCGGAGGCTGGCTCACCGTCTCGGGAAAGACCGTTGTCAGACGTTGGCGAGAAACCAAAGGCTCATTCCTGGCTTGATATCCAGTCACAAAGCCCAAGTGAAGCATCGCAGGGGTTTGAGGAGGGGAGAGAAGCAAAAAGACGAAAGATGTCGATTTCACCCACGCCTGTGCTTGGGTTGCCGAATACCCAAGAGACGGATGGACCGGCACATGGGGGGGATATTGACTATGGGGCCTACGATATGGCTATTGCCGATTCCGAAGATGAGGGTTCGGTAATGAGCACGGACAATAGTGAGGAGTCGCCTATCATCGCGTCGGATACCAAGGCTCTGCAGCAGCCTGTATTTCAGCAGGCACCACGGTTCAAACCCTTAATCGCAGATGATCATCACGGTGGCCTTCCAGCAGCTTTCTCGCCGCAGCGGAGAGGGGCGAAATACATCGCTGGGGGAATGGCAGCCCAGCTTCAGGGGTGGCTCTCGGAAGTCAAGAGCTGGGAAGAGAACGGCGAGAAGACCACGTCGGGTTTGAAGATTCACGTGGAGCAGATCAGGCCAGGGAGGCGGATGTATCTTATAGAAGGCCGCGCATCTTCAGGGGATGTGCCGCAGAAATGGATATTGGCTGGAGAGGGAAAGTTGACTGGCTTGGGCAAGAGGGCAGAAGTGGAGATGGGAAGCGTGGTGTTGATTGAACAGCCTACGTGGGAGGTTGAGCTGGAGGCAAGTGTTTGGAATGTGGCGTGTGAGTGGAGTATAGTTTTGAATTGATTGGAAATGGCAGAAGACAGAGACATATCAAGTAGTTTGTTGGAACAATTGGAAAGCCACAATGTGTAATTTGCTGGTGTTGATGTCGGTCGTGCGGTTGGTGATGCATGTAACCCGTATTGGCACCAAACGCGAGTTTCTAGCCAGCCTAGCGAAAATCATCATCGATGGATGTACCCTGCAGCTAGCGATTGAAAGACCAACATCTGTACCAAGCAGCTGCCTCCAATCCTGCTCAATTCTGATACAGTAAATGTCGATTTCACAATGATTCGCCTCTTTCTCAGCTCAGCCTTTCCTCTGCGGCAGAGATTGGCCGTTTTCCCGCGGCGATGCTTCTCATCTCATGTGGGGATAAAAGCGTCTGATCCGCTCCGAGTTCTCTTTTGCGGCTCAGATGCATTTAGCTGCGAGTCTTTGCGCACGTTACATCGAGAACATGAGAGTAACAGACGGCTGATTGAATCTTTGGATGTGATGGTTCTGCCGCCCAGACGAACGGGAAGAGGTTTCAAAGAGATTACAGAGGGTTGGCATCGTGACTCTTCACGGCTTATGAAATGATGCTGACGCTCAGACAGTACCGTGTAAGTCTGTTGCGGAGCATTTAGGACTGAGAATACATCAGCGAGAGACATTTAGAGGGTGGAGTGTAAGGTTCTTTTTCTATGCCGTACTTGGAAGATCAAAAAGGCTGATCGATTGACGATAGATACCAGAAGGGACCAATTTAATCGTAGTTGTCTCTTTTGGATTATTTGTCCCGCCACGGATATTGAATTCAGCAAAATATGGTGGTTTAAATGTTCACCCATCTCTCTTACCACAGTGAGTTTTCCCATTTGTCAATCTCACTCTAGTATCTGACCTGCGCTTATCAAAACTTATAGTCTGCGCGGACCAGCTCCGATTCACCACGCCATGATGCGCAACGAAAAATACACCGGCGTGTCTCTACAAACTTTGGATCCCAAAGCTTTTGACCACGGGGTCGTTCTCGCTCAGACGCCGTCTCCAGGCATACCCATCCCAGCTGGTACTACGTTGCAACAACTTACAGAATCTCTTGCTAAAGTAGGCGCGGAGATGCTTGTTCAGGGACTACGGGACGGGGTACATGTGCCGCCGTATACGAGTGTCGAGTGGATGGCCAACCAGTTGAAAGGAGAGAAGCTTGTTCACGCGCCGAAGGTGAGCAAAGGGGAATCTCAAATCAACTGGCCCGAGTGGAACTCTACAGATGTTGCCCGCTTCCTCAATATCTTCAACACGGTATGGACGCACGCGAGAAACGACAAGGGAAAGTTTAAGCGGGTGCTGTTCTTGGACGCAGAGAGCGTGTCTGAGCATGGCGTGACGGGAAGGAGTGAAGAAATCTTATTTCGGTTCGAAAGAGGGAATGAAGGACATGACGTTCAGAGGAATGTTAGAGTGGATGATGAGCATGATGCGTTTTATATACAGATGGCGGACGAGAGCTGGGTGCGTGTGAGGAATGTGAAGGTTGATGGGAAGACGACACAGGGGGCGAGAATTGGGATGAGAGAGTTTATGAAGAAGATGAAATGATATCAGAAGTCCACGAAAAAAATAATGTCATCTATAATGCCTACCTGAGATACTTGTACGTTATAGGCCAGACATGGAGTACCTATATGACAAGATGTCCGAGCCAAGCCACGTACAATCATCTTTAGAACACCTACCACAGCATACTCCTTTTTAGACTATAGTGCTCTAGAAATTCCCGACATGGTAAGCCGTATCGGAAAACTGAAAGCTGGCAGGCCTCGCAAACATGAAACTCCAGACTCTTACCGCCCCGGCAGGCATCACGAGCAGTTATTTCGCCACAGCCAGCAAGGGACCGCTCAGGAGAAGTACTTGGGTGATACTGCTCGTATTCCAAATTTGATATGCCCCAGAAAACTTTGCAAGAGTTAATGAGATGAAGGATACAATGATCAATATAGATCTCGAATGTCTAGAAGCCCATGCATGCATGGTCCAACAGGGAAGAGTATACGCGAAATGGGGCTTGCAGAGAGACCTGAGGATTCTTCAGCTCGCGCGGAAGCGATTTGATAATTACTCGGTACATGAACGGCTGCAAAAATGATGCCCGGAAGTGCCCCCCTGAGAATGGGACATGGAAGCTTGGTTCCGGGTGGAGCTTTATGGAAGCGTCCAAGGAGTCTCCGAGAGAAAACCAGGAAGTGGATTTTGGCCACATGTACTGTAGGTAGTTTCTCCCACCCTTGTTGAAAGTGCCGTTATAATTTTGTCTTCATTTTCTGGATGCACGTGTTGCGGAAGTTGTGATGATTGTGATCAATAGCAATACCTGCATATACGACACATGTAGTTATCTTGATATCTTGCTCGAAGTTCGTGGTGTGTTGCTAAAGACAACTGGAACATGAAGGCGAGACTAAGGCAGCAGCCCCTGGCTTGCCGTTGCGGGCGTCCAATCATGGCGCGTTTTGGCGACAGGAGGCAGCTTAACGGGCACCGTAGCGCCCTGTAGCCTCCCTGCTTCGGCGCCTCTGCCGCTGAAGCACCTGCACTTACGAGTCCCATGCGGAGGGAAAATATCCGTCTTCCGTGCTACCTCGCGATGCCGATCGTGTGCACTGAGCACTGCGATCATCGCTTTGATATCCTCGCCAGAGCTCTTCTTTTTTCCCATTTGGTCTTGCAGAATCTCGACATGCTGGAGTCGATCGAGCTCCCTGCGGTTCGGTTTCTCTCGCCTCGAAACCGGGGCCGTCTCATTGCGGAGTGATGGCCATCGCGGTTCTTCGAGATGCAGCGCTGCGCCAAGATTGACGCGAGGCCATTTATCCTCTGTACAGTACAGGCCGCAAGTCTGCAGCTGATACGCAGCACTAGCATTTCCTACATATGATGGACATGTGAGAATGGCCGTGTATAGGCATTCGTTGGTAGGCACGCATATCTCATGCTACCCTCCTTTCGTGGCGCAGCGTTTCGGCGAATGCCCAAGTGGGACGGGACGCAGGCATCTTATGCCAGTCAGAAGGAATTGCGCGGCACCAAGACTGCATGGAGAACGGCAACACGTTTATTTCTTCACGTTCCTAAATCGGATAGGCCGGATTATAGAGTTCGACTCGTATGCATGCTGGCAGCTAGAGCGTATACACAAGGTTTTCTGGCACGCATTCGTCTCTCGCCCTTATGCCGGGGATACTCCGCCAAATTGAGGGTGACTTATGGAGTATCGAGCCCATATCAGGGTGCTTACGCTTCGGTCCAAGGCATGATGAATCGAAAGCCACGGGAATAGCGGAGTGGGTTTGCCGCTTTGTTTCGACAAGCCGGGCTTTCTGGCATTTGGCAGGCCGTGACTACTTCGTATACGAACTAGTGTGGATACTCTTTACGAATCCCGCTCTTGTCTGGATTCACGGATGCAACCAATCGTCTTCCTACTTGGGCTTTCCTTGGCTTACAAGGGTGCCGAAGAAATCTTTGTTCTTCAAGGACGGACGTGAAAGACCCAGAGTAAATGTTTCGCCCCTGGCGCCCATGCAGTTCCTGCATTAGCGGCTCCGTCGCAGAAGGGGATGGGTTGATTCACCACTTGTGGACTGCACATGTCTTTTGTGGTAGGAGGGTAAGTAGTTCATGCTCAAACGCCGTTGCTATACTGAGATAGGATGGTGGCTGATGTTTGCCTGCTGGTTTCATCGCCTTGACTTTAGGACTTCATGTGTTACCGATAGTCAGTGTTGATCTTGAATACGGGGACCGAGGGTTCGGCGTCTCGCTGTAGAATTGCAATCTCGCAGTTCTATTTCTGTTTGTCTTGTTTGGGAGCCAGCCCAGTAGGGTTCGGACCCATTACCAACTTGGTTCGGCTCCCCTCCCGGATCATCTACATGATTCGCCGTCCCCATGTTTACTTTCAAGTGATTGGGCGTTTACTGCTTCCCTCATCCCCAAAATGGCCCCATTTCAGAGAGTCCCCTGATCCGTTCGGGCACTCGCCTCTACTCATCTGCTCGATACGGCGGCACCCCTGTTGCAACAGAATCTAATGGTGGGCAAACAAGGGTTTGGACCAAGGCTTCAAGGCCGTTGTGGACTTGCTCACCCACCAATACTGTTGGCCTTGCCTGTGCAAGTTACTTCGAGTATGCTGCCTCCATGAATAAGCTTCCCGAAGGGGACCCAGGGGTCGAGGGCCGTTCTGCCTAAAAGAAGGACGACTGCTCCTCTGAAGTGTCTCATCACGCACTCCTTCGTCAACTTCATTCGTCTACAACGACAACTTGAGCCACTTAGCTCGTCCTCTGACGTATCGTACGTCGAAAGCACATTCATTTCAACGGAATATATAAAAGCACTTTTAGTCATTCCTTCAGACGAAACTCGAGCTTCTGTCAATCTTTAATTCGAAATGCCTTCTCTCAACGCCCTTAGCACGGCGCTCCTGGCCTGTGCCGGAAGTGCTGTTGCTACCCAGTTTACTTTGGCCGATACCTACGACCACACCAACTTCTTCCAGAAGTTTACATTCACCGACGTATGGCTTTCCATGATATTCATTGTCACATGGCTGGTTGTCAAAAGTATCCCACTAACTGATAGTATAGGAACCCGACACCAACTCTGGCTTCGTGGTTTACCAGAACCTCGCCAATGCTCAGGCACAAGGCTTGGCCAAGATCACCAGCAACAATGAAGTCTACCTCGGAGTCGACCACCAGACCGTCCTCAAGGGTTCCGGCTTCGCTGGCCGTAACTCCATTAGACTCGAGTCCACAAACTCTTACAAGCACGGCCTCATCGTTGCCCGGTTCTCTCATCTGCCCGCCAACAAGTGCGGTAGCTGGCCCTCTTTCTGGACTCTTGGCGACAACTGGCCCAGTGGTGGAGAGATCGACGTGTACGAGGGCTGGAACAACATCCTCGACAACCAGCCTGCCTTCCACGTTGGCAGCTCAAGCCAATTTGGCCAGTGTACCCTCCAGAGTGCCGGACAGTCGGCTCCCGTTGTTACCCCCAACTGTGACAACACTTTCCAGAGCCCTCCTAGCCAGTACTTGAACCAGGGTTGCACCACCACCGATAGCACCGGTCCCTGGGCCTCTCCCAGCGGTGGCACCTGTAAGTAATAATGATGCCTTTTTAATTTGCGAGACGGAAATCTGACCACCTCCATCTAGATGCCATCGAGTGGACCAGCGACTACATCAAGCTGTACAACTGGGCCCGAGGTGCCGAGCCTGCCAACCTGGCTTCATCCAACCCTGATACCGCTACCTGGGGCACTCCCGTGGCTAACCTGGCCAACTCCAACTGCAACATCGACAGCCACTTCGCCGACCAGCGCCTCATTCTCGACATCGACTTCTGCGGCAACCCCGTTGGCACTCCCGCCTTTTGGCAGCAGAGCTGTGCTGCCACCACTGGCCAGGGCACTTGCGCTGACTACGTCTCCAAGTTCCCCGGTGACTTTGCCGAGTCCTACTTCCAGATCCAGGACATTCGCTACTTCAGCCAGAGCACCGCCAAGCCTACCACTTCCAAGGCTGTTAGCTCCAAGGCTACCAGCTCCAAGGCCGCTGTCTCTACCTCCAAGGCCGCTGCTACCTCCAAGGCTGCCTCATCCTCTGCCGTTGTCGTTCCCACCTCTGCCATCTCCAGCCAGTCTGCCGTCGCCGGCTCCTCTGCCCCTGCTGTGACCGGTACCATTGTCGCCACCAGCAAATGGAGCAACTCTTCCGTCACTGCTACCGGTGCTGGCTCCGCCATTTCTTCCGCTCCTCAGATGACCACCTCGACTGTCTTCACCACTTCCGTCCACACCATCTCTCAGTGTGCCCCTGAGGTCACCAACTGCCCGTTCCGCCCCACCGTCACCACCGAGACCATTGCCCTATACACGACCATCTGCCCCGTCCTGGCTGCTGAGTCTAGCTCCGAGCTGGCTGCCCACACTACCGCTGCCCCTGCTCCTCCTGCTGGCTCAGCCGGTGTTCCCAGCGGTCCCGAGACCATCACCACCGATATCACCGTCGTTCACACCATCACCAGCTGCGCCGCCGACATCACCAACTGCCCTGCTCGCACTTCCACTGAGGTTGTCCGCACTACTTTCCCTGCTGGCCAGCAGACCGGTGTCCCTGTGGCGCCCTCCGTTCCCGTTGTCCCTGTCGCTCCCGGCAGCGCTCCCAGCAACACTCCTGGCAACGCTCCTGGAAATGCTCCCGGCAATGCTCCCGGCAATGCTCCCAGCAACACTCCTGGTAACGCTCCCAGCAACGCTCCTGGAAATGCCCCTGGCAATGCTCCTGGCAGCGCCCCCAGCATTGTCCCCGTTGTCCCCGTTGGTGCTCCTTCCAACGTTCCCAGCGCTCCGGGATCTGGCCCCGTCAACACCTGGGCATCCAGCATCGTCGGTGTACCTACTCCTGTAGGCACTGGCGGTAGCTCTGCTGCTACTGGTAACCCCCCCGTCCCTGTTTCCAGCGGCCTGGGTGGCTGCACTGGTGCTGATTGTCTCCCTCCCGTCGGCAACGGCGCTGAGCGCACCGGCCTGAGCACTCTTGCTCTTGTTGGTGCCCTGGCTGCTATGCTGTTGTAAATAGTATGAGTATATTAGAATTAGGGGAAACGAATTTAGGTTGAAGATGTAATTAAGATGCAGGACAGTCTAATCAAGGCGTTTTGTTGGTTTATTCAAGTGCCGCCATATCGATTATGGATGGACGTACATATACACACACATAGAGTTGGATCAAAGGATCTTGTCATACTGGTAGTAACCTTTTAAAATTTTCTTTCATCAATTTTTATAAACAACTCGCCCCATATCTAAGATTCTGAATTCATTGTGTTGTATCTCGTATTGTTATGCATCTAAGTAAACCCCAATAGTCAATTAATACGGCGTTATTTCTGAACACCAGCAACATAGTTTTCCAGACAGCCTCTCATGCAAAAGTTCCTGCAAAATACTTTCCAAATCCAATCGAATGCTCGAGTTGCTGGAACTCTTAGCTTTCCTGCTTGACAATAAACGCTGGCAACGTAAAGTCGAATTCATAGCCACGAATGCACCATTTTGACATACACTTACCTACCAAGGTGAATCCCCCCCCAAAGCAGCGTTGTTTATTCTTTCGTGTCCACGACGTCCATCACCGTGCCCTCTTCTTGCCCAGGAGTATACAACGCGGTTAAAAGACTCACCTCTTGGACCTCTGCGCTCTTTCGCTCTGACTCTTGACCACTTCTCTGCCCAATGCTTGTCTCTTGCGCGAGCTGCACAAGTTTCGACCAATGTCCCGCAGGAACACGGTCCTTTCCCGGAAGACCTACCAGAACGTCCTCTGCGCGGAGCCAATATTGTATTTGAGAAGGGGAAGAGCCAACAGCGGGGTAGAGTTTGACGTGATAGAAGCCTTCTTGGGTGAGGAGGTGCAGATTATTGAGGTCGAGATTGGGATTGGTGAGGCCGCTATTTTGTGAGAGGGCAGTTGTGGGCGGAAGAGTGAATGAGTCACGACGAGAAGAGTCTCTCGGCTGAGTGAGATCCTGGAGAGTTGACGCTTGAGAAAGTCTTCTGGGATCACTGGCAGGGATTGGGGTTGTTGTGGGTGTTGCGGGCAGAGGCCAAAAGGGAGGAGGAGTTGTAAAGGGGCTTCTGGGACGGATGGGAAGAAGCTTGAGAGGGTTTCTGGGAGGAATTGGTGGGAGAGCTCTGAGAAGGTTCTTGGGAGGGAGCGGCGGGAGAGATTTGTCTAGGGGGGAGGTTGGGCAGGACATTTTGGAGAAGACTTTGAAGAGGGCGTTGAAGAGGACGTTGCTGACTGGGGGGTTGCGGCTGCTGAGGAAGTCTCGAGAGAATTTGGTAGGGGCATGTCGACGTAGATATAGTAGTATTTTCGTAGATACTGCACTGTTTTGGGAATTGAACTAGAGAAGACATGAATGTGGTGTTTTCGCGATGTAATTGTAAAAATCTTTTGTGATTGACGGGAAGCAAACGGTTGACAAAGGAAACAATTGACAGAACAGGTTTGTTCAACTCACCTAGACAACGCGTGCTGTGTCTGATAAAACAACAGACTCAAAGAACAAAAGACAAACAAACAGAAGATTTGCAAAGGGTATCAAGTGAATTTATTCAAACGTTCTACTATCTCTACCACAGCCGGGTGCGAATCCATTCAGCCCACTTACACAGATCCTCAAGCCGTTCAAGCGCCTTGCCGAGATCTTCTCTACTGATCGGCTTTCCTTTGCCCTTGCTTTCCTTTTCATGCTGTTCAATAACGTTTTCGTTTACAATCTCTACCGTGCCGCCTTCCAGGATGCGAAGTGTAATGTCAATGGTAGAGTCCTTGACGGGGAAGACGACTTGGAGGTGCGGTGATGGATGAACCCATAATATAACGTCCATATCCACATCATTCGCAGTTCCATTTTCTTCTCTGCTCTCTTTCGTCTCCTTCTCAGCTTCTTGAGTGGTCTCTCGTTTAGCTTGCTCGTCTTCTTTGGCTTCATCGTCGCTGAAATCCATAAAAGCTGCCAGCTCGTCCTTGACTGTCTTAGAGGTAGTAGGAGCCTTGCTTGACTTGGGTAAATCCTCCTTAGTTTTGGACCCAAAGGAATTGTTCATCAGTGTAGAAAGGAAGGCAAACTGCCGAAGAAGGGGGAGCATGTCAATGAGCTGGCGCGGATGAGAAAAGGGCATCTGCGTAATTGTTCTGGAATAAATGGGCTTATAGATGAAGAGTGTGTTATGGTGGCTCCTCATGGACGATTTCCCCTGCTGATCAAAAACACGGACGTCACGCAGGCGATGAACCGTCCTCGATTCGCTGGGATCTTGCTTATTCTGAGCCAACATGGGGAAGAATAAATCGTCAAATGTTGGAGGGGAGCGCTGCTCAAACTCGCTAGGATCTGGGCTGGGTGGCTCAGCACCCGCGTATGCGTAAAGTCGGGCGTAGTCATTTTGCGGAAGGATGACAGGTGGATCGAACGTAACAGTAAACATAACCTGAGGAGATATTGAGAGATCCAGCCCCAAAACACCAATAGTGGCGCTTTTATTCTCATCCGATGATGGGAGTGAGATATTCTCTGGCTCTTGCCAGTCAAGAATGGGGAAGGAAGTAGGATTCAGTGCTTGACCTGGATCCTGGTGCACCTCCTTCGCCACATCTTTGGAGATCCAGTCCTCAGATACTCTGACAGGCGGCAGGCCAATTGTTTCAATCGTTGTAGGCAGGCCAAGTGCTTCCATAGGCGCACAATCAAGCAGAAGGGACCAAATTTTCTCCTTCTCCCAAGGTGAACTTATTTTATCGTTTGAAGGGGGTACGAATCGCAGCTCTTTCCAGTACTGCAAAGCGAGCCCGACCTTATTTCGTGCGTGCATGACAGGATAGCCGTGTCGAGTGCAAAGAGCGGCTAGAGATAGGTAATGATCCGGTTTGCCCTCCATCTCCGGCTCCTTTCGTAAATTTGCCATGTCCCACTGGTGTAATCTTTCCAAGCTAGTATGGATACCGGCTAGAGCCTCATAACAGTCAAGACCGGGAATAATGCTGAGCTTGTCTAGGTTGGCTATATGCCCAAAGTTATATGCGAACTTATCCAGTGTTTTCGTAAGAGGGCTTTGGTTAGGACCAAGCTTCAAGTCCGTCAACAGAATTTGGCTGGCTGCTTCCATCTGCTTATGAACTGACGGCGCCGATCCATGGTAGGCTAATGACACATTTTGGACAATATTGTTATCCAGTACGATGTCGACGGCAATAGCAGAGCCTGCAATTGCCAACGTCTTTTTCTTGCGTCCGTCTGGGGCTGTATTCTCTTCGGATAGCAGTTCAAGGCCGAGGCGCTGAGCAAGCCGTTCCAAGCCGGCTTCGCTGACGAAGCCTTTCTTCTGCTGCAATGACATGTCAGCTTTATAGGGGTTTCCTATCTGCGATGCGGGTGCACACATACATTTAACAACTCGAGGATATGGTCCAGTCGTTTTAATTTGTCATCCTCTCGCTTCAACTTGTCCTCCTTGGCGAATGAGACGTTTAGTGAATCAAGCTCGCCGACGCTGACGTTCTCGAGGCCGATATCGAAGCTACCGCCAATCCCTAGTGCGCCCATAGCGGCAGCAGTTGATGGACTATCGAAATTCAAAGCGCCCATGCCAGATTGGCCCATCAGTGTCGATGTCGCCGGCGATTTCTTCACCTGCTGCGGTGATCGCTGCCCCCGAGGCGAGAAAGCAGCCTGGGCGGCGTTGGAGAATGGCGTCGAGATGGGCGGCGTCGCGCCCGCAATCTGTGACGGCGTTGGGCCCTGATGCGACGGCGTGCGTCCCTGCTGTGAGGGCGCATGCCTCATAGGCGTTGGTGTCGCCATAGTAGATACTGTGTATGCGCGGTTCGTACCGGAGCGCGGTCGTGAAAAGTCGTGGAGTGGTCGAAGCTATGAAATCGTCGACGCGGTGGATTGACGGACAGCTGAGGGAAGCGAGAAAGCCTGAGGAGCGTTGATCAACCTTTCGAACACATCAGTTTGTAACCCATCAAAGGGCACATAGCAAGCCAAAGAAAGCGGCTACAGCGGTATTGCAGGCGTTGGAGCAAGCACGCGGATATTCCGTTGTGATGTTGAAGCTCAGCTTAGCTTCCATTGTTCGACAGCCTTGTGGCGGGCCGACAGTTAGCGCTGAGCCCACTAAAAGGGTACTCTGCGCACCGCGTTCTTTCAGTGGGTAGTGAAGTACCGAGCTAGGTGACCTGAATTTATACCGACGAGGCTGCATCTTGATTGTTCTTCGCATCAGACATTGCATTCCATTTACGCCTCTTTAGAACCGCCACGCTGCACATTCATGGCAACAGCTGGGAATGTAGCCCGCCAGCTACGGGACCGGACGCTTCGCCAAAGGTCTATACGTGTGCTTGTCTCCCCTACGCCAATTACTTTCGCCGAACGCCGCTCAATTCTGCAGGTGTTGGAGCAATATGGACCGGTTGAATTTTTCAAGATGCTTCCCGTATGTCCCAGCCCATTGGCTACATAAACGTGTCATATGTGGAAGAGGACAGCTACCTAACATAGAATCCAATTGCGAATTTCAAGAGCCACTATTCTCAATATGTATCGATAACAAAGGAGCCCACAACTGCCGAGAGATTGGTGGCCAGCAGTCCTCTCACGTACAAGATTACAGAGCCTACCCGCAAGGCTGTGGAGGATATTTACGTTGCGGATTTGGACGAACCCGAAGGCTTCAGTACCCTACAGCCGACAGTGACCGGGGAGCAGACCAATAGCGTGAGCTCACGGTCCGACGGACTAAACGATGATCCAACGCAGGGCCAGAAAGAGTTCAAGATACACGTCTTCCCTGCGCCAGATTACAACCATAGATTTGCCATGGCGGGATCACCGCTGCATATCCCCTGGCCCAGTGCGTACGAGCAGGAACAGTCATTCATTGCAACAACACTGAAGCAGTCGTTGCCCAAAAGTATAGCCAGTGTAGGGCTTGCGCATTGGCTTGTGAGCGATGGCAGCGCGTTGCGCATGGAGCGCAAAGTCAAAAGGAAGCGGATTAGGGATTGGCTTCCCAGCAAAATGAAGAAAGGCACGACTGAGTAAGCCGACAAGGCTATTCCGCGACACAAGACTGCGATTCTTACTACAGAGTGTCTCATGTGCCGTTGTAAGTGCTACGGCCAAGAAGAAAGACACCGGCTGTGTTCCACAATGGATGCGCCATGGCTGAAACAGCTTAATTTGTTCTCTGCGATAACCCAGAGGGAGATGCAACACGGCGCTGCAAATGTGGGAGGCTGGGCTGTGCGGCTTGTCGCACAATATGTCACTGCTTGGAAAATTAAAGGTTGGCTCTTAGTCTCTCGCGCTGTGTTGTCTCTCAAGAAATGACACCAATTTTAATTTTCTAGATCAAAGCAGGGAAGACTTTCTGTACTGCTGCCACTAATACCAACACCATTCACAAGGAAGGCAATTGACAGCTTCCAAAAATGAAACGGCTGCTTGCAAAAAGACAAAACTGTGGGATGAACTGCTGCCTAAACTGGAAGTCGATGATGCTGGATCTACGCGCATCTGGCAACTCTCTTATTCTCGTCGTCTCGCTCGTCTACCGCGCACATGGTAATGCGGCCGTCCAGAGTACAGCGCCCGGATTATTGTTGGTGTTACTACTTCATCATGATGATGTGCGCATAACATGTGCAATTTCGAACATACGACGCGACCATCGCCGATGATGTGGCCATGCATGCACACTAAGGGGGGATGCTCGAGGCTTGTCAACGAAAATCTCGGTTTACGTCACATGAATGGCCGCCATCCGACGCAGCTAAGCATAGCCATCACACCGTCACTGCTGTTGGAGCCAGGGGTGTGGCGCACTGTCTCCAGATTCCAGATTCCGCTTGGCCTGTGTGCGAGTCTCACCTCACGCGTCTCACGACAGAGGAGTGATTTTGCGCAAGGAGTCCCCTACGTGGATGCAGGAGAGGTAGGGTCGAACAGACTTGAACAGACTTGAACAGAGTCAAACCACGCATCTTCTTGCTTGATTCTTGTGGCCCTGGTTGACGATGGCAAACAGTACATACAAGTACAACGTGTTCCAAGATCTCTCCAACTTGGCCGCCACAGGCCCTGGATCCTTGTCGAATCAGGCCTTGGCTTAGCAAAACGGATCCACGTGTGGCTCCAAGCAGGGCAGCGATCTCTTAGCGCAGCCACGGACGCTACGTCACCCGCAGCGTCGCGAACTGCAAGGCTCAGCCGTGATCTGACGGGGCTGCAATACGCGGTTATACGGCCTGGAGCCTTTGGAATTGTTTCTCTCTGCCGGCCAGGGTCTGGGCGCGGTGCCTTGGTTGGCCCGAGACACTCGTGGGCGGAGCTGCGCCATGCCGGAAAGGAAGCACGGCTCCTTGACCAGAAGCCCGCAAAAGCCTGCTCGCGATGCCTTCCCGAGCGTGTGCCTGTATCTAAGTACATACATACTAAGTACTTGTACGTACGCTGTACACTAGCAGAGCACCCACGCGGCCATGTTACTGCTCCCAGAAGGTATCTGCCCTGCTCTGATTGAACGGCAGCCGGCACCAACGTGTGCTAGGCGAGAGTGGAGCGGTCTAAGCCGCGCATCTGGACAGCCAGACCATGTCTATTTCCAAGACAGAGACCCAAAGCCGGCGGAAAATCTTGGAGCTTGGCAACTCTATTCAAGTCTAATTTGATTCGTGTTCATGACGTCGCCTCCCTGTGGCACCCCATTCTGCGGTCGGCGGCCGCTCATCCTCGTGAGACAGTAGGAGACGTGCACTGTCGCGACGGGCTTATATGCTGACCGTCTGCCTCCCTTGCCCCTTGCTTTGATACCCCTTCATTGCTATTTGTTCTCGCTCAATACCTCTCGTTCTCGTCTTTATTTCAGTCGACTTCGATCTCACCATCGCTTTGTATCTCGTGTGTGAAGACTAAAAGACACATCGACCTCATCATACACAGCAGTAATCGGCCAGCAATCCTCCATCATGGGTGTCGGTACTTTCTTTCACTACTTCGGCACAGTACTGCTACTTGCTGCCACAGCACTTCTGATCGTTGTGTCGGTTACGGCGCCTGTCGTCAATGACCTCTCCATCTTGAAGGTCGACTTTTCTGGTAGCAACGCTGTAGACAGAATAACGTATGGAACATTTGGCTACTGTATCATCCACTCAAAGTATGTACTCTCCCAACGCTCTGCCCCTCTCGACGCATGTGTAAGAAGACAAGACTGACAATAAACAGTGGACCAGATACCTGCACCTCTTCTCACGTTGGCTACGATGCCACCGCCGCCCTGGCTCAGGTTACTCAGGTCTCGTTCTCCAAAGGCGACCGTGATAGCGCCAAGGTTCTCACGAGGGTACTGATTCTGCATCCCATCGCCGCCGGCCTCACCTTTTTGGCCTTCTTGCTCTGCCTGGGCACCAGCTTCCTCGGTTCTTTTGTCGCCTCTCTCTTCTCCTTCTTGGCCTTTGTCGTCACCCTCGTCGCCATGGCCTGTGACTTTGCTGCCTTTGGTATCATCAAGCACGCTGTCAACTCTCGCGGCCCCAACAATGTCGTCGCTAGATGGGGTCCTACCGTCTGGTGCATTCTCGTCGCTGCCGTCTTGACCTTGATCGCCACCGTTCTGGTCTTCATTACCTGCTGTGCTGGTCGCTCCAAGAAGAGACGCGCTCACCGCAGCAAGGCTGACTACTAAGAAGGGAATCGATTTTCCTCTATCTACCTACACGATGAAACTGCTCGATTTCTATAAAGAGCAATGATGACGCTAGCGATGTTTATACCCGTCTTTAGACAAGAACAAATCTCAAAAGGAAAAAAATGAAGATATGAGAGGGAGAGAACATACAACAACGAATGTTTTGTTTATTTTGTGCAAGAATGGGGAAGATTTTGATCATGATACCACGAAGGGGCGCGGGACGGATTGGCTTGAGGATTGGTCATGCTGGGACCTGAGTTAATGTTTCTTTTACTAGTCATTAATATCCTAATGTATTTTTTTTTGAACGCCGAGACTAAATATGAGCGGGTTGTGTTGTATTTCTATCTAGGAACAATATTGGCAAATACTAATTGAGTTAAGCACTGCAATCATGGAAGTGACGAGAGTAAAAAACGGCAATCTGGAAGATTGGAGCTCTCTAAGCGGGGCTTAGAGATAATTCTAAATCTATATATTATTTTCGCTAATATTCATTTCTACTTATTAGACACCGCTTTAATAACTAACATCCATTCATCGATCTTTTAATGCAGCTCAGAAGACTGAGCTTATGATTTGAAGTTTCTCACCGTATTACTTATATCGCTGAGAAAACTACCTCTGTTGACAATAGATACAGAGAAGCCAAGCGTAGTAAATTCCTTTTGATTAGTTTTGACTCTAATAGAATAGGCAATTCTGTAAAGGAGTCAAGAGATGAGAGATTTACCTAGGCTGCGAATATATCATCATTTGGCTATCCTCTTTCCAAACTTCCTTCATGACTTTCTCGGACAATTTAGCGGAAGATGACAGCGAGCGTTCATTGTATGGCGTGCTGCATGAATCCAAAGTCGTAGGAAACAATGCCGTAAGCTCAAGCTTCCTCAGTCCCCTTAAGAATGGGAGGCATCAGCATATTTGGATAGGGAACAATTATCGGGTATCCATCGAGGATTAAGCAATATTCAAAAAGTGGAAGATGCGGATTGATGTAGTAGGATGCTGATTCCAGCGAAGCTAGAAGGAAAGGAAGGAAGATACTACGATTTATCCTCTTCCCCTTCAAGCCGCTGCCTCTGCGCCGGGTTTTACACGGATCAACGACTCAAAGGCCGGCTGCCGTCGTTGAAATAGAAGGCATCACAACAGCCAAGGCTAATAGACTTGATGTAATGTTATTCAAGGTAGCGCAGACAAGGAAGGCGGCTACAGGCGGCCATCTTCAAAAGCTTCACAGTATTGTCAATAGCTTCAATGTAACTGTAGAAGGACTTGTTTTTCTTTGTTGTTTTTTTCGTATACTAATTACAGGCGTTCCCATAGTAAAACACTAACAATTACGACATCCGGAAATAAGTAGGCATTCTAAACCGCCACCCACATGTCCCGTTTGTTGAATACTGTTTACTCCTCGACGTATCCTTGATACTCGCGTGGAGATACAAAGTCTTCGGCACTATCATAACCGTCATTAAGAAATTCTTCCCAAGAAAGGTCATCTACTACTAAGCTTTCCTGGAGTGGCACTGGGGGGGATGCAGTTGAAGCAGAGGCATCTGGTCGTGTATGCTTCTTGATCGACTTTCGCGGGATTATCTGGCTGCTTTGAACATGATATTTTTTTTCATGGTCTCTTAATGACTTTGTCGAGCTAAAGACAGGATATTCGCAATTTGGATAGTGGCAGATTTGCTTTCGATGGTCCGCTTCATGGAGGATAATGCCTTTGGGACTGTTGAAACCAAAAACCGCATAACGGCACGACCATATTCGACATGTGTACGCTGATGTTCTAAAATCCTGCTTGAATCTTTCAAGCTCGTGGAAATTAACGCTTGGGTAGGTCGAAAAACTAAGCAGCTCGCGAATTGTTGCCTGGTATCTCTCCTTTAAAAGAGTTATGCCTCCTGTCTGGGTGTTGTTGTCGATAATATCTTCTAATTTCATGTTATGTCGTTAGACTTCAAACTTTGGAGAGTTTAGGAAACGATTAATGTAGTATATACCGTGATCTTCTAATATTTTTCTACCCCTTTCCAAGAGGACGGTTTGGATTGTGTTGTATAGAGGCTCGTGCTTCTGGCGTAGGGTATTTAGACGCGAATTCGGCGGGCCATTTCCCACTGCCACTTCATTGGGCTCTAATCTGGTCTCGAGTTGTTCTGCCAAACGACAAGACAAGAGGAAAAAATCCGATTTGAACAAGAGATCCTGATCAAATTCAAGATGCTCTAAAATGTAGCCGATCCAAAATTCAGTGGCGTACATGTGAAAGCCAAAGACCCCATGAAGGACCGTCAGCACTCTATCAGTCTCTGAATACGAAGGCGCGAAGATCTTTTGGCTAGCCAAAAGGCAGCGGACGGTAGCTAAACCATGTCGCTTTAGTGACTCGCTTGCTGTAATAGACAATGCAGAGCTTTGCAGAAAACTGTCCAAAATCAGTAACCCGCATGTGTAAACGTTTGATCGATTAGTAGCTTACTCTCTGACTGACATATGAAGGAAAGTGTAAGATGAATCAAGTTGCTTGTGAATTAGAGGCTGGCACATATCGAGAATGTAGGCTGGAACTGGCTCAATAACTTGTTCATCTCCAGCATCAAATGCTAAGGCAGATAGAAGCTCAGGAGATCGAAGTGGCCGCTTTGCAAACGCTATCCAATTCAAAACAGAACCAAGCCTCCGCACAGATCTTTCATCGAGACCGGCCAAAATTTGTGATAACAACCGCCCGAAACTAGGAGGGTGGCAAATGATATAGTGTCAGATTGCAGATGTTCGCAAATGGCAAAAGGCAACCTTGGCCAGAGTAGGTCTCAATGTTGGTTCACTTACATCTCGCTAAGTTCTCGAGGAAAGCTATGGGCGGCCTCCAAGAATTCATCGCGGTTATAAAACATGTTGCCCTTCATATATTCTATAACAAGTCTTGCCCATAGAAACATGCCTAATGACAGATAACATTAGCCAAGTACAAAAAGAAATGAAACCATGAAAAAAAGAGCAGCAAATTTACCGTCTGCTTTTTGCGTGATCCGAGACGCTATTGCCGCAGCGTCATCATCAGTGATGCGAAATTGAGCACGTTGCGGCTGAATGGCACTTATTCTCCGCAAGGTAAAGTCTCTGATGACTTCACTAACTTTTCCTTTCTCATTAGATAGTGATACCTGGTGTTTCCTCTTGACGGCTTTAGTAATTGCGGGCGTCATCTGGGTACATAAAAGCACCTTGATGATAGTAGATCCGGATGATGAGGCTGTAGTAATAAGCTTTTCTAACGTCCTTGCAACATTAGCTGCTATATTTTCATCACATTCATTTAGCCCATCGATCACTATATGAAGAGTTTTCGACTGAGTTGTCGAAGACCCGAGAGTTTCGACTAAGAGGCGTAAGTGTTGATCAAGAACTGAACGATTTGGTGTCTTCTTATCCACTAGAAAACAGTTGTACGAAAGTGTTATGAGCTCTGGATCCAAGCGCATGATTTGTATCATCAAAGACAGTATAATATTGTTGTATTCAGTTGATTCAGGGTAGACGTATGTGCAATAATGTGTCGTCACTAAATAATTTGACGAGCGGAGGAAAGTACCAATTTGTGTCGCCAAGATGCTTTTCCCACTTCCAACAGGGCCATGAAGCACCACAAATTGGGTGTCGTGATTGCACTTTGCCCACGACCGACTTTTCGGTTGTTGGAGTATCCAATGGCCGGATCCTGGATTTTGATCTGCTTCCGCAGCAAGGTTATCAGCGATCTTAATCTGATGCGTCTCATCCATTTTTAGAAAATTTAAGACGGCTTGAAACTCAATACTGGTTTGTTCTTCTTCTTCTCTCTTAAATTTGATAGCCTCTTGCTCCCTCCAAGTCTCTAATTTTTCTCTCATGCTTTTGGCCTCTGATATATTAGCGGCGTTGGCTGTTTTATCAATGAGATCTTCATGCGCTTTTAAGTCGACAAAGATGTTGTCAAATCGCCTTTGGAAGCGGCCCCACGAAGTGGCGAAGAGTCGCTGCCATGCTAGATAGCGTTTAAGTGTTAGTCTGAGTTTGCTAGAGAACGTAAAGTTCGTCTTCACCATTTCGTCGGATAAATTTGTAGGCCTCTCCATGAAATTTGAGAATATCAGAGTAATACACTGCCAAAGCTTTTTGGACTTCTTTGTTACTCGAGAAAGCACGATCAAATATACTGAATCGAGCTAACGGTTCCGCCAGTCTGTGATAGACCTGAATCATCGATTCGAACGCTTTAATATAATCTGCGGATACCTGTACGTAAATTTTCCAACCTGTCAGTTGCATGTACGTTGTCAACTGTGCTCTATTCGGATTATATATACATACTTCCAAGACAAGCTTTATTGGTGCCCAAATCCATGGCAAATATGGCGTTCCATTGCATAAAACCTCAATTGTGTGCGAATAGTGTTCCAATCCTCTGAATAAAGGCGCAAGCCTTCTCATGTTTCGTAATGATTGACTTGCTGCAAGCTGTTTTTCAACTTTTAATGCAGCTCTTTCAACATCTTCGAGTGTCAGGTTTTCAAGCTGCATTCTGTCAGGTATGGTGAGTATTCTTTTGAGGTCCTCAAATGCATCCCGCATCGTGCGGTCAGCTTCTGGACACATTCCTCTATTGAAAGGCATCTTCAGGCATTCAAGTGCTGCAAGACGACCAGTAGAGAGAGGCTGCCACGGTCTGTTGCGCAGACTCCGGGCACCGAGAAGCGGTACAAGTCTATTTAAACACGACAAGAAGAAATCTTTAAAACGCTGCAAGAAGCATTTTTGCAAGCTGATATCGCGCGCACCAGCTTCTGGGAGGCTGTGCTTATGCCATGCATGCGCATGTATTGTCCTGGCTATCAGCTGCCCACGTCGCTGAAGGCTTTCGGTAAGGCGAACAGGACCCGTTGCCTCTACGTACATACAATCATTAATATACGTACGCAAACCCATATCCAAAAACATTGCCTGCATGTAATTCTTTTTGTATACGAGCAGTCTCGACGTATTGCTATTCGGTTTGCCTCCACTTTAATAGAATGAAATCCAACCTGAACGAGTCCTATACACTGAAGAGGCAGCAGCCCGATTCTTTTGGTTCCAACCAGGACCTACAGCGCCCGCGCAAAAGAGCAGCGGTCTTTGAGACAGCAAACTACATACAATCTGCTAGCACGGTTTTCCCTCATGACCTGTGGAACGTCGATGAATCGAGTCTGTCTTGTACAGAGGACTCCCGTACTGGTTATAGTCAGGTAACCTCCAATGAAGATCAAATTGTGTGTTTTGGTATGGTGCGTAGTAGTCAATTATCCAACCTCATTCTGCATTACTGACATTAGAAATTAGATAGGAGGCATAAGCGGCGGTGTAAGCGGAGCGTATCGGCTCGAGAGTTCGCCGACTCAGAGTTTCACAGTCGAATTAGACCCCTCTCACGGATTTCACTGCATTAGTGATGCTTTGATCAGAGGCAAAATAGACTTGGAATTTATCAACATTACGAATGCATGCCGCGAAAACGAAGACCTCACGCTACAAATTATATGCTATGTAGATGTCATACGGCCATCTACAGCACCGCTTTCTACACTATGCCGGCTGGATATGATTCTCTTCGGGCCTCTTAATCTCTTCGAGGATGTAGGCAGCTTTTTCGAAGAATACAACCTTTACCTTCAAGATCCTGTCGGCTGCTCACAGAACGTCTTGTACCGAAACCCACACAAACTGTCGGCCGAGTCCGGGCCTGATATTTGGACTTTTACTCTTGACGAGGGTTTTGCAGCGCCCGTTAGCGTGGAGCATGCGCAGACTCGTTTAGATTCAATCGATATACTGAACTCTCAGCAAGATTGGGCCGAGACGAAACAGCCTGGTTCAATTCGAACAAGGATGCAAAGGTGATAGACTGCACAACTTCCCTTGCTCCTGATCTCTCTTCTCATTTCCCTTTGTCAGTCTAATGTGTTGATTTTGAATAGCCATCAATTACAAGCGTTGACATTCATGCTCCAGCGAGAGCAAGGCTGGGCTTGGGACGGAAGCAGAGCAGACATATGGGAGCTCTATTCCGAGACTACTGGCTCTCAGTTAGTTCTTTCCAGCAACACATTCACTTGAGTAATCTCCAATTAACTCATTTCTAAACTAGTTTCGTCAACAAAGTATCGGATTCGGTTCAAACAGAGACGCCACCGCAGTTTTACGGTGGTATCATTGCAGATCCGATGGGTTTGGGCAAAACATTATCTATGATGTCTTTAATTGCCTCCGATTTGCTCTTCGATCCAAATGACCCGAGCTCCCTTACTGGGGCTGCTGCTGAAGATTCGACCGGGTGCACACTGATTGTCGTACCGCCTCCTCGTAAGCACAGCCGCCAATGACTTTGTTTCTTATATTGCTCTGATCTCACTGATATTTTTGTTCACTTTAGTTCTTGGCTCTTGGGAAGAGCAGTTAAATCAGTGGGATTCCTATAGGAACAGTTCGAACAGCTTGGTATGGAGCTAACCAAAGCTATTAGGCATATCTTCCCCAACAGCATTCCCTATCGCCGGCATCACGGTAGTTCTCGCTTAGTGGCTGAATCTGATCTAACAGACACACTGGTCGTCCTGACTACCTATCACACTGTGTCTTCCGACTGGAAAGTTGCATCTGGCAAGCCGTCATCACTCTTGTTCAGCACAAAGTGGCGAAGAATCATTCTGGATGAAGGTTCGTCGCATCTACACTCCCACGTTTAAAACTACGCATAAAACCATTTAATATGAAGAAAGAGAGAAATGCTCATATAGATTAGCTCACTTCATTCGAAACAGCAACTCAAAAATGGCCCGCGCCGTATGTGCCTTGGACTCAGTCTCTCGATGGGCTGTAACGGGCACACCTATACAGAACAGGCTCGGCGATCTCACGGCCCTGCTCAAGTTCCTTCAAGTGTATCCCTATTCAGATGAAGACAAGTTTAACACAGACATCTCTCAACTATGGAAGATCGGCAAAGTAGAAGAAGCAGAGAAGCGCCTGAAACGACTTGCTAGCTGCATCCTTTTGCGGCGCCCAAAGTCTACCATCCAGCTGCCCCCAAGGCATGACTTGCAGCAGTTTGTGGAATTATCTCCAGCAGAGAGAGAATTATACCAGACGATAAAGATGCATACCATGTCTCACATGGAACAAGCTCTGTCTACAAGTGGCAAGCTTAATGGAACACACTCATATGCCAATATGCTGCAGAGAATCGAAGCAATGCGCATGATTCGCAACCTTGGTGTGCATTATAAGATGCGATACGACCTTGAGATGTTCAACGAACAAGTATCGCAGGAATGGAATGAAGTGGCAGCTCAGCGGATGTTCAACATATACCGTGGGATTAACAGCATCCATTGTCGCCTTTGCCTTTGTCCCGCTGATTCAACAGACGATTCTTTTTACGAAGCGAGACAGTCTACTATATCGCTATTCTCTCAGTGCCTGGAATTCGTCTGCTCCTCGTGTGTATCTGTACACACAAATTCTATCACTCTACCGTCTTGCTCTCATGCAAACCCCTGCTCTATTGCATCTATATCAACCAAAATTTTCGAGACTGATGATTCTTGTAACATGACCTTTAACCACCTATGGGCTGAGCTACCAACCAAGGTGTCCATGTTAATCAGTGACTTACAAAACCAGCCTTATAATACAAAATGGTTTGGCATCCCTACACCTGGAAGATTTCTGGACATTGAGCTGACAAACGAGTAGTGTCGTATTTTCTTCATGGCGAACTACTCTCGACATTATCGAAGTTGGCCTAAAACAGTCATGCATACCTTGCTTACGATTCGACGGCAAGGTAGCGCAGAAAGACAGACAAAATGTAATCAAAAGATTTCGTGAGGATCCAACCATGCGAGTTCTCCTGTTGACACTATCGTGTGGCGCTGTTGGGTGAGTGTAATGAGTCACATACCGTTTCTAGCCCACTCTAACGTCCTCTCATAATAGCCTTACACTAACCGAGGCTTCGAGAGCCTATCTGATGGAGCCTCACTGGTAATTTCACTTCTTCGATGACGATGCGGAGAGCCGTATTAAGATATGTCTACTTAGGAACCCAACGCTAGAAGACCAGGCGCTGGCTCGAATTCACCGTATCGGGCAAACTAAAGAAGTAACTACTGTTCGATTCATTGTACGAGATTCCTTCGAGGAGGTACGTATTGAAGTTATCATGTACTTCGAATGCATTCTACAAATTTTCCTACCTACAGTATTTATATATGTACTCACTGGTTGTTATAATATAGAGAGTGGTGGAGCTACAGCAGTCCAAGGCTGATCTCGCTTCCGTCATAAATCTCCAGAATGAGAACAACGGAACTCGGCGACCACTAGAAGTAAGCATCCCAACATTCTAGCCATTATAATATCTCTAACTTTATACAGCTGCTAAAAGCGCTCATCTGAATTCCGGACCCCTTGGCTAAGTACAAAGCTCAGCCCAAGTGAATAAGCTTAGATTGGCGACCCCCTAGTCCAAAATACCATCCAGGGGGGCCTGCGAGGCGCGGCCTCACGAAATCTCCGAATATTCCATCTTCCTTCCGGTGCAGCCGAAAGAATTACAAATCCGTAGGAAAGGCGTATCATGGACCCGAAAACAGGCAGGAGGTTTCGTATTGTCAAGTTGTTTCTCATTAGCATGTACTTCTTTTGTTTGTACATGTAGGTACTCACGTTGTACTTTTATACAAAAAGCCTCCTTTCTAAACTTCAATATTACCCACTGATTCGTCATCGTTTCCAAAGTAACACCGACCGAGATTTAAAAATAGCATCAAGGCAGTATCAGAGGGTACCTGGCCCGAAGATAAGGATCGATCATGTGTTCATCTTTACGGGTACGGCTTCACAAGTGGAAAGCAAGTTAAACGCCATTTGAGTCATAATCCACCTAAGAATTATATTCTGCAACGCCTCTTCCCCATTCTAAATCCAGCCGAAGAATAAATCTGAGAGATAAACTGCATCTTTACTACATTCTCCCCTCTTCCAATGTTGCCCCTACTGTTTTGCCCCAAATTTCCGCCTCCGTCCAGTACATAGAAAAGCAAAAAAAAGCCAAACTCCCCACCGTCCCATTAAATTGCCTCCCAAAATAAATAAATAAACCTGTATCGTAGAGTCCATACGCGTAATCCTGCTTTAGACCATCAAGACCCATCCGGCAATGGCAACAGCCACAGCGCCCATCACCGGAGCGGCAGTCGTAGATACGCCGTTCACGGGCCCGTTGAGAGGCGGCGGCGTCTTGCTAGGAGTCAAGCGGCCCTTGGAGGTCGTAGAGGTCGTAGAGCTCATAGTTGTTTCTTCCCTTTGAGTGGACGTTGGCACGGTGCCGTTCTTCGATGGTTCAGCAGAGCTCGACATCTTGGCACTGCTGGTGGTAGTTTGTGGAACTGGCGCAGCAGTCACAGACGGACAACCACTGCTGCAAGAAGAAACGGACTTGGTAACAGTATTATAGACTGAATCTGTCTCGGTGACTTCCAGTCGGGTAAACGGCGGTGGATAGGGTAAAATAGAGGCTATTTGGGTAAGTTCAACGCTGGTGGTAGTAGCAGCAGGGACAGTAACAGAGGTGGTCACGGTAACTGTCACCAAATGCTGCCGCATGAAAGAGACCCAGAGCGAGTAGAAGCGAGAATCATCGAACGTTGAAGTCGCTGTTGCCACGGTCTTGCTGCCGCTGAACATGGTCTTGACGTATCCGCCATCTGGGTCCGCATGGACGAACGGAGAGCCGATAACGAGGCCCAAGGCTACCAAAGAGAGAGAGCGCATGGTTGAAGACTGTTGTTGTTTGTTTGAAGTAGAAGAATGAGGGGATCTGTTGGTCTGATTTCAAGACGAGATGCAAAACAAATTGAATCGAAGAATGGAATCCCTCTCAACAGAAGGAATCACTCCAATTTATACATCTTCCAAACAAACTCAACGCTCCATTTATTTGGGTACTCGATCAACTTGCTTTAAATCTCAACGCCACATATCGTGTACCAGCGAGTTTGGCTGAGCCATACGGAAGTATGTATCTTGTTAAAACGAGGCTGCCGCGAACGGATCGTCACATGTGCATTAGCCACCGCCTCGCAACCTTGATGTAGCCGATCACCTTGAGAGTCTCTGAGTATGTACCCGTAGGAAAAGAAACCGGTATTTGCATGTCTTCAAATCCAATCGTTGTCCTTGAAAACTATCGCTGATAAACAATAAACCTTATTTGTGGATGGAACCATAGAACAAATATGCTCGCTATTTTGTATAGGATACCCATTGCCCCGCTACTCCCAGCCTTCCAGCCCTAAACTTTTTTTCCTGTGTTTTTTTTTTTTTCTTTCTTGATCTTTCGTATTTGTGCTGTACTTCCTGTTGCCTAAGCTCATATTGATGCGAACCCCAAAACGCCGTGTGTAGTCCGAAGGGAACAATTACTCTGCTTCCGGAATGTCTGAAAAGAAGCTGAATCGCATTCGGTGGCTCTGATGTGAAGAATTAGTTTTTGATTCGCATTGTCACGAGACTTTGGCTTCTATGCAAGCCATGGACTGTACTTACGAATGGTAGCTTCGGAATCACAACGGCGAGTGTAGCGAGGAAGTTGATGACGAAATAAGTCGAGTCGTAGTGCGTGTAATGTGTGCTAATTAGGAACAGCACGATGGGGACGCTCAGCAGGAATTTCTTGGTGGGCGTGTACTGGGCTCCGTTGTCGATCTGCTCCCACATGTTGAGGTTGTCAAAGGCACCGCCATTGAAGTCGAAGGGAATGCCGCGGACGTAGTGAAACATGATGTAGGAGCCAACCATGTACGTCATGTTGGTCAGCGTCCACGAGGCCTCCTGAGAGCTGCCCGGGATAACGTCGTAGAGGATCTTGAGAGTAGCGATGATGACGATGTGGATAGTCCAAGCCCCTGTCGACGCACACGGCACGTTAGAATCAGCCACCAAGCATTGACGGGTAGGGTGCAAAAGTCAAGTCGACATACCCTTTTGATTTGTCCAGTTGGCATTCACGTTTGGAACAACGGCCTGGTCGCTCATCTGCTCGAGCGTCTCGAGGGGCTCGTGGTAGACCTGGAGGATGCTGCTAGACCTCCTCCGGCGGCCACCGGCGCTTCGATCGTTCATGTCGAGGAATCGGCTGCTGGCGGGCTTTGCGCCGGCGTCGAGAGTCTGTGAGGATGGCGGGAGGCAAGTGGACGGCATGGCTGGCGGCTTTTTGTGCTGATGATTATGCGTCGAATGCTGCTTCAAGGCACCTCGCACGCACGGAGTACGACGCGCAATTCTAAGCCGGTGCTTAGGTAATTGGGGGGCTGCAGTAATCTGCACCAGCTTGGTAGGCAGGTACTTGGCGCCGCTCGTCTCCAGAGAGGCCGCGGAGGTAGAGCGCAAGCGCGGCTGACAGGTCTCAAGGAACACCTTTCTCCAAAAGTGGCCAATTGTTGGCTGGCTTGAAGTCCGAGTGGAGTCGAGAGAGCGAATACGAATCTGTCCAGTTCCTTGGATGGCAGCAGTCACACGATTTGACGATTTTCGGCGGTATCAACCGTATAGGTGTCTTTTGGGGGTACTTGTAGGTCCGAATCGACAGCGCCGAACAGGTAGATACTTGTACGTTGGTGGCATGCAATATGGAGTGCTCACGCAATCGCGGAAAGGCGGCGCATTACGCGCATTATATGCAGAGGGGCAAGACACTGGCCTTGACTTCCTCGAGCCCCTCGCCGCAAGCCCTAGATTCTTTTCGCTTAAACATCGTCCTGAGGGAACTTGGAGACGCATCTGAGCGGTGGCACGGACTGGACAGGACAGGCTGGACAGCGCAGCACCGGCTGACGACGTTTCTGGCCGGGATCAGGTTGTGGAAGCTGTGGAGACACCCTGGAAAGGGGCGCCGCAGTACCTGCAGGAACAGGAGATAACAGCCGACGACAGCAAATTGAAGCTGCTTGACGGCCAAGGCTAATGCATGCCAACATCTATAGCGGCAGCGCGCAGAGCCAACAGCGCAAAGGACCGTTTAGCCGGCATTGAGAGTTGAAAGCCGGCCATGTTCTTGAACAATCGTGTAAGAACATGGAAGAACAAGTATCTACAAGCGCAATCATTGAGGTTTCACACATGACACTGATTATACCACAGATTCCTTCTCTAGGTAGTATCTACTGTAACGATCCATGCCATAGATGGAGCTCCGTATCCCCTATGCACATGCCCATCATCTAATCTAGCCGCCATCCGGGGATCTGAGAAAAGTCATCTGGCTAGTACGAGGTAGATATGAGAGCACTAACTCTTCTAGAAAGGTCGTACTTGTAACAACGTTAGATTGCTGGGCCCCTTCCCTTGGCTCTATGGAGATAGAGGTAGATACCTGTTACGGGGTTTGGGGTACAGCCACAAACACCAAAGGAGATGGCCTGCATCTTCAACTTCCAGAAGGCTGCTTCATCATTTCGGCGACAGGGATTGTCTGTTATTAACGGTGTCAAATGATCCAAATACGCCACTTGAGCTCCGCACAATATCTTCAAGGACTCGGTTAATGGCTTTCCCACACATGGTTGACCAGGAAGACGCTGTATCATTCGGGAGCTGCTTCCTATATTATGCCTAGTCCGTCATATACGACGGAGAGCCACGTGCATTTATTGCTTGTATTTATTTTTAGGAGATGCATTATTAAATCTTCAGGCTAGTCCAAGCAGATTCATGCCAGAGCCTTTAATTGGTGCTTTTGCAATCGACGGCTCCTATCAGGGACGTGATTTCGGGCTTTCTCGCTTATCTCATCTATGACCCAAATAGTGCCCAGAAAGGAGTATCTAAGACTACGAGCACTTGGACACTACCACTCTGCATTGTCAAGTAGCAGCAGCATTGCGAATCTATTTTCCCCAAATGACTGCGTGTAGTTATAGTTCTTCAAGAGCTCGTTTGGAAACGCCTTCTCAAGACGTTAAGATTGGTACTCCATCTTCTAGCGCGCCCTTCTGCACTTCTGCACTACAGCGTACCTGATAGCATAATGGCTAAACTTCGGACGAAAATGGACCGCAATTTACCGCTTACATTTTTTTTTGGTTATCGCCCAAAGATTAGCAGCCCATCTTCGATTCAATTGGATCTCGCGATCCCTCAACTTGACAACTGCAGAGAAATTTAGTGGCTCAAAGCCCTGGCTTCGATCAGTGAATTGCTGAGCTCTTACTGCCTAGACAACAATTGCATCGATGAGATAGTCCCGTTCGGGAGTTTCAGCACCTTCCTGCTTGCTAGCCTCGCGCTATCCGCGTCTGGATTTTTGGAGAATATCAAACTCAAAAGCAGTAATCTCTCCACCATATGCCAACGAATAGCCTGTTTTGAGAGGTCACAGTATATCTGCGTTCCATCTTATCATTGCAAGTTACAGGCAGATGCATTGATGAGAGATTGAGTGCTTCAGACGACCAGGCTCTCACGTCGCTACGTTTAAAGACCCTGGCTTAGCCCAGCCTCATCCAACGCCATGGCTGCAACTCGGTCAAATTCAGGGGACTTCATCAGCCTTCTGAGTAGCGAGGATGAGCGCCCCTTGCCAAAGAAAAGGAGATCCCCAAACGACAGCCTGGCTAGCAACGATGGGCCAAATGCTTCTACAGAACGCTCCAAGCGTGCTCGGATAAGCTCAGCCTCTGCTGATAGCATCACAGGCGCCAAGGTGTCGGAAGAAGGAGAAATTGATGAGGATTTTGAGGGTGAGGTTTACACACCTGATACAGGTAGCGAGGGGAGGAGATCAGGGGACTCTGCATCGGGCGCCGTCTTTCTTCCCAGAGAACCCCCAGTCTATACAAACGACTCGCTATCCCTTCAACTGCCGGTGTTTTCACAGCAAAGGGAGGGCTCATGGCCTGTAAGGTTCAAGGAATGGGTGCAGCTTCTGTATACGACCAACTCATCGCAGGCTGCTGAGCTTACACCTACATTAATTCGAGCTGCTTACGCTCAGTACATCGATATTCACAGCAGATTGAAGTCGAACAAAAAGCGCAGTGCGAAGCTGGGCGCTGATGGCTTTGAAGACGCATCTCTGGCACAGTTGCTGGCATCTCTTCGGCCGGCGGCTGCGCACACACAGCAAACGGCAAACGGCTTGACTGAGCCTCAGGGCCAGGCAGGCGTGTCTGACCAGCTGCAAACGCCCGACAACAAGAACGATCAGCCCACTGTCAGCGATGGCCAGCCTGATGAATCGGCAGCACAAGCCAGCGGTGTTTTCGTCGTCGATGTGAACCCACAACCTCTGCCTTCAAACGCGCAAAGGCAGCAGCCAGAACCCCAGCCTACCAAAAACGCCATGCCCCCTCGAGAAGGCGTTCCGTCGGGCGATGACGCCCTGCAGCAGCAGCATCGATACTTTCCTTCGGCTGCTGATCCATCCACCATGTGCTTGCTCTGCGGACGAGAAGGCCACATTGCAGACAGCTGCACGAACGACTCGTGCAAGTTTTGCGGGAAAAACGACCATTGGGATTATTCGTGCACGTCCATCAAACTCAGATGTCGTAAATGCAACCAGCTTGGCCACAAAGCTACCTCCTGTACGGAGAAGCTGGCCCTTACTAAGCAAGAAGGGCTCGCGTGTAGCTATTGTAGCTCATCCGACCATCTAGAGACTGATTGCACAGAGATTTGGCGGTCATTCCATCCTGAAACGGGAACGATCAAGACTGTCACCGCTTTACCAGCATCATGTTCTCTTTGCGGCAGCGCCAAGCACTATTCCGGCGACTGCAGACAGAGAGGAGATTCCGCGCCAAATCCAACCTGGTCTTTGGCAAACAAGAGTCAATATATCGACCCGACATGCGGCTCATTTGCGATTTCCAGTGTTGCGGAGCCTGCATCAAACCAACAGTCCGACCTGAGAATCCGCGGCCACGCTTCCCGTGCCAACACTGTCCACTACTCTGAGGGCGAGGACTCTGACGATGTGGAATTCCTGGGTCATCGAGCTGCACCGAAACCAGTGCGGACAGGCCGAATTACCGTGTCGACCAACCTCCATGCCCCCAATGGAAGCCAGCAGCCTCCTCTTCCACCTGGCCCACCGCCTCCTTTGCCGCCACACTCGTCGAATAGGCGTCCACCAGGCACAGCAAGACAAGCCTATTCACAAGGACAAGTCGGATCTTCGCTTCCTGCCAGACCACCAGTGTCTTCAGGGGTTTATAGCAATGTACCGCCCCCGCCCCCCGCGCCTGGAAGAGGAGGACGAGGCGGTGGACGAGGCGATAGAGGTGGACGAGGTGGTCGAGGCGGTAGAGGAGGGAGCAGAGGCTACCGAGGAGGGAAGTTCAGGGGTGGTAAATATTGAGGTGGCATATTAACCCAATGACAGTGGAATGTCGCGATATCCAAGGAAATCTGAGGATAAAACGATTTGCAAACATAGAGATTCTTTTAGGATGACGAATGAACCAAGCAGGTGTTGGACATGTTGATACGCTCTTGCATTATAGTCTTATCATTCTAAAGGCAAAGGTTCCATGGGGACAGCGGTACTGTCCAATCTAATAGACAATCACCCGATGATAGGTGTCAGGAGCTCAACGATGTATGTAGAACAAACGTATGAGACAGCTCATTTGGAGAAGATGGAGAGCATATGTGACGGAGGTGCACAAGCTGGATACTCTCCCGCAGGTCCTCGCGTGGAGACGCTGCATGTCTCAGTGTGCCTGGATATCGAAAGACTAGCACGACCTTGCTTATACCACTGCTTTGCCAGACGTCGTATTCAATTAATAGGGAGTATCTAGAGCACTAAGTAGTATGAAGATCATCATTCAGATCAAATCATATCTTGACTTTCCTTCCAATCATTGCTTCATGGTAGTGTTACTTTGAAGTGAGCAACCAGCCATCTCAAGCTCACCGCGATGGAGACTCCGTCACGATTTCACCGGAAGAGAGCGAATGGGGGTCAATAGGCGATGAACATCTGGTTCACCGCGCCACGGGGCTGGGGAAAGCGGATATTTAGTGGATTGGCACCATAGGACGTGGCTAGCGGGTTGGGCTAGCATGGCATGAGAATTAGATGCGATTCTGCCAATTCCTTGCCGTGTTGGGCATGAAAATCGGAAACGTTGGGATGAAAAGACGAGACGATTTTGAACGGCCCAAGAGAGGCCTAAGTTTTATGGTGTGAGATGAAACACATTGACGTGGCTACGGGATCTTTTGTGAAAATGTGTTGTAGCGAATTGTTGGTGTGATGCAATCAATATCAAGTTCTCGTTTATAGGTACTCGTAGATGGAGAGAGGCAATTCGTAGATGTAAGCAAGTGCCCGAGTTCTGTAGGCGCTTCCCGGCTCACAATCACGCCTATGCTTCACGTCAAGCTATTTGGCCTTATACGCGTGTAACTGAAGTCGTGTCGTGTCGGAAGCCACCATCGACACAACGAGAACAAACATGGAAGTCAAATTGACCTAAACTTGACGGGAAAAAAAAAATCACCAACCCTTGTCCCACGCTTATGCACCCCCGACACCATCGCCAATCCACTGGCTGGCCAGAAACACCAAAGCCATGAGACAATCCCTGCAACCCGCTGTCCAACTAGGTGTGATTTTGCTGGCGCGGCCTTCTGACGCGGACACGAGTTTGCCTGGGCGTTTTTATGGTCGCGAGAAAAAAAATTGGGCTCTAACAATATTTTTTTTTTCTTATGTGTGTTATGGTGGTGAGTCATTGGCCAGTTGTTGCTGAAGCCGGCGACTTTGGCGATGCAGGGAGCTGCAGGATGATTGGAGCGCGGAAGAGGGAAGCCGGCACTACGGAGAAATAAACTGAATTTTTTCTCATTTATCCTTGTATACTCGATTCTAGTGGATGAGCGGTGTCCAAGGAGTATATCGTGAAAAGTGGTGGCTTGGGGAGGGTTGTATGCCTAATGCTTGGCTTTGGGAGAAGGACGAGGTTAGGGTTGTGGGAGAATATATACAGCCTGGGGACGCGATCCGGAATCCTTTTCGTAATCTTCCTGGATTGATCAGGGAACTATACTGTGGGAATACTGGATTGTATTCTATATCTTGCGTTTTGATTTAAAAAAATAATAATAATTAAGAAAGACTTCAAACATTGAAGCCTCCAGCTTCCATCCCATTGGAAGCCTCTCGCCTCTCAATATCACAGCTGTTTGATACCTCCGCGGTACTTCACAGCTTCTTCATTTCCATCTCCCGCGCTGTCATCTTTTCAAACCAAGGCTCCAGCCATAGCAATTGCCAAATATATCTCCCCAAAGCACTTGAAACATATACCAACTGCAGCCATTGGTCGAGGGTCTATCACCCCCCCACGACATGACACAGATATGGCTTCCACCGAACAACTTTTCATCGCCACGCTGAGGAGCGACCACATCAGAGACATGCTCTTTACACATCTGTCCATCTCAGACATCTGCGCTGTCCGCAAGGCCTCATCTGCTTGCTGCAACTTGGTCACCAAGCGCCTCTTCACTCGCATCCATGTCACCTTCACGCCCAACACTTTCACGCGGCCCTCGCGCATTGCTGCACTGAGTCGAATTGGCCATCACATTGAGCACTTGACCTTTTGCTTTGCTCACTCGGATGCAACATTTCTCCCACCACTGATCCATCCGAAGACGGGAGAGGAGATTACCTTTTTGTATAAGCCGCTCACCACCATGGAGTCGGCACTTACACGACGGCCCAAGTACGCCAACACTGAGCTAGGAGAGATACTGACCCAGCAATATCCTCCTCTGTTCCATGCCGCCACCAATGTCCCCAGCTTCCTATATGCCATGGGGTATATCCCCAACATGAGGCATCTGACCATTCGTTGCCCCGGCCAAGACCCCCGAGAGAGGTACAGAAGAGACATTGTCGACTATGCCCTCATCAGCCTACGCATAGCTATTGAACGCACGCCGATGCTGAAGCTTAATAAGCTGTCTCTCTCATCACTCCATCCCGCTGCCTTCAACTGCCTCAAATTCATCAATGGCATAGGCAGCCTCCCCTCGGCCAATCGTAGATGGCAGCAAATCAAAAAGTTACACATCACCGTCGAGTCATGGGACTTTTACGGCCCTTGCCCCGGCCTTGACCATCTCAAAGTCCTCGACGACTACATCCGCTGCTTCTCCCAACGACTAGACAAATTCACTTTTGCCTGGATCGGTGCCAAAGGACCGTGTCCCATTGCCTTGTCCGCTGACCCCCTGTTCGCGCCGCCTCGCAGTTCTAAGAAGCTCTTCCACGAGATCACGTCCCAAATGTCTCCTCTACCCGCGCGACCGCTCCGGTCTCCCATGCATTTCCCCAAGCTGCGCTATCTGCAGATTCTTAATGCCGCCATGAACTCTCCCCAGCTGAAGAGCTTGATTGCTTCCCACCAAAAGACGGTTAAGCAGTTTGGCTTTGAGAACGTCGTCCTCACCAATAACGGTAGCTGGGACGAAGCATTGGCATCCGTGACGAAGGGTGATGATGACTGGTCTAGAAGCAGCGCTGCAGCACCTTTGGAGTACTTGTCTTCTCCTGTAGCTAGCATAAGCGAAGAGGGACTGCCCAGTCCAAGTGCAGCAGCTGCGGCTGCTAGCAGAGAGCTGTTGGGTTTGAACTTGGGCCTTGGTGGTCTTACTTTGGATGATAATGCGAGGAATGCAGTATCAGGACTTGAAAACGACTTTGAAGGGCCAAGAGAGTCAGATACTAGTGTTTCTACAAATGCCACGAGAAAACGTGTTCGTCGACACCACAGAAAGCATTCCAAGGAAGAGAAAAAAGAGCATGCCCCTGAATATCCGTCTCCGCTTTCACCTCCCTTATCCTCTCACAGTCACAAATCCTCTTCCCCCGTACACGGCAAAAAACCATCAAAGCTGCGTTTCAGTCTCTCTACCGACTCCAGCCAAATAGCCTACTCCGCCATTCCCGAACCGCTGTCCATCACATCTCCCATCATCCCCTCTTCGCCCCAGCCAGTCCTGCTCCAACCGGCCACCTACTCTCCCTACTCCCCTCGTCAGACCGGTCCTAACGAGGGAATGTCAAGCATACAACGCAATTTAGAAAAAGAAGAAAACCACCGCCGCTTCGCCGAAGACGCGGACGCCAGAGCAAACGCCTTGCAGAAAGCCAAAGAAGCCGTGTTGGCGAAACTCAGCAAGGAGTTTTATGATGCGAAGAATAAGAATAAAAAGGCAGATGCAGCTTCTGCACGTCGATGTATGAATGCGAGAGATGTGAACGGATGCGGCAGAGATGGGTTGATGGAGGATTGGAGAGCAATGGATAGCAGGAGCGCGATGGTGCCCTTGATTTATAGCCCTTCCTAGAAAAGGGGTGAGGGTAATGGATGGTAATTGCTATGATGATACGACGATATGATATTGGGTAACGGTTCGGCATTTCTTTTCTTCTTTTCTTCTTTCCTTCTTATACCATTCGTTTATGCGCTTTTCCTTGATGTATCTTTTGTGTACTGATAGCCGGATGGAGGATGCCTTTGTACACTACGGTCATGACACTCTTTTACAAGTAATTCTTAGTGTTTTAGTATTAGTATAATACAACGCTACTCACCACAATTTGTGACTATTGAATAATATAATTCCAATGTATTTACTAACTCGTATTTTCGCAGAATACAGATACAATCATCAATCAAGTGCTCTCCTTGGCAATCCTCTCCAACGCCTTCAAATACTCCTCAATCTCCTTTGACCCCGTCAGCGTGATATCCCTCTTCTTCCCTTCAATCGCAACCACCGGCACCGCATCTACATCTCTCCTAATCTCGCTCAACTTGGCCTGCACTTCATTCAGACCCAACTCCTTATCCAACACAACCTTTTTCGCTTCCTCCTCCGAAATGCCCGCTTCTACGCAAGACGCTATCAACATCTCATCCTCTGAAGGATGCAGCCCTTGCTCGAAATACCGCGCGTAAAGGGCGTCAACCAGCTTGTTGGCCGCCTCAGAGCCCTTGGCTTGCTGAAAGTACTGGATTACGCGATGTGCGTCAAAGGTATTTCCCATGGCGCCGTCGAATCTGAAATCTATGCCCACCGACTCGGCACGCCTGCGTAGCTGCGACTGAAAGGCGGCCTCTGCCTCGACTATGCCCTTGTGCTTGTGTTCAAAGTACCATTCTTTCCTGTTGACTGAGCCTGACGGGAAGCTTGGACTGAGTTGGTAGGGTTCGAAATGCAGGGTGTAAGTGATGGAGGAGGATGCAGGAGAGGAGCGGAATTGGGTGAGGGCCCGATCCAGCCTGTTGATTTGTTAGTGAACAGATGTACTTTAAGTATATATTGGCCGCTCAGGCCCTACTTTTTCTTGGCTATATATGTCCTATACGCAATTAGTATTGATTTGTAAGGGTTTATAAACGAGGAGCGCATACCAGGGACACACTGTATCTGGTGTAAATGTAATCTGTGCCTGATACATTCTGATCAATGCATATACTTGGTAATCTTAACAGTAAGTCTTCATAAACCACATAACTAAATCTTTAATTTACAAAAGGTAGAATGAAAGCAGACGAGTAAAGTCTCAAACATCAATCTTCATTAGTACTGACTAAGGATTGCGGAGAGCCCGGCAACCGGGAGGATGGAATACGGAGGGGTTCGCCTTGAACACCGAGGCATGCATTACAAATTACATCACTAACGAGGCTAGATCAATTCGAGAAAATTCATTTGTCAAAAATTTCCATTGCCAGTCAACAAAGTAAATCAAGAAGAGTAAAACAAGAAAAATGCTGGAAGGGGATCTTAGTCATAAGATAGCCGATGCTAGTCAAACGTAACCTTGGTTCCCGTAGGCTCGACTAAGCCACCCGTGAGACGAGCCACAGCAATGTCCTCTGCAGCCTTGAATGGCGCAGGCTCTGATGACTTGGCTCCTCTGCTGTCGTCTCTCTCGCCCGGCCTGCTTCTCCTGGGAGGTCTTGACGTATCGTCCGCCCTCTTGGGAGCATCCTTGCCGAACCTCTTCTTGTATCGCACCCGATCATCCTCGGCCAACTCGAGCTTCAGTTCCCGGCCCAGCATGCGGTTCACCCACCACTTTCTCGTCTTGAACTGCTTCTGGTTTGCGCTTGGCTTGTCCTTTTTGTCCTTGTTATCCTCATCCTCTGCTTCGTCATCGCTCTTCTCGTCACGGAAGTCGTCCTCGGTTTCCACCCGTTCCTTGATCTTGACGAAGCCCTTGACGGCCCAGGCGGCGGCTTCAGGCTCCTTGAACTTGACCCAGCCATATCCCTTGCATTTTCCCGAGTCCTCAAACGTAGCCAGCTTGGCCCACTCAATCTCTCCGCACTTTTCAAAGTTCCTGATCAAGTCGTCTTCGGTCACCTTGAAGCTGAGGTTGCCAACGAAAACCTTTCGGCTGGCGTTTGGGTCTTGATCGGTCTTTGCATCTGATTTCCCTTCTGACTTTCCGGTTGTAGCCTCGGGTTCCTTCTCCTTGGCGGGGCGGCCCTCGAACGATTTAGAGTCCTTGATGAGCAGCTTGCGGCCCGTCAAGTCGGTTTCTGAGAGCGCAATGGCTGCTACCTTGGCGCCGATATCTGCAAAGTCCACGTAGGCGAATCCCTTGTTCGCAGGCTTCTCATCCTTGCGCCGGTTAGCGTCCTTGACTGTAGGCAGCTTCACCCTCGTAATCGATTCCTCGGTGATGACGCCTCCAGCGTTGTCTATTAACCATGTGCGAAGCTCCGCCCCGGTCAGCCTGAACGGCAGGTTGCCAATCCAGACTCCATGCTCGGATCGGACCTTGTCCTTGCCATCCTTTGTTTCGTCTTTGTCCTCCTTCTCGTCGTCGCTTGAGGGCTTGGTCGGCAATGCCTTTCCCTTTTTGAGGGCACGGCGCGCTCGCTTTGACGGTGGCTCTGGTGCGTTTACATCGACTTCAATTTCCTCGACATCGGCCTTTCGCTTGATAGAAGTGGCCGCGCTGTCCACCTCGGCCATTTGAGGCGTTTCTGTTTCTGTGGCTGCCATTATGAGGAGGTTGTTGACGGAATAAGAACCCAGCTTCTATGTGTATCGACGTACCCAGTATCACGGAATCGGTATGCCAGCAGAAATTTTTTTGGGCCTGTCCAGAAACTCATAATCGATAAGGCGATAAGTACCCGAGCTTAAGTGGGGTAGAGCCAAGCAGGAGGCTAATGCCAATATGCTATGCTCCGAGAAGCAAAAAAGAGCCAATCCAGCGCCAAAAGGATGTTGTGCCACGACTATGCACGCCATTGCTGCTGCTTTTATCCGGCGGCCATCTGGAAACCAACACCATCCCATAAGCATACATAAGCATAGGGCAGGATTCGCGCCACACACTCTCGCCGTGTCACGCCAGGCCACCGCAGGCTCCTGAATGGTCGAGGCCACGAAGTGGCGCATGGCCACGTCTTTGCCCGGCATTAGCGTGACACGCACGTTGGAAAAGGTTTCCATTGATATGACAGCAAGAAGGGAAAAATGTGGGAGAGGCACAAGGAGACAAGTGATTCGTACGAGCTACCGAATGCGGGCTGAGTCGTGTACCTTGCTGTTGACTTGTCTTTAAGCACGGCTGCATTAACACGCTCCAACTCCACATTGACATCAACCCGCAGCTTGTACCGTGCAGACCATGGGAAAGCCTGGACCGGCGATTGACTCTGTCTATTTTGAGGGCTGGGACGTGCGCACCAAGATGAGATGTGCAAACTGCTTTTGTTTGCAGTCGCAATGGCACCGGCCAGGCGTTTGTGCGAGGGACTCTTTGTTAAAAAGCATGTTTTGCTTTCCATGCCCCTTGGACCATGGAGTTTATGAGATGCCGCCGCAAGGAGTGCAGGAGTTGAGCCGTATTGGACCGGGTCTAGCTCTGCAGGTGGGCTGCGCACTTAGTCGCAGAGGCGAAATGATATGACTCTGGCTCCCTTGCCGTGCTCGATGCATTGACGTTGCTGCTGCTTGGACTGGACCGGCTACGAATGGCCCTGCTCGTACAGGTCTCCTGCAGCAGAAACAGGCCGTGGCAGTGGTCGTGGCAGCACGTATTACGGAGCACCAGCTCCGTCTATGCAGCCGCCTGTGCGAGGATCGATTGTTCAGTTGTCGTGCTTTGAACTGTAGCGGGATCAGTACCTAGGCACGGCGTAGCGGTGGTCTACTAGCAGTATCGAGCTCAATCAATGCCTACATGTACTGACCTAGTGAGAATCGGACGTTAGTAGCCTCCCACGCCCAAGGTCAAGGCTCGCCATGCAGCTTTCCGAGCAAACAGACAGATCGGGATCCGCAAGGGGCCCTCCTTGCCTTGCGCTATGAAACTTTTCCCTTGCACAGCTCAGGCACGCTGCAGGGTCAAGGCGCTGTAGCGCCGGAGAGAAAGCGACAAGGCCTGCAAGAGGACAAGAGACAGAGGGATGGGAGACATGGAGAGACTCTAGGCAACACAGTGGTAAGCGAGCTCCCTCGAGACGCGATCAGCTGAAACGATCAAATTGGCCCATTGAAGGTTCAATCTTTGCACTTACTAGCTGCCGTGAAAGCTGTAGCGTCTCCATCCTCGTACATACGGCGCGCAGCGCAGTGCTGGCGCTCTTCTGCTAGTGCCGTTGCAGCCCAACCGGCCAACCAGCTGCCGGCTCACCCGCTGAGCCCGCTGAGGCTTACGCTCTGGCACTGACTGACGTAAAAGCGCACCCGCGCCGAATGAGCCTACGTGCGACCGTCTTGTAGCGGGCAGCGGCGCTGTGCCCTGGGGCGCCACGGGTCTGTAGCAGCCCGGCAGGCCTCCGCTAGCAGCCCGCCGCGACGCAGCGCAGCGCACGCTACGGCAGCCGTCACGTGTCCGGTGCGCTGTGGCGGCCCCAGAGGCCGCTAGTAGCAGGTTCTGCCATCCCTGGAACGCAACCTGACCAGCTGCGAGTCTCCGCATCCTTTAAACTGCTACCCACTCGCTCACAACAACTCAACTTCTGCCCTTGCACTGGCCGGGCACCCATGCAGAGGCCCCGTTGACCGCTCTCTGGCTCTTTATTCCACTGCAGTAGCCCGTCACATCTTTTTCTCGCCGGTCTCTTTCTCCTCTTTCCACTCTGTTCCCTCGCCCCTCCCATCCGGACGGTGATGAATGCGGCCCTTGGGATCGACTAGCGTGGCGGATATCGTAAAAATACAAATATTCTATCCTGGACAGGCCATCGAGACACGACCATCCATCCACCTCCATCACCAGCGCCCCGGCCATCCTGTTTCAGACGGCGACAGTCGGTACTCACAGCATCGCACGGTCGCTCGACGCTCTGCTGTCACGATGAATGTGCTGCTGTCGCCGCAGTTACCAGTTTTCCCTCACCAGCACGAAAACTTGCATCTTTCCCAGCGAAACCGTGAGTTGACACTTGCATCCGTCTTGCCGCTCATTTTCTTTGTCCATCTATAATACTCGCATAATCCTTGACCCAACATCCCCTCGGCTGACACTTATCCTGCAGTCTCCTCGATTCACAACATGAGCAGCCGGAAACGAAAGGCCGACGAAGATGGAGACGAAAACATGTCACCCATGAGCTCCCCTGCCGTATCCTCCCGGCCCCTCATCCGCCCGTCGAAAAAATTCAGATCCAACGACTTGATCGGCAGACCCCTCTCTCTACCGCGGCTCTTGGAAACCCTCGACACAAATCAGCTGCGAACAGTTTTGGAACGCATCTGCGAGCGCCATCCGGATATTGGGCAGGAAGTGGTCTCAGGGGCGCCCCGACCTACCGTTGACTCGGCAATGAACGTGCTATATGGTTATCAAGAGAGACTGAATGCCGCCGCTCCATACGGGGACAGCAGCGCGGAATATACATATGACCGAGTTAGGAGTCACATCGTCGCCTTGATCGATGCACTCTCCGATTTCACTCCCCAGTTTCTTCCACCGATCGAGACCCAGCCCACCAAATCCCTGGAATTCCTTGATGGTGCAACCAGATTCATTCACAGCCTTCCAAATTGGCAGCCACAGACTTACCGCCATCACAAAGACAACGCATACGAGGACATCTCCAAGGCATGGGCTCTAGTCATTAATGAAGCAGCGAAGCGGGGCGGTGGATTTAATCTGCATTCCGATGGATGGGACCAAAAACTGGCTCGACATAACGAACAATCCGGAGGACGACTAGCAACAGCCATTACAGCCATGTCAAATAGCGTTGGCTGGATGGGATCGAATGAGAATGGGGGCTCGTCAGAGCAAGGCTCCATTCTCAGCCAGCTCGTATCGGGAGCATATGGGTCGCCAGTTAGGGTCGGACCTTGGTAAACGCTGCTATATAATATACGGAGAGCGGCTAGACCACTGCATTTTTTTTTCTTCTTCTCTCGTCAGTCCGGCCGCCACCCGTGGCGGCCTTAGAGCAAGCTACGACGCTTTTATTCTCATCACGACAAAATCTTTCTCCAGCATCAACGGGTTATCATAGACTTCGGCACTCATTTTTCCTTGCGCACAACTTTGGCTGGTTTGGCGTTTACTTCTTTCTTTTGTAATTTGATATCCTTTCTTTATTCATCGAGTGGCGGTAGGGATTCTTCAGTGTGGCATTTTTCTGGCTTATTGGTATTTGTACTGGTACGGACACAGCATCATCTGTAAATATTTGAGATTAAAAAAAATTTCCCGTAGTCCTGTATCAGTAAAACAGGCGTGGATCAATCTCTCTGTCTCCTTGCTCGCTCTGTGAATCTCCAGCTAAAAACTAATTCTGCTAATGACTTGAACGACTAGCCTCGCAGTCTACTAGGCCTGGTGAACAGAAGCTGGAGCCCCGGAATCTCAATTCTTCATCTCGTAAAACCTGGTGAATAAACCGCTCAGAGCTGACGACGCAGTGAAGCTCTTTTAGCCGTACACTACCTACCTAGTTGGTGTTAGAGGCGCTTAACGACATGCTTGTAGAGGTCAGGCGGACTGGATGGCGGTTGAGCTGAGGCTTCTTGGTGGTTGCAAAATCTCGGGTACGTACCTGCGTCTTGACAGGTCACGTGCTCTCCTGTTTTCCCATTAAACAGAACGCGCTTATTGCTAAGCTACCAACGCGACGTATCGTGAATGAAAGCCTAACACGTCCGTTTAAGCATTCAAAGATTCCAGATACCCAGGTACGGCTGCTCTTGTAAGATTGAGAGCTATCTGGACTTGTCATATTATTTCCAGCTTTTTGAGCAGATGCCAGAGTGATCTCGGCCGCCCTCCATGCCTGCGTATGTCCTCTCTCACTCATATTATCGTAGCCGATAAGTCGTTAATAACATGCTACAGTCCGGGCGATCAACACCAAGCGTGGGCCAACCCTTTCGAAGAAGCCAAGCCCCACGTATCAGAATGGACGGCCAAGGAGATTGCCACAATCTCGTCTCGGCTTGATAAACAGCTGGGACCCGAATACATCTCGTCACGCGCTGGCCCTGGCGGTACCCGGGTCCATTATCTCACTGCCGAAAAGGTGATTGGCCTTGCCAACGAAGTTTTTGGCTTCAACGGATGGTCGTCTTCGATACAAAATATCCAAGTCGATTTTGCCGACGAAAATCCCCAGACACAACGCGTGAGCATCGGATTATCCGTCATCGTTCGGGTCACTCTCCGAAATGGCACCTACCACGAGGACGTTGGTTACGGCTCCATAGAGAACGCAAAGGGGAAAGCAATGGCCTTTGAAAAGGCAAAAAAGGAGGGAACGACGGATGCTTTGAAACGGACGCTGAGGAACTTCGGCAATGTGTTGGGCAACTGCATTTACGACCAAGACTACGTTAAGCAGGTTACCAAGATCAAGACTCAGCCAAACAAGAAGTTTGATCCGGATAACCTTCATCGACATTCGGATTTTGTGAAAAGGGAGCCTACAAAGGACATAACCATGAATAATGCGAACAACAACGGGGCCAAGAGTGGTGCTCCTGCCGCCGCCACTACTGCTCCCACCTCCGCTGCTACAGGATTCAAACCAGAGCCCATGGACTCGTTTGATGACTTCTTAGGGGGTATGCTGTCCTCAGACGGCTTTGAAGAAATCGAGGCTGAATATCTATAGAACTTGACGAGGCGGACTTTTGCGTACCAGGGGAAGGCCACCCAGATGAGATTGTACTTCCCAGCGCTGCCAACCCATCCCACGACAAGCCGGCTGGACAAACGGCAAAGCCTATACTAGGAAACAACATGAATCGCCCGCCGCAGCCGCAACCGTATACTCCAAGACAAGGACAGCCGCAACGACCGCAGAATGCCCCTCAGAATGCCCCGCAAGCCAAAGATTCTCCAATGGCACCTCCTCAGCAGCCACCTCCAGGGGAACCAGTGGCATTCTTCTCGGCGAGAGCTACACTTGATCCAAACCAATCCAACGGCAACCAACATCAACAAAAGCAACTCTTCAATCCCAAAGCTGAAAGCCCTTCTATACGAAAAACACCTGGAATCGATCACACATCGTCTAAGCCCGTGGCGAGAAACGGCCAGCATGTCCCTCCGGCTAATAGCCAGGCGCAGTCTGCGACGCCAAGTGGTAACACAGGAGGCTTTACGTCACTGCGGCAATCAATCAGCAGCTCTCAAGCCAAGACCGGTGCAATGAACACATCACTAGACCAAGCGCGCAGACTAGGGGCGCCGGGTGGTCCAGGCAGTCCTCTTGCAAATCGAGGTCAATATAAGCCTCCGACGATGAAGCGAACTCTCCCAGCTGAAGGAAATGGAACTAATGGAGCAAGATCTCCGTTGGTTGATATCCCGACGAATGCAACGAATGCTAATGACGGAGACGGCTTGGATGCGAAGAGACAAAAGGTGGCATAGATGCCTAGCAGAGCATAAAATGGTTCAAAATTGAAGAAAGGAGCATGGAGTTTGGAGTTTATATGGGCCATGATGGCATATTTTCTTATGGTGCGGCATCTAGAGATTTTACAAGTGCCAGATTTCCAGGGGTGGTCAGACAATCGACTCACACTGAGATGAATGTAATCTAAGCGTTATTTCAACTTTGACCTCTGATGTATTTGCCAAAAGGAGACTCATATGACACGTGTTGGGCTTTTGCGATTTTGAGATGTTGTTGAAGCTCAAGTCAATGTAATGTAGTTTCTACGTCCACATCTAGGATTATAAATGGAATATGTACGTAACACCCCAGTTGCCGGAGTCGATCATGTTTGACTTTGACAGCCTTTTTTTTTTGTGGCTTTAAATCACAACTCGTGCCACTTTCGCCATGTCCCCCATATGGTCGCTCATATCTCTGGCGAGGTGAGATACCGATCCAGGGCTCGTCTTCATTCTTCACGCTGCCAATTGCTATTACAAAATCACTACAGCTTTCCAAATGAGAGTCGATTTTGGAATAGACGTAGGCAGATATCTCATCCTGACTATAGGTCTAAAACGTGTGCCGGAGAGCGTCCCATTTCATCCGTAGTAGATAAGCAAGAGGCATGTGAGAAAAAGTATCGTTGCGTAATGCAAGGACATGTCGGAAGATGAAGTGGTAACTCGGAGTTGCTCGTCTTGTCTATGCAGCCGTCTTGCTTCGCCAGCTCGCCAGAGTTTCTGGATCCTGCAGAATCTCTTCTTCTTTTTTGTTGTTGTGGAAGCGACAAAAGTTGTCGTCATGGTGGTTGGAATAGTCTTGAATGGTGACTTCTTTTGCTGTGCTGTTTCCCAGGTGTATGATGGGATGGAGGTGCCGAGGAATTCTTGGAGTCTAAGTGTGTCTACTTTGTTGAGCTGCGTGATGATGCAATAATGGAGGAGATATGTTGTTGGGAGCCAAGGTCGAATGATGAAGAATATATAAATTATAGGAACAACGAGCAAATCGAATCCTGTACTGTGTTACAAGTACCATCGCCACGATGATGACACCTTTTTTATATGTGGCCGATGAAGCGGAAATACGTCTGGCATTGAAGAATGAGTAGAAAGAAGCATAAAATTCCTAGAAAAAGCCATCGTGTTTGATCCTCCGGCCAGCCTGGCTTACAGCCTAGGAATCTCTAGGAGTGGGTGAATCTAAAAGACGGGCTTCTATTTGGCGGAAATTGGGTTAGATTTGCTGGTTTAGAGGGACCATGTGCCCGCATATGTGAGTGCCCAACTCTTGGCGAAACCTTGAATGATATAGAATGCATCTCTTTTGGGAAAATAGTACTCAAAGCTGCGATGCTTCGTCCCGATTCACTGCGGCAAGATGTCGAGAATCTGTTTTGCGAACGTTTGTAGTCGCATGCAAATTGCGGGGCTTGCTGGTCCCTTTGATAGTGCTCATTTGCACCATTACTAGCAATAAGCTTAATAGGCGGAGTGCCAGAGTGGTTAATGGGTATGACTAGAAATCATATGGTTTCGGCCTCGCAGGTTCGAATCCTGTCTCCGTCGGCTTATCTTTTTTTGTCCCTTTTCACCTCCAATGTCTCTTCATACATCATTTCTTTCTTTCTCCTATGAATGTTGTTTCGTCACCAATTAAAACCAATTACAGTCAGTTGGGTGCCTAGTATCTTTCCAATTACACAAAATACATTTTTCTTGTGTACATATGGTTTCCACAAGCCTTGTTAAAACGCCTTCCCATATGTTTCTCCCTCATCAATATACAGCAACCACATCACCCACTACTTCTAATCTACATCTTTTTCAAAACGCCATTCTCGACATACCACCCTCGCGCCCGATTCCCAACATTAAACAAAAACATCAGCCGTATAATGATCAACACCGTACACAGCTCCACGCAGTAAATGCACTCCACCGTCCCATCAGAAGTCCCCTTCAAGCACGCAAAGTTCCACACCAAAAGCACCATTTGGCATCTGCGCCAGAGCCGAATGTCGTCTGCGTAATACATGACTATCGCGGCCATGGCCATCAGTGCCACCATGAGACTCAGCACCTGCTCGAGGACGAACTGGTCTCGAAAGAGGTAATAGTCTTGTTCGCTGCTGATCTTGTTGAAGAGCAGAGATCCGCTGAGGGCGCGGTTGCGGAGGTTGACGTAGCCGGTCCAGAGTGTGATGGCGGGCTCTATTTTTTGGAAGAAGAGCCTGTACATTGGGTGAATGTATGAGACGGCGTTTGAAGAAGCCATTGTGAGGGGTTGAGAAGAGGCAGTCAGTGTAAGTGATGATTTTGGGTTGTCAATGTTGACTGGCGTTTCAGGTATCAAGTAGAGGTACAGAATTTGCAAGTATGTTTTCATTTGCAGCAGATGGCAGCAATTCGCAAGCTATTTATTCAACACCGGAAACTTCATTCAGGCTTCTTCTGCCTACGAAGATTTTTTTTTTTTTTTTTTTTACCCTTCTAATTATCGTATACAGCCAAGACGAGGCCAATGCTCCATTCCGCTAGGCAGCCGCTCAGCCGCTCCACAAGATCAGGAACTGGAAATTGATCAAAAGACGGAACAGAAATCAATGGGCACTCATACTAAGCCGCAATAGGTTCTGGCCGAAATTTGTTGTTGGGAGTCTACACTAATAGCTGGGCTGTGTAACACATGATGATACAGTAAATAATATACATTGAGCCGTCTCTAATAGCCTCTTTCCAATCACTTTACACGATTGAAGAAATTTTCTTCAAGCCTTTGTCAAAGATGCAGCCGTTAGTTTTGACAGACCTTCTTGAGCCTGCTTCACCCCATCGGGAAATTCCATCTGCTTGCTCATCTCAATGCACTGATTGTACTTCTTCCTCGCCAGCTCCGTCTTGCCCAGCATGGCTGCCACGTCTCCCCAGTTGCAGAGCGCAACAGCACACGCTTCGTCGCACTCGGGAGTACGATCGTCGCCCTTGACATCCTTGGCGTGAACGTATGCGTTCTGTGCCCAGTTCAATCCCGCCTCGAGGAATTCCTTGCGCGTCTTTGGCATAGAGTCGTTGAATAGCTCCTTGAGACCCTCAGACGGCTCCATTGTGCCTGCAGCGTAGAGAGGCTGCTGAGCAAATGCCGCTGCCAGGTTGTTCATGATGACTGCTCGGTGGCAAGGGCTTTCGCACAGCCGGAGGGCTTGGAAGAACAAGGGGATGGCGAGCTGGAACTGGGAGCGGCGCTCATAGTCTCGACCCAGCGATTCCATTGATCCTCCAAGTTCTTCGGGGCTGAGCCACTTTTCTTCGCCGGGTTTGGGACCCTCGGTTCTGCGCCTCCGGAATTCTTTCAGCGAAGATTCAACTGCCCAGACGAGATGAGCGTGAGACTGATCGGGATTGAGCACATGCTCATCTGCGTATAATTCACCCAGCTTGACGCCTGTGGAAATGGCCTTTAAGAGTAGTCGCTCTCGTTTGTGCCACAGAGTCTCGATGGGCTCTGCAGGGGCGGCTTCGTCCTCCTCCTCCTCTTTAGCCTTGCCATCAGAAGCGGGTTTCGTTGCAGCGACCTGTTGTTGAGCCTCGCCAACATATCTTCCCTGGTCGTTCACTTTTCCGTCCTTTACAGACTGTTCCATGACATCAACCCACTTCCTGCAGTCTCCGAGAACTGACTCGAGCACGTCAATGGCAGCTTTGTGGCTGTTAATCTTCTCAAGCCAAAAGGCCACTTGTATCCTGATGCCCAGCACCTCGTCGGAGAAGGGGTCTAGCCCAACTTCTGCGCACTGCTCCATTGCCTTTTTGTAGTATCTCAGAGCAAGCTCGGGATCGGGTTTGTAATTGGTGTAGTAGATGGCGCGGCGCAACGTGTTTGCGACAGGCTCCGGGTATCTGCTGAACTGCGAGTTGTAAAAGGTATTGATGTAGGCTCGGATCGCTACCGCAGAGAAGACGAATGTGAATACCAAGCTACGTAGTGTTAGCACAGCTAATTTATTCTGCAAGAAAGAAATCGTCTTGATACATACAGAAGAATGTTCATGGTGGTCACGGCCGGGTTCTCGCGATACGACCGCCGGATGCCTTGAGGGCTCAGCGCCACCACGAGGTTCCGCAAACTGACCCCGAGAGCGCGCCCAACAAACTGGCGAAAGGTAATCTGAGGCTTCCCAGGCGTCTTGTCATTATCGCGGGGCGATGGAGTCGTCGATTGGAGTCGTCGCTGTTCGGGGCGCAGAGCCACAACAGCCCGCAGGTGGACAGTCGCCGTGGGCGATTTGACCTGCACCGAGAGCAGCCCCGTCGTGGCATGGCGAAGGCATTTGCCTCCAGCCGGCCGCAGCGAGGCAATTGCAGATACTGACATGGTAATTGCAGCAGAGATGCTGTGGCTGGAGCACATGCAAATGATGAATTCAAGGCTGGAAATCTTTCCCCATGACGGCATGCGAGCGATTCTTTGGTGGCATGTGGTCCGTGCGCTACTCCCATTCGCACTCTATGCCGAGGTGGGGGAAGCAATGAAATGGATGCCGAGCGAGACATCAACTCTTCCCTCATTCTTACGCTCTTTTGCCTCACATCGCATAGACTGTAGGCGAGAAAAATTCAGAAAACATGTCTGGAAGATTTGAGCCCAAAGTTCCCGTCCAGCTGGACCCTCCAAAGGACGACCCGATATCTCTTGGAGACTTGGCCAAGGCTGACGGTAAGACTCTGAGCCCCTCCAGTTCTGCCCGTGATGCCGGTTTCGCAGCCCCGGGGCATCAATATGAACAAGGCGCAGCAAGAATGTCATTATAGCTGTGGAAAGTCATTAAACCATCTCAGTCAAATGAGTAAAGACGATGGTTTCTGCACCAGTCATTCTTCATGATCTCAACATCTTTTAAAACACCATCTCATGAACCCTCGGCTAATTCGGTCTCATAGGCACAAACGGAGAAAAGAGCTATGTTGCAATCAAAGTACTCCCCCAGAATATTTATACATATCATCAGCTAGTATAACTAATAAATCTCTGCAGGGCAAAGTTTATGATGTGTCCGGCAACAAGATGTACCAGCCCGGAGGCTCATACCATGGTACGTAGCACATCCATACTCATATCACAGTGCACCATCACTTTCATCTACCTATGCTGTCTCGTAAACATGCAGTTACGCTAACGATACAAATTCAGTCTTCGCCGGCAAAGATGCTTCCAGGGCATTAGGGATGACGTCTGTCAAGCCGGAAGACGTCCGACCAGACTGGCACGATCTTCCTGATAAGGAAAAGGGCGTTCTTGAGGACTGGATAACCTTCTTCTCAAAGAGATACAACGTGGTGGGAGTTGTAGAGGGAGCCACCAACCAGTAAGTGGCTGGTGTTGTGTGTCAGCATGGTATGTATATATGAGATGTGAGCTTTGAAGAGTTGGCATTACTTAATACTACACCACAACAGTCATTTTGTTTCTGTAATAGCTTACTGTAGCACGCGCTGGAACTATGTCTATGGGTAGAACAACCATGTGCCAGAACCGGAATCTCAGCAATCTCATGGTGATATATTGCATGCATACTCCGAGATGCCGAGTTCGCCCACATCCATGGTGCTTAACAAATGACCCTCGCTATCCATCCCAAACTAATATTCTGCAGAAGGGAATCCACTCGGTCAAAGCAAGACTCCCCCATCGCCGTCATAAATACCGTGCATCAGGCTTCAATGTCATAGCTTACAGTGGTACAACCACAAAACCTAATGCCATGTGAGTGGGCCGTACCACAGACTACTTGTAGGATGGACATCGTGGAGAGATTCTATTCAGCTAGGCCGAGCCTCAGTATGTATACGCCCACATCTCAACAACCAACAAGAGAATCGATACGAGTCATGTTCAGCCCAAAGTCCCATACATTCATGTAGCATAAGTCCTTTGCAGGCCCTCACAGCTTCCACAAGTAGGTACCATACGCCCCCCTCCTCGTCTCGCCAAATTCGCACCATAGTGAGAGCTATTTACGCATCAGCTGGAGGCATAAACGCCACGCCCAAGCAGTGGATCGAATTGGGCAAAACATGCATTCGCCTGCGTTGGACTCCCCCGGAATACTCCACGTCACTGCCAATGCCATCTCACCAAGCCATCTGGATATCTCCGCAAAGCAGTAGGAATGGCTTCCGTGTGGGCGAGTGTTATGCGCCGTGTAACCTATGCACACTCCTTGCGTCACCATAGCTGCTAATTTCAATTCGCTAGACAAAGCGTCAAGGGCAAGGAATCATCTCACCGCGGATTTTCCACATGCATATCTCATCTTATTAGCGTCGAGGGGTGCCGTCGTCTACCACGTCGAATGTATGTATCAATCAAGCTATCAAAACATCACTCCCCCCTCGCTCTGTTATTAGGCCTTGTCAGTTCTCTTTCTTCCACCCCAATCTAGACCCGCCATCAGCCGCAAATCCTTCCAATTATATACGAATCATGCCTTAATGCCAATAAACAAGTTTCGACGTACACTCCTCTGAGACCAGGACATCGGCGACCACTAGATGTACATACCCCCTACCCCCCTACCCTTGCTCGCCGAGCTTCATGGTTATTTTCATCGGGATGTAGCAGTGACATCCCATCAAGTCCCCCGATGCGATACACCCTTGGAAGTACACTCGTCGCACGGTACGCTTTGTCTCCATGAGTTGCGGAGCACCTTGACGCCCAGACACCCGTGGTTGGGATCGTTTCGCGCGAAGTGACAGTAGGACTTGAGCCGTATTTGCGAGTGATTACAGGTGAACAAGAACTCTTCCCAGTCGCACATGGTGGTGGCCAAAAGGTCAAAATAGCGTAGTCTGTTTCAGCTGGAGAGAGGGGAAGGAGGAGCGAGATCACATTAGCAGCGATTCGATACGTGTGGTGACATGTCATCTCAATCTTACCGTAGGGTTGCAGTGAGGGAAAAAAAAGAGCTTGGTATGTTAATATTATCGTCTTCCGTCTTAAAGTTGGAGATATCTTGCAGTGCCCAACTCTAGAAAGTTTGAAAGAACAAGAAGCAAAATGTATTTGAGAAATGGGATTGAGAAACCTTTTATGTCTACTTTGTATGTACTTCTCATGGCGCTCGAATCGGCCACATGGCGTTCGTTCGCCATGTCGTGGCAGAATTGCTGCAAACAAATACATCACCCATTCACTCCATCCGGTCCCCCAGAGGCGCTGAATCACAAGTGCCTTGGCTAAACGCCGCAAGGCAGATGTCGTGGGATGCCATGATGGCAACGCCCACGCTCTAAATCCGAATGCGGATTTCTTAGCATAAGCATGGCGAAAGAAGGAAAGATGATGGCCAGTCAAATGTGTCAGCTACGTGGTGTATCCATGTATCCCTGTTGATTTCAAACTGGTTGATTCTCACAATTAGACTTGCTCACTGAAACCCGCAAAGAGTAATAAATGTTGTGCAACATGCCTGGAGCCTATGGGAAAAGAGCTTCTTCGTTAAATGTAGTGAGAGGAGAAAACAGCCGTAGTACAGACTGATCTTAGATCTTGGAGTACCATTATCTAGCACTTACCACCAGATGCATATGCAGATGAGCAAGGCCTTTTTCTAGACCTCAACTTTTTCGTATTCTGGTGGCTGGGCAGCTGAGACCTGCATAAATACTTTCCCAGCTGCGTACGCGCGTTGTCGAGAGCCGGATACCAACCCATGTTAGGCTGAATTCCAAACAGTGACCCAGCCCAGCCCAGCCATCGGCTTCTTGCCCATCGTAGGCAGGCTACATGTATGCAATGCTTGCCATCTCTTCTTGCGCGCCTATCATCTCCGCATCCTTTCGTTAGCCGAGGGACTGCCCCCCTCCCCGATCTTTCCACGTCTCTTCACATGAAAATCATGGCACAGACGTCGAGTGGTATAGGTGTGTAATGCAAAGCTACACGGAGCAAGGGGAAAATCCCCCGAGTGGCGCCTCCTGTGTCACTCGGAAGGCGCATGTTCCAGTGCTGTTATGAATATGAGGCATGAGTAAGTACTGAATTTCGTCCACAAAGCAGGGCAGAGAGTAATTAGATGGGGGCCACGATGCCTAGATTTGGTCTTATTGGGACTGGACGTGGTTTCCGGGTAGCTGGGCTTCGCCTATCATATACGAGCGAGAGTTTGTGGATGCGATCTCATGGATACGACGAGTCAGACACTCCAAGGTCGGAAATCCGTGCGTGGTAATGCTGCTCCAGTGACTCTAAGCGACGCGGATGACGACGCATGAATCTCTCCCAACGGAAGAGTAGTAGTAGATCTTATAGTATATACATTGGACCCATCCCGGTTTGGCAGGGCATGCGTGGGTCACACGATCCTGGCGGAAGACCGGAGCATTTCCGTAAAGAACAAATCAATATTGCTGCAACAACCCCCCCTTGGAAGCTTTCTCTGTTCTTAGCTAGTTGCATATGGCGAGCGACCGGTGTGACATGAGAGAAAAGCAATTATACGATTAAAAACAGGATTTCCCCCTTCTACTTATTGAGCTCCGTCAGTATGCAGCCGGCAGGCTTCCCCGGTCCAGCGATGACTTGGGAAGAATTTCAGTCTGGAAGAAGTATGTTATGCGAAGGTTTTCGTAATTATAGCTCTTGCTAGAGCTTTTCAGATGCACCGTGATGCTGGGGGGTTCAGTAATCTTGATATTCGATGACTATCGATACCCCTTTCTACCGAATCTGCTATTATAGCAGTGGTTTGAAATTGAGACCTTTTCTCGAAATACCCATGAATGCCCACATGCGTTCCAAGAATGCGTCGACTGTTCATTCTTGCCTGGTGGATTAGCAGATCCATAATTGGCGACAAGGGCCTTTCTTTGAGAGCGATAGGTGACACAAAGTGATGTTACTGCTTCTCTCGGATGACTTACACAGCACACTGTAAACCAAATATATTTGAGAAATAATATCACGTGCGTCTCATTTATTACAAAAAAGAAAGCAATTGAGATATCGCTCAGCATTATATGGCAGCAGTCTCTTTATGAATAGCATCTACCTTGAAACAAATCGTATCCCCTGCAACTGTATCATTAGTATATGCCCCATTTGCCCCATTCGGTCAGTAGACAAATACTGTATGTTTTCACGACAGCTCATCGCTGCCAATACGGCTTGTCAATGGAAATGTTTGTATTGACAATAAGTGCCATACGCTATGTTTGGTGAGAATTGTGAGTTTCTTTGTGGCGAGAATTAATAAGGTGTGTACCAGAAACATAGGTACCCATGTGTGCAGAAGTATCTTTTATATAGGAATGACCCACACAGAGTAAGAAGCTTTTATAAAAACAAACGATGAAGAGAATAAAATTACCGAGATGGTTGCAGTATTATCTTTTTCATTAACATCTGGAGATAAAACAACGTGGGCGAAGATATAAGTCAGGTATAGAAGAAGCGATTGGAATTTTTTGTATAGAAAGCTGTATGTGGCTTGTAGCAAACAAAGCCCACCTCTGTAGCTATTGCTTTGGATGCTCGTATTCACTAGCAGTGGCATTCTATAGTTGAAAGACGCACCAAACATTATACAATTTACTGCTGTCAGTGTAAGCACAAGGCTGTCGCTACATGTCATTCCAATTCTCTCACAGCTGCCCAAAGGTTTAAAAAAAAAAAAAACAGCTGCCCGAATCTATTTTTAGTCCGCTTGGATCAGGCTGCGGCATTTAGCGAGAGATGTATTTATTGATGAAAGTGCAGATATAGCGCTGTTGCTCTTCTCTTGCATCACTCCGCCTGACATTCACGAGGAGTACATCGCGCCATCTAGCGAAAGACTATTCTAGTATAACTCATCTCATACAAATCAGATGGCGCCTGTTTATACGAAAGAGCTACAAAGGGTCTGTATTCTCCAGCATATGTCGATTGATGCCATCTCAAAGATGAGGGCCGGAGTCTACGGGCGTCAACCCACCCTAGACCTGCCTGTTCAGGTCTGCTACAAGCTTGTACATTTTACAGTTCTATTATAACGTGGAACTCTAAGCTAATCATGGCCGTCTTTTCAGCGCACGCCAGGGGAAGCTTTTGATATCGCTTGATTAGATGAGCCAAACCCCAAGCCGAGCGTTGGCCTATAAACCCGACATGAGGCAAACTGTTTGCCTTGCCAAGAAAACCGGGGCAGCAGCCTCAACTCATGCAACAGCACAGCAGGTGATGATGGACAATAACAGGGGCCACAGAATTTACAAAGCCGCAGTTGCGCAGTTGCGCAGCTCATCAGACCCGCAACGTGGACGTGCCACGAAGCGGCGCAAAGACGAGCGCAGATGGCGACACGAGTCGTGATTTGTGGCATGGGCCGAGGGCTGTGCTGGCAGTGACATCTGCACGACACGCGCCAAGTTGGTTGAGGGCCAAGAGCATCTCTCTGTGTTGAGGAATGGAGGAATGGAGGGGGAAATGGCAAAACCACGACTGCTCGAAGAAGAAAAGGAGAGAAAATCCCCTGGAAGTCAAATGGAAAAAGGCGGAACGATTGGGGTGGCATGCTCTACATGGGCATGATGCGACAGATGGCTGCCGGGAATATCGCGAATATCACTTGGGGGCGGAAAAAATCTTGGGTTTCGGCTGGGTCGCGGACGCTCCTGCGCCTGTGACGGTGGCCTCGCGGTTGCCTTGCGGTGGCTGCCTTGGTAGTCGCGGCTGCCTTGCGCTCATGGGCTGCTGCCATCGCCAGAAATGGTCCAGAAATGCCCTTTGCGCGTGCGCTATCGGTTGGATTGCGCCGTCTGATTGGGCCAGCGCCAGATCCCGTGCTGTGCCCGTGCCCGTGCACTGCATCTGCATTGCGTCTCACCGAAGGCCAAAAGTGAGGCGAGAGGCATTTCATCATCGTCGGTTTCAGTGCCGGATATCGGCCGCCCTCCCGGATCGCCAGCGGTATCGACGACGCCTGACTGGCTGCTGCGCGACGACATCCGCGTCTCGAGCCCCATCGGCGCAGCATTTTGCCAACAAACCATCTGGCTGCCAGCGCTCATCTCAGCCACCCCAAGGCCCTTTTGATCCTGCACCGAGTCGTTGACCGCCAGCTGTGGACGCTGCCAGCTGTTGCTCTTATTAGGCGGTTGCCTCGCCGGCGTCTCTGGTTGCCTCGTCTTGGACCCAGGCCCTTTCGTCTGTCACTGGTGCAAAACCACGGGACAGACTTGGCGGTGATGCTCGACCCAGCACGGCGCCCTTTCGCTGGCTAATGCTGCCCGTCCTGGCTCTGCTGCGTGTGCATGTGTGCCTTGAAGCTCGTCTTTGCTCCTATTTGTTACTCAGTGTTACGCTTCACTCCCGCTATTGGGGCTGAGGACATCTGCAGACCGACTCAGGCCCCTCGCATTCCGTCGTGCTCCCAATCCCACCCCGCTGATTTTGAGTCCTCGACGACGCATATCGATTCTCCTGATCAACTGGGCAGCGCAAGACATTTTTTCAGGCCCTTTTTCCTTTCTTCCTTTGTCGACACTGAGACTAGATATATCTCGTCTCTACTCCGTCCACATTCGCCACAGAGGCAGACAGCCTATACGCATACATCACCGGACAGGCGGTGCGCAGCCACGCAGGTATACGCCGGCCAACGGCCCTATTCGCACTAGCTTCTAGCCCATCATGATTCCTTCTCGTGGGGAGAACCCTCTTGTCTCATACTCTGATACTATGTTCTATGCCTTTTACTCTGGGTCGGACGATCCCTGGGTTCCTGCCGGCGTCATCCAGCCGGCACAGGCGTTGACTCCGTCTCGCTCGTCCGCGTATGCCTACAATCCTGGATTGCGCGGCTTCCAAGACTTCAGAGGCCCTCCTGTGCCCTCTGATTGCGAAACCGCTCTGGACTCTGGCTATGGGGGCAGCCGTACTATATACAGCGCCAATGAGAGCGGCACATCGGTCAATGAAGGCGATGGGTATACGGAAGGTGGATTCCACGATATCCAGGCGACAGATCAGCCCATCGACATTGGGAGCCTGAACCTCTCTCCCGCAGCAGCTGCCAGTGCGAAACTCCTCCACTGCGACGCCTGTGGGGCTAATGTCAAGACGAAATCAGAACTCAAGTACGTTTGGCATACAGCAATTATGCTCAGGCTTGCTCCTCGTCACCTAATTACTAATAGGTCATAGAAAGCATGATCACAGGCATAACAGGCCGTATAAGTGTGATTACAAGGATTGCACCAAGGCTATTCGGGGATTCAGCACGACCAACGATCTCACTAGACACAAGAGAACGGTCCACCGTGAGCATGATAGCAATGCGCCTACCTTCATCTGTCGCCACTACCCTTGTACCACTAAGAAGGAGAAGCTGTGGCCAAGGGCTGATAACTTCCGCAGCCATCTTTATCGCTCTCACAGTATAACGATTAAAGCAGATGATGATCTCAGAGAATATCGCTACTAGTATGTGCTATCCATTCTTCATATCTGATTCCAAGCCGTCAGATATAGGTTACATGCTAATATCTTGTTCGCAGCTCAATACAAACGAGGCCGCATGAAATTCGAGATGGCAGGACAACTGCTGGCATCCGTTCCGAATCGCGATCAGCACTACCCTCTCATGCGACTCTTTATACGAGTCGCCATAGTGACGGCTTCCAGGGAAAAGAAATCGGGTGGCCAACTACTGATAGCCTTCAAGACTTTTCAGCCCGCATTCATGGTATAAATGAAAACGATTTTGGGCAACACCGTGACCAGTATGTACTTTTGATATGCCCCATGTTCTACGACAAAGTAGCTAAAAACAACATGTACAATAGGCCAGATGAGGCAGAGTTACATGCCCTCCGAGGTGTGGGATCATCGGTTGCTGATGTTGATCCGGAGTCTCGACCGACACAGGTGCAAGATTCGCCTGATTTGCGAAGTAGCCAGCTTCCAACGGGCGCATTAAGCCAGTTACAAAAGGAATCTTCAAAGCAAAGTCATCTTTTATTAACTCGAAGCGGGTGCGACTCGCAATCGGCGCCATCAAATACCCTAGATGGCCTCAAATTGCCCTCGGCTCTTGGTCCCCAGTCTCTTGTCAGCGATGTTGTCGCTGGGACGCCAGTACGTGAGGATTCTTTGGAAGAATCCATGGCGGCGCTCCCTGACGATGAGCCAGCACAAGAAAGTTTTGGCCAGGATGAAGGCAACCCAGTCGAGGGCGAAGATGAAGTGCTTGACCATCATGATCCACTAGCAATTGAGACCATGTCGCTCGTTTCATCTAATCAGGTGAAAGACAGTGCTCCTCAAAGCGGCATACCTGAGCTCCAAGAAACAGACAATGGTCTAGAGAATGATTTCAGAGCGTCTACAAAAGAACTTGCCAAGTCGTTCGATACTGCGAAGCGTCTAAAAAGCATTCTGTCAGATAAGGATGGCTTGGATAAAGTTCTTTCACTTCTCAAAAATATTCCTAGAGGTCTACTAGAGAAAGCACTAAATCATGAAGAGCCGCAGCCGCAGCAGAATGAGAGTGTTGCCCCCAATGACCAAACAGGGAGCCCGAAAATGCAAGTAAGGTGTACCAAATGCCACAAACCATTCTCACGGGCGTGTGAACTTAGGTAAAAATCCCATGACATCCAGCACTTTGGCCTCATCTTTGTGTTTACTCATGAAAGCGGCAACTAATATATCATCATTACAGGAAGCACATGAAACGACATGAAAAGCCTTATGGATGCACTTATAAAACGTGCCACAAGATGTTTGGTAGTAAGAATGATTGGAAGAGGCACGAGAGTAGCCAGCATTTTCAGATGGAATCCTGGAACTGTGATGAGCCGCGCTGCGACAAGGTCTTGCCTCGTCGAGAGCTTTTCAAAACTCACCTCCAGCAGGACCATCAAGAGACAGATAGCCAGACAATTGAGAATAAGCTAGAAAGCTGCAGGCTGGGCCGCCATTGCGACCCACGCTTCTGGTGCGGGTTTTGCGATCAATTTATTGAGATCAAAGAAAAGGTGGTCAATTCGTGGACAAAGAGATGCGATCACATTGATAATCATCTATTTGGCAAGGATGGGCTGGCCAAGAAAACCATGGCTGACTGGTGCTATCTTGAAGATAAATTGGCAGAGGGAGATTCTGAGTCCAGCAAGAAGCCCAAGGCTGCGGCAACTTTGTCGAGATCCGTGAAGAAGCGAAAGGCAACAGACGATTTGGACGTGCGTTCTACAAAGAGATCCAACGTTCTCTGGATATGCGTAAGTTGCTACACATTTCCTTCTTATTGTATGCAGTGTGCACAGCTAACACGACGATTAGTGCGCCTGCAATCATTCTGAAAACTACCACGTAAGCAGCCAGTGCATGAACTGCTGTCACAAGCTTTGCAGTCACTGCAAAATGGAACAACTTCCGGATTTTGAACACGAGGCCGATCTAATGAGCCAAGAGGTGGAGGAGAGGGTAGACTAGGGAGAAGTGGCGGCAGTTGCCGTCGGCCGATGATAATCTTTTTTTGGATATCGGAGTCAAATTCGGATTTTTTTTTCCTTCCCTCCCCCCAAGCCTTGCAGATAGACTGTGAGGGTACCTACATTAGCTTCCAAAGTATTACTATTATTACTGCCGAGACGATGCAGTGTGGTTGTGTGGGATGCGCAGCCTTGTTGATAAAGTTGTTATCTTTTGTATGTGTGTGCGTTGTGTGTTGTTTAGCCATGCGAAAAAAAAGTCAATTCAAGCGATTGTGTCTTGAGGCGCAGCCAAAAGAGTTTGAATGAATCCTTGTGGGATAAGCGCCGTCATTTGTGTGTGAACGCCAGAGTGCTACCGAGTGCTACCCAAGAGGATCCGAAATTAGACGCTGCACACAGGCATAGCCTACTAGGCGAGTAACGTCTAGGAGAAAAGGAGAGATGTACGTATAGTAGTCTCTATCTAGATAGCAGCGGGAAAAGGGAGAAGAAGAAAAACACAAAAGAGGCGTCTTGGTGCCTATTGTCTTGGCACCAGCGCAGAGGGTTGCCTTTTTTCGGTCTCTGAGAACGCCCTGCAAATGGTTCTTTGGCGAAGGATCCCACCCTCTTCTTCTTTCGGTGAGACATTTGACGTATGTCTGGGACATTTCACCTGTCTCTCTTCCGCCTCGTAATAGTGCATTAGCGTTTCGGCGAAAGCAAAGTGGAAAAAAAGAGAAGTCCTAAATAGTCCTAGGCAGAAAAAGGCCTTTGGAAAGGGGACCAAATTAGAGAGAGAGAGAGAGATAGGCAGAAAGAGGCGGGATGAATGCAGCGTTGTAGCCGATGCTACAGTCTGTTGGTTGAGAATCTGGCTATTGGCCGGGTTATCCGTCTTGGTCCCAGTATCATCACTAGCAAATTTCTGTCTGACCTGAGCTTACCGCGAACGGCTCTCGTCCTTTTTCGGAGAAGTGAAAGACGGCTATTTCCAGAACAAGCCTGGGTGAGCGCTTGTCCGAGACACATGTCTTCTCAACTTGGTAAGTCGGAGTACTGCTCGCATGTACGGGATGCTCGTATTTGGATGCCGGTAGGCTGATACCACGTGGGGAGAGTGAGATGGACAGAGGATGGTGGGTGCTACCATTTTTCTTTTCCGCCTTCAAAGACGGAATCTCTTGTTTCCTTTCCAGAAAAAATTGGGATTCCGTTGTCCTTGGTCTATTTGTGTGTGTAAAGATGGATTAAGGTCCACCCCGTAGACACGAAAAGGGCCGGAGCAATGCCCCGAATGTGGATGGGTTCTGGATATGGATTTGTGAGGTCATGTTACTTCGAAGCGACTTTCGTGCATTAGCTGGCATCTGCTTTCCGCCAAGGTGATGAAGGGCGCCTGTACCAACACCCGCAGAGGGCTGTGTGCTAGATGTAAGAAAGGACGATGCTACGGCGCATCTGCACGATGAATATATTAATCTGAGTCGTCATTCAAGAGTGAGATTTGGCCAAGGGAAGAGAAAGAGGCATAGAGAGAGACTGGTGCTTGCATGACGGGTAATGCACTCCGGCTCTCGTAGGAGCAATACCATGCAAAAGGAAGAGACTTGTTAGCAGCGTGCATGCGCTGCCCGAGCAACAACTGCCAAGTTGAGGCAAGGCGCGTTTTGAGCTTAAGCAGAGATTCGTGCATAGTAAGCCATATTGTCGATATGGTTGCCAGCTGAGCGTGAAAAAAATGGTTTAGCCAAAGAGATCTGTTTCCCAATGTTGAAAGAAGGCAAAAAGGCGCCAGCGTCAAGGATGCCTGCAGCCGAGGTAGTGGTACTCCGAGCGATGCATAGGTAGGAGATATGACGACGGAGGCTTGACTGCTGTACCAGCGACATGGACGCATTGCATGGAGACGGAAATGTCGAAAATAGGCACGGGGTAAGTACCGTGACCAAGACCCCGAGGCAAGCCATCACATTACTGTGGCTACACTCCAGCAAGTCGTTGGACGTGTCGGTAAGTGGTCTCGCAAGTTGCACCAGGCAGCCAGAGTCAGTCCATCGGTTGGGGGCCGTCGATTCAGTGCCGTTTGTCATCACGGTGCCTTGTCTAGATCGTCTCGCTTTCGTGGTCTGTTTGGCAACAATGGATCGATGATTGGCGCCGGGTTACAGAGGCTGTTCTTCTGCGGGGCTTCACTGAGCAGCAACGCAGAAGGATTCGAACTGGTAAGAGCTACGATGAAAAATAAAGATGACAGATGAAACACAAGATGGGATGAATCGCCGCCCGCTGTCAGCTTGTAGACACCATCCTTGATGCTCTAAGCACCTTTTTTTTTCTGGATACCGAGTAGGCTCAGACAACGACACAACGACACCAGGCCTTGGCGATAGGCCTGATGAGTCGTAATTTTGCCTTGTTTGTGTTTAGGGTGCTGGCTTGGTTGCCTGTGCCGGCCTCAAGGTGAGCAAATGGCGGAAATGAAGCAGGAATAATCTCCAACACGCCCCCGCGATAGAGAAAGGCACCGATTGCTTCACACCTGATACATTGCCTTTTTTCCCTAGGGCCGGGGCTGCAAGGCGACTTCAAAGGCGTAAGTTGACCCAAAGTGAGATCGTGAATGGGTACTTTGTACACGGTGCTAGTATCATGAGTGCGAAGCATGTACAGCTAATGCATCGCGAGATGGTAACTGATACAAGCCCAGGATGAGCGGCCGAGAACCCACGTGGCTAGGTACCTCCCGAGGGGGCGTGTCTGTATCACCATCAATCCTAGAGCACCCACTGCTAGTCTGTACTGTATGTACTTGTACGAGTTGGTAGGTATATAGCGGCATACCGCAGTCTTGGGTTTGGGCTAGCCAGGGCTTGGTTGAGCGCAGAGGTTGAGCTTTTGCAACATACAATGCACCCACCTGTGCTGTCCGTAGCATGTCGAGCTTATGACATGCGCAGAACAATTTCTGCTGCCGAGCATGGAGCGAGCGACTTGACTAGAGTTTGGCCATGGACACGATGGAGAGTACCTAGATGGAGCGTTACACAAGCCGAGACCCCTGCCCAGTCCGGTGCCAATCTCGGGGTTGAGAGACTCCGGAGAGGGTCTGTCTCGAAATTGCCAGATTGGAACTCCGGCATGCCTGTAATTCTTGAATCTGAGATGTTCAGTAATTTTCACCAAGCCTTGAGATGTGTGGTGGGGGGAAAGGGGATATGACGATGCAGTGGAGAGCAGGTATTACAGCGTCGTGGAGGGGAAAGGAGGGGCAGGGCCAGGAGACTTCAGCTCCGTGTAGCTCCTTTCCATGTATAGTTCATTATTAATCAGGTGTCTTGAACGGCATACTGTAACTATACAGCTCCAAGTAGATGGTGATGGAATGCTTGCCCAAGTCATCCCGGGCTTGAACAAGAGCAGCCAATAGTCCATCGCGTTTCGTGGTGCTTCGCTCAACACTGTCCATCACCGTCGTCGGAGACATAATGGCCTTATGGAAGCACTGTCAGAGTGTTGGCTAGTATGCTAACTGGGAAATCTCGTAGAAGGTTACTCGGCACCGGCTGTACCGAAATGGAGCTCCTGCGGGCTGGCACACCAAGACGGCGGGCTCACAGTGCAGCAGAAAGGTTTTTCGAGGACTCATCCGTATCCGAGCAGCGGAAAGTGTAAGTATTGGAAAATTTTGGCTCTACACCATCAAAGGAGATCGGCGAAGACTAGCATGTGTGTGTTGATGGACCCTGTCCTGCGCTTGCAAGCCATCGCGATGCAGGCTTATCCCTGTGTAAGTGGCATGCCAAACATGAGAGCAGGGGCGCCACCAAGCTGGCGCTCTCCTGTGCGCTGACTGACTCCCGGTTACTGCCACATCGAGAAGTACCATAGTTGTCTGCTTGAGCTTGTGTCTTGGGTGTCTTGGTCGATAGAATTTCAAATCCATTGCAACGATACCAAGATGCTGCTCCGATACCCTTGAAAAGCTTAAGACACTCCCCGGCCGGGCGGAGTCGGACCTGATTCTTTCTGGTCCCTCACAGACGTGTCTGGCACCTTGCCATTGCGCCTTCTGGATCCTGGCCACCTAGCTTCATGCCCATACCCAAAGATTGACATTGGTGACAAGTCATGTGTGTCTCGGTCGGCGCCGCTCTGGCAGGCTTTTGGCCGCAGTAGCCCCAAGAGTGTTATTGGTGCATTAAGCGAAGCTGAAAAACTCGGGGGCTTGGTAAGTCTCGTTACGAGGTCTGATGGGAGTGGTGTTGCGATTCGAGCAGATGTGCATCTCGGTGCGTGCGAGGAGGAGCATCACTTTGAGCCTAGGTCGTAATTTCCAAGCTGTTCGACCAGCCTCAGCCCGTGGATTCTGACTGTATCGGCCGATACAAATGCCCGTCACGATTGATTAAACCGGACTTGTCCCATGTTGCATTTATTTTTAGAGCTTCTCGCGCCACAGTATTCGTCTGGCCAGTGAAGGCATGCGGGCCATGGCATATCAAGACGTGGCCGGGTTGAGGCACAGCAGAGAGCTGAAGCCAGGAGAACAGCAAGGGAGACGGCACATGTCTGTGGAATCGGCGTCTTGCTCGGCTTCTACTGTATCATTCGAAGCTTGCCATGGACTTCTAGCCAAAAGCAATGTTTCCTGCGTCCATGCCTGCTGCCACTGACGTATTGGCAGCCAAGCAACTGATGCCACTAGTAGTCGGCGATACAGCTAGGCAAGATGCTGGCTAGCGTGTCAATGCAGCGAGCGGCTATCCAGCACTTCCCATGGGCCCAAAGCACGCACGGTGAAGCGGCGAGCGAAGTGCGGCGAGCGTAGGGCGGACTACGCAGCGGTGGTGGCACAGCGGCTAGTAGTACTACCAGTAGTGCCTTTACCAGTAGGACACCTGGACGAGCCAGCGGGGTGGACAGGGCTGGAGAGAATATCTCCGAGGCCGTGAAGGATTGATGCTTTTGCTGACCAGGCCGTAGCGGGAGCTGTCAAACGGTGACTGTGCTGATCAAAATAATGGACAAGCAAGAGTTGGACAAGCAGAGAGAAGGCATCGCGAGCAGAAGCTGATGGAACATGAAGTCAAATCAAAATAGAACGGAAACGGGAAAGGCGCTGCCGTAGGCAACTAGCGAGCTGGAGTTAGCGACTCGCTAGTAGGCCTGCTAGGCTTGGTCTACCTGGCAAGAGCACGCGAAGGTTCCCGACGACGGAGACGGAGATCTGCCGAGCTAATAGAGGGGCAGGCTAGCAGCTTTGGTCAAGTTTTGGTCAAGTTTTGGTCGTCTTGGTACTAGCGGGAACGAGAGAAAGAGAGATGCGGGTGGCGCTTGGAGGCATGCATGTAGTACTAGTACTAAGTTACTTACAGTACTAAAACAGCTGTGGCTTATTGGACGTGCAGTCAACATCCGCAGAGACGTTTGGTGGTAGCACGAAAAAACGGCGGAACAAGGGATAAACGATACGAAGAGAAGTGGAAAAAGGGTAGGTACCAAGTTCGTATCTTGACCAATAATTGCCTACCAGCGAAGAGAAGCACGAGAAGGGGGAAAAACGCCTTCAGAGTCCAGGTCTAGACCACAAGCCATCCTCTGCCTAATATATGCGCGACAGCTCGGTCAGGGAGCGAGCGTGGGGTTCTAGTAGTTGCCTTCCATGGTACTGGTAGTGTTTAGTACATTTGCCCAGCTATCTGTTGTAGGTTGCTAGAAGGGCCTCTTGGATGATTAACAAACAAGGCATTGATTTTATTTGTCAGAGATGCCCAAAGCGCACGCCAGCTGAGGGCTTTGGCTTCTTCAGATATATCGAATGTTCTGGTCCTTCTTTGGAAACATCTCGGTGGTCCCTAGTATCTGGTACCATCGACCTGGGATGAAGTCAGCACTCTATGTTTGCAGGGGTGAGGCAAGGTTCGTATCCAATACCAATCACCTACACTTACCCACCTGCCATGATGGATACATGAAATCAGAAGCACGCTCCGTTCAGACGTGCCGGCTATTGTTGCTCTTCATCTTTACAAAAAGCATCGATACATGCCTCCCCAGGACAGGGTATCGAGTCGCGACGCTCAGGCATCATCCCGGGAGCTAGGTGCATGTATATTCTCCCACCTCCAATGGCATCGACTGACGCTCAAAGCTCGGTGCAGGACCAACTAGGGCCGCAGTCTGGTTAGCATGAAGCTATTGGGGGGGTTGTAAGCAATTAATGGAATCTAGCGCCAAGGCGATGAAATGGGTCGAGATTTTGCTGGAGATGGAGGCAAGAGATTGGACGAGGGAGCGGGCATGCCGAGCGCTGGGCTGAGAAACCCCAGTATGGCTGCAGCTCTCCAGCGAACCAGGGACCAGTTGAAGGCAGATGGCACTAGACCGCGCCTCATGCTGGCAGATGTACCAGTCGATTCGTACGGACGGTATACGCCAAAGTTGATGAGCGAGGATTGGCTCACCCTCGGTTCTGGCCGCAGCACCAGTACAGGCAGCAGCACCATCACCATCGGCCTCCTAATGCAGCTGGTAGCATCAACATTGATAGCAGTCTTGGGTGGTTCGGGTAGAGCCTGCACCGTCTCCGCCGTCATCCAACCTCCAGTCATCATCACTATCATCGCCGCCTTCGTCATCAACGCCGTCATCTGCAATGCAGCATCGCGCACAACTTGCATCAAAACTGCTTCTCCTGCTGCCGCTGCGGAGGCCGTGAAAGGCGGCGCGCCACTGACGGCCACACCTGGGCACAATTGCGGCACACAGCACCTCTGTACATCATTCCTAATGCTACCTACATCTCGCAGCAGCTCTGCTCGCTCCGCCATTTCGCCAGCTCTTTTGCCCTTTCCTCTCCCAGTAAGGGCGGAGCGTTGGGCCTGTGTGTCGTACAGCACCTTGCATCTCGAACTAGTAAGCAATCTTTGGGGATCGTCTGCTATCTCTCGTTGCTCTGTTTTCCACAGATGACGAGTACGTACATGGAGCGTTTCACAAAAGCTCAGCTCCCCCAGGGGGGCTGGACATTTAGTTTTCGGATGGAGCTTCAGTCTTTTTCTTACCCACCCTCTCAGGCGCAGGCCCGCTCGTTCCTGAGCAGACGGCCAGCGCATGAAACCATCGCGATGCCGCCGAACGGGAGCTCTCTCGTTGTCCAGGCCAGGACGTGAGACGGCCATCTCAGCGGATCTCGTACGATATCGCCCTATTCTGCTTGCTCGCAGAAAGCCCCCACACGAGGCAGTGGACGCCACTAGAGTAGAGACTTGACCAAAAGGTTTTAGCTGTTTCGATGCAAGGTCATTGGGCTGAAGCGATCATGTCTCCCCGTCCCGGTCTCTTTGCACAGAGTGGAGCGAGGATTTAGCGCTGTCTCAGTGCTGCGTTCGATTCAAGCTAGCCCCGACGCTCATCCGGCTAGAATTAGCAGCTGGAGTTGCCAGTAATAGGAACGGCCTGCCTGGGCAAGGCGATCAGCGCTCCATGTCCCTTACGACACTGCGCTACCACTACAAAGCATTTTTAGAGTGCTGCGATAGGGGATGATGCTGCCTGCAGCAAGCACCTGCAGTGGACCTACGCCTGCACACGCCTCCTGTAGCTCCTGTAGCTCCTGTAGGGGGCATGCCGCGCATCGCATCTGCTCGCCTGCCCGGCATCTCTGCTCTCCCATCATCACCATCGACTCGGCCGACGTCCACTTTTTTCTTGGGCAACAAGAACAGGCTGCTGCAGTATAGCAGCGGTTCGGGGCTAGTCTCCCGCCGCCGCGAGCAATTGGCACCCGCACTAGATTCTGGCTCGTCAGACTCTTGTTGAGTAGCGCGGCCAGTACCCCAAGTTTTGGCGCCCGCGATTTGCGCACGAACCGCCTTCAGGCTTCAGCCCATTACCCACGAATCCGACGGCCCTGGTGCGTGGTGCAGATTGGCAGATGCCCCCTTGGCTGGCTGGCTGGCGTCTTCTTGTCCAGATTGGCCTTGACATCCAGCTTCTGGCCGGCCACCTTTCGGCCACCTCGCGCTGCATGCCCCGGGACGAAAAGACGGGCGTTGAGACGCAGCGAACCCTTGCGAGGCTGAACATCCAACTTAACTCGTGTATCACAGCATGTTGGCGATGGCGGGGGGGCTGCCTCGCCGTCGACGTGCCCTTCAGCGCAGTTGTTTGGGGGGCTTCCGGCCACGACATGGTTCACATAATCTTCAGTGGGAAATGAGACGGCTCCGAGCCAGCCTCTACCAACCGCCAACTGCCAACTGCTATTCTTCACCACAAAGGGTACCTGTACCTACCCAGGTGGGCAACCTGTCGCGACCAACAACATTCAGCAGCCAAGCCAAGAGCACAGCGCACAGCATCGATGCCGCTGGAGATGGCAGCATTGCAGCCTCCGGCAGATGGGGGCTGCTGGCCATGCTACGCTCCGTCCATGACAGCATAAACTCGGCCTGGATGTCACGATGGGTACGCTGGCCACATCTAGAGCGCGAAGCTGCCAGTATGTCGTCTGGATAGTTTTTCTTCTTCGTCCCGGCCAGAGCCCCCATGCTACAGTGCTCTATTCCCATGCGCGACGCTTCGCCCCAAGGCTGAGTCTAGGTAGGGGGGGTGCATGTATGATGAATCTGGAAAGCCGACGACATTGGACCCCCCATCTCAGCGGCACCCTAGACTAGGCCAAGCCAGGGTAGCAAATCCTACAACTTGATGTTCGCTGCACACCCTCCGACCGGGGATGTTTTTACCAGGGTAGGTATCTCAGCAGTGCATCTACAGTGCAGTCTCTAACCCACGCTGCCAGGCGAATAGGAACCTCTTGAGGCTCTGTCTCTACTCTCGACCAGCGGCGTACACTTTATCTACCAGCTGGATGGATCTACTATCAAGCCCCGATCCATATAACAGGCCTCAAGCTCCCATCCTTTCGGGCCTTGGATCATCTCTCCATTGGCAATACAGCTGACTTCCTCCTTCATCAACCTCATATATTGAACACGCTACCCTCTTCATCTTCTTCTACCTTTTATCCTCTCTGGTGCTATTCGGGCTCCCATTCACAGACCAAGCCCTGTGTTACCTCTTTCATACGTTATATATCCTCACACGATAAAAGAAGCAATAGCCTCCACCTTGAGCTGTTCTTGTATGGCATCCTTTGCCTCACTCTTCACTACTCATACCCTTGCCCCTTGAGCAAAGAACAAATCTAGCTCAACATCCTCATACTAGCCATTGCTGCCCCGAAAGTGCACTTCTTGGCTTTCTGATCCCCATTCAACCATTCGGAAAAGGGCAGACGCTCAAATTACGACCACCACCAATACTTCTTCTTTCTCTTCTTCAATGTCTTCTTTCTCCGCAGCCGGCGCAAGAAGCGGTGGACGGGTTCCCTATGGCTATGGTCAAGTGCCCAGTGGATACCCAGCAACATCCATTTCACCATACAGTCCACACATCCGAGAGGATACTACTAGTATCTATCCAATTGACCCAAATTTGCTCGACTCCAACTCCCCAGACGCTAGCTCGCAATGCTGGCAGCCAATCTCAATGTTGCCATCATGCTTTCAGCAGTCTCCAATCGACATTTGCCTCGACCCTAAGCTGACTCGCGAAACTTGCAACGACAGCATTTATCAAGCTGATTGTGCACGAAATGGGTCGCCGTCTTCTTTCCAGGGCTCGCCAGTGTTTAGCTTGGCGAAGAGCCCGTCCATTGGCAGCGATGGTAGCTACGACGTGCCTCCCACGCCACCAGATGCACAAGGCAATGTCATCACTCTGGGAACTCCCTATGACTCGGATTATTACGAATCCAGCTCCAAGCAGCCAGAGGTTAGCTACTATCCAGGCTCGCAGGACGAAGACGTTCACGAGCATGTTGCAAACCCAGCATACTACAATGTGGAAAGCCATGAGTTCAACGGGCAATACATGTTTGGTACTGCTCCCCGCTGTAACTCTCTGGGTCATATCAGTGCCCATGGCGCACACATTGATGCTGCCAATGCCAGCGCTCGTCACTATTCTCCCTGCACTATTCTTTCTTATGCCGACTCAGCTCGCCATATCAAAGAAGAGAGCATGCCGCCAAACACTGAAAGGTGGGCGTCGGCTTCCAGGGTGGTGAAGAGACGCAGCCGCACCTCGCAGTATCGCCACGATCCCATCTCTTCTGGCATCCAAGCCTCTGCTGGTCACGAGGTATCGTCACAGGGCGATAGGAAGCGCAAGGTTTACAGTGCAAACAAAAAATTCTGCCACAAGTGCAAGAAGCATTTCGACAGCCGGGCATTGCTTGAAGAGCATACGGGCAAGGTCCACCCCCGGCCTTACATCTGCGTCTTCCACTATGCGGGCTGCACCGCCAGGTTTGATGCCAAGAACGAATGGAAGCGCCACGTTAGCACGAAGCACTTGGGTTTGAAATACTGGGTGTGCATGGAAGGCAAATGTGCCGATGAGCGACAATCGTCGTTCCAGCAACGTGCAGGCCTTGTGCCCAACGGCAACATCTTCAACCGCAAGGACCTGTACACCCAGCACATTCGGCGCATGCACTCCAACATTGCCGGCCAGAGCACAACCGACTACAAGGGTGCAGATGCCAGATCCGACTTCATGGTCAAGAGAATGCAAGAGGATGCCCTGCGCATCCGATGCCGGCTCCCAACCTGGATGCCTTGCCCCGTGAAATCGTGCGACAAGCAGTTCAAAGGCAGCAATGCTTGGGACGAGCGCATGGAGCATGTGGCTCAGCAGCACTTTGAAAACGCGGCTACAGGCAAGGAGCCACCGGTGGAGTTTGGAGGAGTTCACGACTATGTTTTGACCGAATGGGCGCAGCGATCCGAAATCCGCATCGTCAAACAAACAGACATGGGATGGGAGCTCTGCGACCCCCTGAAGGGTGACACAGAATATAGGATGGTCACAGCCACCCCCGAAGGCGAACTGTAGGCTTTACATCTAGCGGTGTTGTATTCTTCTCATCAATACGTTTTTTTTTTTTTTTTTTTTTGGATTTTAGCTATTTACTAGTGCATATGGGAGGCATTGGCATGAACTTGATGGTAAGGTCTCAGGGCACTGGCTTTATCTAGCATATGATTTTCTTATTTCTTACGGCTGTACTTTTTTTTACTGTTATTGTTTGTTTGCTATTGTTGTTTTCACAAATACATGTCCAGTTATGATACCACGATTCTTCAAAAGAGATCAAAATTTCATTTGTAATGGGTAGACAGGGTGGCCAGGGGTGGAGCAGATAAAAAATGAAGTCCGATTTCTTTCCTCAATTTACGCGCAATCACAAAATCTTGTTTTATTCGTAAGACTGACTGATGCCGTGCAACAACTACGTTTTATGCCATCCTCTCAATCTTGGCCCAAGTCCCAGCTATGAGAATTCTCCAAGCCACAGTCCTCGTTTGACGGTTGACCCAGAAAGTCGGGTTTCCTAGGATTATTGTCCCCCAAACTACGAAACACCCCCTTCATCATCCATCGTCTGATATTTTTTTTATTTTCTTATTTTTATTTGGCTTTGCGATCTCAATCCTAAAACAAATCTTCTCCACAAGGGGAAAACGGTCAATGGGGGTTTCAGCCTCTCCAAACTCAACCCGCACTTTCGGGCTCGGCAGACAAAAGAGCCTCAAACATGCAAAGCCAGCAAAAAAACACCCACCACCCACCCACCATGATCCCGTGGGGGCTGTTTTTTTGTTTTGTCTGCCGTGCAGAAAAAAGGCAACAAAGGCAAGGCGAGGCGCGGGTGTGTTTTGACATCTCGGTGCCGGACCGCCTTTCAGCCGGGGAAGGGAGGAGTGATTGCCAGCCAATCGATTTTTGTAGATGATGGTATATTGAAGCAACATGCAGAGCCGTGCGGTTACTTGACTGGGCAGTTGGGAATTTAAGCCTTATCGCGATTCCTCGCGTAGCATTTGATGGGGGCGTGTTTGGAAATTAAAGAAAAAAGAAATAATACAAAATCGGCAGGGGAAGGGTGAGGTTAATCTATCCATCTGCCTTGTCAGCCCTAGAAGGAAGAATTTCTTGGGCTTTTGTGTTGTTTTAGGGGAGGGGAGTTTGTATAATTGCATGTGAAGTTTGTTTACTTGGCATACCCCTTTATTTATTTTTTTTTCGTCTTGGGAAGGGGGGGGGGGGTGTGTGCATGTATATGTATATGTTATATGCGTGTTGGGAGAAAGGAGTGACATTGGCGTAAATGGTGAAGATTTGCTTTCCTTTTTGTTAATTTACTACATGTTTTTCCTTCTTTCATGCTGCGATGGCGGTTTGGTATACGTTGTATGCGGCGTGATGTGTGTGAGGAGCAATGTATGTATGTGTTGGGCACTGGGAATAAGACGATGAGCAATTTTTTTTTCCCCCTTTGCCCCGAGAACATACAATACAAAAGTACAATCAATTGCCTATACTTGCAAAGGCACCTACATGTGAATTTTCTGCATGAGCCGCACAGCAATTCACCGCTATCCAGCAGGGTGGCCGCATCCTAGCAGAAAGAGTACTAGTACGGCGATGAGGCTCAACTCGGTCGAATCAGATACACGCTTCCAAGCTCGCATCACCTTTTTTTTCCCCCTTCATGCAACAACTAAAGGCGCATGCATGGTGCGTGACTCGCGGACAGAGAAAGCTTGTACTATAGGCAGGGGAAAAGAGCAGAGCCTCAAGAAGACTGGACGCAGAGCCGCATTTGAGGCTCTTTTTTTTTTTTTTTTTTTTTTTTTTTTTTTTGCTTCACCGACGTTTTTTTTCATGCTTGTTGTTCTCTCCATCTACGTCTTTTCTAACTATTTTCTTGTTTCGCACATAGTCGCTTGACGCGCACGCATTGGAGTCCTACGCACACGCCCCCCTCCTAGACAACTTCGTAATAAGTTGCTTCTCTCGGGACAATATCGAAAGTACTACAGTATAACTTTGCGGCATCAAGGTTAGAGAGCAATGCACAAGGCAGTGCACACCAGGCAGACATAGGCAGCAAGCTCAGGTGTTTATTCTACTTTCTCTTGCTGTTTTCCATCAAACTAATCAGTTCCCTTCGGATGTATTCCCAAATATTGACGAAAAAGGCAATGTAATGAATGTCCTTGTACGCTCACCGAACCAAAAATAGTAATTTCCTACCCAAGAATTCCTAGGCACCTTTTTTTTTTTTCCTTATAGATTAGTCAAATTCAATTACCGAAATATCTCACAGGCAGTACAAACTCTCTCGGGGAAAAAAAAAAAGGGGGACTGCATGCTTCCTCTCCTCTGCTTCTCATAGCCCTCTTATTTCACTCTCTTCAATAAGCAGCATATCAAGAAATAATTTAAGCAAAGATACATACAGCCCGCAGCAAAAAAAAAACGAAAGCGAAGCTAAAATCCTCTTTCCCCCGCCACAAACACACGTTACACAAATCACAGGTAACACAACATCAAAAGACGCCGTGAGGGGGAACAGCCACCACAGCAAGCATGGCTCAAAAATAGGACTCATCAAATAAGACACGCAAGAAAAAGCTATTTAGACCAACATCTCTTTCGGGAAATACAACAACAACTCACACGAGAATAAAGCGAGTGGCTCAGAAAAAAATAGAAAAATATCAGCACACTTATATGCATGTCCAAGACATAATCACGCGTGGCATTTTCTCTCCCCTTCTTGTCCTATCCTACCGCTACTACTAATAATACGTATGCACTATTTCGGGCTTGATTCGACTTTTTTATTGGGCCGAGTACTTCATCCTCGTATCCACGCTGCAAAAGTTCCATGTCTCATTGCCAAAGACAAAATCCTGCCCGGCTTCATCTCCCATCCCTGCCGCCCAAAGTCTCACCGGTTGGGGCTAGACGTCTTCCCACTTATTCCTAGCATCTACTCGCACAAATCTCAGATTGCGTCTCCGTGAAATCACACAGTTTGCAGTAACAAAAGAAGCAGGATACAAGAACGTGAAAATACATTGCAGCCTAACTAATTCTCAATGACCCTAAAAAGCCATACCGTAACACAAAACATCCGCCCAGTTACTCTCTCCTTGTTAAAATACATAGCAGCTAGCAATATTTGTACAAGTGGTAGGTACATGTACCTCGTGCTCCAGCTCCATTACCCCCTCCTAAGCATGCCAATCTTTCTCAATCCTGTCTCCAACCAACCACAGCTAAACTGCGTGGCTTTGGAGAAGGAAAAGAAAAGAGAGAAGAAGAAGAATGTAATCAAGTAGCAAGTTGATATCGCTGCCATCATCCCATGGTGTACAGAAATCGTCGAATCCTCATTTCACATGTGTGGCACCGCTGTCCACAGACAGGCAACACAAATGTCGTTGAGCCACCCCTTCCAAAACATGGTTATCCACTATGCGGTTGAGTCCGAACATCTGCATAAATGTTACAGAGCACACGCACCAAAACAGACAAAAATAAAGTGTTGAAATAATACATCTCTTCGAAGAAACAAGTAAAAAAAGCAACGTGAAACGTATGCCGTCCCTCACATCTCCGCCACGGATGCTGCGTCCAGTCGCACGATGAGCACCAGCCGAGCTGCGTCCAACCGCAGCATCTTCAATGAATGATGCCATCCTTTGCAGCATCTTTCAAGCCTCAGGACAGTTCAGGGATCTAGTTCCTATGGCCCACAGCACCTCTTCCCGATGCCCTGTTGTCTGTGCTTCGCTGAGCTCGTCGCTGCTGTCTCATGCGGCATTCATGGGCATAGCCTGGCTGGTTTGCCTTGCGCCACTCGATCCATTCCTCGTATGCCTGTTGATCGCTCGGATCCGGACGGCGAGGCTTCGGTACTGGTTGTGGCTGTGATTGCGGTGGATGAGAAGCAGCACCCCCAATGAGCGGTAGTTGGCCGGACGGCATGCTCAAGTAGGGATTGGCAGAGCTGTTTGTGATGGGAAAGGAGGGGTTGATGAGCTGAGGCGCTGTATAGCCCAGCATATTGCCTGGCAATGGTTGCAAAACAGGCTGGGTTTGAAGCATTGCCGGATTGACCAAAGACAGCGGCTGCAATGCAATAGCTGGCGCCTGGAGCGAGCCGCCGAAGTGATCTGCAGGCACCGGAATCAGTCTTGTTGCCATCGGGTTATTGAGTGTCAGAGGATCGGTAGCTCCATTCGCAGTGGCAAATGGCATAGTTCCATAAGGAGGCGGCGGCGGCGGATGAACAGAGGCAATGTCCGCGAGGCAAGTCAATTCTGCGAGGGACGTGACATTTGTCCGGCCATCTTTACCAGCGAAAGGAGTCGCAAATGGTCGAAACGGTTCCAAATCTTCCTCTTCAAATCTAGAATCAGAACTGGCATCCCTGCGAATGGTGAATGAAAGAAATTCTCTCGCTTTGGGATTGAAATTCTGGAATTTGATTGGCTCGTTAGGAAAGGCGCCCGAGGCAACCGAGCCGCTGCTCCCCTCTTTCTGGCTGTGATTCTCAAATTTTCGAGCATGGCCGTTGTTGGAATGCTCAGAGGTAGTCTTCTTGTGTGGATTAGCCCCTTGTGCCCGGCGACTTTGTGAAGATGTCTCGATGGGATTCTCTCTTGGGGATCCCTTGAAGCTATCCTCATAGCCGCTATCCGTCCTGTGCCGCTTCTGCGTCTTTATACCTTGAGATACATTGCTATTTTGCCTCAGCTTCTTCAAAAATCGCTGGAAGGCTTCGTCCCGGTCTTTGTCATTTGCTGGAGGATCCGACTTGGCTGGTTGACGCTCATTGGTGTGGACATGAGCCGTGGGACTTTGCAGGGCATATATTCCGTGCGTCTCAGAAAAGCCCTTTCGTGATCGTGGCTCATTTGAAGTTGCATATGGCCCATGAGCTTGGTATACCTGCGCTCGAACTTTGCGAGGCGTTGTGTCGGCGGCTCTAAGCGCTGCTGTGAGCTGCTCATCTTGGCTGTTGTGAGAAACTCCTTGTCTTTTCTGTTCCAAGTTTCCTCTCAGAGGTCGAATGTCCACAATGGATTTGGTTGAGTAACCGGAGATGCTGCCCAGCGGGGCAACTTCGAATAGCTGCAAGGGATAGTCTCTAGCAGACGAGAGAGGCAGTTGCTTCAGAACTTGATACTGAATGGGCCTTTCCTCTTCCAGCGCTTTGAGTATCTTGGGTTCCATTCCAGAAGATATTGCGAAAATATCCTTCTGGCTATATCTCAAGGTGCTGCTTGCCGCGGCACCCTCTTGAGATGAGCTGATAGTCTGTTGTACCCCTTGCACGGCAGATGGCGGAGAGGCATCCATGCCAACTCGTTGCTTCCCGGCACCGGCCGCTTCTGCAACATCATGTTCGCCATCGTCCACTGCCGATGAGCTGTTATCGGAGGGGCGGGTTCGCCAGTCCGGGTTCCTCAGTGCGTGCAGGTCATTGAACTTCTTCAGCTGCTGGTAGGCATAAGGGGCTCCTGAAGGCTTGGTCCTGGCTTCACTCCTCGGTGCTGCATTCTCATAGTTGACAGGAGGGTGATATGCCCGTTTATAACGGCTGGCAGCGGCTTGGATAGGCATTTTGAAACCTGGACGCAAGATGAGCCCATGTTCCATCACACATGTCAGGGGCAGCATGTTTCCACTTACCAGTTATTTCAGTTGGGTAGAGTAGGGACGATTCTGTCGAAGCCGGTAAATATTTAATCTGATTCTAGTAATCGCTTTGACCGCTGACGAGAGAGCGCTTTTTGTCGTCGAGTCTCAAGGTTCAAACCCGCTGAAATCTCTACCCACACAACCGCACTCTTCAGATACAGCAACTTGAAGATGGAACTGACGCACAAGAATTCGCTGCAAAAGAGAAAGAGAGGGGCAAACGCTGCCTCAAGATTCCTTGCCGAAGCAAGAGTTGAAATTGAACAAGGCAGGAGAGAGCCAGAAGTTTGAAGTTGAAGAGCGGATATCCAGCTGCTGCAGCGGCTTCCAGCTGGCGGGCAGCTGATGGATATCTGGGGCCAGAGAAATCTCGCGATGAAGCTGATGGCTCGTAATGAAACTCGCGCTTGAGTGCCCAGAGGCTGATTGATGATAGACTGTATCTGATCTGTTGACTGGAATACGAAACAGTCCCAAAAAGAAGGTGGATGGGGAGCGAGAGAGATCGCGAGAGAGCTGAGCGCACGATAGCTTTTCTCATAAAGCTGAGTGTTGCGCAAAACAACGACTGGGCTTGACATTCGCGCCATGTAAACGGTGGCTGGCTCTTTGCTATGGTAACTGAAGTCGTAATGTGCTCGATGACGCCTGCCTTTACGTTCAGGCGTTGCAAGAGTTTCACGAGATAAATACCTAACGCACATGTATTTACCTTTTCAGCGTATAACTCTAATTTGAGTGCAAGTACATCGGCTGAGGCTTCCGCTGGCGATGTATACATTTATGGCGATTTGTCTAGCTTGATAAGAAGCTTCTTATGGCTTTAACCAAGTACCATCAATTCAATTACCGGATACGCCACGGCTAAGGCAATCAAAACTCCAAGGAAAGGCAAAAATGGTTCAAAGTTGATAGTACAGAATTGAGAGACCGCTTTCATCACATAATAAATCAGGAACCCACAACAAATCAGGAACCATGTCTGCTTCCTAAACTTGATGCCTAAAGGGTGCCAGAATCCTCGAGCATCATCCTAAATATCTTGAGGAGCGATGCCACCAATGTAAGCAGCAAACTCTTGTGGGTTTCTAGTCTGCATGAAGACGGTGCCGGGGCCCGTAAACTTGCAAACAAGCCCTTCTCCGGAAGACAAGCCGGAGATGAGGCCGCCTGAAGCGACGCGTTCCAAGACATAACTTGTGTTCCACGCCACTAGGTGGCCGTTGTCTACGATATACTTTTCGCCTTGCGCAAGCTATATGAATCGCGAGGTCAACATGCTGAACCCAGCAAAGGGGATACTGTACTTGTAAACTCACATCTTTTCTGATGATGGCACCAAAACTTGAAACCCAAAGCAGGCCGGTTCCCGTTATCTTGTAAACAAAGAGACCCTCTCCACTAAAAATGGCTTTGCCCAAGCCTTGGCGCTTGTAGTCTTTGTTGATGCCCTGGGTATAAGCCAGATAGGCATCTTTCCCTACCGACCATGTCTCATTCCCGCTCAGTCTGATGCTTGTAACGTCTCCCAGAGATGAGGGCGCGAGGATCAGTTCTCCAGGCCCCGTAAATGTAGAGCTGGAGAGTTCTCCGCCGGCAATGATCTTCTTGACGCTGAATTTGATGTGTCCCTTGAGGGTGATTGAAGGAGACATGGCAACCATGGCACCTGTTTGGAGTTAGATTCGGGCCAATCGAGATACAGCGACTGTGCAGGACGCTCTCCCAACCTACCTGGCTTAGCATGTATGGGGGCACCATTGGCGAGCTGGATAGTAAGAATAGTATTGGAGTCTCGGTGACTGATGCGATAGCTTCCCCCGTTGAAGGTTCCAACGTCATCGGTCGTCGATACGGCTCCAACAAACTGTGCCGGTTGTGGCTGCTGCTGATGTTGCGGCTGTTGCTGCTGTTGCGGCGGTGGTTGTTGGTACTGCTGCTGGACCGGCGTGTGCTGCTGCGGCGGCGGAGCATAGCCGGGGGTTCCCTGAGGAGGATGGGGAGGCGGCGCAAACTGTTGCTGCTGCGGCGGAGACGCATATTGCTGCTGTGGAGGAGGGGAGGCGTACTGCTGCTGTTGCTGAGGAGGAGGCGCATATTGCTGTTGCTGTTGGGGTGGTGAGTGCACTGTTCGCCTTGTATGTTAGAATGTTATCGGCTTGCGTCTTTCGCAGTGGCGTCGCAGACGAACCTTGCCCTGGAGGCCCGCTGGGAGGAGCTGCGATGATGCCGCGAGTCAGTATTCGGAGCTGGAGATGGCGGGGTGAAGCTGGTGAGGCTGGTGATGATGCCTGGAGACATACGCGGATAGTACTGCGGCTGCTGGCCAGACATTGTGAATAGAAGAGTCGCTTTGAGAAATTGCTGCTATCGGCGGGGAGCTGTGCAACGAGGAAGAGGAAGAGGAAGAGGAAGAGTAAAAGGAAGAGGAAGAAGAACAAAGAGTCGCGTCGCGGAATTGGAAGTGGTCTGAGGCTGAGCTTAGCTGCTGTAGCTGGCAAGTGCCCCGCTTTGAGCTGTCGTGCAAAAGGATCAATGAGCTCGCCAAACCAAGAGCAACCAGGCCGAGGATTGGACGTTGTGCTTCGGCGATGCGCAGAGGCGATGGATGAGGATGGCGACTGTGACACGGAGAGAAGAAAATGGTACCGGACCTGTGGTCTTATATTCAACGTGCATGAGTGCTGAAGAAAGAGGCCACCCACACCAAGTGCCATCCATGCAGTGAGTGCGCCAAGCTCGACCCCGCTCCCCCAAATAGCAGCCGTAGCGGTTTGGAATCGCGCTCCAGCGGCCCTGCTCGGCCTCGTCTATTGGCCGACGGCGCATATAAGCGTTTGCCGTCAGCGCTTAGTTACAAACAGGTAAAAAGGGCAACATGAGGCTAGGAAAGCGATCCATGGATCGGCATATGTAAGATATAAGACCAGTACATAGGTATATATACATATGTGTACTCCACAGTTGCTGCAGCAGAATGAAAGATCCATGTACTACAGGTACCTGCATCAATGTTCTACTCCAAAAATAAAATCGTCAATGCTGCCAAGTACCAGTACTCGCTACTGGTGCTGAAAGGTACATGTATTATACTGCCCTTATGCGGTGCTACTAATTGGCGCAAATAGGGCATTTTCGACTCGAGGTAGGTAGGTAGTTACATAAAGTCGAAAGACAACAAGTACAAGTATGTTATTTAAAGCAATAGCCTCACGCTAGTTGGGGTGTATCCTTGTTTCTTTCGAAAAGAAACAGTATAGACGAGAAAGGCGAGCTCTTAATCCACTATAGTCCTAGGGCTATCAAGGCTATTTCGATGGATACATGTACATGCACACGGCTACATGAGCACTCTGGCTAGCACTTGGCAATAGGCTCTTTTGCCGGCTTTATGTACTAGGACTGCATTAGGAACGTACAAAGTAAATCTGGCAAGGAAGATCGGAAAGAGTTGGACTGCCCCGATAGTCTAGAGTGATTTTGTAAAGGAGAATCCATCTATTCAGTTCAATATCTCAAAGAGAGGAAGTGGGTTCTCCTTTGGCCAAGTAGTCATCAGCGTTGTTGCGGTGTATGTGAGCTAAACAACAAATCATTTAGATCCATGTTCCTTGTTTCTCCGAAAATCGGTATCCGCTTGAGGGCTTGTAAGGCTTACAGGACCCAGCGGAAATGGAGCTCTATTTCCATTAACGGAGTTATTCTTCGAATTGCCCAGAATTCCACATACTCGATGGGTAGTCTGACAATGGCTCCACGAGCCTCTCCCTGCTAGCGTGTATTCGCGAGCAAAATGTCTAGACTTGTATAGTACATAGTTCTTACCGACAAAGGGGTAACTTTTCAATTATGCATGTCTTATAATTCGAGCCGTCTCTCCAGCTGAACCTTGCCGAGAACCGATTCTGTGAGACATAAAGTATGGCTACATGTACTTACCTCTTTGTGGGTACAGATCAAGTGTACCTCGTACATGTAGTTGTTTTTAACTTCATGCTTTCCACTTAGCCTCTTCGCACTAAGGAGGATAAGCGTGAACCATTAGCAAACACTTGGTGCGAGTACATGTAGTCCAAGGTACATGTAGGTTTCCCAAGGTGCGGCAAAGCTCAAGCTTCAAGTTGGTTTCCTGCGCTCATAACGCATGTATTGATTCAAGTATAAACGCCGCATAGTGCGCAGACTACGGGGCTTGTTTTCTCCAAAACAATCCAGCCCGACTATAGCGACTGTTGGATATGGTAAGGAACTTTGAAATAAATTGAGCCATCGGGTATGTATGTACTAGTACTGATCCGAAACGGAAAACGGATACATATAAAGACTCCTATTTGACGATTCGTATGCAATATTACTTTCATAGCATTTTCGAGCCAAATATACTAATCGATAGCTCTCTTCACGGTCTTAACCTGCGAACAGCAGTTACAAATAATATATAGAACTAAAAAGCTCGAGTTTTTCTACCCAAGGTCCAAACTCGCACTTGGATTTAAAATTTTCGGACCTCATGAAATATCACTTTTTTAGGTTGTCATCATTCTTCTCCCAAGCGCTGGAGCCGTACTGGGCGCATTCAGTGTACAAGTATTTCGTTTATCCCATTCTCAGGCAATTTGGCAAGTTATTGAGTTTGTTGTGGATTCCTTGGTGGCTTTTCTGGCTTGATCATGCCTCGACTTTTAGACCACCAACGCGCAATCACCTCGACAACAAGGTCATCCCCAATAACCTTTTCCTTTCAAAAGGTCTATCGGTGTACACATTCTTCAAGCAGAACTTTACTGAAACGTCCCCACACACGTCATGTATTCTAGTGTCTTCCATTTTGTAGCTGTGGTGGCACTCAGTAAGCTTTGCACCTAATTCAATCTATACGATGGGGCAAAACAGCCTCCGCCATACTCTAAAATATTGGATGTAAACAAACAAACATCATTGTTTGTTTATATCGCTGCTCTCTTTTTCTTCTTCTAAATTTTACTTGGCCAATCTTTGTAGTCAACCAGAAATATCTCTATAATCTTCAACTCATTGAGCAGCCGACCAGTCTCTGTCAAAGTTACCAACTGATTCATTTACACCAAAAATTGGGCCTCACAGTACTCTTCGCTTTTTTCAATCTTTTTCCCATCTATACTTCATCAGCATTCCTTCTTCTTAGCGTTGGCAACATCTCACACCGTCATCATGCTTCTTCTACGCTGGCTTTTCCTCTTCTTGGTTCTGGCCTCGTCAGTGGCCGGATTACCAGTTCTCAGCAGCAAGGCAAAAGTGCCCGTCAATTCCCGACCGGTAGTCCTGCACACGGGAGATGAAGAATCATCCTCGTCCCCCAACTCTCGACCGATTATCGTGCACACGGGAGATGAGGACGACTCCCCATCTCCCAACTCTCGACCTGTGATCCTGCACGACGGATACAAAGCGCTACGGTTCGACTCCCTGCCAGCAACTGTACACAGCAATGGCAAAAGGTGGCTATTTTCCACGAACATGCAGAATGCGGATGAAACTTGGATGGTTCTCATCAATGCCACTCCCTACATGTGGAAGAGGAAATACATCCACCAGTACCAGATGCCTGACTGGTTATCTGCCTGCCCCGAATACATTCTTCCGGGCCAATCTGTTTCCGTTTGGATCAGGCCGGCAAAAGGGGCTTTCAACTGGAAAGACTCTGGCGCTGATGTCGAGTATCATCTTATGGGCACCTCGAAGCCAACGTCATTCATGGCCAGCTTCAGCAACGGCTACCCCAGCACTCTCAAAATCCAATTTCGGGAAGAACTGTTCTCTATAAACAATCTCAAAGACAGCAAGCACAATCTTGGAGTGAACAAATTTCCCGGTGGCTCGGCCTTTATTCTCGCCGGCACAGAAGGCGAGTTCATCAGTAATGATCCGCCCATCGACTGGATGCAATCCATGCTCCCGGAACTCGCCGACGTTGCCTTGCGAAAGATTCTCCTCCCAAGATCGCACCACTCCGGCATGTGGAAAACGTTTCGGGGCGTTGGCTTTGCAGCGCAAGCAAACACAGTGACTCAAAGCATCCATCTTCACCACCAGCTCGGAGATGGCGGTATCCGCGTTCTTGATTTTCGTCCCGTCAGAATCGGAGACGACTTTCACGAGTCACACGGCGACCACCTACTTGGCATGTACCATGGTCATTTGGGGGCATCTCTGAGCGAGATGATTAGGTTCGTCAACGAGTTTAATCGGAAATATCCTGGAGAGCTGATCATCTGGGATGTACACGGCGACCAGGCTTGGAACGGGGATCATGGTTTTCGCCCGCTGGATCAACAAGACCGAGAGGCTCTATATGCCCAGTTCTTGGATCTGGAGCATCGAATGAGCTTCCCCGATAACGACACGGATGTCTCTCAGTGGCCACTCGACCGCTTCATTGGCAACAGGTCCTCTGCCGTCATCGTCAACTTTGATGAGACTTGGCGCCAAATGGATGGCGATAAGTTTCCCGGCAGTCAACAAGGATTCGTGACGGGCAGGAATTTCCCTCTTACCCACCGGTGGAGCAACGCTGGACACGTCCACGACATGGTTCAAGATCAAGTCAACAAGTTCCACGAGGTGCGTTGGACGCCAGACAGCCCGGTGCACATTGCCGACTGGGTGATAACTCAGCAGGGCATACAGGCGGCGCTGCCTACACACAGCATCTTGGAACTGGCAGCTCCTGCGTGGCGATCGCTGTTTGAGGATCTGTGGCGGCAGTCGACGAGCGAAACGTATCCGAACTGGGTGGGAGTGGACAATGTGCGCGGCAACCAGCACAAGAGCCTTATCATGGCGATGAATCACTGTTTGGTGGCTAAGAAATGTGGTGAGATGCTTGGCAAGGTAAAAATGGGAGACGCGGAGAAGTAGATTGACTTGTTCGGGGGCATCTGGGAAGGTGAAGATGGATGATATCAGCGACCTTATGGATATACGAAGGAAATTTATAGTATGCCTGTGGGTTATAGGTCTTTGCTAGCGTAGAGGTCACTTGGCGTCTAGTAGAATTGTTTTTGTTCGAATATTGCATCCATGTGATTGAGGTTATATCACCGCTTTTCAACTCAATACATAGCCTCTTCAAACACAATGCAGCTCGCTAATACATCTAATATAAGCAGCTAATATAAAATTGATGGCAGCCTTAAAGTTGCATGAATTACGAGCAAACGGGCACACAAAATAGTAGATACGTAGATGCTACTATCACGCTCGCCATTTGTTCAGGGTAAGTCAAGTGCTTCATACGAGCTAAGTCTACAATTTCCCCCTGAATAATCATCAATAGATGACTCGCGTACGACTTAGCAGTGCATTAGACAGCAATACATGTAGGAGACGTTCATCCTTTCCTTGGAATCAGCTCGTAATCGAATACTACTGCTATTACCTTGTACCCCAGAAACGCGATTCATCCTCAGCGTTCCAAGGCAATCCTGGCCATGTCCTGCGAGGAAATCAAAATCTCGCCCGTACAGTAAGCGAGTTTCAAGCTGCCAATACGAACAAGAACCGCTAGGATCTCCTCGTGAGCTTAGCGATCTGCCAAGCCGGCAGCGAAGTATTACATGTTGGGTGGTATTGCCTGTAATGAAAGTGCAGAGTAAGATTGACAACGTCAGTGTAAGCACGGAGCTTGGGCTCTCTAGATTCAGCAAACACACACGTGAGCCACGTAGCTTTACGTTGTACGCGAGTGTGCGTCTGTTTCTGCCCACCATGGTGTAAGAAACTGGGGGGATTTAATAACATCTACAGTCTGGCATCCACTCGAACTGGGACAAGCTTTCATGTTGCTTTCAATATGCACATACTACAGTATCTTGGTACACGTATAGTGTAAGTAGTGGATGTCCCGAAATTCCCACCTGAATCCATATTATAAGGTGTTGGCTGATGCGTGCTTTGACAGAGGACTTGGGCGCGAGGACGCGCCGAGCCAGCAGCGCGGTGTCGTTGCCCTGCAGAGATGAATGAGAAGATGCATGAGATGAGGCGATGATCCCTCGCTTACTGCTAGTGCGATCTGGGCAGTGGTTGAAAGCTGAGACTATTCTTGACCAGATGGGAAGCCCGGACAAGACCGTCCGTCTATTTACATCCGTGCTTTGGCCATGTATAGTATTCGTGGCTGCCCATACAAACAATGCCACTAGGACTGCATCCATCTAATTACATGCACGCTCAGACGCCTCAGGGAGTGGGATTGAGATGAGAAAGCCACAAGCTCGGACGCTTCCGTGGGCCAAGTAGGGATGCACCGAGAGGGCTCTGCTGAAGGCGTCCGAGAAGGAATCCAGAGCTGAGGACATGGAGGCTTAGACCAGCACAGTATCCCAGGCCGAGATTCATACATGCCTACCGACTCACACACACCTTTGACTAGCAGTGACATTTCTCGTACGACCTTGACCTTGCATGTGCAAAGCGCGTGTACGTGTCCGTGTATACAAGCAGGATACGGAGCCGAAGCCCGCGCGCCCTACAGAACATGTCGGAGCCGAGTGCTACTGCGACTGGCCCCTAAAAGAGCAAATGCAAAAGCGTCTGCCTGGCAATGTGACCTTTGCCCGCTTTCGCAGCTGCTTCTAGAAACAGTTGTGCTTTTATCCGTTGGGTTACAATACAGACTCGGTAATGTAGGTATCCTGTCCGTGGATCACCTGCTGCAGGCAAAAAAAAAATGCATGCACCGACAAGGCCTGGCTGCATGGCTGCACGGCCACTTTTTCACAGGGAGGGAGGATCTTCCAAAAATGAAACAATGGCAAAAGAAGAAGAAGAAAAAAGAGAGCTGTATGTGCTGGGTAAATTAGCCACGTTTTCCGGGACATGGGAATGGGATAAATGAGAGGGATAAAGTATGCCACTTGCCGCATTGGGGCTGTTTCGGTATCCAATTTGTCTCGGAGAAATTCTCCTGCAACAGTGTTATCCGGGAGAGACTACCCGCTGGAAATCCTGCTACTGTACGTATAGCCCTTTTTTTTTTTTTACTGCATCCTTATGAGACAGATGATGGGCAGGAGGGAGCGTAGGGGAGGGTCGCTTTGGTTGCTCCATATGATTGTCATAGGCAGCCAATGTAAGTAGGCGGTGCCCAAAAGGCAACAGAAGAAGGGTCAAGTCATCGGTGTTACTATGTACTTGTGCTATGTGATGTCTGGTGATAGGGGCTTAGGATGGCTCTTTCGTCCTCGTTGAAACACTGGTCGAGGATCTTGAATGGCAGTCATATCCTTTCAAACAACCCGGAACATGTACGCTAGAGACGAGCCCCGTAGCATAGGTAACGTTGGCTACAGTACGAGCTCTACACGTGTACCTTGTTTCTTTTTGCTAGTCTACCAAGGGATATCAACTGCGGCATGGCAGCGGCGTGGTGGCCAGGGTCCAGGGTTACGGGAAGTGGTGCCGCTACTCTCAAGCTGCGTTCTGAACATCACAGGGCTGACTAACAGCTTTTCTTTTTCGACCAGGGAGGGGGCACCCTGGACATGCAAGGGAGAGAGACAGAGAGTCTTTTCCTCTTTTCGATCTGTTCCCCGGGCGGTGCCCACTTCATGAGGTGTGACAAGGGGCAGGGCGAGCATTGCCCGTTTAGTTAGTTCTGGTTTGTGGATTAAATACTCGCCGTGACACAGGCGGGACTGGCGGGAGGGATTGCCGCGGGATCTCTGTCTTTGGTATAGGGCCATCTCGAAACCCGGAGTTTCTGCTTTTGAATCTGGGAAAAAAAAAGAAACACCCCAATGACTCGGGAGAAGTTGTTGGTTGTTGGTTGAAGGGAAACCCAAGATACTGGTACCGAGTTGGCAGAAGTTGGATCTGATTCAAGACGGGTAGCGGGGAGGGGTTACATTTCCCCAGAGATGAGTTTTGATACAGATTGCGAGTATAGAGAGGTGTTTTGTAAAAAGAAGAGAGTAGAAGAGCGCCTGCATGTGTTTACTCCAGGTTAGTGGTTGATGGGTCAGAGTCTCATACTTCCGTGGATAATCGGAATTATATGGAATTCCGTGGATAATCGGACTTTTACCATGCTGCTGTGCCTCGCAAAATGGCCAGTGGAACTCCCATTCTGTTTATAAGTATACGTACTGTATTAACCAAAGCATCATATGCATCGAGAATATTATTGGATTACAGAGCACTTTGGAGGACAAACTCCGCTAGCCAGTTGTGCAAGGCAATACGGCGGAATTAGCATTGCCAAAGGTGCTCAAAGGCTTTGAAATCAACTGCTGCAAGCCTGCGGTATATCAGGACTTTTTCTAAATCCGCTGGAACTGGGTATAAGCCGGTTCCAGTGCTTCGGAGTATGACTGCTGAGCGAAGCATAGGGCCATGATGCTTCTTTTACATCAGCCCAGAGATCCCCCTGACAGCGGATAGACGGACCGCAGACGGGAAGCTCTTTGGCAGGGGAAAGATGCGTTCCGGCCAACAGGTAGGCATATTACTATCCTGTACAAAGATCGGGCTAGAATAATATGCTCGTACTACGGCATGCCCATGCACGAATTGCTCTAGACAGGTACGACTGCTGGCATCATGGAAACCCTGCAGCGAACGAGGCAGTTTGTGCACGTTTACCGTACGTCTTCCAGGGTCTATTATTAAAAAGGCCGGATTTGGAGCTGGATCAACCGAGCGGCCAACTTTAATTTTTTTTTGTTTCCAACAAATTGCCAAATTGGGAGCTTGGTCTTTTCTGAGCCGTGCGTTTTTTGGTAGTGGCAATGGCGATGAAATGTTTCGACTCATTATATACAATCACTTTTGCGAGCATTTCATATTAGCGAGATTTACAAAGGGACGGACACATGTGATTTAAGAGAAAAGGCGGAGAAGAATAATAAGAAATAATTGGGAAACTTGAAAGAAACGATTAAAATCTCCGCCGGCACTTTTTTTCTCTTTCCATGTGATGGGGCCCCCTTGGATCCATCCAAATGTCAGCACCAATGCCGGATCTCACACACACACACACTCTTTCTCGCAAAAAGTCAAAATGGGAAATTATCACATGTGCTAAAGAGGGAATGTGGATAGGGCCATCCGCAGCTCTCACTGGCGGGCAACAAATCTCAATGCAGGCAGTAGTCATCTGTGGCAACAGAGGCAGTTGTTTGGGTCGAACCGCTTTCCCGGGAGCGAAGAACGGGGTCGATGCGGAATCTTCCGTGTTTTTTTAATGTTACATGTGAGCGGTTCCAAGGTTTCTAGATGGAATTTGTAAGACGAGAACGATGATCCTTATGCACTTGATATAGGATGCTGCATTGAATTTGCCACTGTTAGGCCATGGCCGTTTTCATTGCTTTCAATGTTTGCTTCTTGTGTCTCTTTGTCTTTTAAATTAAGAAATGGTATTGTAGCTGATACTATCATGACAACGCCAAGCGGCACCTCTACAAAGCGACAATCCGAATTCCGCAAAGCACCTGTATGGCCCCCTGACGTGGTTTCTGGCATTGGCGTCTAATACAGAGCCAACATTACTCGTACGACAGCTGCCATCTCCAACCAGGGGTGTCCTCTTCTGTAAGATTGGCATGGGTTCTGGGGGAAGAAGATCCGGTGTGCAAGGGGTCATGGCGCCCTCTCGGCTCTTCACCTTGCTCTGTCCCTGCTGTCCATCTCACTTGGGGGCGCCATCCCAGAGAGCTGGGCTCAGAGCCACTGCGAAATGGCAGGGCCCATGTTTTTGGTGCTTCCATCGTCTTTGTCGGTCCTGTCTGACACAAAAGCGCTCGAGCCAGGTGCTAGTATGGTATCGTAAAAGTGCCCGCAAGTGCTACAGTACGAGTATAATCCCAGCTGGTGAACCCCCCCTGAAATTGTACTTGTGCCCCTTCGATGACATC